TCTTTAAATTATATAATTATTTGTTATTGCAATTATAATAATCGAATATTAAAATATCTTTTATCTAATCAATATTTGGATTGTGTTTTTTAATCTATAAGATACCAAGGACAATTGTATATTTATTTAATAATATTAAATCCATTTTGATTTGTTCGATATACCTATCTAATATAATTATCTTGATAATACTAGTTTCTTTGTATACTCAATCGTCAATTCCAGTTTTCTTTTTTTTTAATAGTATTAATTGGTAAAGATCTTGTTTTAATTTTATAGGAATTCTATTTTCTTTAACAAAATTAGAATCTATGAATATATTTATAATTCCGAAATCAATTAAGGTATTTATTTGTTGATTTTCTAGTTTGATTTTTATAATCAATTATCTGATCTTTATAATACTATTGAGTTCTAACAATAATAATTCAATAATTTGTTTTTCGATGAAGAGATTCAGCTATTCTTGTTAATATTCGTTTATATTCAATAGTTGGTAAGGTATAATAAACAATAATTTTATTAATTTTGTTTGAAAATCTTGATAATAGTTTTGGTTTGATACTTTTTTATTATTCTTATCGATTCTTTATTAGATATAATGAATCCTGATTTGTAATAGGATTTTCTATATCTTTTCAATTTTCAGATTACATTTGCTGTATTTCTATACTTTATTAAAGAATAAAGAATTTATATCTACAATATATCTCCTGATATCGCTTGTTTTAATATTTTCCTTAAATATTATATAGTAAGTATCATTGTATACTATTATATAAAGTGTTAACAAAATGAGATAATTATAGATTCTATATTTCTCAATAAAATCAGGTTTCTTCTTCTTATAATAGTATTATATCTATTTCTTATCTAAATAACTGATTAGATATTATAATTCATTTTCTCAAAGTAGATGATAAAATTCAATTAATCGTTGATCCTTTTCGAATTCTTTGTCTTTTAATTTGAGATCTTTTAAAGATTCTTCTTTGTAATCAATATTGTTTTTAATATTAATTTTAGAATTTTGATTATTGATATCTAATTTCTTTAACTATTTAGGGTTGGATTGAGATAGTTCTCTTTCTAATAATCCTATTTCCCTCAAATTTCCTTTTAAAATCCCTATTTTTTAAGAACTTTATCTTTTGTTTTCAAATCTTATCTATTTCCTATTTTTTGTAATAAATGGTTTCTTTTTTTGAGAATAATCTCAAAATATATATCTATTTTTCCTATAGATATAATATAAGTTATTCTTTCTATATTTTTTCTTTTTATTAGTATTTAGATTGTTTGACTTTATATGATGTTGTTTAGTATTATTCAATTTTATTGGGTCGTTAGTATTATAATGTTTATTCTGATAATAAGGTTTTTGGAATTTCCTGCTTTTCTGAATGATTCCTTTCTTTTTCATTCATCGTTTATAAAATCGATTGTTAATGAGAATAAAGGTTTCGATTAATTCGGAAAGATTAGATAATTTCGAAGTTCTTATTAGTTTGTCTTTAATGATATCTTTCAATCTTTTATAGAATTGTGATTTTAGATAATTATTATCTTATATAATATATTCGATGTATTATTGAAACTTGATAATATAGATTGTAACTGATCTGATCTATTTAAGTTGTTGTAATATTCTTTCAATTATATAATCGGGGTTTACTTCTTCGAATACTTTATCAAATCTTTATTTGAATGATTCATAGTTAAAGAAAAGATAATGAGTCTTAGATTTCATATTCTTATTCAATTGATTATTGATAATCTTGATCATTAGGTTATTGAAAAATGATTCAATTCAATTGAATATGATTCCTTAAAAAAAGGAGATTAATTATAAGATCCTTTGTATAGGAATCAAGAAAAATTGTTTGTTAAAGATATAATAGAGATCAGTTTGTATAACAAAAGTTTGATGTTTGTTATGATCTTTATAGAATAGATTAAGAATGGATATCTGAATCGTTTGTCTATGTTCTATAATAACGGCAATTTGAACAAAAATTCTGATTGGATTGAATGAAGACGATTCAGTGGATTGCTGATTGGAAGTTATTATACTATATATAGCTTAATTATAATGATGTTCAAAGTGTAACGATTTGATTGAGACAATAGCTGTTTTAGGATTCGTTTGATTGATAATTGTAGATTAAAACTAATAATCATTAGTTATCTATTCAAAGATGAATATATTATTAAATCAATTGGAATATAAATAAACTAATTGATAATTAAATTGAATATAAAGCTTTTAAATTATAAAACTATTTTGATTATATATTAATGAATATAAAAGAACTTTATAGAATTTTAGAGCTCCAAAAAGCTTCTAAAGTTTTAGAAGTTTTCAAAGTTTTTAAAGTTCTTTATTATATGATTAGGATCAGATTATATATCCGAGCTTGTTAAAAATAAAAAGATCACATAAGACGATTACTATACAAATTTATATATGAATCGTTTTGCTTTTCGATAAAACCTAAGCTTATATAGATATATTGATTGTTGCCCCTCAACATATCCTTATCTTAATTGTAAATCGTGACATATCCTTTATTAACAATATATATATACAAAATCTAATTTCTTTTTTATTTATTTCTTAGAAATAAATAGCTTAAAGCAAATTATATAATATTTATAATTATACCAATGTAATTCATATCGAATAGTATATATCGAAGTTCTAATTTCTAGTATATATTTCACTTGTTCAAAAATCATTCTTTTTTCTCTTCAATCTTTTATCAATTCCTTTATAATTTATTAAATCTCTTTAATTATCATTATAAAGAATCGATATACTTTCTCTTTACAAATAATTCTAAATGAATTCGATTTAATAATACCTTTTATAGTATTTCGAAATATATTTAAATTTTGTTCGATTCAAGATTACGATTTTCTATCCCTTTTAATCTGAAAAACTCTAACTCTACAAAAGGTATTTCAATTTTGATGAAATTTATGATTATCACTTTCATCTTAAATTTTGACAAAAATTTTGAGTTTGAATAGAAAATATTGAAAGTTGAATTTTGATGAATTATTTATAATTGGGGATTGAAAATAAGGTTACAATTATTTCTTAGTAAAGTATTGTCACGATTTACGATTAAGATAAGGATATATTGAGGGGCAACAGTCAACGTATCCATATGAGCTTAGGCCTTATCGAAAAGCAAGGCGATTCGTATACAAATTTGTATGGTAATCGCCTCATGTGGTCTTCTCACCTTTAGCAAGCTCGGATATATAGTCTGATCCTAATCACATGATAAGAAGCCCTGGGAGCTTCGAAAGCTTCTAGAGCTCCAAGAGCTTTTTGAAGCTCTAGAGCTCCACAAAGCTCCTTTATATTCATTAGTATATAATCAGAATAGTTTCATAATTTAAGAGTTTCGTGCTCAATTTAATTATCAATTAGTTTACCTATATTCCAATTGATCTAGTAACATATTCATCTTCGAATGGATAATTAGTGATTATTAGCCTTAACCTACAACTACCAACCATACGAAAACCTGAGGCAGCCGCTGCCTCGACCAGATCGTTACAAGTATACAATTAGAAGTTTCTAGAACTCTTATATTATATAATATAAAACAAAAAGTATAAAAAATTTGTATTTGATGAATTAAATATATTATTCTTTAATTTTTTTCAGGGCATTAATCAATTTCAGGATTTGTTAATTAATATAATATATTGATTAATATTTTATTATCAGTTTATCAATATTATAATCTTATTATATATAAGGTTTATCCAGTATAGATTATAAAAAATAAGATTTGTTTAAGATTGCGATATGATTGATCGAGAAGTGAATCACGATCCTGACAATCTAATTCGTCTAAAATACCCCAGTAAATAAATCTAACAAAAAGCTTAATATAAACTTTATAATCTTAAACAAATCTGACTTGAAGTTTTTTTCAACTTAATTTAATTGAAATTATTCAACTTTAAAATTATTTAATTTAATTTTATTAAAATCATTCAACTTTATTTATTCAATTCAATTTTATTTATTTAATTCATTTCATTTAATTTAATTATCAATTTGTTGATATTATAATCTTATTATATATATATAAAGTTTATTAAGTGAGTGGTGGAAAATGAAAAACTTGTTTAAATGAGTCGCGATCCTGATAATCTGATTGGTCTAAAATACCCCGGTAAATACCCCGGTAAATAATCTAACAAAAGGCTTGGCATAAGTCTTACAACCTTAGACAAATCTGACTTGAAGTTTTTTTCAACTCAACTCTACCGAAATCATTCAATTCTACTAAAATCATTCAACTCAACTCTATTCATTCAACTCTGAAATCATTCAATTCAACTCTATTTATTCAATTCAATTATATTTATTCAATTCAACTCTATTCATTTAATTCATCTCATTCAACTTATTATTATTATTATTATTATTTTTAAATAAAATAATTTAATTTTCAATTATTAAAAACAAGCCGATATTCTATCTGTACCCTGATATATATTTAATATTTAAATTTATTATAAACTTTTTAAAACTTAAATTTTCATTAGACTTTCTCAAAAAGCCAAGGGTCCGAGAGGCGCAGGCCTCTAATATATATATGATTTATTCTCGAGTATTAATCATTTAAGATCAGATCAAATTATTTTGTTCTTTTAGATTTATAATAATTATATAAGTTTAGTATTTTACTTTCAGATTATATTCTTTTTTAATTACTTTTTTATATAAAAAATTAAATTTTTAATTTATTTATGCTTTTATAATAGAAATTATATAATTAGTTAAAATATAAAAATATAAAATATAAACTTTTTATTTTCAATATTAATAAATATTAAAAAACTTTAATTTTTTTATAATTGATTTTATTAAGATTTATATATTTAAAAAAATAATATAAATATCTTTTTAATTATTATTTATTCAATTTTTTTATTTTATTTTATTTAATATTATCAATATTAATCATCTCATTATCTCATCTATTCTAATTACATTTCTATATATACTTATATAAATCATACAATCAATCGATCATAATACTTCTACAAACTCCAAGCTCCAAGCGCCAAGCAAGCTAGTCAACTAATCCGATCAAACGAGCAATACTAAACCTCTTTCCCAACAATATAAAATATATCTATACCCCTCCCCACCCCATCTCTAATTCATTCTCTCAATCATCTACTTCTCAATGCCAAGATATCCATATAAACAGAATCATCCTCCTCACACACAGCAAAGAAAGAACCTAAAAATTCCTCGACGGGACAACCGGTTCCTCAGCTTTCCACCTCCCATTCCCACTACTCCCCGCACTCCCGGTATTCGCATACGCTCTCCGTTCATCCCCAACCCCACTAAACCCTCTCTGTCTACTCTCCCCCTCCATCGCCATGGCCATCTCAGCTTCCGTATCCCCACTTGAATAATGTTTCGTTCGGACCGCTGGGATAAAATCAATTGCGAAACTCCATACGTAGAAAGTATAGATGAGGGCGATGATCCATTCGAGGATCGCAGCAGTGTTCCACCATGATTTGCGATTGCAGACGCCGAATCCGATGGCGAGGCCGAGTTCTACGAAGATGAAGGTGAGCTTTACCCAGAAGGAGATGCGGAGGATGCGGTGTTCTCGGTAGTGGATTCCGAGTCGTTGGTATTCCCAGCAGATGAAGATGGCGGAGAGGATGTATCCACCGCTTGAGGATTGTTAGTTTTGATTGAGTCTCCATCTGGAAGGGAAAAACTTACATGAAGATGGCGAGGCAAACATCGTGTGCAGTGTGGTGATGAACATCGTTGAGACAGGTAAGACAAATCAGACCGGCTCCACCTGCAATGGAACAGATAATAGCAAGACTCGACAAGACCTTTTGGAAAACCGAAGTATTCCCATGTAATCTTCCTCTATGTCGTAGCCATCGCTCTGAAATAAAGACAATGTTAAAGGTAACCACAGTTACTGTACCCATTGCAATGAAAAGTGGTTGAAGTTCATGTGCCCCGATATCTGAAATGTATCTTTGAAAGCATTAGGAAAGATTTGAGAAGGTAAGAATGGGCATACGAACGCAATGGTTTGACCATTATCCATAGGTGTAATTATTGGAGAACCATCTGCAACGGTCCAGGTCAATAACATGGCAAGAAGCATGGCAAGCCATACCATTCCTGAAAAAACAGGTATCATCCAATATGATATTCCAAACATCTTGAACGATTGTATATGTAGCCACCAATTGTGAAAAGATTTGGTTTCCTTCCCAAGATGTAAGTAGATGAATGGAGTTTTGATATTTCCGATTCGATTTCCAACCAACAGGCAATTTGGTATTTGATATTGGCAGACTAGACAAGTAAGGACACATGCAATGGGCGAGAAAAGAGTCCAAGCACGACAAATGAGGTTATACAATGATTATAAAAGACAAGAGAAGAAAAAAATAAATAAACAAATAGTCCTACCGCATAATAATCTACACACATTTTCGGATTCGCCAACCAACTTCAAGGTACCAAACCAGCTCATTTTTCATCTCATTTGCGATACACGCTAGACGTCATAGTTTTTATTATCCGCCGATACGGATCCGCGACGACGATCTGCCTTGGTCCAGCCCAAGATCCTGAGTGGAGCGATGGGTCTCTGCGTACTCTTTTGATTTCATTGGTGGAAGACGCGTAATTGTTCGTATGTGGATGTGTAGTAGTCATCAAGGAAGATATTTGAAATCATTTTGTTCGTCTGATATAGACAAATATTATGATTGCACAGCCTTGATGATTCTTACCTGAAGTCGTAAACGGATGGAATAAATGAAATCAATGGATTGAATGAAGAATGACGAGAATACCCCGTGGAGAAAAAAGTTGTGGCGAACCCCGGTATGAAGTTTTACCTTCCACATAGTATAGTAAGCGCTTTTGCCCAAATGAAACAACGCTCAGCATCGGAGTCCGTGGACCCGGCCAATCACAATCGAGCCAAGGGTTTACCTCGTGACTTTTTCACTTTTTTGTTGCAGCTCTGAGTTTGGAACTGAGAGATAACCCACGGGGATGGTCCGTTGTTGAAATGTTCTAATGTTTCCGCCTTTGTGATGCGGATTAAGTTTTGATGGGGTGTAATGAATGAATCCAATCTTTTGCGGTGGCTAGACTTATGACAAATGTGATCGCAAAAAGGAGAAGAGCGTCTGCATGTCATTCGAACCAGTGACCAGTGTGTGTGTTGTCCATAAGTCAGTTCAGCCACACACAAGATGAAGAAGCCATCTTCCAGGACAAGAAGAGAATCGAAAGTATACGAATAATATGTATGATTCCATGGTATTTATTGTAATTGCAAATAGATATATCAGAATCTAACCTCCAGATTATCCAATTTCTCAGAGGTTTCAATTCCTCTGTGTGTCCAAGAGCGCATGGCCATCCTCAATTGCTATGGAGGAATGAATACACAACTGACCGAGTAGTCCTCATCAGCTCACCCATAAGCGCATCAGCCACTCTAATCATGTCTCTATGCAAATCACCTCATAATCTCAACCTCATCAACTCCGCCCAGTGACCCATTAAATCATTTGATATAATACTTTACAACTTCGCTGTCAATTTCTCTCCATTGTGGATGCATGCTACTGCATCGCTAACCAATTCATCAACAACAGCCTTTGCACTCTTCTTCTCATTGACAACAGCAGCGGCTTTACCCATCAAGAAAGGTCGTGCGTTATCCATAGTTTCATCGTCAATATCATCACCAAGAGTCTCGAAATCGTGTTCGACTGGAATGACACCCTTAGATGTAAGTTCCTTAATCTCTGCAGCACGGTTTTCTTCCCAGTTTTGAATATAACTGTTGTTTCGTACTCGTAATGGTCTACCGGTGAAGATAATTGTTCGAACATTATCATCATGTCCAGCAGTTCTAACAGCCTCTTGATGAGCCTTTGGTGCACCAGCCTCATCAGTCAAGATGAATCTAGTACCAACCCACACAGCACTGGCGCCCAGCATCAAAGCTGCGGCAACAGTAGCTCCGTTGAAGATACCTCCTGCAGCAACAACTTGAACAGGCTTTCCAGTCATAGGACTAGTCTTTCCCTTGCAGAGTTCGACAACCGCTGGGATTAAGATAGTAGTAGGGACATCTCCAGTGTGCCCACCACCCTCTCCACCTTGTGCACAAATGATGTCAACACCGAGGTCGAGGCATTTCTTAACATGTTTTGGGTGTCCAATCATGTTGGCATAAAGAATACCAGCTTTGTGTAGTCGTTCAACGACATGGTTGGGTGGTACGCCGACGGCGGAAACAAAAAGTTTAGCACCGCTGTCGATGATGATGGTGATGAGTTCGTCTAATTTCCCCTTGGTATAATCGTAGCTAAGCAAACACACGTCAACAAGTGTATAATAATCGAAGGAAGAGGCTCTGGCAGGGGAATGTAGTGGCAAGGAGAGGTAAAGGGGGATCAGGCTTACTTTGTCTTTCTCGCTGAACCTCCAACTTGTGGGAGTAAAAGGTCAACACCAAATGGAGCGTTCTTATCATCCAAAAATGATTTGAGTTCGGCAATTTGTTCTCTTAACATATCAGGAGTGTACCCAATACCCCCTAAAACGCCAAGACCACCGGCATTTGTTACTGCTGCTGCGAGTTTTGGTCCTGCGGCAACGTTCATTCCAGCGAGGATGATAGGATGGTTGATCTTAAGAAGATCGGTAACGGTCGTGCGGAGTTGTTCTACAGAGAAATACAATCAGTTGGATGGCCTCTTCAACGTTGGCGTTGGGTATCATGTCCTCCTGGTAGGCATGTGATGGAGGTCACTTACGTTTAGAAGCCATGGTTGTGGGAGTTTGGTTTATGATGATATAGATATATGTGATGTAGTTTAGAATCAAGGGTATAATATGAAAAACAATTGATCAATAGTAAGAAGAGTCTTGTATTGTAGATGAAGAATAGATGGATGGATTTATTTGAAGGGACTCTTGATACCTCGGAACATTTCCTCTAAATAAAGGAATCATCGATCATCCTGGGGTAAAGACGACCCGGTGTGAGAAAAGATGCCTCGGTATGACTTGCTAGCGTCGGGGTAGCCTTAATTGGACCTGCATGCATGCACGTGCCTTGAATATGACCAAATTGATGATCTTAAGACTTACGGAACGGAAAGAAACGAGGTAAATTGTTTAAAAGAGGTAGGTACCGACTAGGTACCAGGTGATTTCTTTCACATGAATAACTAGGTAGTCGTATTAGTAGTTCCTTTCACTTCAAACACCATTCATTACGGTACTTGAGTATTGATCAATTATACAAATGATACCCTTACAAACAAGGTACCAATATGGTCGAGTAGATGCCACAATCACAATTCGCCGTAGTCCGTGAATACGGGAACCTATTCAACCATTATCAACACACTTTGCCTTCAGACCTCAAATTTCCTCAATGAAATCGACCTTCTATATCAGCAAGAAAGAGAAGACTTTACACTCATGAGGAGCTGTCTGTTACCATCCGTGGTAAGACGCATTGCAACGTCACCACGATCATTTATTAAAACACCTTTTTATGGAATTTGTAAAAACTCGACAAGTTCTACAAATTCTACCTCGACCTCGATCTCTCGAAGTTATAGTTCTGACAGTGCAAGCTCATTGCCACCATGGACGCAACATCCACTGAATACGAACCAACCGAGTGAAAATGACCTGACGAAGCTCTCTAAACCTCAAGGTCAACCTCAACTTGCATATATCGCTTTGGGCAGTAATTTGGGTGATCGAGTGGGATGGATAGAAATGGCCTGCAACAAAATGTCGGAGAGGGGGATTAAAATAAAAAGAACCAGTGGGTTATGGGAGACTGAACCTATGTATGTTCTTGATCAAAATAACTTTCTTAATGGAGCTTGTGAGGTAAGTTCTATTTTCGCATTCAATGGTGCTGGTTCATCCACGTGATTATCCGTATTGCACTGTGCAATTGGGACGAGGTGGCTACCAACTTTGGAGGGTTGGTCTAAAATGTTTGTTTTCGAGGAAACAGCATCACTCACGCCAGCTTTCAGAGGAAGAAGTGAAGTTCGTTCATTTGAACTTGGTATACGTCACCAAGCTATAGCTGATATTTATCAACAGGTAGAAACAACCTTACAACCACTTGCTCTACTGGATGAACTTCAAGCTATTGAGAATGAGATGGGTAGGAAAAAGATTGTTGATAAGGGCCCAAGAAATATTGATCTTGATATTCTCCTTTACGGCAATGAGGTTGTAAATCACCCCAGGTTACAGATACCTCATCCTGGTATGCTTGAACGGGAGTTCGTTTTGAGACCACTGGCAGAGTACTATCACACCAATTCTTTCCATAAGCATACTTTTTACTGATATGATATAAGGCTCATTCCTGGACAACCTCTGAATCCGAAATCTCCATGGAAGTTTACTCAGGATTATTTAAATGCATTGCCGCCATCTCCAACCCCCTTATCCACCATAACTCCATTGAATCCATCTATCCCTCCAATACATGCTCTAAAAACGAATCGACAAACCCATGTAATGGTAATCCTGAATATGACACCCGACTCTTTCTCAGATGGAGGGGAGAATTGCAATGATGGAGAATTTATACGAGACAAATCCTCACAAACCACTGCGGATGGAGCAACTATTATTGATGTAGGTGGTCAATCAACTGCGCCCGGTGCACCGGAAGTATCCCCTGAGGTCGAAGTGAGTCGCGTTTTACCGACCATCCAAGCGATTAGAGATGGAAATTCCCCTAAGAATGTAGCGGTTAGTATCGATACTTATAGAGCATCTGTTGCTAGGGCTGCTGTTGAAGCAGGTGCGGATATCATTAATGATGTCTCTTCGGGTCAACGCGATCCAGATATGTTATCCACCATGGCCCAACTTGGAAAAACAGTCTGTCTGATGCATATGAGAGGAACTTCTGCGACTATGAATACTCTCACAAACTATGAGCCCGAAGGTCTCATTCCAACAATTGCAAAAGAACTACTAGAGCGAGTAGCTGAGGCAGAGGCAGCAGGTGTCCGTCGATGGCGTATCATTCTAGATCCCGGAATTGGGTTTGCCAAAACAAAAGATCAAAACCTTGAGATCCTTCGTCGAATGGATGAATTACGTGATTGGCCAAGCCTACGAGGCTTGCCATGGTTGTTAGGAACTAGCCGAAAAAAGTTCATTGGTAACATAACCGGTGTTAAAATACCACGTGAAAGGGATTGGGGAACTGCAGCTACAGTAACAGCGGCCATTCAAGGTGGAGCTGATATTGTGAGGGTACATTCACCATCAATGGCTTTGGTTGCTAAGATGGCCGATGCAATCTATAGAGTTTGAATGTGTAATCAGTAACTGAAGTTAAATTCAATCACAATAGCTAAACTTTTAGCCCGGCTTTAATGCTAATTCTAATGCTAATGCTAACCCTAATCTATTCATTAGTGGAAGGAGTTCTACTCTTTCACCATGACCTCTATATTTTCGTGATCCAAAATACTATCACAAAATAGAATCTTCCAAACACTTTCTTGGTATCTCCTGAAAAATTATCTATCTCTGTTGTTCTTTATGATGTTTAGTTATAAAATCTTGAATGATTTTCTATTTATAAATTATTAAAAAGAAATTCTATATCTTTTGATATTTTTAAAATATAATCAATTATTTAAATAAAAATAATTTAAAAATAATTTATTATTAATAATTTATTTTATATAAATTTTTTTTAATAATAATCAGATAATAATTATAAAATAATTTGATTTATTTGATTAATTATTATTTAAATACTTAAAAAAAATATATTTATATAATTTATTTTTGATAATTTTTATTGAAAAGTTATTCAAAATTTTGAAGTTTTAAAAATCTATATTCAAAGACTTTTATTTTTGGTACTAGCTTTTATCTTCATGTAGTTTATAATTTAATTGAATAGAAATTATTCTATTTTTATAATTCTATACTTGTACTTTATATTAAAATAAACTATTTTATTAATGCATTATATAGTTTATTAAATAGTTTATAAACTTCAAAAGTTATGATTCTGGTTTCTGACGAGTATCCTGGCTTTTGACGAGTATTAAAGTTATGATTCTTTATTCTTGATCCTTGAAAGCTGTATTCATAGTCGATTCCGTTTCTTCCCGAAAGTTATGTTTATAGTTGATTCCATTCTCTCCTGAAAATCTATGTTTATAATAACTTTCGCTTCTTTTTGAAAGCTGTATTTAAAGTTGATTCTCGTTCCTTTCTGGAAGTCTATATTTGTAGCTGGGGGATTCCTATATTATGGTAATAGTTCCCGATTCCTGTTCTGTGCTATGGTTTTAACTGATTCCTGTTTTTATATCATCATTATAGTTAATTCCTAAACTTTATGCGGGTGTAAAAGACAAAAGAGCGGTTAGTATCAAGAATACGCATGATAAGCTAAGGTGCAAATGGTATTTAAAGGCGTTACTTTTGTAGCTAGTTCTTCTCTTCCCATAATTTACAACCTGAGCTGAATGGAAACTATTCGATCCCTAAAGTTCTACGCCTTCACTCCGTGACAATACTAGGCTTATGTTTTTATTCCGTGAATATACTTCTGAACCTTGTTTTTCGAGGAACTCAATATTCATCTGGAAAGCTGTGAAATTTTTGTTCTGGGAATGGTTTAGTATATACTGCTTGGATTGTGGAGTTGAGGTAGTAAGGTAGTGGAGGGAGTGGGAAATGGTGTGAAGAATTCTATATATCTTGTATTAGACTGCATGGACAACGCCGAGGGGATTTATAGTATAATTAATCCTGAATTATAAGCTATTATTAAGAAATTGAACGATTCAGAGGTCTTTCAGAGGTCGAAATTTCAGTTTGATTCAGTTTTTGATATCCAAATTCCAAGTAGGAGGGAGGGATGTAGGAATAATTGAAATCCATTTTTGTAGCTAAAGTTTGTGCATCAAATTAATATTCATCCTCTTCCACAAGATCTAGTGAAGATGAATTTCCTTTTAAAATTCAGGAATTCTTGGAATCTGATAGATTACCATGGCCCTGTTAAGCGATGACGGCCGTTGTTGGCAGTCTAAAGGATGATGCAGCCTTGACTTATCCGTATTGGCTTCAGATTTTGGTAAAAAGTGAAGACCGAAAAGTTTCTATTTCGAACAACATCAAGATGGTATCCAACACATTCTACGAAGGTACACGGGCTGAGTTTGTGCACGCCCTTAGGATTTTGAATGCCAAATTCCAAGCACTCGAGTGCAATCCAGTCTTTAAATTTGCTACCAGTATTAGCAATGATGGAATGAATGGCAGCGATAGTGATACCTCCTCAGTCACCTCAAACTCAAGCGCAACCACCGATTCATCTACTTTCACCAATTTAACAAAAGAAGGTGACTTAGAACCCCTGCCTCTGTGGAATCAAATCTCTTTTCCTATGGAGCGCATCATAGAGCGTGTCCCGTGGGAAGAGTTCATTGCGTATTGGAAAAGACAAGTTTGGTATGATGAAGAGAAACTTTGGACGGAGTTTGGATTACGGACGTTAAAGCCTTGTGTTGAGACGGAAGAACAACATAAGTATAATAAGGTCATGAGGTGTATTACTTGTAATACCCAGCTTTGTGAGGTACATGTGAATTTATGTATTTTCCTTGAAGGTTTCTCGTCCCTGCTGTCGTTCCGTTTGTGATCTTTATTATGTTGTTGATCTTTATCATATATTATTATCCTTGGCGACCTTTCCAGCTGATTCTCCCCTCTTCACTTATCTCTTCTCATCGATCCAATGCATCCTTTCATTTCGCGAGGCTAAAACCATTCCATAGTCCTGTGCGCAAAGTATCACGAACCATATTCATGGATACACTCGAGCAGATCAAGAGCATGCAATTCCTGCCCCTCGCGTGTCCTACCCCTGTGATTTAGATGGCTGCAAGGATATGCCATAGTGCCTCTCGTAATTGAATCGTAGAGTTCAGACAAATGGAGCTGTCGGCTTTTATTTGTGCCGCGGTTGTATAGAACTACCCTTATGGCACTTCAGAGAAAGATTCGCTCTTTTGGTCAACGGATATGGTGTAGGTCTGTCCTGTCACTTGAGGTCATTTTAACCTCTTCCTAAGCGGAATTGCTGATTAAAAGTCGTAACAGGCCTATTGTAACTGTGGTTTAACCCCTCAGAGCTGACATGGAGCCCTCTGAAGACAGAATACATATTTGTAGGCTTTGTCATAAGTTTTGTGAGGAGTTTACTGGCACTGATTACCGAGATTTTGCGCATGTGAGGGGATTTTGTCACTATGCAGACACCAGGACCAGATTACGCGGTGGGAGTTGCTTTTGATATTGAGGGGTTTTTAATTGTATCTAGTTGTTGATTTGAGGAAATCTTTCGTTGCATGGTTTATCTTGACATTATGGCGTCACATACGGGGCTTATACAGGGAAACCTTTGGAGTTTAGAGGATATCCTGCATATGACAATTGGGTAGAATTTACATTAAAAGAGGGATTGATCGCAATATTGGACTGCTTCTTTCAACGAATTCACAAATTCGATCTCAATGCAGCACTCTTGATTTTTGTGGCATATTATCATTATAAAAATTTCAACTCGGGTTGCCATGATAGTTTTTCTGTAATTTAAGTTCTATCAATGTCAAAATTTCTCATCCAGCCATGGCAAGTTGAATACCTGCAACTTGCCAGAAAGCTATCGATTCCAGATGATCTTAGCTATAAAATCCCATCGTATTACGTTAGGGTTTCAGATTCTACTAGGGGAATGGGAGGAGTGGAGGAGAGGGAATTGATGTTACGTGGAGTATTTTAAACCCCAATCTGTTTATCTAAAGGAAGCTAACGCCAGCGTAGAAGCTCGTTCCTTATTTCCATGAAACTCAAATAGCGATGTATCCCTATTTCCTTTCAAATCCAAGTAGTGAACCTTCTAGCTCTGCTATTAGGGCCCAAAAGCACACGATAACGAGCCATGTGAAACTAAGGTTCGCACTAGATACTAGTATTGAACAATGTGAGCTTATTTTTAATTAACCGAGCACAAAGCAAATGCCGTGATATTTAGTTTATAGAGATACCATATATAAGATTATTTTTTGGAGCTCAACTTCTTCATTTACCATCTCATTCACAAAAAATTCAAGTATCAACACAATTCAGAAGTCCTAGGAAATTCTTAAGACTCCATAAATTCTTTCTTTCATCTTCGGAATCCAGTACAGAGAAACCTACAAATCTATCAAAATGCCTGACCTCATCGACGCCCAGCTTCTTTGCCTAAACGTACCACCAAATCATCTCAGGGGTGCCATTCGTATGATTACGCATAGATTAGCACTTCTAGCCGAGAACCCCTCTACCGCTGTTTCCCGCGACGTCTTTCCAGAAAAGAATTCCTGGCAACAGGCTCTTCATAATTTCATCGAAATGGGGTCCTAATATGCGAGCGCATCATGGTGGGCTCCCAATGGTGAAATACTGACAGATATTCCCGAGTATCATTAATGGGTTGGAGATGTGGACAGAATTTTGCCGCTTGTTCAAGAAACTCACAGCGCATGTCGATTTCCAAATTCTTTGGGATATCTTCGAGGATACGGATTCGCCAGACGAACTCTTCTCGAGAAAGCTATTCTCGCAAGATAACTTGATGGAGCTGTTCGATCGTGGCCCACGTAGCCCCCTGAGTCTCGCTTCCCTCACGCTAAATTAGCGAGAATCTTTTGGCTTGCGGTGTTCGACTGTATTTCTTATTACGGCATGCAAAAGGCTAAGATGGGGGAAAGATAGCGTAGATCGAATTGGGAAAGATTTCGTTCGTTTAATTGCGATTTATGATTAAGAGAAGTTGTTCGGTTGTAGTCGGCATTTGAAGACTAAGATATCGTTACGAAAAAGCTTATTTGGGTTTTAATACTACTTTTTAAGTCCGGTAATACAGTAATATTTATAGTATTTTTTCATTATGGGTATTAATGATATCTCTAAAAAACTCCACAAGGTTCTCTCCTAGCCCATGATTGAGGACCGTACTATGTCCCGCAAAGAAGGTAGGGCGAGGAGATTTGCCGTGTCCATTCAGTAGCTGGTGTGCCGGAATAGAAATTTGCTTGGTATGTATCTGTACCTCTTGTATTATTTCATCCACATGTTACATGAGTGATGATGAGGAGATGGAAGTAGACAAAATCATTATATTTTCCCCGTCTGTGGGATCTTATCTATCGGATGGCTTTTTATCGTAGGATAATTAGTACTGTAGTTTAACTAGAAAACTTACGTTCACACAGAATTTATACTAATTCTGATTCAAGGAGAGATGAGATACTATGGATGTATGTTATTGAAGGAAGTGAAGTGATGACGAAGATGATGATGCGTAAAGATGACGTCAAATCGTGAAAAGCCATTCCTCATATCCCCAGTGATGAAGACGTAGAGTAAAGAAAAAATTTTCTTAATATTCCAAAACATCGCAATCCCAAATACCCCTAAAACAACCCAAAAAAAAAATCAATTACCCGTCCTCCAAGTAATCCTACTAACCACTATTCCCAACTCACTCTCACAGCGCAAAGCTCAAACCCTATCCCCCTCACTTAACCCCGCCGGCCGTCCCCCAGTAACCTCACTATGAACCTCATACACCCCACTAAACTCTGGAAAACCCCCCTGCACACACCCAACCAAAGTACTAACCACACTAACCTTCAAGCCCTCCACCTCTCCCCTATCAATCTCCGTACCATCCGCCAACGTAACTCTCCAATGCAAATTTCGTCTCAGATACGGAATGACATTTTCCACTTCTAGCGATCCAAGATCGCCTGATTTGAAGAGTTTGAGGAGAATGGGGGTTAGGGGGATGGTTCCTGAGATCATGAGGGAGCGTGCGGCGTCTTTGATGCATTTTCCGCAGGAGGTGGTGGCGGGGTTCTTGCCAAAGGAGGAGAAGGTGCCGATTGTAGATTCGGCTGTTGCCTGTTGGTTTTTATCTTGTTAGTTTGTGGATGGAGAAAAGAGCACAAAGAGAGAGAGAGGGAGAGAGAGAGGGAGGAAAAAGGATGTAGAAAATCTAACATACCCATGTTGCAGGATCTGAATCAAAATCACCGAGGAAAATTCGTACGCGATAGGTTTGATGGAGAATATGCTTCGGAGCGCGAATATTGACAATGTATTCTCTGTATTTAATTGGTTCTACGCTTCTTGAAGAATTTTCGGATGCTTGAACAATGTTAGCGTATTGATTGTGAGCTGAATAATGAAAGGCGTCTTACGTTTTCCAATCTCGGATTCAAAGTCCTCTTCACCTCTCGCCGCGTCAACGGGCTTAGCATTAGTTTTGGCAGAATTTTGAAGAAGATTTGATAAAATTTTGTGTTCGCCAGGTGACGAAGCAGCACCATCACCAATAGGTTTCTGAGCTGTATTACTGCCATCTGCCACGATTTGGCTCGCTTGAACAGCAATGGGCTCAGAGGCAGCAGCAGTTTGCACACCCATCAGTTGCATGAATTGGTTACTAGTAGCACCGTACAATTTTTGAACTGCAGCTAGAACACTTGTTTGATATTGTTGGACAGTAGGAAATTTCCATTGTTGGGTCTCGGGATATGCATAATTAAATGTCACTGTGCTGCGCACACCGTCAGAGGTCCAGTAAGTTTTGCCAGTGGCATTGTTGAATGGTGTTAAGGCAGTAGTACTGGTTTCTTGGGCACCGCTTTCGATGGAAAAGGTTCCGTCACTGGAAGGTTTGTTGATTGCGTAGCTGGTAGGATTCAAGGCTTGCCAAATGGCAAATTGACGATCGACGTTGCTGGGAAATTTTATAAGCATAGCATCCAATGCATTATTGGATGTATGACCAAAGACAGGAATATTAACTTACGTATGATGTAACCAAAACAAAGGATCAAAAGCGGCATAATCAGGATCACCCATATGACCATTCCCACCAGTTTCACTGTGAACACTATTATGCACATCCTCAATACTACCATAAGTACCAGGAGCATTATTTGCTGCCCATTGATGATTACTAAAAGCATCAAATTGCTTATAGTTCGGATCTCTCATGATAAGATAAATATTGCTTTGATAGGAATCAAATTGTGACTCCATAGCGTCAAAGACTTGTTGTTCTTGGGATTTGGCAGTTGCACTTCCGTTGGTTGGATACCGGAGAGTGCTCGGCCATCGTGATTCCTGAACATGTCAATATGTCATGGTTTTCTAAAAGATGGCAATTCATACCGGAGTACTAGGGAAATCACCCTTCAATGGATTCAACGGGTTAAATTTGTAAGAGTAGAGGGGATTGGTGATTTGTACTGGTTTGTTATTCGAGGTGGGAGTAATGAGCTGAATCAACGGCTGTCCGACAACAGTAGGAAAGTACTTATCACCAGCAGGTGGTGTGGCAGCCCAATCCCAGTATGGCATTCGAAAGGTTAGAGCCGCTTGTTGATAACGAGCCTTAGTGGCGGCGGGGAATGTAGAAGCAATTTTTTGTATAATTTGATAGAGATATTGCTATCAAAATATGAGTGTTAGAATGAAGGACAGAAGGATATAGATGGACTATCCACTTACTTCGAATAATGCAAGATAAGGACGATGCCATGGCGCAAAAAGAATAGAGCTATGAGTACAATAGCCTTGCCATCCAGGAGAGTTATCTCCTTGAGATCCACCCCAAGGACGATATGGACGTCCATGAATACCTTTACATGTCAGAAAAATATTTCATGTTTATAGAAGTATTTCTGAGATACATACCAGCGATTCCATACCATGATAAATCTGACTTCTCGTCAAGTTGTTGAAAAGCCTGAAGTCCAAGTATATAAAGTGTCCATTGATCAGGGAAGTTGCGTTGAAGGTCACGAATTTCACGTCTCAGAGGGACAGATCCTAAAAGTCTTAGCAGAATGAAAAGTAGCGAGAAACCGTCAAATTTACCGTCAGCAGGAGCTGGGAAGCTTTGGAGGCCCAGTGATTGGGTAGCTGAGTGCCGGGATTGCAGCCATAATTCCAAGTGCTCGCTGTGCTAGTACAGCGGTTATCGGGGTAAATCCTTAGCTGCAACTGTGAGATGGAATGAGAGAATTTGAGTGATTTGTGAGAGCAAGAGGGAATCATGCGCATATAACTAACATTTATTGTTGTATTGGAAGAGTTGGGTAAAGGCGCAGGCGGCGTATGTTACCAAGTACTGATATATGGCTATTTGCATCCAAGAATCTGCCAGCCCCGCGCCAAGATAATCACGAGAATTCAGCTGAATGAACGGGCGACTTAGACCACAGATCACTAACCTATGAGCAAGACCATATGCATATGACAGTATAATAGATTAAAGCTTTAAATGGTGATCGTCGTATGAATATCCAGTACTTGATATGCAATAAACCATGGTGAAAAATATCACGACTCCGCATTATCTTTTACTGGACCATGTATCGGTGAATTTAAAGCCATAAGCATTCCATGCAGGCTTGTAAGATGTTTGGGCAGAAAAGATGATAGAAGTTATACGGTCGTGTAATATGCGGCCCCTGCATGAACCCCTCATTTGGGTAACCTCAGCCGCATTCCGCTCACCGACTGAGGGGAAAGATAAAGTAATATTTCAACGAATGTTGGCAAGCAATTGTGGTGACTGACAAGTTGTAAGGAACTTCGAAACCTTATTAAAAACAAATCTTGAATTCAGGAAAGCAAGAACAAGATCCTATCTAAGGAATAAGTGGTATGCAACGAGAGACACAACTGGGATAAGGCTAGACTTTCGGTGCTCAAAGCCACTACGATCTTATTGGCGGGGTCAACGCATGAGAGCTGTGACACCGTCAGACAGCCAAGAAACGACAAACGACCCGCCACACGTAGGACAGCTTGGGCAAAAGACAAGTTGTACACAAATTTATGCATTCCATTTTTATGTATACCAGGATAACAAAAGAAAAATTAGAAAGAATAAGAAAATCTATCTGCACCCTAATTGAACCCCACATTTAAAGCAACAACATACCACAAACCATACTGGCAAGCGTTACTGCAACAACTCCAAAGGCTCTCACATCAACTTCGACACTTCTACCACCAGCTGATTTGGAAGAAGATGTGGAGCTCGAAGATCCAGCCGAAGCGGTGTGAGTAACTGCGCCAGAACCTGCCGTGGCGGTGCCTTGAGATTCGTTCTCTGTATCACCCGCCTCTTGAGATCCGGCTCCATCTAAACCAGGTCCAGTACCCGCACCATTAGTCATGAATTTCTGGGCTGGGGTAGGCATAGCTGGAAGAGCATCGCCCGAAACATCCCATTCGGAGCTTTCAGTTGGGCAAGTGGTTGCTGATCCAGTAGTGGTAACGGCTCCACCGTCTCCTGTGGGAGAGGTAGTGTTTGCGTATGCCTCCTTAAGGTATGTGAATTGGTCGGTGGTAGTAACAGTTCCATCGCTGATATCTACAAGACCGTATCCATTACCCTCGTTGGAATATTCATACACAAGTCCTCCAGAGAAAATGGCGGTCATTTCAGTACTGTAGAGGGCGGCAATTTCGGTAAATTTTCTGGTGTTGGTAATGCAACCAAATTCAGACATACTTTAGAGTTCGTTAGATATTTTAACATGCAAATTGTTGAAAACGAGTAGATAAGACTTACAATAGAGGTATGCTGTAGCCAGTGTAGTTTTTGACAAGAGTGTCCCAGCCGGATGTGGTCATGGAAGACGGATCACACCATGAATAGTCATTGATGGCGTAAAAATCGGATCGTTCATCATCAGTTCCACAGTTCAAGTAATCAGCAAGGGTATATTGGTTCGAAGCTACGTCAGCAGCGGAGTAACCGACAGGAATGGATCGATAACCACGGCTACCAATGTATTCCTTCATGTCTCGAACGATGGCTTTGACATATGGAGCACAGTTGGTGTTGTTCACGTCGTTGATGACTTCGTTACCGGAGATGAAAGCAAGGGTATTGGTGTAATTGGCGAATTTGTCAATAGTGGCAAAGATGGATTGAAGGTAGACGCTGTTGTATGACTTTTGGGGCTCGTTTCTGTTAAGGGAATAGAGAGGGGTATCAGTGTCAAGGACAAGGTAGATACCGGCATCAGCAAGATAACCCATGCACTCGTCGTGGTCCGCAGTGTTGTCGACAGCATAAACTCTGATTGTGTTGATGCCTAATTGTTGGAAATATTCGACATCTCTCTTGCATGAAGCTGCATCGGCAATGGGATCGGAAGTAGTACCAGTTCCTCCACCTGTTTGAGAGGGTTAGCCATACATGTATAGCGACAGCAAAGATAATTTTACCTGGTTGATAGTCGACACCACGAATATAGAAACGATCGCTACCCTTGTAGAAAGCTGGAGGCAGTCAATAATGAGGTCATGAAGTAGTGTTGGCGAGCAAACCGTTTCCCGAAATTGTAACAGCCTCAACACTTGAAGTAGATGAAGCTCTCGCTGCCAATACCGGAGTACCGGCAGCTGTAGCACTGGCAAAGGAGGCAACGGAGGCAATAAGCCCGAATACTGTACTTTGCTTCATCTTCCAAAATCTAATGTTTAGACGGCAGAGGCTGTAAATTTGAAAAGGTGAGACACAGTAGATGATTCTTCCGTTGCAGATAAGAAAAAAAAAGAAGTAACGATCGTGGTTGATATAAGAATACACAAGTTCAGCCTTACGGATGCCAAGAAATTGACTATAAGTAGCGAATTTGGTACTGGTAGAAAGCCGAGAGTATTTGAAGACACGGCAAGGGCAAGAAAGAGAAAATAAAGAATAGGAAATGAAGAGGATAGAATTAAAAAAGGTTTGCTCGGAATGGGGTGGCAGGCCAAACTTATCTTGTCTACACTGCTAGGTCCCCGCATAAGAAATGGTTTCTTATGCTCCAACCAACAAATCTTCATACTATTACGCGTCTCACCCCTTCCTCATGGTCCCTGCTCGGTACATCGTACCCAAGCGATGCCATAAATAGAGCTTGACTAGTTGACCCACCATAATTCTCCAGGATGTACCGATTCACGTGATTTACTCTCGGTCCACTTGGGAAATACAGGACGAACTAATTTCTAAGAGATGCAGATGGCCAGTACATCAAACGATGTTGACCCAATTTGAAAAAAACAACGGATTCAGTCGGCAGCGTTTCAAAACATTCTTCTAGCTTCCACAGTGACCCAGACAAATTGGTTTGAAAGTAAGTTTCAAAGCAAAAACCCTCATCTATTTATTCTATGACATCAGACAGTCTTAAGAGAATCGATGCCATATACTAGAATACTACGGATGGACGATTTGTTCGACCTGTGACGTAACTTGGACTTACGGATTTATCCTAAAAATAGGAGATGATTATGTGGTTTGGATTGTCATCAATTGGTCTCTCATGCCCACGATAGAATCCAATGCTAGTAAAGTGAAATGAAAGAAATATGAGATTGAGGTATTTAATCTTTGACTCGTAAGGGTTTAGGGTTCCATGATTGGATTTCAATTCGAGGGCCAGGAATATTATAATCGACGATCAAAACCAACTAAAAGGGTCTGGTACTATGGGTCCAAGACTGCAAGGACCAATTGGGTATAGTGATATTTCGCAGGGAATTTCTGTTGGAGGGAAAACATCGCAAGGGATTCAAAAGTCCAGTTTTAGGTAGGTAGAGTAGTGATACCGTTATCGATTTGTTTTTGAGATCTGAAGCACTAGCTCACACCATAATTGTCGATTTCCTGATGTGACAAAGCTCTACATACTCCGTATATGTACGTAAGAAGCCAGGAAAAGTAAATCACCACACGATTTCGAGCTTTTCAGGAACATAGTTCTAGTTCCAAGGTTGTAACATTTAACGCGTGTTATTGTTTAGTAAATTTACCACACAAATCAAATAAACCAGGATTGACTTGGCGGATTCTGGTTGAGCTGGAAGTACTTAGTACATACATCGGAAAAAAGGGGCAGTTGGAGGTGGGTGGTCATTGAGCTGACGCATCCCGCGGAAACTTGCAATTGAACTTCCCTGCGCATACGATGATCTGTCTCAGAAAACCTTCACAATCCACTAAGATTGATGTAACTGCGTGATAATACGGTCGGCATTGCTGAAATGGGACTCTAGTGAAAATATAAAAACTTAATATTCCGTGAGTTGGAATAACGCTGCCAAAAATCCTATTGGCGTTTGCCCTTTGTGTTCAATTTGAACTTGGAGCACCGCCATCCATTTATTTCCTGTCTAAGATTGATTCCAGAAATTGGAAACTCGTATGCCATCAAACCGAAATATTTCAGAGATTAAGTCAGCGTTAATGGCCGGGGCCTGAGGATTGGCCCAGGTTGGATTGTGGTAGACGATCAAACCTGGAGGATTGGTTGGAATAAATGCATGCAGGTTTGGGCAATATCGATAAGGAGATTCTGAATAGACGGAGCATCTTCAGAAATTGATGCCTCGAACCCAAAATGTTGTCGAAAAGAACGTGGGTTAATGAATAGCCTCGTCACATTGCTCTTGATCCGTCTTTGAAGCCAGCGTCCTTGAACTCCTAGGACTCGGCATTTGCTATATTCATATCAACTTAAAAGGTGTTGCAATTGAGGCTATAGGGAGAGCGCATTGTTGCGCAGCGAGTGTTGATGGCGGCGAGACTTTGAATCGTCCAATGACATCACGAAATATATTGATTGAAAAGCAGGATTGGAAAGAAGAGAAAAGAGTAAGTTTGACTGACGTTGGAAATTGTTTTACACCCATCACAAATGCCAAGCTGCCAAGCATTTCAGTTGCGTTATCCATCAAAATAGCATCACCAGTGGATTGTTATCGATTGCCAGGTTTTGGCGTCACGTGATCGTAACATTATTTTGATGAGGTTAACGCAGTTTGTTTACACCAAGCAATGAGCTCCACGAATTTCATGCAATGCAGACCGCCTTTATATCTTTGGTACCGAAATGATATTTAATGATAACATGTTGTTATCATATCAACTTTGCGGGGATCGAGAAAATGTCCGTCTCAATCTTTAATCCTCTTGGAGGAGGGTCCCGGAGTCTTCGAACCTCGACAGCCTCAAGCAACCTCAAGCTCACTGCAAGCTCCAACCCACAACCTCCATCTGGCCCTTCCTACGTCACTCTCTTCATAACCAATTTGCGACTTTTGGATTTAGATTTGCAAGATGGCTGGCCAGATATTAACCTGTTGACATTCTCTACCAAGGACGCCCAACAGAATCAGAAGAAGCGTATACAATGTGTAGAATGGGCTTTATTTCATTTGTTTGCAATCTGGGATCCAGAAGAGACTCGCAATGTACACCTCTACCTTATGCCATTAGTTCAAAATGAAACAACAAAAGCTAATGCTGCTTACAGAAATTACAACCATTTTTCCCACCCCTCGAACCTCTCCAGTCCCTCAATCTGCGTACCGCATTGTTTCGATGTCTCGATCAGGCGAAGAAGAATGGAGTCCTCGGACGAGATACGGTTTTGAGAAAGACGATGCTAGACGAATGCAAGGGTGAAAGATTGGAGGAGGTTTTGGCGGTTTTTTCGAATGTGGTTTTAAAGAAAGCTGTTCAAAATGACACCTCGGGACGATACGAGGCTCTTGCCCAAGCACTGGCATTGGAGAACTTTTCATACACTGGAGAGAGGACAATACTTTCAGTCTTGATATTAGCACACAAGAAATCTTTGCGTAGGCATATTGACGAGAAGAATAATTTGAGGGCGAAATACAACGAATTTTCCAAAATACTTGACCTCAGCGAAGAACGAACTTCGAGAAGGAGAGCAGAACTGGACCATGATAAAATTGAAGGAGAGGGCCACCCTGAGTTATCTGACCGAGATTTGAGATCGTTACAGAACAGGGTTCGCAAGAATTGGTCAGGTAGCAATGAGTGGCTGGAGACGATCCTTTATGGAGATAATAGGCCTGGTCGGGACGGATTATTGGCTAAGCGTTTCGATATTCTCTGGGACCAAATTGAGGCTGGTACGATTGCAGAAATAGAAGGAAAGAATGATACTGGACTTGTTGAGCGGTTGGAGGCACGCGTGCAAAATCAAGAGAGTCGTTTGGCAAGATGGCAAGAATTTGGTCGGACTTTGATTAAAAAGGGCACGGAATCACCAGCGGAAAAAGTTCAAGCAGTTGCCGTTGAGGAAAAGGGTATAAAACTCGCTTTCAATGATCACCAGAAATTACAAATCGGGAAGTACACAACGGGAAATCCCACAGTTGGGGACATCCCTATTCGGGATGAATATGTCCGTTTAATGGAAAGAACTCGCAATGCGCTGAATGATGTATCCAAACCAAAAGTGCTTTCCAAAGAAAGCCTGATTCCACGTAGCTCCAGACACAAGTTCATCCAACCTTCAATGGATTCATCCCAGGAGTCATGTTCATCAACTAGTCAGGATGGAGACCACTCTCCGTTAGCCAACGCCTCTACAGATCAACCATCTACCTTAGTGGCAGATATCCATGGGGTTGTCGAGTTTTCTACTCCTCGCGGCCATCGTAACGCACCAATCAACACACCACGTTCAAGAATATCTCACAGACCAATTTCTACTATGACTTCATCAATCCTTTCAGCTAAGCATGCCTCGAACGAACTGGACATCGCCAGCGAAAGGTTATCTAAGGTCACACCTTTTGCATTAGATACCGAAAATGATTACATGGCAGCCAATCCCGGCGCTATGAGATCTTCGCGCCGCCCAGCTTCCATTGGCAAAGCTTCAGACCAGGAACATGGCGCGGGCTCGGTTGAGACACCCAAACCGATCCAAAGGAGACACACGACAACATCACAATCGAGTCCATCCCTCTCTCAATCTATTCAAACCTCGGATCCATCCCTCGATTCTGTTCCGGAGCTCAGTCAAGCAGAGCAGATTCTTAACTCCATGTCGGCTGCATCCCCATCTCCACAAAAAATGCAACGCTCGTTATCCTTAGCCGAACGTACTCGTCTCACCATGGCTCGCTCAAACCCAAGGTATATGGAATCCGATTTCAACCATGATTTTGAAAATTTGCCAGATGTGAGCCGCCTCACTCTGAACCCCAAGCTCAGGGCCACACCTGCGACAACTTCCGCGGCGGAAGAAGACAGACACGCAGACTTGATAGAACGCACGCGTCAGTCTATGGCAGGCTTTGAGGCAGCCCAGAAGAAGGCACAGTTGGAGCGAAGGAAAAGCATCCAAGATGAAAAGAGAAAGCAGAGACAATCACATTTCCCCAAGATTGTACAAGAGGAAGAGGAACCTTTACCTCAAGCGACGCCGAGCATCGATAGAGAGGTCTTGATGGATGGAGATGTGGATTATGCTAGTGTCTTTATGAGTAGACCAAGAATTGCTGTAAGTCCGACTCCAGCAAAGGATAGAATGATTTCATCCATGATTGAAAGTGGAGATGACGAGGATAAGGATGAGGATGAGGATATGAACGTAACTATGGGTATGGATGCAGATTACGCAAATGCGTTTATGAGTAGACCTAGAATCGCTCTAAGCCCAACACCAGCACGACACAACAGAATCATGATGGACGGCGAAGTGGAGGAGGAAGGAGAAGCTGTAAATATGTGGCATGACCTATGATTTGGATCAAGCAGCCACAATGTTGATGAGGTTTCAGTAAATGGCTTTTGGGTATTTTAATGGTTTATGATTAATGATGATTAAAATTAATTACTACAGCACTACTTCTTTATATTTCGTTTCGATTGACCTAAATGCGGACTCCCTACAAATGAAACGTTCTATTTTTCTTTTTCAGTATCATGAAATTACCTTCCGAACTCCAAACATCACACTGCATTATGTTTAAACCGCGATAGGATTATTCGCTTCCTGTCAAACTAGCAGTCCGATGTCTCCACAAGCGGCTCTCTCTGCGCTGCCTCGTTGGCATATTCTACAGATTTTACATTTTAGACTTTCCTGAGGGAGATACTAGGTACAACTTTGTCCTTGAATTTCAAGTTTAAGTTCAAGGAAGGAATCCAAACTTTAAGATATATTAGTATAGTTCTATTCCTATGGACAGATTGTATTTAGTTCTCTATCTTTTTGTCAATTTTAGTGATTTTGGCAGGCTAAATTCGGGTTTTGATAAATAAACTGTATTGGTGTCTTGCGGTAATTATAGTAGTGAGGAGAAGATTCCAAGACGCCAGATTTCAGAATTCTCCCTGTGGTTTTCGGAATGATGTTGTTGAAAGGCCAGATGTGTATCTATCTTAAGTGTATATTTGGCGTTGGTGAATCTCTTATTAGCGATTACCTTGGTGTCAAGTACCGATGCAAGGTAATTATTCGAAAATGGTAGGAAGCTTTGCGCGTGAATCGGGGTTAGCTTTTGAGATTTTCTTGCTGATTGTATTAAAGGTATTTAGTTAAGAAACTAGGTAGTTCTCTCTCGACAACCTTTCCTAATATAGCTTTAGAGTGACTTTTTGGATGGTCAGAATAGCTTCGTTGGAATCTAGTGGAGCCTTGTGATTTTATCAAAATCTTCAAAGTGTAAGAGTGGTGGAGAGTTTTAGTGTATCTTATCTATACCTATACTAAAAGTTTCTTATAGTGGATATAAGAAATGGAATTTGTTCGTTATCAAGTCTATTCCGTACAGAAATGGAGCTAGTTATCTCCAAAGATGATAAGTGTGTTAAGCATCCTGGTTATTTCTTTAAAGATAGACCTTTTTGGCGTGAGTTAAAAGTTATTAAGAGATAACTAGTTTATTTCTATTGAATACTTCTAGTACAACATTTGCTGCATATACATACAGCATTTACTTTGTATTTCTGGAAGCCTTTCCGCCAAAGTTTTTTGCAGTTGATTCATCACTCTCGCCTTCAGGATCATGATTCGATGGCACCAGTAATAGCCTTCAAGGAGGATTGCAGAAGAGCGGTAGATACACAGCTTGGGGAACCTAGCTAAGGCTTATGACTTATGTTAGTACATGAGTTGTCTTGGAGGGATAAATAAATTCGGATTCTTGGTGTCAGTGTTCTAATGTGGTGCTGAATGTATTGTTCTTGAGTTTCTGAAGAGGATTGTCTTATTATCGGAGCTACGAAACCGAAAAAATATAGTAGACTCATACTACATATTAAGGCTAACAGCGCCGAGTAGCTCAGAAAAAGAATTCGGCGCCAGCTTATCAAGTGCGTGGTAGTTAATGTACTATTTGGCATTCTTCTGCAAGTTTCTCTGCACTAACTTAACTATCACACCTAGTGCTCTTGCATTCGCGTAATTCGCGTAGTTTAGCACTAATATCTAGTATCTAAAAGTTTCAGGGCTCCCACAAACACATTTCCCACAAGCACATTTCCCACAAACATATCACAGTAAAAAATATCTACACCAATTTCACTCTTTCCGCCACGACAACCAACATCTATTATACCAAATCTATCAACAAACCATTCGATTATATTTAAATCGCCATTATGTCTTCATCTTCACCTTCACCTCAAACGGAAATCGCCCAATCCATCTTCCTCTCGAAATTCGCCGTATGATATACAAGTTATTGCTCCAAAAAAAGAATTCAACATCACCAAGTTTGCTCGTAGGAAAAGAGCATCAACAGTACCTCGCCCCTTCTTTCAACCACTGGAATTCCTCGCACTTGCAAACAAATCAGCGGCGAAGCTTTGGATGTTCTTTATGGTGAGAACAAATTCAAAGTCAGGGTTGAGGCTGGATCCTTTCCAGAGCTTTCTTTAAAAATTGGAGTCACAAACTTGTCTCGAATTCGACACTTGCATATCTTTGCATGTTCGAGAGACTCAGATATAAGCAGACTCCAGCCATGCCATCGCGGTTGGAAAATCGATTCTCATCTTTGGAAGTGCTTGCTCGGCAACGTTCAACAGCTAATACTCCACTTACAACAACCTAGTATGCTTATGTCTCATGCACCAGAACTGGACATAGAAAAGGATGCGCAAAGGTGGATTGCCTTCCTTGAGCTGTTTATACCTTTTCTCGCTTGGTCGATCGACAAAGAAACCAAATTTTTCATTCAGCATGAAGGTTGTTGTCTGACAGCTCGACATGTGGCGAAATATTTCCGTCCTGTTCCCAAGAACCTGCGAGTACGTAAGATGATTTGGCGGGATATTCAGAAAGCGAATCTTCAGTATGAGTCGAGGCTACTAGATTATTCCGGTTAGGAATCGTTTTCTGTTTTTTGGGTGGCAGCTTGGTGCTTGGTCGGAATTATGCGCAGGATGCGGATATGGGAGGATAATGGGGCCTGGGTTTTAGAGATACACGTGGAGGATTATGTAAGGTTAATTTTTTAACTCTGCATCAGCGGCAAATAAAATTGACCGATGGTTTAGGTTTTATTGTAGGGGGGAATGTATCATTGGTGGTTATAGCAAAAGGCGTTATGTAGGAAACCCAAATCAAATATATGTTTAAATTTTACCAAATTTTCACCTTGAATATACATAAATATGCATTTTCGGAAAGCTTGCGAGTTTTTGCCGTAAGCTTTGTAGCTTTTGTCCCGTGATGAAGATTAATAAATGGACGTTGATACACAAACATGTAGTGAAAGTCTAAAGTCTGCGAGTATGAAATAAGGCACAGCATCATACCCGCATTAATTGCACCTACATTAGTATCAAGAGGCGAGAGTATCGATTCCAATATCTTTCGCAGCCCTTCTTTCATACGCATACATCCAATCTTACATTCCAATTACACATTTGGCAATAATGTCTCCCATTATTTGCTCCAAATGCGGCAGTGTCCCAAACCACAAAACATCTGCTTGTAAAAATCCTTATCCAGCCTACGATTATGAAGTTTGCGATGAATCTCAACCATCTGGTCATTAATTTTGGGGTTTTTCGCATGAAATTGGTGAACTAACTATGTAGAGTTCACGGGCGGGCATTCTTGCAAGAAGAAATGTCAGTCAGGTTCTGGGTGATAAGCTGAAGCTGTCCTTGGATATTGGGGAAGATTTCGCTGGATAGGTTTACTCCGTCTGCGAGTGGAGGCTGGATGGGTAAAACGTAGTAAGGTGGTGAAGGCTCTGCAATTGTATCATGTGGGATTGGAGGTTTAAGTGGCATTATTACTTTTGCTTTTGCTTGTGCCTCAGGAGTTGTGCCGCCGGGAACCCTTTCTACTTTGACTAAGGGTATTGCAGCTAGTTCCATCAACGACAAAGAAGCTCATGCGCTATGACTATCGATAGAAGCAGAAAGATATATATCAAAAGAGGTGCGGTGAAGAGCTACTAAAAATGACGAAAGCACCTTCAGAAAAAGCGTTCGTCCCTCAGGATCAGTAACCAAAGCCAACTTCTTCAAGCTCTATTTTAATACATCTATCCGGATTCATCGCTATAGCATTTCTCTTGGTTACATTGAGATTGTGTCGAAACGTGGCGTCGTGGCGATGCCAGACGATATATGTCACGTTATAACATGATTAAACACAACTAGTCTAACTAGCTCAAATGGCTAATATAATCTTTAGTTACTAGTTTCCATTATGGCTTATACTCTTTGTAACCATCAATCAATAGTAGTCGTTCAACTAAAGCAATATGTACCTACGGATCGAGATACCAAACGATGCATATGAAGTAAGAAATTGATCACGAAGCTTAAACCTGAAAAATTACGCGAGGTAGTCTTACATAGGAATCCCTTGCTCCAATACGCCAATTCTAATGACTCCTCCTACTAACGATCAAAAATTACCAAGACCACCTTATGTACAAATTTATAGATGAGCAGTAACATCAAAGCTGTATTTTCACCGCATATTTCCTCCACTCCTCATCTTCAAAATTATCCATGGCCGATTCAGCCAACGTTACAATAACTTCCCACCCCGTCTGCCGCACAGGCATAATCATAAACAGACCATCTCCAAGCCCGCCATGAAGTAACCTCATAAGTTCATAGTTGCCAATCGCCCTGTGCCACTTATCTGGCATAACAAAACTTTTATACGTCGTGGAAAAGAATCCCGTTGTCTGACAATGAATCGCTCCATAATATGTAAGAAATCCACCATCAGGTTTGTCATTCATCACCGCAATTGCATTGTCGACAAAGGCGGCATCAACAGATTTGACAGCTTGACGAATGGCTCCTGCAGTAAGTGAGAGACCATCAGGTTCGAGAAGACGCTCAACAGTCATGAAAGGGGTGGATGTGATAAGAACAGCGTTGCCGACGAAATCTGACGGTAATGGTGGATCGATTATACTTCGAAATTCTACAGGGAATGAGTATTGTACCAGATCTGTAGGTTTAATAATACCCGCCGCAAGGCGAGCTTTGACTTTTTGACGAAAGACAAGTGCGCAAGCTGCGTCTTGAGTACTTATCCATTGGCATTCAGCTGGTAAATTCGCGGAGCAATCTGATTTAAGGCGAGATAAAGATTCGTTCGTAAACTGGTACATTGTTGAAGAATTAAAACCGGCAGTTCTGAAAGCAGAACCAGAAGTTCCAGATGCTATAAGGTAAGCGGGCATCTTGGTGATATCTGGAACGGAGCTAGAAAGCGAAAGTCGAGAGCGATCAAGCGCAGCTGGACTTTTCTTCGTCGTTGGTTGTTTGGCACGGCTATTTCGAGCCAAGTCTTGAATAAATTGTGTGATGGAAGCACCATCCATTGCAAGGTGAAAGATCGAAACACATAGCAAGAGTCCCCCTTTGATAAAGTTCGCCTGAATTCTGCAGCAATCCCAATCATTTTCTAAATCAGCCATCTCAGGTACTGAAGTCAGGACATCTCCTTGCAGTAAAGTTGATGAGAAATTTGCATTCTTTAACTCTTTATAAGTCATTGGCAGCTCTTTAACGAGAAGTCGAGCCTGACCGGGGAAAAATTTCCAAGCACCCGAAGAACAGCTGACTCCATTGCCCAGAACTGGGTATTGCTCAACAGTAGCCTGCATTGCCTGGCGTAGGGCTCGAACAGCTTCTGCACGGTCATTTTCTGGGTCCAGAGTATCATCGGTAGAAAATATCAAGACTCTCTTTGAGTAGATGGGTGGCAATGTCGTGTCGACTCCCGAGGGCTGTTGTAAGACATCTGACCCTGGGAAGAGATACTCTTCAGAGTAATCCTCATACTGTTTTGCAATCATTGCGAACAGGTACTGATACTGATGAGGCGTGATAAAGCCACTGTGTAGCACTGTCGAGGGCTTTGGAAAGTTAGGCGAGTCGTAAGTGTTGGATACAGAAAAGGGACTACGCGGAGCGAGTAGTGGAACGTAAGATGATCTCCAGAAACATTATCATTAGCTTCAATGAGCTGTTTCTAATTCTTATAGATTGATTCACATCTCCTGTGTCCATAAATTAAGGTTCATGGGGTAACCGAACCACCGGAGAGGTTTGGAAGACTGCCTGGAGTTTGTTCGGAAGCCGAGTTGATCGGAGACCGACTAGAAATAACCTTCGATGTGAAATTGTTTTTATGTAGGAATTCTAGAATCTACTCGCCGTATACTAAGTGGGATCACATCAAAATTGACGATTTTTCACCTTTTGAACCTGTATTATTTTTATCAAAAATTAAAATAATTCAATATCTATAGATATGAAGATAATTAATTGAAAATTAAAAAAAATTAAATGAAATATTTTTGTTTCAAAGTTATATATATTCAAAGTTGAAATATTGAAAAAATTAAATGAAATATTTTTGTTTCAAAGTTATATATATTTAAAGTTGAAATATTGAAAAAATTAAAAAAAATTAATTAGTTTATATAAAAAAAATAGTAAAACAAATATTATACAAACGAAATTTTTAAATTTTTTAATTTAAATAAATATAACTTTAGAACAAAAGTAATTGAAAATAAATTGTAAACCTTTTTGAAATGATTTTCTAGTTAATTATCATATCTGAAAATTTCGTTTGATTTTATTCAATATTTAAATTTTTACAAGAAAATATCGTTTTTACAAGGATCTTGTTCCGACTTCGAATAATATACGGTAAGTAGATTCCAGAATTCTTACAGGAGCGCCTTGAAATAAAAAACTGTGGTTATATATGGCTCTTGTGGCTCTTATTTCGAGAGAGAAAAACTAGCATTGAAGGTCGGTTAAGAACTTTTACCACCATGTCTGCTATATTGATTCTTCATGGCCTATAGCTACCACGATTCAAGATGGAATTTTCACTTTCTGTGTAGCCTCCATATCCGTAAGCTAGTAGATTTCAATATGATGGCCTAGGCTAACCACTTCTCTGTCCCACTAGACAATCACTCTTTATATCTTAATTAGCGGAATTTACAATCTATACTTCCATCCGTATGTATATTTTTAGCACCCATGTCTTCATTTTTTCTCCGGTTGATGGAAAATTTGAGTCAATGAAGAAAGTTCAGCAATAGATGCTGAACTCAAGGCGCTATGAAGAATCACAACGTTCAGATATGTGAATCTCGAATGAGCACCTACCAACAGCGCAAACAAATAGTCTAGCTTCCTACCCAGGACCAAAACTATGGGCCTTCAGCAACTTCCCAAACAGTATCGGACGCATCCAAGGTCTTATTTGGATTCGACTAAAAGATGCACATGATAAGTACGGACCAATTGTCCGTTCGGCACCAAATGAACTCTCATTCATCACACCCGAAGTATGGTCTGATGTGTATGCGAAGAAACCCGGTCGTCCAGAGATGCCCAAGGGGAATTATGTTCCTCCTCCTGGTAGAGAAAGCCTTTTCGATCATCCCGTGCATGAGGAACATCAACGGATTCGAAAATCTCTAAGAAATGGATTTACTGAGAGAGCGCAGAGAGATCAGGAGCCACGAGTTAAGCGGCTCATTGATGGACTTATGAATCAATTGAAGGAAATCGCTAAAGCTGATGAAGTCACCGATATTGCTCAATGGAATTATTTGGTCGCCTATGATATCGTAGTGGACTTGGCATGTGGTGAAAACTTCAAAGGTGTCGAGAATGGGAAAAATCATAAATGGTGAAAAGATTACCTTAACATATCACCGCGAGATATCATGCTAATTTCTATCGAAAATAGGATCGGTATTGGTATAAATACATCAACAGCTTTCACCGTCTTCCATGAATCAAAACGCTTATGGCCCTTCAATGCTATTCTCGCCTATATCCCTTATTTAAAAAAAGCACTTTCGTTACGAATGCAACATATCCAGTACTTAAACGAGCTATTAGAGAAACGTCGAAAAGCTAAAGATACAGAACCAGATTTGTACGTATCATACACTTTCACTTGATGAATCAATGAATGAATGAATGAAGAACTAACGTACACAGCATGACACACGCCTTAAACTATCTCGATCAACCAGGCGGACTAAATCTCGGCGAGCTCCAACGAAGTCTAGAAATCGTCGTGACGGCAGCATCCGATACTGCAGCCACGCTCCCCATCGGCGCACTATACCATCTCTGCAAAAACCCTTCGGTATACGCAAAACTCAAACAGGAAATTAGAAGTAGCTTTTCCTCGGAAGAAGAGATAAATATCAGTACCGTCAACGAGAAGCCATATTTACTAGCTGTTCTCAAAGAAGCCCTAAGGATCATCCTCCTGTGCCCGGAAATCATCCTCGTCGTGTGGGTGCTGAGGGATGTGTAGTGGCGGGTAATTATGTACCGCCGAATACTTTGGTTTCTTTTCCACATTGGGCGGGATATCATTCGGAGAAGAATTGGAATAGACCAGGTATGTGCATTGAATTTCTTTTTGTGCTGCTCGTTTCTTTATTACGCCTATCTCAATATTTTCCCCGTGATATTTATATATGTATATATATCAGCTCTGGCGATAGCTCAAAAATACCAAAAGCTAACTTCCCTCCCCAACAGACGACTTTGTCCCCGAACGATGGATGGGAGATCCAGAATTCGACACAGACAACCGCGCATGTTTCCGACCTTTCAGTCACGGACCACGAGAATGTCTAGGTCAAAAGTAAGATTTTCCAGATAATTATTCCATTCCTTCACCTAAAAAAAGAAGAAATAGGAGAAAAAAAAAGCTAAAGATATATAAATAGTGTGGCGCACGCTGTAACGAGAGTTATCCTAGCACGATATATTTATAACTTTGATATGGAGTTGGCGGATCCGAATGAGAGTCTTACAGATGGTGCGAGGGTTAGATTGGTTTGGTCGCATAAACCTTTGATGATGAAGGTTCGTTTCGCTGGTGCATAGAGTGGTGTATTTCTTGTGGGGGGAAGTGGTGATTAGGTGATGTGTTTAAAGGGTTGGGAGAGTGTAATTAGTTTCTGGTGTGTGGTTTCTGAGCTGATGGTGGTATTGGTGGTATTGGTGGTGATGCAATGACGAAGATCATCACTGGAAAGGGAATAATCAGAGCATAAATTAAAAAATTAAAAATAATAAAACAATATAACAAACCATTTACAAGAAATATAAAATATTCCCGATCCAGCTCTTACTATTATCAGAAGACTTATATATTCAAGTTTAAAAATCGTTTCATTCTATACAGTATTTACCTCTATAAGACAGTATCTATAGTCATAATGTACATAGCCTTAGCTATAGTTAGATCAAATCGATTATGAGTTTACTACTACTACTACTACTACTACTACTACTACTAGTCATAATGTAAGAAAATTAGAATATAATATCCCATTACAAAACCAGAAGCAGCATTCTCTCGACCTATCACAACTATAATAAATTTCAAATTTATTTAATATCTTATAATACTTTTTTAAAAACTTATTTACATCATATAATAATGTATAACTCAATACAAAAATATTATTCTAATATTTTCTACTTTAAGATCTTAAAAACTGAGATAGAAAAGAAATATATGATAATCTTGAAAATAGAAATAAGTCGGTGACTAGGTCACTAGTATATAGAATGAGATGATGAGATGAAGATTTATAATCGAGTATAATCTCAAAGATGAGTAATTATGGGATATTGAGAACGAGGAGATAGGTTTAATGATTATGTTCATATATTATAATCGTAATTAAGCAGCATTGATAACTAATCTCCGCTCCGTGTAGGAATTTCTAATTTCTAGACATATCATCTAATCTAGAAAGTAATATCTATTCATACCTACATAGATAATATTTGACCATCAAGAAACTAACTATTGACAAGAACAATATTCCATCTATTCTCACAAGATATTCGTTGAAATATCTACCATCATCCATCTACATCATCTAGATCATCTAAATCAATTCGCCGGAATCGTCCCATTTACACAACTAATCCCCATATCCTCTACACCTTCCAAGCCGGTACAAATTTCTCCCGCCGGAGCTCCTTTCTAATACACGTCATTCATTAGCACACTATTATCTGTGTAGAAAAAAGGGTTGACTTACGGCGGTAGTTAAATCAATACCTTCAAAGTGGAAGTCTTCACAATGAGCATGATCATGACAAAGTAGATACATGCCATTATTTGGCGATTCACCTATTCCGGGGTTAATAATTAACAATGCACTTCACCAATACAACTCCGCACCCGAACCCCTATTTCAAAGGAAATAACAAAAGAGAAAAACTCACCAGTAGTAGCATACCAACACGGATCAGTAACACAAGTACCATCACCCACCACAGCAGCCACACTCCCATTAATTCCCTGCCAGGAAAAGCGACTCGCAAGGGCGGAAATACTTGTATTAGTTCCAGCCGGAATTCCCTTCTCCTGATCATAATAATCCGCGATAAAATGGATTGGGAAACTGACGTTCTTCACCTCGATGTTTTTCCACGTCACGTCACTTATATTACACGTCTTGCCTATTGCGCCCTTGAATCTAGCAGCCATTAAACTATCATAGATATACGCATTCTCAAACGTATAGTTACCGCCTGAATTTCCAGAGCAGGATACGGAAAGACCGTGAGTGCCAGAAGCGATGACGTTGCGAACGGTGACGTTTGCAGCGGGAGGTGAGACGTTGATTACATCGTCGCCGTTGTGGACTTCTAGGCCGTCGATTAGGACGTTGGAGGCGGAGAGATCAATTCCATCTAGGTTGCTTGTTTAATATTCCATGCTCTCATAATTCCTTTTTGGATCAATTCGAATGTGAGGAGGTACATACCAGTGTTGAAAGGAAACCCATCAGTACTCCTCGCATCAATCAACACATTCCTCATCTCCACATCACTCCCACCGATGCTGAACACCCAGGCCACAGGATTGAGAACCTTAATATTAGAAATCTTCAGGCCACTTTCCATAAAAAATCAGTCAGTCAAATCGCTCTCCTAACAAACAAAAAGAACAGCCCAAAAAAGGTGAAAACACACGTAACCGTAAACCCAAACCAATGCGGTCTACCCCCCTGCGACGAATCCCCCTGCATCGACCACCACCTCTCCCCATGGGCCAGAAACCAGCCCCCATCCTTGCTCTCCGACCCCTGAAACGTAATATTCGTCCCTTGAATCTTAATCCACCTCCCGGGGTACGTGTTCGTATTATTAACCACGAGTTGTACCGCCGTCACATTATCACTCAAACTAACATTACCCTCAAAGGAAAAAGTGACGCTGTCGAGATTGCGAAAACTGAGCGGCGTGAGAAGATTATATGTGACGTTTGGTTGGAAGAGGATGGTAGAATTGGCACCGCAGGATGTAACGGCTGTGGTGATGGCAGGGGAGTCGTCGATGAGGGGGGAGGAGTTGTAGGGCATGGGACATAATTTTGCGGAGGAGAGGGAGAGGGGGAGAAGCGAGAGGGAGAGGAAATCGTGGAACTTCATGTCTTTTTTGGCTTTTTTTGAAGAGGTATGTATGGTAAGTGAAACGACAGACTCTTCCTTGGCTGTCGTGACAAAATGCTGGAATTATCAGTGTTACGGATCGTAAATCGTAACACGAAATTATCACGACCACCGGTTGGACTTTGGGCTCAAGTACTTTAAGTACCTGGGAAACATGCGGTGCGGGGATCACCGGGGAAATGTAGGATCTTACAAAAGTTCACTAATCACCGCTCTTTTTGTTCATGTTCCTGTCGAAACCTTAACCCTACCCGGAGAATCCGGTTTTTCCACATTGAAAATGGATCCCACGTTGCGCATGACGTCCCATCCTCCCCATGCATAATTGGGCACATCAATCCACAAAAGTTTAGTAAAAAACAGCCAGAGGTGGATCGACGATTCAATTTATTCAAAACCAGCCTTCGCCGGCGAACATGGACATTGAGTCAATGTCATTGACTGTACCTTGACAAACCAATTTAGCTAATATTTAGAGTTCCCACGATAGATAAGAGTGAAACTTTGAAAAATATCATGTATTTGTACGTACATGCACTTCCTTGACGTTTTATTTTAACTTTTAATCTACAATGGCGGTGATATACTCATGCTGAAAGTTTCATGAAGACGGAGTATAGGACCTCGCCAAGAATCCGCCATCAACTTAAGCCCCTTTTCATGCCAAATTATATCTACCCCTATCCGTAGTAACTTGCTTCCGACGCCTACATATGCCTCCTCCCAATTCCCTCAAAGCTATTTATCAAAACTTCTCTTAATCATGGTAGGGCGACAGAAAATTATGCAGAAAGACCCCTCTTTTCGCTTTCCGAAAAGAATATGACCATCCTCCATAACTTCTTCACAAGAACTTCTGCTTCTTCATCCAATGCCTATTGAAAGTGTTAGTATAAATTTCACATATGAAAACATGAGGCAGCAAGATAACAAAATGACATACCCCTTCCAATTGCTCCACCAGTTCTTGAGGCTTCCCCCTCGTCCTAATATGTTCCTCTACCACCTCTACAAGTAACTGCTCCTGCACACCCAAATATTCCACAATTTTCTTTTCCACGAATGGCCTCAATTTCTCCACAATCACAGCATCATCCACGAAATCCCACTTAACATCCCATGCCCAAAGTCCTTCTTTCTCAGTAGGTATCTCTTGCGCAAGTTGTCGGACCGCTTGGTCACGTTCTTCATCGGAAAGGCCAGCTGCTGCTGCTGAAGGATCGAATTTAATGGGGATAAGTGTACGTTTTGATGCATTATCCGCTTCCTCTTCATCCTCAAGGAGACCTTCAACTTCGGCCACGGTACGGCGAGGTGGCGCTGCTTTTTGGGCTTTCTGAGCCGCAGCTCCAAGAGACAACTTGAAGGGTTGCTGAGCCAAGCGAGTAGATCTTGTTTCAAGTTCCTCAGCTTGACGATCAAGGAATGAATCTGCCAATCCCCTAGCTTGTTCCTTGTCTGATGACTCGCGACGTCTCTCGTGTTGCTCCATGATTCTATCTCGTTCATCTGCAGCAGCCTCACGTTGGACAAATGCCGCACGATTTCGAAGCCAAAGACTTCGGTCAACATAATATGGGTCCGTCTTCCGAGCAGTCTCAGCATCATCATCCCATTCCTTGAGCCTTGCAGCCATTTTTTGTTTCAAAACATCTGCATTAGCAGCATCCTCATCTTCACGTTCCTTTTCTCTTTGAACAGCTGCTGTGCGGGATCTTTCACGATTAAGCCAGCGTCGTTCTTGATCAAGATATTGTTTCTCGAGTTCTGCCTCTTTCTTGGCTTTTCGACGCCTTTCAAGCTCTTCGTCACTCGCATCACTATCCTCGTCTTCACGGTTATAATAAATATCCCCGCCGGATGCACCATTAATACCACTTCCATTAACAAATTTCACACCAGCTTGATAGTCTCGTGGAATCTGTTGGCCCTGTGATTTAGGACCCGAAGGTGCGTTAGGTACACCTCTGGGGCCGAGAGGAATATTATTCGTACCAGCAGAAGGTCCACTGGGAATTTGTGGTCCTGGCGAAGCTAGTCGTGAGGGTCGAGGTGCACCATTTCTTTGCCTTTCCAATGCCTCCATTTCCTCTTCGCGCTTGAGGCGTTCAAGGTCTCGTCTATTACTTCGATCCCTGAAAGCAGCGATTTCTTGTGCAACAGTCTCTCTCATCTCAGCTGGAATATCCGCAAGTTCATCGTCTACTGCCAAGGGAATATTAACAACTTCAACGTTATCACCCCCATTAGAATCCTGCATAGCAGTATCCTCTGAATTCTCTTCAGCCTTGACAAACATGGGTGGACGAAATAGTTCATAAAGTACTCCTTTCAAACCCATTTTCGCTGCATCAAGTCGTGTCTGGTCGCCTGTAGCATCCTCAGCTTTTGAAGCCTGATAATTCTCCAAATAATTCAAAGAATTATCATCCACAAAAACCAATAATTTGCTTTTCTCAACCTCCTCCTCTTCCTTCTTTGATCCATCATATGGTGGTTGTTTCTTGGTCGGAATCTCAATATCCTTCAAAATTTCCACCGCCGTAGCCAAACTTTCTGCGTCGTCATATTGTGCAAACCCAAAACTGCATTCCTTTCCAGCCCCATCGACGGCTCTATCCCATCTACGTAATCTACCAGCCGAGCTCAGAATCCGCTCAATCCCATCATCTCCACCAACACCTTCCGTAATACCTCCCACAAATATCGTTCTTACGATTTCTTCCTTCGTAGGCGGCACCAAAGACATGATATTTTCCCTCATCGTTGATAGTCTCTGCGCATTTAAGGTATAAGCGGTAGCTCTTTCTGACCCTCCAACAGACATAGGATCCATTCCCGAACCACTAGCTGAAATGGGAGTAAGGGATTTCGCAGGACCGGTACCTAATCGAATGACAGGCGCACTGAAATTGATATTCGGCATATTGGGCGGAGGTTGGAAATTAGATGGGATTCCGCTGGGTCGCGAAGTCTGTGGATTGTTGGCTTGCTGTAAACCAGGAGGAGGAGCAGTACCTGGTGCAGACATGCCTGGTGGAGGACCTATTCAGTTCAGGTAAGTTAAACGCATCAAGACTTCATGTAGTTTCCCTTACCCATTCCTGGAGGTGGTCCCATGCCCGGCGCGGAACCATTTTGACCTGGGAAACCACCAAATCCTGGCGGTCTACCATAAGGCGACGCTGTAGATAGTCAATCATTAGCAAAGAGTAAAAGACGAAGTAGCTCCAAGACAACGAGTTATCTTACCACCATAAGGATTGTACGACATAATTTGAAAAGTTTGGAGAGTATTGTATATTGATTTAAGGGTTGGGAAATTTATGATTGAAGAAGACAATAAAAGAGAAGAATTGAAGTTGGCGCAATGAAAGTCTCTCTGTAAGTACAATGATATTTCAAAGCTCGTCTCAAGATTCCAAAATTCGCAGTTGCTGTGCACGGACCATCTAAATTTCTTAGCGCGTCACTCAATAAAAGTTCAAAAGCTTCAATGTCGACGACATATCAATTGACCGACTCCTATTTTGACCAACGTAAGTCCAACTCTGGTCGCAGATCTCCAGTCATCAGTCTAACTGTCATATAGTATCATGGAGTTAAGAAGGATTGGAACGGCTGCGTTTCGGTCGAGTACAAGAGATTTGCCATTCCTCCAACTATTACAGCCCAACAAACAAACTGTAATCAGAACCCCCATAGCTCATCGCGCACTTTCTACAACCTCACGGACATATGCATCAGATCCCGAACCTACCATTCGAGCATCATTCACTCCAGACTTCTCCTCAAGCTCATCTTCACCCTCAAACGGAGAAACCCCCAATGCCCCCCCAGCATCCCCGCCTAGCCCAAAAGAAGATACTCTCGAATCCCTCACCCAATCTATCAGCGAAGCCCTTCCATGGATAACACCAAAGCCCCAAGCCGAACCCTCACATCTCAATCGCCCAATCGCTCAAGGGGAAAATCAGTCTACTTTTCCCCGAACCTCTCAATCCCCCCCACTAAAATCCTCCAACCTTCTTAACCGCATAAGCAACCCGCATATGGCCAATCCGTCCAGCAACTTCGCACGGTCCCCCTCGATGGACTCACCATTTGGGCGCATGCAAGTCCCCATTAAGAAAACTGGAGCGACATCAAGTCTCTATGATTTCATGAATGTAACCGCCTCAATGGTAGCTCCACCTCTAGTTCCCCGAAAAGAAATGCGATTGTCGCCTCGAACGGGTCGAACCATCGATATCAAATCCAACATCGATTTATCACGGGGAATTCGAATGTTGGAAGCTTCATGTGCACTGAATAAAGTGCGCCACGATCACACGCATCAGAGATTCCATGAGAGGGGTGGTATGAAAAGGAAGAGACTTCATCGACAACGATGGAGAAATAACTTTATGGAGGGATTCAAGGGAATTATAGGAAGAGTAAAACAATTAAAAAATCAAGGATGGTAGGAACTTGTAGGAACTTGTAGGTACGCTTGAGAAAGGATATGTGACATATACATAAACTTCAGTCTTAGAGGACATAAGGAGTCCCACATATCGCAGAGTCTAGGAAAAGCTACATAGTTTATTATGTACATTATTGTAGAGAATAACAGAGAAGTATAGAATTTCTCTACATACGAACCACAAATAACCATCATATATCCAGAATGCACAAATTGGTACACCTATCTACTTAGGTATTGAAAGCAATATTAAATCCACAATATATCAACCCCATACAATCAACCATACATATATATAGCCCTCTAAACGCACCTTCTCAAAAACTCTATACATACCACACATACCACATATACATATACCAATAGGTACTCATCTCATCTCATCCCATCCCATTAAACCAACCTAACAATAATATTAATTGTAACAGCACACATATACATATAAATTCTATCCACCTACCTAGTACTCTACTCCCCAGCCACACTTTCCCAAAAACTCGCGCCACAAACATCAGCCACCAATATGTCAAGTATGACATAAGGTTAACCTAACATACATCTAAATGCTTGATTATCCTATGTAACTTTATAGTTAAGTAGGTATTATTAGCTAGGTAGGTTAAAATATATATATCAACTAGGTTATTTGAGATGAGGATCCCATCTACTATATTATATCGTATTATACTGGACTATTGAAATTATATCACATCAAGCTTTCTCATCATCTAGAAATGCATTCCGTGTTCTTTTTCTCTTTTTATATCTTACTTATATAGCTATACCTATATATATGTAAGTATAGTGTTCTTGCTCTCCTATCAAGTAAGTCAGTCTATGCTTTATACGCCGTAACTTTTATTATTATACCTCCCCAAGTATATCTCTCTGTTTCTTTACTTTACCCCATCCATCTCATCACCTATATCTATCTACACTATCCACCATCTATCTCCACCATCCACCGTCTACCACCGTCTACCTCCGTCCCCGAAGCATACTCGAGTACGCTTAAATAAACAAGTATAATAATAAGTGGCAAACCCCCCCCAAAAACAAAATCCAGACAAGGAAAAGCCCATCCTTACAGCAATAACCTCCGTAACCTCTTTCTTTCTTTCATTCTCTTCCGACTCCCCCACAATCAACTAAATCCTCCGAACCCAAAAATAAACCCATCAACTTCCTATCTTATAACATCCCATCCTAATTCTTCCCATTCCTATTTCATCCCATCACAATCCCAAATCCAATCTAATCTAATTAATCTAATCGAATCTAATCTGTACTCCTTATTGACATCACCCTTTATACGATACTATATCACGTCACGTCACGTCACATCATATCACACATCACATCACATCTTACCAAATATAGAGTACCAACCCACCATTCCCAATCCCCAATCTTCAATTCCCAATTCAGTTCCCGAGCCACTCCAAATAAACCCCCTACGTATATTACCCTTCCCTCCCTAACACCCAAGACCCAAAAACCCTTTTCCTACTACCACTGCCATTACCATTACCATTACGCAAAATCCCCGAACCCGACTCCGAAATTAAAATCCCAATTCCCCATTCCCATAATACCCGAACCCCAAACCCCCAAATCGCAAATTCCAAATCATCGGAGAAACCCCCTTTATCCTGCGCCTAATAACCTAATCACCGAGTCACCCTCCACCTAATCACCTAAAAAATTCACGCAAACCCATCAAAACCTATCCGTCACGCCACCCACTCAATCTTCACCGACCATCGGAGACCTGTCCGCCTCCGACTCCATATCTCATTTGAACAAAATCACTCAACATCCACCATCCGACATCCAACATCCAACATCCAACATCCAATATTCAAATTCCAGCCTCAATCTTAACCATCCATCCCATTTTCACAAAAAGGAAAAGCGAGAATTCCTTAAATTAAAAAAAATAAAGAAAGAATTCCAAGCTAGAATACAACCAAACCATTGCTTGAATTTGCTATGATTACCGTCCCGCCCAGCAATTACCACGCTTTCAAGCGCATCCATTTTAACTTTATTGTCAACTCATAATTACCACATTCCGCATCCTTCTTTCGTCTATAAAAAATGCTAATCTTACAAAACGCTACTGGCTGCTAATACTCCAATCTTAATCAAAACCTATCTAAGCTATAACCGAATTCAGCATCACTTAATATGTACCTCTATCGTATCTAAAAAACTTAATAGATTTCATAATGCTTCGGTATGTGTAGCTTAGAAAGCCATACGCAACGCTGTACTTGTGAGGTTGCTATCAAACCAAGGAGCTGGCGAGCAAGCTAAGCAGCTATTTTGAAGTTGAAATATGGGCATAGACTGTAGGAAGAGGATATCAGGGTCTGGACTCGTCGGTAAAGACGATAGGGGCGATTTGTACAGTTATTCTTTCAAAGCTCGGAGCCAACTGCCAAAACCGTCAAGCAGAGTACTCCCAGTCAGATTCTAGAAAAATTCCAGAAACTTGAACTTTGATCAAAATCCACGTGATCATTTCGCACTCTCCTTTGTTCGAGGAGGCGTTGATATGGAGGGAAGAGTAGCCTCATATGTTGACCACTCCATGGGAACTATTCAGCTAAATAGTAATTCAGAGTTCAGTCAGGTCAATGTACCTTCCTCTGCGTTTGTTTGCCATGTTGCCAGACAAGTTAAAGATGCAGGAACTGTCTATGAACCCAACCGTTAGAAATCATCGGCGGAGGCGGACTCGACTCCGAATCTCGTCGTCTTGCCTGCGAAAACCGCAATGAAATATCATTTTTGATACACTTAGGATTTTCCATAAATTCTTCACTTACTGAAACTACTTGCCATTTAACGACCATTTGTGTGACATGTTCATGCTGTGCTAGAATGTCCAACGAACTGACCACTTGAGTTGAGAATTATCTTAGCAGGAAGTTTCCCGGAATATTTGACCTTTTCTCGAAGTCGCCTTGACTTTCAAAGTTCCACAAAGTCCTGGTGGCAAAGGTAACCAGCTTATCTACCTTCAATATACTTCTATACAGACTTAAATAACTCAGCCGCGCGAAATCTGACATCCAGTCCAATATCAATAGCCCTCATAGTGAGCTAAGGGACGGTCTGCAGCTCCCAATCTTTTGTCTCTCGACCCTGGTATTTTAGCGTTTTTTTATGGTGAAACGGCTCCCCTGGCCTTTCTTATTCCCACGCTACATGGAAATCTTTACTACACACAACGTATCGAGATATTAGTACTAATTCTCAATCCTTGAGATCTCTTGAGAATCATTATTGACAAGCATAGTTGTGAAAACTCCCACAGATCGGAGTCAAACCGTTTGTCTTCTCTTCTAGGCGAAACATGCCTGAAAACCAATATCCCAAAATTCTTCGTCCATGATTCGACACATCAGTAACGACGAGAACCTTACACTACCTTTGGAATGACGCTTAAAAGAAACTTGGTTTCCTGCACAAGTCTTTCGATTCCAGAAGCAGCAGATTCACGCAGCACCTTCCAAACTTCGCTCTTCCCAATCTCTCCACATCCATTCCTATAGATGTGATAGACGAGGAATTGCTCCTTTCATGTTTCGACCCTACACGACTCTTCTCTGCAGGCTTTTCACATCGGCACTTCTCGAGAATCACGAAGTGCACTTGGTTCGCTGGTAAACATCGCCTAGAAATAGCTCTGTAGGTGGGTGTCGACCGATTCGGGGCCTTTTTATAACCTTAGATTGCTTCTTGATCCATCGAATTCTTCGTTCTTGACCCGAACCCTATATTCTTCCATCGCCTTCCTAAGTACTCGTTTATCGATACTTTTGTCACCTCGCACATTCCTTAAGCCTTGTGTTGAGACAAGAATCATTGTTACGCCTTGAATCGGCATTTATTCCCACAATGTCGGCGCCTAGTCTTCGTACTCTTCTTCCCAATAACACAGATACTACTATTAAGGATGGTTCTAGTAATTCGAACAATAGAAATCTTACACCAGACACATCCGGAACATCAGCCACTTCAGGCTCTAATCAACCTGTATCCTCCGCAGCCATCGATAAGAAGACGGAAAATATTGCACATATGGCGAAGAAGAGGAAGGTGCCAGCTTCAATAACTGCAAACGCTTGCGGCAATTGTAAGAAGGCTAGATCAAAGGTAAGCGATTTGAATATTATCCGCTAGTCTGACGGACTTGACCTATGATCTTAAAACCGCAGTATGATTGTCTGGTAGCTAATTTCTACACAGTGTGATGGTAAACAACCTTGCGGTCATTGTGTTAGGAAGAATCCGCACAACGAACCATGCATCTACGAACCCCATGTCAAGAATGCGAAGATGACGTTGGTCAAAGACCTGAAAGAGAGCCGTGCTATCAAACATATGGCAGAGAAGATCTTTAAATGTCTAGCGAATGACACTGAGAACGAGCAAGAAATTCTCGAGCGCATTAAGCATGGAGATTCGATTACTAGCATAGCCCATTGGCTGGAATCTATGGATAGCAATGGCGAGTCGCAGCCGTCTACGTTCGGAGGGTCCGATAATGAGGTCGACGGTGATATATCTAAGGGATTTTCCTGGACAACAGTGACGGATGAGGGTGAAGTAACCGAGCATCTGATCGCACTCTATTTCACCTGGGTCCACCCGTTCCACCCTTTATTCAACGAAGGACATTTTGTGAAAAGTATGCGGACTGGATCGGAGGCATTTTGCTCGCACAGTCTTTTTAATGCCATCTGTGCCATGGGATGCTATCTACATACCTACGAGGAGGACGATATTATTGACTATAAGCAGGTGGGCGGTCACTTCTGCGATTTGGTCAGGAGTAGCATCAATCCAGAAGATAAAAGTCTAACGACTATCCAAGCATTTGCAGTAATGTTCTTGGTACGGTGTGCACAAGGACAAGGCTTGAGTGGTTCCGTGTACTTGACCGTCGCAACCAGGTCTATGGAGAGCCTCAGACCGAGTGACAATGACGACGTTGATTATCGACAAATCTGGAGAGAAACAGTCAGAGGCATAAATAGCTTGAATGTGTAAGTGTCCCGCTTGTTCTAGCAATCCAAGTCTATTGTGAGCATGCTAACATCTTCAGCGAATGGGCTCAAATGACTTTCAAGATGGCACCAGCCTTTATTCCGGAGCTGCAGCCAACTCGATATGCCGAGGAAATAAGAAAATGGGAGGGTGAAGTTGACCAGCTCAGCTGGAAACAATATCGATTTCCCGAGGATTTCAGAGGTGAACCGACATTCCCCTGTCTCACGGCAACAACCAGCCGTGAAAAGTCGAAGCTCATTGAAATCATTCGCGATGCGACGATACTCTTATACAACACGACTGGTCCTCAGATATATGCTGAAGACTTGTTGGCTATTTATCGAAGGCTATTGAATTGGCGTGAGAATCTACCAGAAAAGATTGCTAGGACAGGCAAAAAGGACTCTCAAGCGCTGCCACATGTGCTTTCACTGCAGTAAGACTCATTTCCCTTTCTTTATCCACCTTTCTGTGACAGCGCATTGACTAACTGCGCAGTATATTGTATGCCACAGCGACAGTTCATCTTCTAAGCCCACTACTGGCAATGGGAGAATCTCCTGTTGGCCCACTAGTTTGGCAGCATGCCCAAGAAGGGCTTAACCTTGTTGAGGATGAATATCGCTTTCAGTATTCATGTCGCTATCAGCCCGTTTCTCAGCTGTTCGCCATCCTTCATCTGTCAGAGGTTCTCATTCGAGCCTTTCCTGAAATTGATAAAGAATTTGGAAGAGATGGTGTAGCATCCATAAGATTGGCCACCGAAATTTTGGCAGAATCCCATAGTAGTTTCCCGGTTGCTGGAGTCTTTATGACAATGCTTCAAGAAACTGCCAGGAGATTTTTAACCCGATTTCCAAACGCACTGGAAGACGTCTTTCGTTTCCGACGTCGCAATTCGAAGTATCATTTGGATGATGCCATGAACGCGTGTGGGGGGCCAACTTATGTCCAGCCGATTGAAGTAATTCAAAGAAGGTTTTCTCCCGATATGCAATCTCAATGGATCTTACATGCCGCTTCTGAACATCTCAGATTACCTCACGAGGCATCAACGTCACGACAGCTTTCACTGGAGGAAACGGGTGCCCAAAACCTGATGCGAATTCTCAATTTACACAACACAAAGTAACACATTCCGATGGACATGAAAATCTTAACATTTTCACCCCAAGTATAAGAAGCAGCTGCTTTTCGATTCTTCTTTCTTTTCTTGTTTTTTTCCCGCGCGAAAGTTCCTAAAGAGGGACTCGTGTTCGGGAATCGTAATTCGAAATGAAGCTTGGAAACTTCTTCCGGTTGGGAAAGAGAAATACCTGAGGGAAGGATGGTCCTTTTCAGGACATCTCCAGAGAGAGATTTTCGATTGATGTTAACGCCCTTTTCGTTTCGCACGGCGAATGTGATCATCGTCCCAAATATACGAGAGTCAAATGACGATGCTATCCTTCTCAATGATGCAGGGGGGAAAAAGGTCCGTCCTGCAGTCTTTGCACAAATTTCCATCTACTCATACGACCATCGTCAATCGCAATATTGTACTGCGCATGATAACGAACGACCATCGGCTATATAAGCTTTGGCTTGCTGTGTCCCTCTTGCAGTCATAGTTGAATGTAAATTGTCGAAATGATCGTGGCGCATTTGTTGATTCGGAATGCAACATTGGAGAAATGTAGAAAAGTTGGTGGATTTTTGAGAAATTGCGAGACACTGGGAGTTGAGGTGCCCTCCGAAGTAGTCTACCGTTGCTCTTGAGGTGACGTGAGGATGATTATTCGCCTTCTCTACATATGACTATATAACCATATTATAGTCCCGTAGAATGGTCTAAAAGGTCCAATTTGACAGATTTTGGGGCATCTTGTTGCCTTTCCAAATCGATGAGGGGGGATATTATGGGTTGATTGTGGCGAACAATAAGGTACATTGCTTTGGCGGAAATAAAATGAATTTGACAATGAACCTGGTATTGCGAGTCAATATCATTTGGATGACGCAGGTGCTAAATCTTCAGGCATAGTACGCCTCCTCGAGAAGTTGATTTGAATGTTTGAATGCAAGATAGTGGGAGGTAAATGTATGGTGAAGGTATATGCCATGATGTTGCCGTAGGCCTATGAAGGTGTGTCGCCCCTTCTGTTTGACCGGCACGTGTCCCGTGGGTGGTAAGCTTCTAAACTTACGATAGAAAAAAGGGTTGATGGTATAAATTGCGATATCTGTATCGATTCTTTCATTGACTGGGATTTTCAGTGTTTCCTCCCGGCGTTGCACCAAAAGAATACACCGACATAAATGTATCTCCGTACCGGTACCGAATGAAGTGACATTGAGGAGGGGAAAGAGGACCAAATAACTTGAGTCCAATGTTCCGTACGTCTTTACCTTGTAATTGTCTTCCCACTTGTTGTTTGATTAACTCCTTGGATTATTTGAGTGGACCACAGCAGACAAGCAGACACAACTCTTCGAGGATAACAAACTTTGTCGTTGATACCCATCAATACCACCTTAGACAAAAGGGTAAGTGAGTATTTCTTCATGATATGAGTTGATTCTGGAGCATAAAGACGATCAAAATGCACTAAAGATTCCCATCAGATCCCAAATCATGCAATGTTCTTCTCAACCCATGATACCCTCGGGTGTACAGCATCGTTGATATATCGCATCGGAGTATTAGATTGGCGTCCCTCGAGCTGTTCATGACGAAAGGTTAACGGAGAAATGAATTGAATGTAGTGGAGGTACGAAGAAAAGGAACAAACGAAAAAGCTTGGTCGTCAATTGATACTAACATGTGTTGGTAATCCTTACTAGGTCCTGCATCGACAACAACTTTTGAACAAAGCAAGCCAGGAACAAAACCTAACCTGTTCTGGAACATTTTCGCGTCTAATTAGCTTCGAACGAAAACCTTTCATCATCATTGGGTTGGATTTGTCAAACTGATATATATCGCAACAATTAGCCCCTTTCCTTCGTATGTGTGGATTGACTTGGAATGCTAACCATCTACTCAAATGTGGAATGGACGGATTGAATAAGGTTACTGTTACCTCGATACCCAATGTCCGAGGCGATGTGTGTGGCATTAGTATTGATAATGCAAACAATCCTGCCTTGTACGTCCCATACGTGAACCCAATTGCTTCGGCATTAGCATTGACGGCTGCGGTCAAGGTAAATCAATACAAGCACTTTTATTGCGCTCCAAGATGTGCGATTGGCGGATACCAATTAATCTGTCGATGGGTAAAGCTGCTCCGTTCCAAGGTTGTCAGAGAGAAATGCGCCGAACCGTTTCTCTATTCTCTCGTTAATCGTCGACTTACTTGCATTGTGGGATGCACGACTCACGAAATCAGACATACATGGTGAGGTAGTTTTATCAGAGTTCATTGAGTCATTGTATCCATACCTCTTTGCCCGCAACTCATCTTATCGATTACCTGCACTGAGAAAATTGCGAAGTGTGCGACTGGTGGATTTCAAGTATATGATGAGGTTGTCTATCCAATCAATGGTATCTGAGATCTTCAAACCATCGTGTCGGTCTCCCAGCAATCCCATTGATCACCGTATGCGCAAACACGGCTTCAAGAAATCATTTTGCTCCGAGGATAGGAACGAGAGTAGATGGTCAGGTAAAGTAAAGTTAAAGGGACGGCTCTGAGATTCGAGTGTAAGTGCGGTTTTCTTGAATTTCCTCTCATGGTTGAGAAAGGAAGGCACGATAGTATCACGGCCCGATATACAGAGTATCAGTGATAATCGTATAATTCTTGAGCAAATATTGAATTCGCAAAGTTTTAGTCAATTGATCTATAAATCTTGGTGATGGATGACAGATGATATGTTGTCACCTGGTGTGTCTAATGGTGTAGTCCTTCATTACATACAACGACGTGAGGATGTATTTCATTCTATACACCAATGCACGAGGTATACATCGTATCAAAGGAAGACCAGATTCTCATCTTTTTTCCAAACGGTTCTGATCTTCACCACGCCATCTGTATTCCCATTATCTGTATTACTGGTCTGAAATAGATTGTCCTGTTCATTCTCCGGTGGAAATTATCACGTGACACATTTTCTCCAAGTAGCACACCAGCAGATGCAGCCTCTTACTACAATTTTCTGGAATGGAGATTTTGGTTGAGGCTTACTTTTTACATACGAACGTCTTTGCTTTACTGTTAATGTATCATGTGTCCTGTACCATATAATCTACCCGAAAGCTCCAATATACCCCAAGTTAAAGGTGGAATAAGCTCTTAGTTAGTTCCATTCCCTACTTCTCCTTTCTAATGTACAAAACACGGCAAGGGAAAGATATCAAATAGCCAACCTGTTGTCCCCATCTCCATCAAAAACCATTATGTAAATAGTTACAACAAGAGAGAATACAGACCCACATTGATAAACAACTTTTTATCCACCTAATATCTTTCCATATATCTCTCTACTCCATCCAGTAACAAATTCCAGCTTTCGGAATTCTCTCCCTCCTAGATCACAACAATACCTTCCATATCTTCAGCAATTGGTCAAGAACTCAGCTTCGTAGTTTCTTCCTAGAAATCCGGTGATACAGATATCGAGAACGTCCCTAAGGAATTCAAGTCCATCCCAAACGAAGTATGAAACATCATTTTTAGTGATTGCCATGCATAGAGCTTAACAGACAATACAATCATGTTGCATCAAGAAATCTTTCCCCTGAGATCCACATACCGAGGTCAGCTAGACGTCTCGCGAATATCATCTTGTTCTTGGGCAGTACCCTCAAAAGACATGGCTAGCTATTGATGTCTAATACGATAATGCCTTCAATATTATTCTCATCGAAAAGTTAGACGAGGATACTTTAAAACACATTTTAAATCTCACATTCGTTTCATAAGATTCTTCACCTCGAGCTCCTAAAGTTTTCAGAAATAGAAACTTCGCTTTAGGATCTTGACTCTGCCCCTACTAGGATGGCTCGATGAATATATCTCTAGTTGTAAATAGAAATATCTCATTCAAATCATGAGATTGCTACCAAATATCCGAGAAATCATAATTATCATACACTGCTGAAGTTATGGGAGGCTTATGATTTTCCTAACTGAAAATGTATAGAAGACTACAGCTATGAAATCCTAACTTCTCAATAATGAGCTACAAGGAATCGCACAGTTGTTGATTCGAAGTCGATGGTATCTATAGTGTATACGGTCACGGCAACCGGATGACCCAGATCCAAGTCATTCAATAGTCATGCTTGAGTCGTCTTATGTCTCGCCAACAATCACAAGATTAAAGAAATGGTTCTTATGAGAGCAAGCGACAAGATTACTGGACTCAATGCCTTTCGAGACGCAAAATCCCAACTTCAATTTTATTGAAAACCGTGTTGCTGATTGCTCTCAAATATTCAACATTTCGGTACCGGTCAACAAATCATTTAATTTTATTTCACATTCTAATAATTCTAAACAAATCTCTAACCTAACCACCGAGTTTAGAATATAATAAATCTAATACCCTCTTTTTTGACCATCTTTAATTTCAACCACTTTTCCTATCAAAAATAATAAAAATCAACCTTTATAACTTTTTTATTTATAAATAAATTTAACAAAATTTGAATTATAGATTTAATATATAGTTATTAATAGATCTTGAAAGTTTCAGATTTTTTATAATTTCTTTAATTGAGATATTGAAAGTTGAAATTACGATTTTCAATTTTATATAAGATTTATATACAAATTTAAAAACTTGAAAATCTTGAATAACTTTTTCCAAAAAATTACTAAAAATAACTTATAAATTTTTTTTAAAATATTTATTTTAAAATAGATTATTACAACAAATAATAATTAATGATTTAATAAAGTTTTATAATTTCTTATATAAATATTTATTAATAAAATTTAAAATTTTACTAAATTATAAATTACAAAATATTTTTTATTATAATAATAAGATATATTCAAATTACTAAAAAAATATACATATATTTTATTTTTAATAATTCTTTTTTAATTTATTATTTAAATATAATTAATTCTTTATTATATAATTCTTATATTTATATATAAATAAAATATTAAATTTCAATCATTAATATCTCAATTAATGAAATTGTTAAAAATTTAAAATTTTTAGAATTTATTATTATACAAATAATAGATCTATATTTAAAATTTCAAGTAATTATATTTATAAATAAGAAAATTATAAATATCAATTTTTGTTATTTTTGATAAGGAAAGTGATCGGAATATGAGTAAGGGATTTATAGTTTCGTTTAATGTGGAATAAGTAGATTTTATAATACTAATACAGGAGAATCCGATATAAGAAAAAAACATATCACTCATAAACTCCTCTCTTCTTCAGCGAAGTAATTTTCTATCTATTCATCCATCATCCCAAATATCATCGTCATCATCAACATAATCCACAATCCCTGAAAAAACACATCTAACCACCCATCATGAAATCCATCCTATAACCACCAACCAACCACCAACCCCCAATTCCCATCTAATCCCTCTTCCCATCCCTTCCCACTGTACCACCCCCAACAAATCCCCATCCATTCCCCACAGTCCCTCCATTCACATAAGCATTCCCATTCCCATTCCCCTTAATCCCATAACCCAACGGCGTAGCCCCACCCAGACTCTTTCCCACCCCACCACTCAAACCCCCCGCTCTCGCTAATCTCCCACTCCACCCCTTCATCCTGCGTGGAACTTCCCACCCTACCATATAAGCCCCCATTACCGTTGCTCCAGCTCCAAAAGCTAAAATTATATACCCGATCGTAACCCAACCTACATGACCACCTAATCCATTCCATTCTACTTTTCCATTTTCCCTGGGTAACAATGGAGTAGGGAACCATCTCACACTTAACCTTAATGGTAACTCATCACCAATAATCAATTTCTTCGTCAAAGCTGCTGGTCCAGTAATATGACTTAAAGGACTAGTACTATAAGCGACTCCACTATCAATAACTCCTGAATCGTGTTTTTGTAAATGGTGTTTCGGTACACTGTGAAGGAGGACGTTTAAATGGGTTGAGATATGTAGATGAGATAGTTGGAGGGTCCCCGAAAGGGCGAAAGTTAATGGAATATATTCTTGTTTGTAATTTGGGTAGCTGTTTATGTGATGAACTGTTGGAGCTGGACGGGATGGAAGACGACAGGATAGAGGGGCATCGGAGTGGATGTAAAACTCTAAGAGGTGAAAAAATGGATCTGTTATTAATGGAATTGTACAGTTGAGTTCTGTGTTTGGTGAAAAGAGTTAGTAGATTGTCCTCTTTTGATACATCGACAATAGACAATAGAAGGAAAAACAAACCTTCTTCAACTCCATATTTCAATTCCAATGGTTTTCCTGTTTCATTACATTTCGGAAATGGTATGTATTTTAAAGAATTATCATCGAGTTGAACATGTTCTCCTGTATTACTGATAAAAAGTTAGCTTTTATTCATAAATTTTCATTTGCGCTTTATCCGTCTTGTCCCCTTTTTCCGAATTTCCGCAATGAATCCTTTTCCAGCTCTCTCTATCCAATTTCGTCCATTTATTGAAAACTTCACGATCATGGTAACTCTTTTCCCAAGTATCTCCCATTATCATCCATAGTCTCCGACACACACAATTCGTATTCGCAACGTCGTCCAGCCTAATCTTCCCCATTCCCCTCATAGCTTCTCTTTCCAATTCCCAATTTCTTTAATCTTTTTAATGGGGGCGAGCCCCCAAACCCCCAAGCTCGCTGCGCTCGACTGTTTTTTCAATTGTCTTCCCTTATCCACTCTCTGCCTTTCCAATATCCTTCTGGCGTTCAGGTATTATTGTCCCTCTTCTCCTTCCATGAACCCAGACCCCCTCAACCAATATTATAGTATTCTGCGATTTGCGCGCGCGAATGTTTATGTATGTATGCGCGTGTGTGTGCCGAAGACCATCGAACTGCCATCCTCCCTCCCCTCTTTTCGTCTTCCCCTAATACCCCCTTCTTTTCCTCCCCTTTTTTCCCTCCCCCACAAATCCTCATCCTATCCCTCCCCATCCCCAAAAAAGTAAAGGAAAGAAAGGAAAACTTACACATCCCTCTCCATACATTCGACCATAATCCCCGCCCCAAAATGATAACTCGGCAACGGTAACCTCTCCTCATCTAAATCTCCACTCCCACTCCCCACCAATTCTTCATTCCCATTCCCATGTCCAAATGTAGGTTGTATCAAAGTCAAAAATCCCAATCCCAATCCTAATCCCAGTCGTAGGGTAAGGAGGGAAGAGTGTGTGCGCATGATGATTATTTTCCGCTTGTTCTCAAATTATCGAGTTCTCAAGTGCGAAAGGGTGTCGAAGTTAGAGTAGGGTAAGTAGGTAGGTAGATAGGTAAATAAGTAGAATAAGTATTTCGCGCCGCGTGGTAGGTAGGTGGGGGGTAATCTTCGATTGGGAATCGTGTATTGCCTATTTATTCCCTATACTCGTTCTCGTTATCCTTCTCGTTCTCAATCCTGTTCACGTCCTTCTCCTTGTCCTCCCAACTTAATATCCGCGCCTCGAACTCGAACTCGAACTCGAACTCAATATCCACAAATTGAATTAATGCGCTCAAGGTCGTCCCTCAATCTCCTCAATCTCTCAAACCCTTAATTGTCAATTGCCTCTCCAAATTCCCAAATTCCCAAACCCTCAACTAAACCAAACTCAACTCAACTCAACTCAACTCTTCGTTCGTAGATCCACCTCTTTCGCTCTAATTCCAATACTCAATTCCCAATCCTCTCAATCCTCTCAATCCTCACAAAAGCCCTCACAAATCAAATCAAATCAAATCAAATCAAATCAAATCAAGTAAATCCCTTCTTACCCTCTCATCTCATATCATCCTATCAATCAAATCAAACAATCTCAATCAAATAAAACCACAACAAGCTTAGAATCAAAAGATCAAACATAAATAACCTTAATCCCATAGTTATTCCGTCCGTATTTCAAACAAAAAATAACACGGCAACCCCCTGCACATAACTCCACGCTAGCGATCGGTCCGACGGCCGCTTCCATCTCCCCAACTCCGTAAATTCGTTCTGCACCTTAGATCTGTTGACGAGAGGTCACTTGAAAGTTCAAGGGAAATACATAGATAGATACTTTTCAAGAGTTATCTATATATTCCAATTCATATTCCATGTTTATATTTATATTCATCATATTCATTCAATCCATAACCACATCACATCATATGATATCAAATCCCTAACTACCTAATCAACGATTGAACCATCAACTTATAACCAGCCAACCATCCACTCACAACATATCCAGATGCAAAATCATCTCCTCAAACTCATTTTTAAATCTTCCCTTTCATATCACTCATAACATATCGAAGAAAAAAAACCTAAGCTTTTTCTTTTCCATTTTCTCCATCACACAATTACCACTTCACATATCTCCATCCCTCATCCTCCCAATCTCATCCACATCCCTCATTTAAATATTAGCCTTCTTCTTAAAAGCCTTAATCAATCCACCAGTACTAGCATCATGCTCCCCAACATCTCCACTAACATCCAACTCGGCTTGAATTTTCTTAGCTAAACTCTTACCCAACTCAACACCCCATTGATCAAAACTGTTAATATTCCAAACAGCTCCTTCAGTAAATGTAAGATGTTCGTAGTAAACGATCAAAGCACCAAGAGTACCTGGAGTAATCTTTTGTGCAAGAATTGATGTAGTTGGTCTGTTGCCTAAGAATGTCTTGTGCTTGTACAACTCAGGTGGTGTGTTTTCAGCCTTTAATTCATCCTCTCCTTTTCCAATCATAAGAGCCTCAGCTTGAGCGAAGAAGTTTGAAGCCAACATCTTTTGATGTTTATTGTTATCAATTGGGTTGTGCGATTCGGCAGCCATGATGAAATCAGTTGGGATCAACTTAGTACCTTGGTGAACAAGTTGGAAGAAAGAGTGTTGAGCATTTGTAGCTGGTTCACCAAACAGAATTGGACCAGTTGTATAACGAACGATCTTACCGTCACGGGAGACAGCTTTACCGTTAGATTCCATAGAAAGTTGTTGAAGGTAAGCTGGGAAACGGTGGAGGTATTGATCGAATCTATTTATTCATTAGTTGTGTTCGTTCTTAGGGCATAAACAAAACTTACGGAGCAACCAAATGAGTTTGAGCACCAAAGAAATCAGAATACCAAACACTCAAAAGACCACCGATAACTGGAATATTCTCCTCAAGTGGAGTATTCTTGAAATGGATATCCATAGCATGAGCTCCGGATAACAATTCATGGAAATTCTTGAATCCAATGTGAATAGCAACACTCAAACCAATTGCACTCCAAACACTGTATCTACCTCCAACCCAACTTTCGAAGCCGAACATGTTCTTAGCATCAATACCAAACTTGGTAACTTCAGCTTCATTGGTAGAAAGAGCAACAAAGTGTTTAGCGATATCACCCTTTCCATCAGTCTTCTTCAAGAACCATTCTTTTGCAGAGTTGGCATTGGTAACAGTCTCTGCAGTGGTGAAAGTCTTAGAAGCAACCAAGAAGAGAGTAGTCTCTGGATCAGAAGCTCTCAAAGCTTCAGCCATATGTGTACCATCGATATTAGAAACGAAGTGAAGGGTTTGTTCTCTAGCACCATAGTACTTAAGAGCTTCAGTAACCATAACTGGACCACTATAACCAATTAGCTATGATCCTCGTTGCTGAATCTCAAAACTTACAGATCAGAACCACCAATACCAATGTTGACAATGTTAGTCAATGGCTTTCCAGTGTAACCCTTCCACTCTCCACTTCTAATCTGTTCTGAAAATTCCTCCATATGTTTCAACTCCTTATTAACACCTGGCATAACATCTTGTCCATCGACGTTGATCGGATCACTTGAAACATTTCTCAAGGCAACATGAAGAACAGCACGATCTTCGGTAAAGTTGATCTTTTCACCTGCAAACATCTCATCGCGCAATTTTTCCAATCCAGCTTCTTTCGCAACTGCCACCAGTGCCTTGAGTGTCTCTTCATTAATCAAATTCTTGGAGAAATCGAAAAGGATCTCCGAGTTATCGGCAGTGTTCTTGAAAGTTTTGGATAACTTTTCGAATCTTTGAGGATCCTTTTTGAATTCTTCCTTGAGGACAAAGTTTCGTCCAACGGTATCATGATGAGATTGGAGAGCACTCCATGATTTGAGTTCGGTAGCTTGAGGCATTTTGTAGGGGTTTGTTGAAGTGGTAGGGTATGAGATTAAGAGGAAACTGTTTGATGATAAAGTTAGAACCAAGATAATATATCAAGGGGTAGGACAATGAATAATCGTAATGTGAGTAGCGATCCGTCAACCACCGTTCTCAATAGTCCTTGAAGTGAATTTCCGCGCGGACAGGTAGGTATATCACAAAATCTCAGATCTCAAGAGAAAAGAGTAAACATACCTTTATATTCCTCCTCCACAAGCACAAGATCGACTTTGAGTTCTCCGAAAGTTAAACTTAATATTCCTAGTATCTCGGAAAGTGTGGAAGAATCTGCGAATAAAGTATATTGTCAGTTGGCAAGAAGAATAAGCAGGAATGAAATATTTATTGACAAAATAAATATTGATGGGAACTCTCTCTGGAAACTTCGGTGTGTAGGTGGGGTAGGTAGACTCAAAGCTGTGACAACATTTCATCCAGGTAAGGTCCCTCCCTCCCTCCTCTTAATATATTCCTTGAATCCTTGGGAGATGCAGTCAACCCTTTTATATATGTAACAAAAAGTAACATACCTCACTCAGCAATATTTCAATAAAGATCAAACTCGAATGTGCACTTATGTGTTAAATTGTAGCTTTTGATGAATATAAGTATGAGTGTGAGTGAGTATCCTGAAAGAAGAAAACAATGAGGGGTAAAACACTTGTTAATTCATTCGCAGCCAACATGAACAAATAAAGCAATGCATCTATCCATCGCTTATGACGTCCGTTTTATCCACTCAGTCCAACCACACTAGTAGTAATACAAAAGAGCTGAGTACATAACCTCACACATACCTAGGTAGGTACACCAACCTCTATCCAACTACCCAGCACCTCTCCAACTCATCCATAACCCATAACCCATAACCCAGAAACTATTTCAACCGGACCTACAAGTACCTACCTACCTACCTACCTACCTACCTACCTACCTACCTACCTACCCACCTAACTCATAACCCCCCAAAAAAGAAATCAATATCTCGAGATATCAATCAGATGATATTTAAAAGAATCTTATTCATCTATTTATAAATTATTAAAACTTAAATCTTTTTAGTTTTTTATTTTTTAATTTTTAATAAAGATAAATATAAATGTGTATATTTAAATTTAAATTTTTTTATTTTTTTTTAAATATATATATATATATATATATATTTGATATCTTTTTTTTAATATCTCTCTATTAATATTAATATTTAATTGAAATTGAAATAAGATTTTTATTTTTATTTTTATTTTTATTTTCAATACAATATTGAGAGGCAAATCAGCGTATAAGGTTCCAGTTTTAGTTTCAGTCTCATTTTCAGTATCGAGAGGAATTAGAACATAAACATAAACAAGAACAAGAATATGAACAAGAACAATGATATCCATTTCCATTTCCATATAACTCATCTCATGCCATTCCATCCCATCCCATCTCACCTCCTCCCCTCACCTCTTCTCTCATCTAATACCCCCATGAATTTAGTAAAGAGAGAGAGAAGAAACCCCCTCAACTGTATCCGAAATGCTATATTGAGAGAAAGAAAGACGCCGAGCTAAGTTTACGTCATATCATCATACCACAGGTTATTTCCAGAATACCAGATGCCTTTTTGCCGTGACCTTAATCTATCTGTCCTGTACACTTCCTACGAAACTTGGATCTTTAATACTTCCACCACCATCACCTAATCCTGCAACTGGTCTATTATAAGACCATCCTGTAAATTGTTCTTGCATGGTTGATGATAGTTGTCCACCTTCAACCAATGAATCGGCTGGTGCTTGAGATGTAAATTCCACATCAAAGTTGGTGGTATCAAGAGCATCCGTCTATTGTGTATTAGTATATTGCATGTTGATGTATCAAAAGGAAAAGAAAGAAAAAGAAATACATACCACATTGGGCTTGAAAGTAGGCTCATACTTTCTTTGAAGTAATTTACGCCAATCAATACTGTGGAAGAAAGGATGTGCCTTAATTTCTGATGCACCATTTGCACCCAATCTTTGATCTGGCTTTCTGTTGAGAAGTTTTTGCAAAAGATCCTTAGCAGCAGGTGGAACAATTTCAGGACCTGGAAAGTTCAATGGCTCGCTCAAAATCTTTCGATACATCTCATTAGTGTTTTCATCGTAGAAAGGAGGTAAACCAGTCAACATCTCATAGAGTAAAACACCAAGAGTCCACCAATCGACCGTCTTAGTGTAACCTTGACCCAACAACAATTCAGGTGCCAGGTATTCGGGAGTTCCACAGAAGGTATTGGTACGATCCTCATCCTTCATATCAAGTTTACACAACCCGAAATCACAGAGTGCAATGTGACCCGAGTAATCCAATAGAATATTCTCTGGTTTCAAGTCACGATAAATGACGTTGAATCCATGTAAACATTCTAAAGCGCAAAGGAGTTCGGCCGTATAAAATCTTGAACGATTGATATCGAAGCGAGACTCCTTTTGAAGATGATGGAAAAGTTCACCACCATTGACAAATGCCAAGACGAAATATAACTTGTCTGGTGATTGAAAGGTAAACTTGAGAGGTACGATGAAGGGATTGTTGATTTGAGAGAGGACGGATCGTTCTGCCAATGTATGTGCAACTTCTGATCGTGAAATGATATGAGCCTTTCGAATGGTCTTGAGGGCGTAAATTCGTTGGGTATCTTTTTTCTTGACTTGCATAACCTTTCCAAAACTTCCTTTTCCAACCACTTTCAATAAGTCGAAATCATCAATCTTCAATGCTCTTGTTCTATTCTCAACGTATTCAACACCAATTCGAATCTTTCCCGTACCATATTGAACATCTAACCATTCTGGTCCAACTTGTCCCAATGTACTCTCTCTTCTTTGGAATTCTGCAGCCGCCTTTTCCTTGTCTTTCTTTCCCATTTTAGGATCTTCGACATATTTATGCTTCTCTTCGAATCGTGGGTTGATGCGCGTAACACCAAGGAAAATATCTTGACTTCGACCAGATCCTGGAGGCGCATTCGGGTTTCGAAGATATAAATGAACTGCTAACTCAGTAACTCTTGAAACATCAAACTTGTATTGAGTGTTATCTCCAGCCCATAGAGGGTTTTCAGGAGAACCTGCAACTGCATTGACGAAAACCTGCATCTTATCAAAATCTAACAAGGCATACGGAAGATATTTGGAGGAGATTCTGCCGTGGTTCGTAGGAACTTGAATACCACCTCCTGACGTTTGTGGTCTCATACTTGAGTAAGATCCAGCGACTTGGGTTGAAGATCCAGAACGAACTGAACCAGCGACTCCAAAGCCATTTCCCGCAGATAATGAATTCTGAGTATGATTGCTGAAGACTTGTTTATATTGATCTGGGAGGGAGAATCCATTTCCTTCGTGAAGAGTAACGATAAGAATACCCGGTCGAGGAGCAGATTGTGGTTGAGTAGCCATGGCTTCCGAAGCAGCTTTGAAGGTCAGTATCTTTTCCACGATTCAAATCATCATTTGCGCGTACCTATACCACTATCGTTGGCCGATGGTGACGGTGGTATGCTTGATTTCTCATCTTTGGAAGATTCTCTGAGGGTTTGTGAAGAGGGTGTGCGAGAAAAGGTAGATGTGAGAGGACCAAGATGCGTCTCTTTCAGCTCTAAAAAATCGATGGAGAATTAGTGATGATGATTCCGTTTGATATGGTCGCTTTCCAGCTCAATCAATTTCTTCGTATGGATATTGAGTTGATAAGCAGCGGTAGGATTGATCCTAAGGCCGTAGATTGAACTGTCTTCCAAGATTGAATATAATGAATTTCACTTACTCTTGGTGATATTCCAAGATGACATCTTGGGGATGGGGAACAAAATTGTATCGGTAGGAGGGGGAAAGAGGGGAGAAGGGAAGGTTGTAGGATGTAGGATGTAGGATGTAGGATGTAGGACTGTAGGTAGATGGTGAGGTTGTAGTTGATGTTGTATTCGGGTGGTTGTATTGAATGAGGAGTAAAAGTATCGGTATTTCCTCGAGGGAATGGGAAGATCGTTCAGTGCGTTGCGGTCAGGATTTAGCTCCAGACAACTTCCTCACAGGCGATTGCCCCGCCAAAATAGCTTATTAACCACAACGAATTGATAAAGTAATGGGCTTTTTGATCGATAATGCAATGAGAGAAATGAGCGAGTGAGTGGAGGTTTTTAGTAGTGTAAGTGGTGAGAGTATGAGATGTGAGAGTGTGAGAAGAGTGTGAATGTGAGCGTGAGTGTGAAAGTGTGAGAGTGATAGAAAAAGAAGTACGAGTAGAATGAATCAAATAATAAATTGTATTTTGTGTAACAATCAATATTTCCCTTTTTTTTCTATATCTTGTCTCACTACATTCTTTTCGATAAAGTTCACAGATATAAAAATAAAAAATAAAAAGGTTATCCCGATCATCTTGATAAATGACTAGGGAGGGCAGCGTTTGTAAGGAGGCAATTTTCAATGTACTTCTTTCTATACACTATACATTACATACATCCACATGGTTGAGGGACCCGTGGATCAAGGTGAGTGGCTCAGCAAGGATGAAATAGAGATATTCAATTGAATCTTCTTTTGGATATGAATAACTCATACTAAACCTCATTCTATTTCCAAATTGAGTAAAGTTTTGACGTATCAATTTAAGAATATAGAATATAGGGTTGGGGTTAGCATTAAAGGGGACATCAATCACTCGGTGCTTTGTTGAAGTTCATCTCGTTGAGGAATCTATTAGCATATCTTCAAATTTGGTGTTTCATTGAGAAATTGAGGAAGTGCCATTTCCTGTCATAGTATGATCAGTTCATCATTTGTCTCTCCTCTCCTCTCTCCAACCCAACAGCAACACGGGCTGGCAGTACATTCAGCATGGAGTCCTTCGAATTCGTGCCATTACTCGTACCTTAAATCCGAAACCTCGATAACAAAACCCGATAAGGAGAGCGGTCTGAATGTTGGAGAGAGAACTTCCAAGTACGGAGCATCCATCCATCTGTGTAGAAGTTTGTAGATTGAACTTTTAAAACTACGATAGCATAGACTTATAGACTTATAAACGTATAGCCTTTGCTGTAGCAGGATGATTCAGATCCTTCCTACTCATGTTATTATGAGAATGTAGCTTGATGTGCATATTGCAGCACATTGCAGCACTGTCCTAAACATCAGCCTCACTTTCTCCTGTCCTGTGCCTGTGGCTGACGACCCAATTCAACATTAGCTTATCAGACCGTAGCCTCGTCAAGCCACATCAACACAATCGGTGTACCCACTCTTGGAACCTCATCGCATTTACTCCTACCGTCTACCTATTAGATATTTCCAAAGTCGTCCACCTCACAACCATTTTAATACTTCCTATTAATTCAGAAAATAATCTCATCAAAGAAATCATCACACTCAATCAACCACTCCATCACTTTCCTCAAATAACAATTTCCAATCTCATCATCTTTGATTGTTCATCAACTGTGGCGCAAAGTCTATCCTCACAACCACCTTGACGATGGGTATCATTCGCAAGAAGACGGCCATGAGAGGAGGTGAGGGTGGTGTTAAATATGTGTGTGATGTTTGCTCTGCAGATATTACTAATACTGTAGGTATTTTCATGCACATCCAATCTACTAACCCGTGGAATTATCCTAATATCTAACTTCATTTCCGAATTATAGGTCCGAATTCGATGCGCCCACTCTGCTTGCAACGAATATGACCTATGTGTACAATGTTTCTCAGATGGAAAATCTTCCTCACAACATCAACCTGCTACTCATCCATTTCGAGTCATTGAACAGAATTCCGTTCCCATTTATACAAAAGATTGGGGGGCAGATGAGGAGTTATTGTTACTGGAAGGCTGCGAGATTTATGGATTGGGATCTTGGGCAGATATCGCGGATCACATTGGAGGATTCCGAAGTAAAGATGAAGTTAAAGAACATTACAAGAGGGTTTATTTGGATAGTCCGAAATTTCCATTGCCAAAACGAGCCAGTCCACATGATACCGAGTTGATGGATGCATTACCTCGAGAAGAATTTCAGGCGCAAAAGAAAAGAAGAATAGAGGAACGAAAAGAGGCAGCTAAAAATGCACCTCCTCCACAACCCAAAAAGAAACCCACAGCCAGTGTACCATCATGTCATGAAATTCAAGGTTATATGCCTGGTCGTTTGGAATTCGAAACCGAGTATGCGAATGAAGCAGAGGAGGCTGTTCAACTTATGTCATTCGAACCTGGTGATGGAACCAATCCTACCACGGGAAAGTTAGAACCGGAATTCGAACTCAAAATGACGGTAATGAACATATATAATCAGCGATTGACTCAACGAGCCGATCGTAAAAAGGTCATATTTGAACATAACCTTTTGGAATATCGGAAAGCAATTGCTCTTGATAAAAAGCGCACCAAAGAAGAGAGGGATCTCCTTACCCGTGCAAAACCTTTCGCAAGAATGATGAATCATGATGACTTTGAGGAATTTTCAAAAGGTCTCATTGATGAGTTAAATTTACGACTAGCGGTTCAACAATTACAAGAGTGGAGACAAATGAAGATAGGAGATCTCAAAAGTGGAGAGAAATATGAGCAAGAGAAGCAACAGAGACTTCAAAGAGCACAACCTATGGGTAGCATGGATCGTGAAAGATATGCTACAAGTGCAAAGAACAAACCTCCTCCTGTTATTGAAACTCCAAGTGGTGCAGCTGCATTAGTTGCTCATGATTTACCAGATTCCATCCTCAAATCCGAATCAAACGATGATAAAGAAAATCTCATGAATGGTACTAACGCTCTTACAAACGGAATCAAGCAACAATCCCCCTTTATTAAACGCGAACCAATACAAGTCCAGCCTTTGTCAACAATCACACCCTTACCACTTAACCCCTCGTGTACTCCCGATTACCATCTTTTAACACCGGGAGAAATAGATCTCTGTGAGAAAACTAGATTAAATCCAAAACCATATCTAGTAATCAAAGAAGCCGTTTTAAAAGAAGCTTTAAAAGGAGATGGAAAATTGAAGAGAAAAATGGTTAAAGAGATTGCTAGGGTGGAAGGTGCGAAGGGGGGAAAAATCTTTGATTTTTTCTTACATGTTGGGTGGGTTGGGAAGGCTTAGATAGAGAGATAGATTGATAGGTGGTGATGTGCTTTGAAATGATTAGATAGACTGTGTGAGAGAGAGAAAGGATATCATCTCTCTCAAACTCATGTCTTCCCATGGCAAGCAAGTCGGGAGGAAAGGAAAGGAAAGGAAAGGAAAGGAAAGGAAAGGAAAGGAAAGGAAAGGAAAGGAATAATTAGTACTTACTTTACTTTGCTTTCATGATGAGAATGATGGTTGATTATTGGAATGATGTACGTACATAGGTATATATTATATTATATTATATTATATTACATTACATTACATTATCTGGCGTTTATAAAGATGAAGATGGATGGAGATGGTGTTGAAGACTTCCTTCCTTCCCAGAAGTGCTTTTTACAAATTAGCAAATTAACAAAAATTAGCTAGAGTGTTAGTTGGGTATAGCGTCTTTGTGTGTGTGTATGTGTGTGTGTGTGTGGTGTATGTGTGTCTGTATGTAAATGCTTCTGTTGACGATAAATTCGGGATGGGATGGAGATGCGGATGGGAGGGGAGGGGATGGGGTGTTTAGAACTGAAGAATGATGCTATTAGGTTGATTGGATTGGATTGAGTTGGATGGTGGGTGGATGGATGGATGTATATGTAGGGGTAGATTTGAATGTTAATGTGAATGTTAATATGAATATGAACATTCATATAATGGATAGATATTTGTTTTGTATATGGAGTTGTAAGATTATATTATATATTGATTTATGAATGTATGGATGAGTGAGTGAGTGTGTAAGTGAATAAATTACACAGATTTATAAGAGAGGATTGAGGTTGTGGGTGTAGGTTCAGGTTTAGGTTTAGATGAGGGATGGGAAAGTAAGAGAGAGGGATGAAGATGGGGATGAGTAAAATATAATAGCTAATTATAATATAAAATAAAAGAATTTAAAATTGATATGAATGAATATCCATGGAGGGCGTATATGTTTATATAGTTTTATGTTTTTGAAAGAGAAGAGGTGGGTAGGAGATGAGGATGTGAGGGGATGAGGATGTGAGGAGATAAGGATGTGAATAGGTAGATAAATAGATAAATGGATGAATAGATAATGGGGTTTGAGGAAGTAGTTTGAGGAAGCGGGTATAGATTGAGGGAATGGGTGAGAGATAGGGATGGGGATAAAAACAAAGATAGAAATAAAAATAGGAATAGAAATAGGAATAGGGATGGGGATGGGAATGGGAATGGGATAGGGATAGGGATAGGGATAGGGATAGAAATTTGTATGAGTATGAGTATGAGTAATATATAAAGTGATACAAAGTATTCGGGTAAATGAACTATAGATATTGGGAATTTTTCACTGAGGTTAGAGATGTTTTTTTTATATTCATATTTATTTATTTGTTTTTTAATATAATGATTTGATTTGATATGAGGTGTGATATGATGAGAGATTTGATGAATAATTGTTAGGAGGAAGTGGTGGGTATATATATGAGTATTGAGTGGATGGATGGGTGTGTGTAGGCTGTTGAATGGTTGAATGAATGAATGGATGAATAGATATAAGTTTTTGGGAGAAATTGACGGGTATATATGAGTATTAAGTGAATGAATGGATGCGTGAGTACCCTTTGATATTGGAATTGGGATTGGGATTGAGATGATGTTGGTTTTTATGGCGAAATTAGATGTTTTTCTTCGATTTTTTATTGTTCTTGTTGTTGTTGTGGGTGGAGGTAGAGGGAGAAGATGAGATGATGTGTGAGAGACGGATGAACATGTCGATGAACATTATTATTGCTGTGGAGAATTGAAAGGTTAGTTATTTTGTTAATTGGTTAGTTGATGTTTTGTTGGATGAAAGGGGAGGGAGCGTTTGTGGGGGGGAGGGGGTTTATTCGTTAGGTTTTGTTGATCTTATGCCTGTATAACTTCACAGCTTCATGATTTTGTTATCTTTATGAAGGGATAGGTCGGAGAAAAGGAAAGGAATAAGAGCCATATCTATTCTCTTCATCTTCCTGCATAGAAACCACGATCCAATAAATTGACAATTTGTGGTTATGTGTTTTTTTGGAAGCAGAATAAGAGTTATATAAATGGAGGGTAGGGGAAAAAGGAAATGATAGATATACATACACAATAATATATAAGGTCCATAAAGAGTAGTTAAATCGATTTTTTGGGATAGAGAAATTGGCCAGTAGAGATATTCGTGGATGCAGACTAGAGTGGTGAGAAATACTTCGAGGGCGTAGGGTAGGAGGATTAGAGGGGTATAGGGGGAATCTAGTGGTGGGTGTTAGTTTGGGTCGAGGTGTTTGGAGGGTGTGTTTGGAGTTGTGGGAGGGAGAAAGGTTTGGAGCGAAAGAGAGGGAAAGGAAAACTAGGTAGGAAATGGAGGGAACGGGTGAAGGTAAGACAGGGGAGGAATAATTGAGGGTGTGTTTGGAAGGTAGAAGGCAGAAGAGAGATGGTTTGTAGGTTATTTTAATTACGCGCACAGGGAATAAGAGGGGAGTCGGAGATGAATATGTACAATAAAAGAGCAGTGGTAATAGTACAAGACTAAATAGGAGATATTTTAGGAGAAAGGTATTGTTCTTTGATATGAAGTATCTTGAATACGAGTGAACCGTGTAAGATGAGATGCAGATATGAGAAGGTAACATTGTAATCCAAAATCTTGAGAATGCAGATGAAGATAGAGATGGTAGATAATCTGATCTGATGACTGATATTTACTCAATGAAGAATCGAGAAGCTGTTCCAACTGAGTTCAAGTATTTTGATCCAAGCAAATATCAATATTACACACTTGTGCAGGTCAAGTTTCCCACCATTGATGTCTTGAATATTTCCCGGTAACTTGACTCCTCTTCACTATTCTACTCCCTCAACACCCACAAACAACTGAAAATCTCAGAATCTCAAAACAGACACGTACCTCTCAACAAACCCCCCACAGCCCACAAACTAACAGGTACATGAACTAAAAGTTCCAACGAGATGAAAAGTTTAAAATAGATAGGTGGCGAGATGAAAAAGATGTCGTGATAGGTGGTTATGTAATAGGCCTTTATGGTGGTTAGGAAGGAGGGGACGAGGTGGGGTGGGTAGATTGCTTGGAGGTCCATTACTAGGAGGAGGGGGTCAGTGTGGATTGAGAGGGGATGGGGTCAGTGTGGATTGAGAGGGGATGGGGTCAGTGTGGATTGAGAAGGTCGAAGGCAGGGGAAGAGATGAAGACGGAAAGCAATTGGGCATGTCAAAGGTAGAGAACTCTATAGAAAAGATAAGACATACAAAACATAATCGGTATATGGGTAAGGAAGTAGATGAGATATCCAAGGTCGAGTTTGCGGGTGAAGATTGAAGTTGCCATTGTGCTTAAAATTCGAACAGGAAGTGCTTCAAAAAGAGATGATGATGATGATGACACTCCTTTTTTAGTTTTACTATTGAAACTTCTCAATTGATCACAATTTGATATTTTGGGCCAGAATTGATGAGGTTGGAAGTTATCGCGATATCTTACATGTAAGATTATCAAACGCGGCGCGGAGGCGAGGTATGATCATGTGATCGCCGGAAATGGGGCCCCTCAAATTGTGCAACCTCGAATTCTTCACCATCTCATCGAATGAAAACATCTCAAAACCTCATTCTTCTATCCTCTCTTCCTCATGCACATCGCACACATCGCACATCATACATCATACATCGTACATCTCCATGCGCGCTTTAGCACGACTTGATCACTCATCATTCTGCAGCCTCTGAATATCTGTCCTCCCATTTAGTCTTCCGCACATAAAACTAATGGGCATATGATGTATGTCGAAGTCCGTAGACTGCCATGGTGCCATGTCTCGTCATTCACTCGTTTCGTTTCTCCATTTTGAGAAACATTTAATCAAGTTTGTTGGTCAATATCAGATGCACTTAGTGGTGTATTCCTTGATTACTATTCTTTGACCGCACGGTGTCCACGTTAACGCACCATATACTTTCTGTGTTCATGCAACCTCAATTGAATGTTTAGTCAACATATTCGAAATAGGTTAGCGCGGTTGATTACATGTTTAGTGAACATCCTCAAGCTTCATAACAATATACTAGAATTAATAATCATTGTACCTCTCAGATGTGACATTGATTGATATATAAATTCAGAATTGTCCCTGAGATAAGTCAAAGTCACTACCTACTCATATCAAAATCCCATTCTATCTTTCTCCTTTAAGCAAGCCTTTCAGCTCACCCACAAACATCATGTCATCTCATCAAACTTCCAAAATCTTCGTCATCGGAGGCACAGGAGCTCAAGGAATACCTGTCGTCAAGGCTCTTGTCGCCGACAAGAAATATCAAGTTCGGGTTTTAACCCGTGATACAACATCCGCTCGAGCTCAAGAACTCCTCGCCTTAGGTAACGTTGAACTATTCGAAGGTACCTTTGCCGATGAAGATGTTCTTCGTGCAGGATACAGAGGCTGTGATGGAGCATTTGTCAACATTGATGGTTTCAATTCTGGTGAAAAAACTGAAATGTTTTGGACTATTCGTTCTTATGAATTTGCTATTCAAGAAGGAATCAAATTTTTCGTCTATGGAAACTTGGATTACGCATTGAAGAAGAGTGGATGGCAAGAAAAGTATCATGGTGGTCATTATGATGGAAAGGGAAGAATTGGTGAATGGATTTTATGGCAAAATCAAAGTAACCCTAATGGAATGGGAGCGGCATTATTTACCACATGTCCATATATCGAAATGTCCATCACAACCGGGACAGTTATGACGCCTTCTGTAGAGAATGGTGTCCTGACGTGGAGAGTCCCAATAGGAGAGGGTGCTGTTCCCCACGTTTATTTGGAAGATTGTGGATTTTATGTTCGATGGTTATTTGATCATCCTGAACGTAGTAATGGGATGAATCTCGAAGTTGCTATTGCCGATATAACGTATGCTGAAATGGCAACAGCATTCGAAAAGGTTACAGGTCATCCTGCTCAATATATTCATACGGATTTCGACACATACTTCGAGCGATTCGGACCATTAGCTGACTCGCCGGCTGGATTCAATGCGGATCCGAAAGATAAGGCAACAATGACTTTTAGAAGAAATTTCACGGGTTGGTGGAGTTTATGGAGAGATAGAGTGGTGACGAGGGATTATAAGTTGTTGGATGAGATTCATCCGGGAAGAATTAGAAGTGCGGAAGGGTTCTTTAGGAGAGAGGATGAGAGGTTGAAGAAGGAATCTGATGGAAAGATTGGGTTGTGGGAAAGTGTTCAACCCGGGTATGAGAGACATAGTCTGAAACTGACCGAAGATGGAAGACAGGGGAAACTTTGAGTTGAAGTAGATGTTGGACAAGGAAATTCTTGCGCTGGATCCGAAGCTGTTTTGATTGTCTGCCAAACTCCAGATTGACAGCGGATTTTGAGGTTTTGACAATTTTTCCTTTTTGGGAAAAGAGCAATTTGTGGAAAACCAACTATTCACTTCTTTCATTAACATCCATTCATTGCCTTGGTACTTAAACCTCAATCATTTCAAATTTATCCATATCTCTCTGCAGTTATATTTTCTATGCTCAGGTGCCTTATGTCTCACTGTGAATGTTGAAATTCTCTCGTATTAATTCGTGTTTTTGTCTTCTTTGAACCTTGCACTTATACTTTCTAGACTAGTTCCTTGCCAGAGATATATTTATCATCTTTCTTTTCGTCCTTGTTGAATATTTATACAAGACACATCATCATTCATTATTCTCTTCATAATGATTAATTTTATTTATATCTTATATAAAGATATAAAAATCTAAATAAGAATTATTTCAAATAATCTTTAAAATTCAAATAGAATCAACAGATATGAAAATGTATAAGTCTAAAATTTCTCTTTTAAATTATTTCTTTTTTAAATCATCTTTTTATATCAAAAATCATTATCTTCATCTATTAATAATTTAATAACAAATCAATCAAATCGATCAAAATTTTGATTATTGATTCATTATTTAGATATTAATTAATTCTGAAATTTTCAAGATTTATTTATAATTATCTAATAAATCCACAATTCAAATTTTGTTAAATTATGTTCATTTGTTATCAAATTATTAATAGTCGAAAATGATGACTCAAGTTGAGGATGATGGTCTGAAAGTAGGGTACTAGACTTACTCATTTATTCAATCAAGTAATATAATAATCTTACCTCTATTAAGACCAGCAAATGACTTTCCTGATCCATTGATAGCACGACAGATTATACTGGGAGCTAAACAATTTGTATATGTAAAATGAATTTCCGCTTATTGAAACTCCCCTATTCAGACGGCTGACTAAGAATTCCCAAGATCATGGCCTAGGCAGATTTTTGTGAAAGGACCCCATCATCTTCATGCACGCGAGAAATCAAGGAGTTGGAGTGTTGTATAGATATTGTGAGAAAGTTGGAATTATAAGCCAGATACACAAAGGTTTTTAATTAATCAATTATATAACCTCCTATAATTAGATATAAAAAGAAAGCTTTTGCCTTTTCTTTTCAGAATAATCAACCTTCTACACATATACATTTGAATCTATATAACCTCAACTTCAAAATCATTATGAAACCCGTTTTCTTCATAAATAACATATATAATGTAATCTAATCAGCTTCCTCTTCCAATTTCCCCTTACAACGTGCTATCGGGACGCACGTATCTCGAGCTACCACTTTTACAATATTATACGAAGGTCAACTTAAGTTTTATTTTTAATTTTCATCTAATATTTTATTGTTACGCGCCACAATCATTCATCACCGTCATCACTTGAAATTTCTGCTATTGACAGATAGAATATCCTCTCTTCATTCTCTGAAACTGCTGAAACTGTTTCTTTTCGCAAGATTTATATTTGAAAACTCGACCGCTGTCAACTTTCAGCTCGCCACTATTATTCTTAACTTCATTCACCGTACACTAATCCTTTGATATATAGAGTCACATGAGTCAACCTGGCTTGTATTCGTGGAAGTTTGCGGTATATATAGTTTGATGATTTTGATCTGGTGCTCTAGGATGAGATACGGTTTTTGATTGCCGGACCCAAACGCTATTTCAGGTACCATTTACGGATGATATACTCGCATGCTTTACTCATGTTTGTTTAATGCCACAGATAAGCCCACAGATAAGTTGTCACGGTGCAGCGTGAGTATGACAACTGCCAATGTTTGTCCAAAAACGTATACTAAAAGTTGGTGCTACGTACCTGTTTGACATGTATATAATAGTATAACATCGGATGAAGAGCGTATATCGTGCATTTTCGCTAATACTGCCGCAATTACTAATTTTACAGCCCGTGTAATATTGAAATTAAACGACGTATCTCAGATCTCGGTTGGTTAACTACTACAAGATTCAAGTATAAATTATTCCAAATAATTGTTAGAACTGTTTTCTGATAATTAACATCAAATAAGCTTCCTATCCTTCAACTCCAACTTCAACTTCAGCTTTCCAACCTTTCAACCTTTTGTGTGCATAATTCGACATGGATACCTCAGTGTGCACCATGATTTGCAGCAAATGGAATATGTCCGTGGAATCGGTGATACGTAATGAAGAAGAGAGCTATATAGCTGTACTCAAAGGGGAGGAAAAACGACTGTTGAAACTCAGTGTTTATGGCGATACCGATAACGAAGTCAGAGTGATGAGGTCGGTTCCTTCGTCTGTACCTATCCCAAAAGTGTATGACCACGGGAAAGAAAACGAAATTCGATATTTGCTCATGGAATACATTGAGGATTCCATCCCCATGTCAGACTTAAATCGATTGCCCCCTCCTCATCTGATGAAATCCATCAAAAAATACATCAAGGCAATCAGGTCGGTGACCATGGATTATGAGCATGGAAGCTCACATGGCCTCTATTTGGATGTTTGTGGGTTTGATAGTCTGGGGTATGCGAGCGCAGATGAGTTTATACAAAAGAGGATGGAGGGTTTGGAGCTGCCGCATGATCCATCATTCAAGTTTAAGGAGGACAAACTTGTATTGTCTCATTGCGATTTGTGGCCCAGAAATGTATTGGTGACAAAGGATGGATCCAAGATTCTCTCCATAATAGATTGGGAGATGGCAGGATATTATCCAAGCTTCTATGAGCATAGCGCATACTTGTTTGCCGCCAGGAGCCAGGACCTCTATTCAGATCCATTTATCAGACAGTGGATGAAGTTGTTTGCCACACCAGACACACGTCGTGTCAAACCATACGAAAATCGCATATATAATGCAGTCGTGGCAGGTTGGAAAGCTGCCCGATCAGAGCAGACCACATAGCTGTCCCCCTCTCCGTGGACTCTTGCACAGATATGTCTCCGGCAAACGGCAAGCAGAAGGCGACGGAGAAGAAGAATAATTTGGAGAAGAAGTCAAATGAGTCAAAATCTGGTGGGGAATCTAGCAAAAATGAAGAGAAGCCCGAATCTGGAAAGGAGGTTAATAAGGATATAATTTATGGTGGGTATTCGGGGAGCTACTACCAGAAAAGTGATGGAATTATGTATCAGACTACGGGAGGTCACAGAAGTACGGTAGGACCAAAGTCTACTCGACATTTGTGCAAGTGTGGTGGGGAGATAGCTAAAGCCATGGTCCTTTGCAATGGCTGTAGGAAAAACGATCCTTGATGCACCCTTAACAACATATCATATCTTTCGTCAAGATCACATGCGAAACCTTCGCTTAATTACACTCGTCATGGTGGATTCCTCAGTTTTTTCGTTCAGTTCCGACCTACTTGATAAATCGTATGCGAATAGGTACAGAAATGTGTACATCACCTGCTTCTGTGGTTTCTTTGGGGTTAATATTGCGGAGGGCAAGATAATGCGGGCTCCACACATAGTCCCGATTTAGGAAATTAGACCATCGTGTAAAATTAATAGTAGGCGTTTACAAAAATATCATGGAGTCAAAAGCTTTGTCTAATATTGCGTGATCATAGAAATCTGAAACCATTCAATCAATGATATAGGTATTATAAATCGATATTGTGATGACTGATGATATTATATCAATATGTTCAAATGATAGTATTTTATGTTATAGTATATTTATTTATAGGTGTACAACCCTTTGAAGCTGATGCTCGTTAGATGATATCGGAGAGTTCTTATATATCACTAGGATGATCGAATACTCTAGAAATGGATGATATTGAAATTGGGCTTTCCAAATCATAAAGTTTGAATGGAATTGGAGTTCTATAATGTTTGATAATATTCTATTTCTTTTAATCAATTAAATAGTGAAGAAAATAATAGACGAAGTCTAAACTTGATGACTATCTAGACGAATGCTTCCAAAATGATTCCATCTTTTTTAGAAGGCCACATTCAAACGGGATCCATCTATAATCTTGATAACTATTGGATTATAAAACTGAATTATCCTTTCATTATATATCAGGGTTGAGATATAGAAGTACTGAAACCTAGTTGGCTCCCCTGATCCTTCAAAATTTTCCTGTTATGTTTTAAATAAATCCGAAAAGGTTGATACTGTTGATTTTAACGATTGTCAATGATCTAAATCTTTTATTCTTTTCAGAAAAGTTACAGAACTACAAATCTATAACATAAGATTTTTTTGGATTCTAGAAAATTGTTATATATATTCCGAATCGTTGATAATCTTAATTTTCTATAAATATATATCAAATAAGCTTCAAGAAATCAGAAGCGCAATTGACGAAAACCCCCTTTCTATATTTTCCATCGGAATGTAAAGAACTTCTATTTCAAACTGTGTCGGTTAGAATACAAACAGGATACTGGATGGAATGTGTAAAATGCCTGGGAAAAGGGAGAATGAACGGATGGGAGAACATTATATATATCTATGCTTTTCCTCGCATGAATTTATGGAGAAGCACGCCCGTCAAAGACAATTATCTCATACAAACTCAAACTTACAAATTTTTCGAAAAAATAAACCACAAAAATGCAATTCCTCACACAAACCATCATTGCAGCAGCATTTCTTGCTGGCTTTGTCTTCGCAGCACGAAGCCCCCAAGGATCCGGAGCTCCGGTTAATGGAGGAAGTGGTGGCGTTCAAGGAAACGTCAGTATCCCAATTAAAAAATTTGCCATGAGAGTATAAAACCTAACAAAAAGTAGTGCAATTTCTTCTGTTGTGAGCGTAACCTAGGTACCGGTGGTACGCTATGCAAGAACAATACTGTGATTCCTCATCCTTACTCTGATGATTGCTCGACGATGCCTATTGGGAGGTTCCCTAATGGTGATGGAAAGGCGGTTCCGGTTTGCTGTGCCAATCCTAATTGTGAAAATCAACCGGGGTGAAATTCGCCTATTACGAATGTTTAAAATTTCGGTTTCGGGATGAGCGGAAATAGGAGTCGGTTGATGGATATGTGGTGCAAATGGTTAGGGATTAGAGATAGAACTGGAAGGAACGAGAGGAGTAGATGTCTAGTTTTCTGGGATATGGTTTGATATCGCGGAGTATGAAGCTGAGATAATTGGTTTTTGTAGGGGGCTTTGAGGGAACGTTCTTTTCGAAATAAGGGGTGGCCTGATTGCTTTCTTTTCCGTTGCATTGTTTATTTGTCAAGTTCTGGATGTCCATGTCGTTGTTGCTACAGATTTCCATTATTTTGGCTTGGTTAACTAGCTTAAAAACAGTATACAGAGCATTGAATTCGTTGCAATAACTTAGTTACACCCAAATTTCTTGGACAGCTTCATACTTCTTGACACAAGAACAACCAGGAGTGGCCAAAGGGCGCGCATTCAGCCGATGCGACCTTTTCATCACCGCCATCCGAAATATCATATTGAAGTACATAGCGCTGACTTGGTAACTTACTTTCAAATCACTAAATCATCTCCGTTCCTAGAGTCTTCTTAGGTCACCCCATCAACTTGAGTCCGTAGCTTCATTAATATCTCAAACTTAATACGTGAATGAAATGACACCAGATCCAGATTGAACCCGGAGGCAGGTAAAGTTTAACTTCTATATATCTTCTGGTTCAGAAACAGCCAACCCATCAAGTCCGCTAAGCAGGGGTATCATCCATCACACTAGCCCTCGGTACATCATCCCCCATCTCATGGTCCCTCTGTACATCATCCCCAGCCAAAGCATTATAACCCTCCATATCCGTATCATCCACAGGCAACGACAACAAAAATTTCTTTCGCAAGTCCCCCACAATCCCCTGCATACGTTGTATCAGAGTATTTAGTGTTTTCTTCCAAGAATCACAAGATTTGTCATCTTCCCCATTTAATAGCAATATTAACGCTTGTATTAACTTTTCGAATTTTTTAATGGTATTCAGCGGTTCCGTGGTTCCTCCCGTTGCTATATCGGTAGCTAGGCTCATGATCTTTGCGCAAATCCTGCCGTATCGAGAACTTCCCCATCGTGTATCAAACTATTTAGTCATCTTGGCGATATTAGATTTCGATTGCTCCGGATTGGTATCTAGCTTACTATAGGCGTTTATAATGCCATCAAGGTCTCCAAATTCTTTATATTCCATGGTGAATTTCTTGGAATATTTATCGTTAGGTGAATATAACATCTGTCGCCTAAATTCTAGGATTTCATCTATATATTCATAATCTGTAATCAATTCTGTAGTCCAGCAAGCGGCTAGCTCTCTAGCGAATCCTCCAAGTCCTTGGTTGAACATCAATAGATTTGTTTTAACTTCGAGAGCAACTTTTCCAATACTTGTCAGTGCGAAATAAGAGTCAACAGCATCACAGTGAACTCTCGCAGCACTTAAGAGCATTTCATACTGAATCTGCATTAATGCCTCTATCGCTTCTGCGGGATCGGCCGGCATAGATTGCTGCCCTGTGGTAGCTACAGTAGTGTAGGCAGCAGTAGCAATAAGTTGAAGCTTTTCTTTAAGACCTCCGTTATAATCGAGTATACAGTCAAGATTCTCGTTTTGTTTGGTGCTGCTGAAGAAAAACTTTTCGTTCAATTTCGCGCGCTTAATTAATTCATCGCCAGCTTGACAAGCTCTTTGTTCCTCTGCACTCATATTCTGTTTTGATTTTAAAGTAGCGTGCGCACTTCTCCATTTAGATCCCTCGGATTTACCAGCATCTACATTTAGGAGTGATTCCGCTGCGAGGGATGGGACTTGAGTGACCTAGGTCCTTACGGTAAGGGACCTAAGCCCAAGCATCAAGGGACCGAAGGTTTTGACCATATAATTCCAGAAATCCATCTGGTGAACATCTTCAAAATGCTTTACTGGAACTGGATAAAAGTGGTAGCGCGAGCTCAGAATAGGAGTTTTTAGAATAACATTGGATACGTAGTTTACCCAATATACAGATGGCCATTCTGTCCAGAAAAATGCTACTGTGGGGAATAACGAGCCTTTTGGATTTTTCTCTGCACGCGTAACGCCCCCAAGACCAAATTGCTCCATTAAGAAACCATGTTCTTGGATGGAGTGGTTTCCGAAATATACCTTCGCTATTTAGTGATTATCAATCCGAAGAATGTCTACGTTACTCACCTCTGGGGTCGAATTCGAAACCCAAGTCGCTAAACTCTCGTCTGTGTCCTTTGATAGAATTTAGCTATATTTGCCATTGCGTGCGCACTAAAAAGAGACATCAATATGTGTTAATGTAGCATGAAACAGGTTGAGTCTCACCATTCATGAGTGAGTGTTACGGCAGTCCTCCATTGGTACCCTAACCTTTCGGACGCTGTAGCGTTTGGACGAAGTAAAGGCTCGTAATTTTTGTGACTTAGAACGATTTGGTTTTTAAGGAAACGATTGCCGTTTGCATCTTCTTGTATTACAGTATTAGTGCGGGCATTATAAGACAAAGTATCGGAGTTCTCTTTGAATTTAAATGTGGTACTACTCGATAGCTCTGATACCAGATCCTTCCTGCTCTTTTCAAGAGCGGGGTCCTGTGGATCTAGTCCTCTTGATCTGAAGGAGCGAAGCAAATGTAGACTGCTTAAGGGAACCCATGACGGTGGATTGTCAGGAAATCTATTTGGATCAATTGGAATTCGTGGGCCATGTAACAGAGTATCAAACTATATGCCTACTGTCAGAAAATTCCAAAGTCGGGTAGGTGGATTTACGAAATCGGAGTGGATGTTTTCTAACAACAATGAGGCAAGCTGAAGAGTTGGTTGTATTATTTCCCACACAACATCATTATCAGCAGCCCATTTTCCAGAACCTAATTTACCAAGAGGATATGGTTCATGATTAAGACCCGTTTTGCTCCAATGGCTCCTTTTGAAGCAAGGTTGAATTGGAACATTCAAATCGCTTGGTTTCAATGATCTTGTCGACGTTATATTCGCATCCAAATCAAGCAACTCTTTAGCTGTAAAATTTTAATATGAGGATCTCTGCTTCTATTCCCGTCGTAAAGTATTCCTATCGGCTCTCGCAACTCCGCCTGCTGAAATGAATGGTAGAATAGGCGATATTCCACTATGCCTATCGTTTGGTCTTCCTGGGTAAGGACCGTATTTCTTTTTAAATGCTGTATCACCTCTTGGATTTTCTGACGAGATTGGTCTCACTGAACGTCGGTTCGCCATAACTAATGATGATTGAACGACTGCAAAGCAAATCTTACCATCATGTTTTATCTAGAGATGCTCTAAGCTTTGTACAGTTTTCGTGAAAGGAAGATATAGCTAGCTTGGATCATTTGACAAAGAAAACTAATAGGCTTTCATAGAGAAGGGCCCAAGAAGAAAGAACTTTAGAGAAAGAAAAAATGAAATGATTATAACAGGAGTTTGTACAAATCTGTACGCCAAATGCCGTGTAAAGAAATCTGTTAAAGCGCTTCACATCAATGGCTTTATATTTATTTCCAAACAACTTCATCATTACCTTCCTTGATTCCCTATCCATGCAGTGGTTTGGTTGGAGTTTCGATGATATTGCAATGCAGTTGTAAGAGTATGTGGATGTATGCTATCGCAGAGGAGGACAAAAAAAAGAATATTAGTCATCATTGTCTAACTTCAAACTCGATATGATTAGAGCTTTCACACACTTCATTTTTATCTACTTCCAGTGACTACAGGCTTATGCAACACTCTGTGATAGACTAAACAGCTTCCTCTACTTAGGATAGATACAGTCAGGAATTTACACGAATCACGCTCTAACTTCCCGGTGGTTGACGACATCAATGATCTACCCAATATATCACTATGAGAATTTTAATTCTATCCGTTGTTACATTGACAAAGTCATATGAGTTTAAAAGGAGTGTTTAGATCAATTAATACTGGCAGATCCTTCAAGTGTGAGTACTAGTTCTACTCCAAAATCCCTATGTCACCTCCCAAGGTCAGCTCATCCATACCTCCTCGCCATATATATATATATCTATATCATATACATGGCCTGGGACTGATGGCGGTATTTAATACAAAAAAGAGACGCAAAATCTGCCAATCACACTACCATTCCATTCTGTGACCGTAAAAGAGTTGTTCTATCAAGAACCTGGCGATAGATTATAATATGAAAATTCCAAAGAAGAGTTGAGCATGTAGAGGAACCAGTGAATAGTGATAATCACACTACACTCCCACTAACATTCCTATTTTTTGCCCCATTGCAAGGGAATATTTAATCGTAAGGTTTAGAGCTCATGATACCACCAACTGAGCAGGTATCTTTCACTTCATAGAGCTGTGGTTAGAGAAATGCAAATTCACGCTTTGCTATCAACAGCCTTTAACCCATCCTAATAAACATCTCCGAATCAATAGTCGCTTTACAAGAAGCTGTCTATAGATTCTGTATAGTTTTTCAATTCGCTGCAGCGGCTGTCTTGTGAAGTTTTGGTGGTAAATTTTTGAGGTTATTGTGGACTTCAGGACACTACTGCTTTTAGGCTTTGCTTGCTGAAGTGGGAAGGAAATGGAGAAGATAGTGCAGGAGCTCGGTAGTGGGGGTAATTAGTTGCGGTTAATATAAATTCTGGTAAAGACTGGATTGAAATGAAGAGGGTATAGTGAGGTGAGTGTGGTGTGCAGACGGGCGTACTGATGCATCCCAAAAATATGATACGAGTCATTTTAACTATCACAATCACGGTTTTTCACACAGCGAAAAATATCCCTTCTTTCTGAAAGTCACGCATTCAATTCAACTATTTCTCGGATCTACTAAAACCAATAAATATCAACAAGAAACCATGTAACTGCCCGCAGTTACTGGTTTCTTGGATGCCATATCCTCGTCTGCTTTATTTCCCTTTTCCGCTCGAGCTGCCTCCATCCTGTTGAAGAATGTTCCCAAAGACCTTTCCCATTCCACTCCTAATTTCATGTCCACCGGACTTCCTCTCTTTCTCCCATCGATCATTTCCACTTGTATGTTGCGTCGTACCAATCTTGATTTGCGGAATTAAATTACTGTTCGGAGGACTCTCTCTCGCTATTCCTCTCATAGTATTGGAAGGTGACCCGTACTGAGTGAAATTATCAGGAGGAATCGCTGTTGTGTTTTGGTCAGTAAAAGTTAGATGAGAGCAATTTGAAGTATATACTCTGTGGGCTTGGCTCACCAGCCTGTGAAGTTTCGGAAGGCCGGGAATTATAAGGAGGAAGTGCTGTTGTGTTTTAATCAGTAATAGTTATATGAGGGGAATATGAAGTACATACGCTCCATCACATATCCACTCTTTGAAGTTATGATAACAGGTGCTAATGGGCGATCAGGAGAATAATAAGGAGGAAGTACTGTTGTATTTTAATCAGTATGAGTTAGATGAGAGGAATATGAAGTATATACTCTGCAATACAGTTTCAGTTTCATTCTGTGCGCTTGGTTCCCTAGCCTGTGGAGTTTCAGATGGTCTGGAATTATCCGTTTGCTGACTGTCGTTCTGGCCAAAGATAGGAACAGGAGGTACAGTGCCTGTATACCTTCTGCGTGAAAATACTTCTCTGCTCCCAATTCCACCAGTCCTAATATACTGATCATATAGTAGGTCTTCGCGTTCCCTCGAGTCTTGCGTTTCTTCTCTTTCGTTTCCTGAATATCTAGTTCGGAATTCCTCTCCAGTCTCATTCTCGCGACGACGAGGTGGGAGTTTTGTGGCTGGTTTATCACTTTGATGTTGTTTGCTTGACGACATGTTTTTTTAATATTGATGTTGATATTAAAGAGAAAGAGAATCAACTTCGAAAAGCGGTCGACTGCGAACCCTTAAATAGACGTTTCTAAGCAGCCATGACTATGTCAAAAGCACCGAAACTATCATATGAATGTTTACAAAATAGCACTTACGACTTTTCCACCCTTTTCTATGAATTAATCATGGTTCACACATGATTCGAATATCTAATTCCGACACTTGACTGGAAATTTAACCCACAGGACTCATTACTTATGCTCGACATGTATCTTGAGTCCTGGATGGTGGGATACAATAATAGCTTGGAACTTCTTCTGGTTTCTTCGCTACTCGGCTTTCCGTGGCTATCCTCCAGCAATGCTTGTGGGAAGGTTAAGAGAGGAAGTTCTGACGGTGTTCCCAAAGTCTGCTTGTCCACCTCGTTATACAAACCGACATTAATGAATCTGAGCATTTGAATTCAGTGAGAACTCATCGATTTATTAACTTTCTAAATGAATTGAGTGGAAATACTTTAATAGAACTCATCATTCAACGGTGACTTCACGAAACACTTGAACATATTAAGTCGTTCAACGATGACACCCATAATAAAAACTCTGCGAGTTTGCAATGCGAAAAATCATTTCCAACTCGTTAGTGTAAAAGTGACTCGGAGGTCAATGGCGCAGTCAGGAATTTCTTTGGGAGTATTATCGGAATTTATGATTTTCTTTCAAGTCCTGGCCAGCTTCGAGAAGAACAGAACGACTTCAATGCCCGTAGCTGATATCAAAGTCCCATAGACGAAACGGAAAAGTTTGCACATTAATGAAATCGCTGTGCAAAATCGGTATGCCCCATCCAAACCAAAAAGATATACAAAGAACAAACGTATGTATAGACCTCTTTCTCAAGCCAAGGCTCTCAACCGAGTACAATGATAGACCCCTCCCTTGTACCTGAAATCATCTTCAGACTTCACAAAACTTTTCATCTTCATCTTCACATTATCAATCTCCATCATATCAATACTGAATTTAACAGCCGGAGCCTCACATATACAACGACGCGACAAAGGCAGCAACCGCACATCGAAAACGCTCAAAGCTTTCATCGCCGTTTCCCTACTCTTCAAATACTCCTCTTCATAGTGATCAATTAAAGGTTTAGAGTCCCTACTGTAAATCCGAGGACAGATGATCATATTTTCGGGCTTTTTCCATTTCCGATCCCAGATGAAAGAGTACTTGGGAGGGTCACCTTCGGGAGGATCAATTCCACACTCATTTTCTATGATGGATGTTGTGATGTAGAGTAGTACTTTTTCTACTTGGGTCAAATTATTCAAGCGAGATTCGGGATTGGCTTTAGTGGGAGACATGGGGATTTCATCTTCCATTTGAGTTGAGTTCTCATCATGCAGTTCGAATCGGAGGATGTGTCCATCTGTAATATAGTGCAGCTTGGTGGTTATAGGATTCCATTTTTCGTGCTCGTCCATTTCCCACAAGGTGACTTCCAACTAGAATTATAAATCATCAGAATGAATGATTTCTTGGAGGAAGTTACTCGTTTGACTTACGAGTATTATATGCAAGGAATTTGATATCTTTTGTCGCATGATTGAAGTTTCCCAGCGCATATTCGCGTCCTCAGAATCATTTCGCTTGATTTGGAATATGAAAAGTGGTAAACGACGATTGAGGAATTGATGCAAGATCCGAGGGTCTATCAACCACAAACAAGTGACCACCGCATCAAGCGGTGCCATGGTTTTTCGAGCTATGTACACATCTGGTCGGCTTTCGATGTATTTGTTAACGTCAACAACACGAGGTGATGGGCCCAGAGTTGTGACGGGGAGCTCCGATACATTTAATGGACAAAAAGGCATGATTGTAATGCATAGCAATAAGGATAAAATAAAGACAAGTGTAATGAATAATCTTCTTGTTCGGAATGATAAGAAACAGTATTAAAGTACCTCGAACAGGAGAATTGGCCCAAAGATCGTTTATATATTTGATATGCAAAGCTGCTCTTGCCACTTTGGAATGAGAAGCTGTGATAAATGTATGATGGAAGGGGCACAGGAAAACATTAAAGCATAAGTCAAACTTTAAAAGGAGAAATTATTTCCGAACCATAACCGCTTGCAACTCTAGTTTCTGGTAAACTGACATCTCCCGAGCCATCATACACAGCTTGACTTGAGAATCACAAAAAGGCCTCTCGCAATACATCACCATCAGGTTTATATCGCTGGCATATTTGGCAGTGATAGTGTCAGAAAGTATTGCAATCTTCTAGATCCATGCCATAACAGGGAGAAGAATATTTTCTTAGCATCTTGACAGCCAGGACGCCGTGAGATGTTCTCTTGTTGCTTGTCCGCCGCCGTCGCCGCCAATAAACCATGGAGATCTCATGCCTGGATGCATCATTGCGCAATGTCTAGTGAATTATTAGTCGTCTCCAAAATATTAAATTGAACAATAAGTAGCATGAAATACAACGCGCAACAATCTTAAGCCGTTGCGATGCTTCTTAGCATGCCGAAAGATAAGGAGAGCTTGTTTTATTGTAAAACCATAGCGCATGAAATAACTTCAAACTCTCAGAGCATGAAGCTTCCATATCAAGGACTCCAAACGGCACGCCGTTAACAGTTTACATCAAAAACCTTTCTATATCAATCCATGTTAAGAAATGAGGTCTCCACCGGTATAAATACCATTCATACCACAAGTCTTAAACAACGTAACCTATCACCGGAGGTTGAGACACCTGGACCAAGTTTGATCATTATGCGCGACAGAATTCGATGCCCAGAACGGGAAGACATTTAGAAAGTGTTTGTCTTTCGGAGCAGGTGTATATATATAACTTGGCTTACCTAGTAGAAGTACAGTCGCACAAGATCGGGCGACCTATTAAATATCTCCGACCGAGTTATCATTTAAGAATGTATCTCAACAAATACCATACGTTCGTTTGTATGCCGATTCGGATGCACAAGACATCAAGACCTCGCCACTTCTCTGTGAATATTGTGATTACAAACGAAGCAATCATGAGTCGACATTATTTTGACCGCCCCACGGAAAGGAGAAGTCGATGGTTTGCTGATCTAATAATATCAAACACCAGACATTATACATTTTAATTTATAGATGACCTTTTTTCTTTTACAATTTTAATTTACTATGAAAATTCATACAAAAATTCTCAGGATTTTATTTTTATAAAGAAATGTCGCTTTCAACCCCTTACTATTCCTAAGAACATTCCTAAGGTTATGTATGGTCTTGGGGATATGGAGGCTCCATACGCGAAGGTAAACGGACCTCCATCCATTTTGAGATATGCAACAAAATAATAGATAATTAGAAAGATCACGAGATGCGTAAAAGGTCATTGGGTAGGTTTTTTCACTACAAGTCCTTCCTTGTCTTATGTCAGGTGCATCGCACGTGTAGTAAGGTGCGGCAAAGCATTCTCGAGGAGATTTGTGCCCATGAAGATCTACGTAAGTATAGAGTATCCCGACCAAGTAACGCATTCTAAGAATACTATTTAGACACTACTCTATTGAGCAGCGATATCAAATCCTGCAAACATACACCTCATAGGTCACCGCACTGTGGTTCTTCTTTTCCTCTCTTCTAGACATGCAGGTTCGACAATAAGAGTGTGATTCCTGCATTCTTGTATTCTTGTTCTCTTATTATGTCCATGATTATTTGCTCAAATCGTATCACTCTGAGAATAGATTGGACAGCTGATATTCCTCTCTCAAAAGGTATGGCTTGATTCTGCATTAGATATTTTATATTCATTCATTTCACTCCACTCCACTCCACAACGGTCGATTTCTCAAACATACGATAAAAATCCGGATTATATCTATGGATGGTTCTGATGCGCAGATCTTCCTCTTTTTGACAGATAGCTAAGTGGTATCTTGTTATTCTCCATTCAATTCTATTTTAAGGGCAATTAGATGCACATCTGCAGGCCGGAAAGTGATTTCCAACTCCTGCACCACAAGCACATCAATCCTTTCCAATCCAGTCTTATCCATGATAAGCACACTTTGGAATTTCTGTGATATTAAATTAAGGATACGGAACCCATCCGTTTATGGAAACGCTTATGGGAGAATTTTCAGATATTGATGTCAATGTCATATTTTGGTCAGCCCAGGTGTGGGGGGCACCTCCTTTCTGGATTCCAGTTATGGTCGTAAATCGTGGCCTCAAAGAATAAGAATCTAAATTCTCTTGTTTCTTCTTGTCAGTCAGAGGTACAGGTATCCGGACTTTGAGTAACACTGTACTTGTCGTCGTGCTCGGTGAGCACTTATGTTGGAAAAGCGATGGCGAGTGTTACCGCCAAGATTGGGATGAATTTTGTGAGCTTTGTTGTTATTGCGTGTTTCGGGTCGCCCAGTTGTCTCCCCTGCCTTAGTTTTAGTTGTTCTGTTTCTTATTTAATAGAGGAATAATCAATTTTATGAATGTGGGTATTCAACACTCATGAACTTTGTCCTCCGTATAAAAGATTGGACCTACGAATCAGTCGCTTCAGCTATTCTCAGGCTTTTAGAAACAAGGCTTTGAACTGGATTCAAATAGGTAATTAGTCAAGGAAGTAATGTTTGCACAATGAACTTTCTGCATAAGTCGTGAGATAAGGGTCATCCCCAGGTAATCTTTTCTGAAGATTTTGGTCAACGGGCACAGGTAGCAATTTGATATAAAGCAGCGATTCCAGTTTCTATTCCATTCACCCTGCATCATTTATGCAATACTAATACGCCTAAAAACACCCTCTGTCCTGCAGAAGATTCATCCTTCACTAAAAAAAAAAAAATCCATTCTCATTAACAAACGAAACAAATGCACTTCCAGAAGAAACATTTCTCCCAAGATGCATTCCCTAGTCTCTCGCCTCCGTATCCTAACAGTCGCATTTAAACGGACAAATCCATGCATACCACGCCCCCTTATCGGGAAGATCATTGTATTTCAAAGTACAAGCCTCTTTCGGATCAGCATTAAGTCGACCATTCTCCGAGGGACCAAGCTGACCCTCTGTCATAGCTCGTCCATCACTCTGATAAAGAGGCATAAAATATTCCTCACCAGTCGGTTTCCAAGTCCTCTGAATAACCTCATTCAATTTCACCACATTACATGTTCTGAACTGATCAGACCAATGCGATGTGGAGACTGTATTTGGAACTTGGCCCGGTTTTCGCATCACGCAATCGGTATCAACGACGAAGGATGTGGCGCTGTCGCCGTTGAACTGGTAGACGAAAGTGCAGGTTTTTTCACCGAAAGCTAGGTCTTTTTGTGCACAGAGTTGTGGTGTTGGTTTCTTTTTGTGGTTTTTGTCTTTTCTTGGTTCTAGATCGGCTTGGGAACTATTTATTGTGAAGAGTTCTGGTAGTGGATCGGTAACGGCTGTTGGCATAGCGTAGGAGATTAATGCAGAGGTGGCCATGATGGATATGATGGTGAGGTGCTTCATATTTACTTATTTGACGGCTTTGAGAGACTTTTCTTTCTTAGAGTCTGTCTGTAAGAGTTTAATCGTGTCAGGTAATTGTTTATTGATTCAAAAATTTATATTTATGTCGAGATCTCAGTGGATGAAGTATTAGTGGTGTTTGTGACGAAGTGATGTAGTGAAGTTGATAATTTCCAGAAGTGGATGTGCAGTAGCAATCCTTTTGACTAAGAGGGTTTGTATACACAATTATTGCATATAGCTCGAGTCATTGATAGAACGGTTACTCATATTTGTCATACAAGACCGTTCGTGAATAGTTTCTTGACTCATTGCGGAATTATTCATAATTCACCTTTTTCACATTCGGGGTTTCTAATCCTTCATTACTTTTCACTGTTTTCTCTCCGGAGGAGATCTTTCGCTCTTTTTCGGCATAATGTTTATGAGTACCGCATATATATTAATCCTACTCTCTCGTTGCACTCATTCAATTCATCATTCGTCTATCTAAGATACCTCCAATTTTTCTGCATTGCCGTTGAACATAATCAGCATTCTCAGGAGATTAGGATAGTGAAGATTAATATAAAGAGATCAATGATGGTATCTTGAGAAATTTGCTATCAAAGGCACATATATTCCTTATTACGTGGCAAGTCTGTATTTCTTCCTACACATCAGATGTACAGTCGAGGGTTTTGCTATCTAGATCCTAGTGATGTAAATGATTTTCTGTGATAAATTTACAATAGGCATATTCCATCGGATACACTGACTGGATTGAGCAGGTATCAGGTGTAGTTCAATGGAACATATCAATTCATCAGTATACCTTTTACTCAGCACTCCATTACTGCCTAGAGACCATTATTTATTTACTCGTTTCGTAGACTGGGAAATCATGTCCAGTTCATGTTATTAAGCCCAGTTGGTTCTTTTGTGTCATATCACAATCACTCCACATGAGACAAGAAAAATTTGCAAGCTGTGATATTTGATTTTTTAAAGTCAGGCGTTTGTTATTGTTCCTATCAGGCATTTACTATGTCCAGCATATATCTCTAACAATAAAAATCACACATCTCGAAAATCAAAGAAAACCACAAGCGAAAAACTTATTCGTACATCTCGGGTACCACTACATACCTCCAAGAAACCTCACCTCGTAATATCAATAAACAATTCCGGTAAAGTAGGATAACCAAGGAGAGGAATAAATATATTGACCATTCACATAGATCACTCCACCGAAACCTCACTTCCCGCCCAACAATCATGCAAATCTTCGCCACCACCCTTTTCACCATCTTCTCCGTCCTCATCTGTGTCGTCAACGGCTCCGAGAAGTACTGTCTTAACCAACACGAGAGATGCAGCATGTGGATGGTATGGCCGGCGGGCTTACCAGGTCTTAAACCCGGTACCATGGCATTACCCAAGGAGCTAACACTCTACGACAAAACCTGCGTCGTGCTCGAAACCAAAATGGAGCAACCTGAGAAGAAAGGCCTCATCATGATTAAATCTTCTTTGGCGAAACCCCTGAATTTGACTGGTTCATATCCCTGTGGATATGGTGGAGGAAAACCCATTTTCACCTATGGCACCAACGAATAGGGCAGAGACCATTGCGGGTATGGTTCTGGTGATGATTGGTATGACTGGGTTTGTACTTTTTCTTGTTAGGAGGATAAAGGTATTGGTGACTGGTCCTGCCCATGATCCAGCGAGAAAGGGTATAAGTGCTGGGCAATTTTTGTAGGGGAATGAGAAACTCGAGCATCTCCAACGTATAACGAATGCTAGCATTCGTTACCTAGAAAGGTGGATTAATGAACGCGAGACTTTTACAGAACATTAAAGAAATAGTAATTACTTAATGACCATTTTATGAAAAACGGCGGTGAAAAATTGTGACGTTGGTGGGAGCGGAAATTTCTAAACCGGGTTTTTTTTAAACCTCGACGTTTTTAACAATAAAGTAGGCAAACGTCTTTCCTTAGCATGATGGAAAGCCGGAATAAGCTGAAACCTCATTTGAACGCTTGTATGAATCAATCGATGCAGGGGCAGGAGAACGTTATGAAGCTAGTAATGTAGGGTAATGACGCTTCTATACCGAATAAAAGTAATTGATGCACGGTAATTCATGAATTTCGACGAAAATTTTCTGATCGCGACAGAATATCCCAATGACGATGCCAGTAAACTCAATGACTTAGTGATAGAGTTGCAAGCATGAAACAAATCAATGAAATAGATGGAAAGTTGAGCAGCTTTCCCGTAAAATAATCCGTAAACATATATAGCGGGTCGACACCTCCAAATTTCACTAAAAATATCTGGGGAACTCAGCTCAGCAAGGAAGATCTTGGATAACCTTAAAGATAGGTAGAAGACAAGCATTAAAAAATTTCCACGGGGCAGTAGTCGATGATTAATAATGAACAAAAAATGTACAACATTCAATTTTTGATCTCATACCCTAACTCTAGAAAAAAGAGTAAGTAAACTAGCACCAAAACATCCACGCCCAAATCTATCCAAATCCAAATCCCCTTCCATTCCCTTTAAACCAAGAACCACGTACAACCGTACCAAAAACCCATACACAAAAACATCCATCCTCATAAAATCCCAAATACCCTGCAGTCCTGCAGTCCTGCAGTCCCCATCAAGTTCGTCCTTAGCTTGCACAACGTTTCCCAGGAAAGAAATTCACATTGGACCGAACTCACGTATCCAACTGAACACGCGGTGCGCGTACATCACATCACACAAGCAGCCTCAAGGCGCCGATAGGGGATTTATCAAATAAGTAATTTTTGTAAAATTTCCGATTCTTGTACTTGTGTAGCTAATATAGATAGATAAGGGAAGAGCGGCCAGATTGGAAGTGTCTTTGGATGTATAAATGAGATTGTAAATCTTACATCGGAAATTTAAAATTGACAGTGTCAATCACTGCTCACACAGAGGGTAGGTATTGGAACTGTCATGGTGCTTTTGCTCCACTTTTCATTCCGTTTGGGTAGTTATAAACGTAATTTTGCAGATAATTTATCATCGTCTAAAATACATGTGTGCAGCACAAGAGGAGCTTATGAAAAAGATATTATGTACTGAATCCCAGTTACTCGAGCAAAGCTTCTTAAATTGCTGGGTGATATGCATGACATATAGGACCATATGGAACATGTTCGAGGAAAAATTATGATACACTAAGTGGACATACTCAATAGAGTACTAGTCCAACCGCCCACTCAGTAGCTTATCTAGGAAATTGCCACGGCACGACAATAACAAACAGAACAGATTGATACATGTGTTACTGTACCCTAACACCAACACCAATTACCAGGCAGTCACCGACGATCCATTCTTCTCGCTAATTTTGTCTCGTCATATATTTTTTCTAGTAGCATGGCGAGTCTCGTCGGGGAACGTAGGACTTAATTTAAAACCACTTCTAGACCATTTGTTCCTTAGACTTCTGTCTCTCGCTTGCTCCTTTAATCAAAGTGCTAAGGTCACCCACTGGGATTTGGAATGGAAAGTCTAACGCCGCCAGCATGATAGCAAAAAAAATCCACCAACCCGCCAGTGCTGTCACAAAAAGAGTCGCACCAGCTGCAATTTGCAATCTACCTGCCAGCGCCAATTGACCTGCATCCCTATTTCCGATGCCATTTGCAGTGTGCAAATATGTTGCCGACAAAAGTCCAAAGGCGACAACCATTGTAAAGAAGATTATTACAAAAACAACATTTGTGCGTAAGGAACAGACGAGATATATGAGAGAAAGGACACCCATAAAGATAAGAAAGAATGCGAAAGAGGCGTTGAACCCAACAGTTTCGAGACCATCGGCTGCAGTACCACCAGCAGGAGCGTAAAGTGCATATGCGCCGTAGAAAGGCTGTAGTGTGGAAGCAAGTGTAAGCCAGTAGGCACCGAAGGAGATGAAAACCACAAAGGGAAAAGTGTTGCCGAGAATAAATTCGAGAAAGCCGCCAACAATCATAAGGAGTCCACCAAAGAAGTAATAGGAACCGCTAACGATGGGTAAGTTGAAATATCAAAGTAGGATCAGTAAGATAAGCAAGACACCTACATTCCAGCCGCACCATTACCACCTGCTCCACGCCAGCCCATAAGATCACATGATAATGGTGAGAGGGAGATTAAAAACCCAAGTATTGCGCTACATACTCTGTTAGGCTGGTGACTTCGAAGCACAATAGATGGACATACACTGGAGTAGGATTTCCGAAGGTTTTTCTTAGATCACCTTTTACGGCGTTTTGTGGAGAAAGATAGATTTTTTCGAACAGTTCCGGACTGATACTGATACTACCAGCTGTCCTGATCCTATTTAAAGCCTCATTTGAACTCATTGAAATATCATTCATATGATGCGAATTGCTGCCGTCTCCATAGTTATTGCTACTGTGCGAAAAATCCTTTTCCAGTGGAATACCATTTGAATTTGCCTGGCGCTTCAACTCGGTTGCCATAATGAAAGTGCTCTATGATAACAGAAGAGATTTGATTGATAAATCAATAGTAAAACGAAATGCAAGCAAAGATAATCAGACTGTATAAAAGCAAATTATGAATATGGGGAGTCGAGTATTATGTACACATTACAACATGCACTAATAGGCTTTCTCCGCACTCTTCGAAGGCTTCACACTCGCCCCCATAATCTCTAATTCTGAAGATACGCGTACAGAAGGGCTCACACTTTAAAGTTCTTGTAAACTTTGGGAGGAGCTGTCCAGGTCCAGACTAGTGGGTGAACACTAAAGTCCTTGGGGGTGTCGAGTGGGAAAGTTTGGAAAGAAACTTCTTGAGCTAAGATATTATTGGAGTAGAAATATTTAAGATAGGAGCGCCGAGATTCGTATTAGCATAGCGAACTACTTACATGGCGTATCTAAACAACAATAGACAACTCGGAAATTTGTATCAAAACCTGATTGCCACCTACTTTATCCGTGTGAAGCGGGCTTAATTATGCTTCAGTGAATGATGCAATAATAATGAAAGATTTGTGCTTCTTGTTGAAATCATCAAGCATACGAAGAAAGTATGGCATGTGCAAAATCGTCCCGATTGCGTGTATATGCTGGGTTATACGTAGTAAATAAGCTTTCCCGTCAAGTGGAGGCACACGGACATACACTATCAGATGGAATTGTGCAGCTGATACTAGAAGCCAAGGATGCGGGGAAAATACGCGGACCTTAAACAAACTTTGACTTACCCGGAATTGTGGATGGTGCCATTGGCCGCGGGGAAGGCGTAATGGTATACAAAGCTGCAAGGAAATGGTATTGACTGACACCGGATACCAATTCTTGGGCGTTAAATCATTAAGGTGACAAAAGTTGATATAAAGGCCCTCAATGTTTCTTCTAAACATTGTGATTTGGCTGAAGGTAACGCTCCACGAGAGTTAATGTCATGATTTCAATCCATATGGTGATTTTTGCAATGTTTCCGGACACCTTTACAATTGTCGAACTTTCGAATATTGTACTTATACCAAACTAGGAACGAACAGTGGAGCAACTTCACCCCAAGACTCTTCAAATATCAAAAGTATTGATTTCCTTTTAATTTGCTTCGCTTGGAAATGGTAGAATACCATGCAGATTGCAAAAGCCACGCCATCATTTCTGCACTATATGCCTGGGCTAAGGAATCTTTCCAAAAAGCCAACAGCATCAAGCTAATATCCTTGGGTTGTATCTTATATCGGGAATGGCCACCCAGAAGTGCGGAATCTTCATGGAAGGGACGAAATTTGGCTTGAAAGACATCTCTCTGGTGGCGTGGATTCGGTGCATTCACTCTCGCTCGTAAGATAGTAAATAAGAACCAGCCGCCGCCTCAATTGATACGTCTGATTGTGCCACAACCTTCTATAAGAGTAGCAATCGAGCGTGAACAAATAAGTCGGTTATTGGAAATAAGGGCACGTACGACAAACAGCTAGGCTTGTCACACGTGAGATGTGTTATGTACGCTATTGTGATCGATATTAGCCATTGAATCCAGGTGATTCTTCGAATTTCACAATGGGATATTCAAGACCTCGGACGTCATTGCCCCTACGCCCGTATCTGGTGTGATATGACAGATGAAGGGAAAGATTTGACCTGGCTTTAGAGTTTCGAGTATCTATCATAGTTTTACAAATCGTGCGCAGTTGAAACCGGCAAATTTGCCGTTTGCTAATGCCGCTCTAGCAATTTATTTCGGCATGGTCTCGTGATCAGAGCAAAGAGGATAAAGTTTGCTCTATATCACTCAATTGGAAACCACTCAGTGCGTTCTGCAAAAATATTTTGAATATCTGGAAATTGATACACACAGAGATTTCAGGGTAAACGCACGTATCACGTGATCACATGTCACCTGGATTGACGACATCCATCGCCACAGAACAAATTTACAGTAAGAGCGATTCCAACTATGTGAATACTTATAGACTGATCCCTTTAGAATGCATCATCATTTAAGATACATACTCGAAGTTTCATTTCCTATCTACCAAATTCCGAAGAAAAACTCCAAGTTGATCAACTACGGTGCCTAACTTATAGGAATATAAACCACCCAAAGACTTCCGCACCCTTCCTTCTATCAAGCCACCGTGATTTTTCCATCTGAAACCCAAGTTTGGAGTTCCTTCTCTTTCTCTTTACCTCAGCCTGTAGCTATTCCTTCCTTCCCTATTCACTTAATCTCATATCAAACTGCCAAAAACGTGTTGACCATCAAATAATTCCTCCAGCGATCATGACATCCCGTGGTATATTTGCTGTCTTCTAAACTTTAATGGCATCCACATCAGTCCAAGTCTCTTTGTTCTCCTCCTTCAGATACTTGTAGCCACAAGGATAATGGAGAGAATAGAAAATTGTTGCTGTTAGTCCTATTGTAGTGGTATCCATATCGATATCGACAGCAACACCTGCATCAGCAGTCAATGTTTCTTTGTTGAAAATGTGTCCAGTCTCTTAATCCCGTGCTACAAGAAGTGTAGAAAATAGATCTGATGGGTAAGTCAATTCCTCGTTTCATATACCAATATGTCTGAGATTCGCAAAAGTAAAAAACTCCTCATGAGCACCATGGATAAAGCATAGAGGGTCCGACTCCAAAACTCCAGATTTCTCCACGATACGCATGTATCCTAGTTATTTTTTTGAGACTGCATTAGCACCTGCTTCTGCTTAAGTTAAGGTTGATATAAATTAGGGATACTTTATCGTGTTCATCGAAAGATCTGATTCGGATAGAAGGACTGTGATATGAAGCATTACGATTTTCCTTATCGTTCAATATCATCAATTATGACTGAATGACGCATCGCTCATAATAACTACTTACAGATACGTAAAGGCTGTGAAATATCGAATGGCCGTGTCCATCCAACCGCGGATTCCTTCCCGCGTTGCTTTCTTGAAGATAATCTAAAAGTTAGTTGCTGAGTATTCGATAGATACGACGCATTCACGGTCAAAACCCTAAAATCCACCAGCAGTAGAAAGATCACAGAACCCCTTAAGCATTGCCATTCTCACAATAAAGCTGGCATTTCGAAAAACTAGTGGCATACAGCGTAAAGATTAGACTGCTGCGTCCTGCCCGCGGAACCATAGATGGATATGTTGAAGAGCGGCTGGTCTTTTACTGGAAGATATTTGATTGATCATCTTGTACAATAAATAACCCCTAAGTATATTCTATATCCTTAGCGATATTTCTTAATGCATACCATCATTGATCTACTGAATTCGATTACCAGCTACTCCACTTTGAACTTAATCTCCATACAACGATTTTAAGGACGAAAGATACATCTAAGCAGCGTCACAAGCATCTTAATGCAACAAATCATTCTAAAGGAAATGCAAGCACAGATTTATCGCACCACTACCGTGGAAGATTAATTACTGGATCAAATTGCGCAATAATTCTATCTGGTAAATATACATCTCAAAACATAGAAACTTCAAGCAAGCATGACAAATTCGAGCTCAGATAATTGATCATTTATTTCTCATTCCTCTCAAAAACCTGATGGCGCTTAAAAATCAAGTACAAAAAAGAATAACCTAAACACGCAACAATCGACAAGTCTATCCCTTCCTTATTGCCCACGATGCTCCTTCGGGAAAATCCAAAACTAATCTCAAGCTTAACCATGGCCGCAACAAGCCACTTACTGACTCTATCCATGGTAGCAGGCTAGAACTCCTCTTCCCCATATCTTTCTCTATGTATGCTCCTAGACCCTGAGCTCGAACACCCACATGCAATCGCGCCAGCATCCATATACATGGCTTTTCCATATCGATAAATAACAGCCGAGTCAAAGTTTGCTTCCAGCTAGTGAAAGTATACTAATACATAATACACAAAACCCGCCTCATTGCTCTCACCAAGCCCGCCTTACAATCCCTTGACCGTAAACAGGCACAGTGTTGTTCGAAAGATGAGAAGCCAATGAAACATCCTTAATTCAGGACTTCCTTCTCGCTAGCGTATAATATTCCGGGGAATTGCTATGTTTTTTAGTTGCTATCCAGGAAGGAAGGCATTTGTTTTAAAGTGAATTGTGTCAGGGAGCCAAAATATTATAGGATGTCACTTACTGTAATAGAAAGGTATTCCTCGCGGAACACTACAATGTTCATTTCATCATTTACGGAGACATAGGACGTCGGATTTAAGTGTGTGTGTCAGGGTAAACTGACCTCATATGTTTTGTGCTCTATACTAGCTAGTACAGCAGGTGTCTAGCTAAACTGCTAGTACTGTATGCTAGTACAGCTATAATATTTCTTCGGTACCAACGAAAGACTATGGAATCAACACCCGGTCACTCGATTCCATGATTGATCTCTACACAAGAATGTAATGATGTGTTCAGATTCATATGCCCAGCACAACATGACTCACTAAAAGATGCGAATAACTACCCTTTCTAGACACGCCGAACGCATGACTCTAGGTGGGGCAAGAGCACAGAACGAATGAATCGGACATCTGAAAGGTACCGTAATAAGCAAACTAAAATCACAGCTGAGAATCGACTGACTGCGGTGAACATGTATATCATCATTAAAGTCTTGTTGATTGAGACATCGAAGTCTTAGCGCCATCCACTTGTGCAGACTTTATGAGAAATAAGGAGAACAAGACGCCAAGGCTTCTAATTGTCCAGACCGCGTTCATAATGTTTATGTTTGGAATGCTGTTTGTCATTCATGATGACCCTTACTTCAGGTAAACTTTTAACCTATCAAATGTTCTTAGCAGTTTTATGAATCTGAATATATCAAATAAGTTCCACTTCTCAAACCGATTTACAAACCGGGCATCTTACGTCGAGATATATGCAGCGGGGACACTATGAATGCCTTAAATTGCCATAGAAACCAGGTGTGACAATTAGCACGTGCTTCACCAACATATGTGCTTGTCTACCTTGTATAAATCCAGAAGGTGACACACAAGAGAGAAAGATAGGAAGAGTGATGAGTAACCGCTGGGCTGTAAGATGACGATCATCCTTTTTAGCCCCCATGCGCCAAGACGCAGCAACCTCGCGCGAGCAGTCCAAAAGGAGGAACATGTGTATCATCACGTACCCATTTCGGAAAATGGATCTCATGCAAATTGAAAATTGATTGGATGAATGGCTTGTATTAACCCAATAGAGACAAGGGAGGTAAAGAGCCTCCTCATCTGCATAAAGTGATACGGGAGGCAGCACTACCTCGCCTCGGGAGATTCACCTTAGGGAAGAAACTTGCATTTCGTTCGCATATTACTGATACACTCCGTGAATTAGTGGGCATTCGACCGACGCAAGTCATGACCCTCAAGCTTCAGCTCGGGGGTCGTAAATTATTGCTTATCTCTTCCCACTTCCAAGCTTCTGGAATCTGAAAAGACTGGTAGGGACGGAGCCATGTTGGATGGAAGTGGAAGTGGAAGTGAAAGGTAAGAATCGACAAAGTTCAAATAAACATAACAGAACACTGCCCGGTAGCCAAGAAGATGTCTAGTGCTGACATGACACCCTGTTCTTTCGCTTCTTATACGCGAATTCAGGTCTCGTTCCGTTGCTCACTTGTCCCGTAAATCTCCCCCACTTTTTCGGTAATAATGCCTTTAAAGTTTTGATGTTTTGACGTTCATGTCAATTAAAAGGAGGAAGCAAAATTAAATAAGGAAATAAGTAAATAACTGCTAAAATTAACAAAAAAGCTAACTTCCAAAACGACACCTGAGTGATTCGAACACTCGCTCCCGAAGGAAATGCCTGACTCTGTTCTACACAGTAGCAGGGCATCGCGTTAACCACTCCGCCAAAGTGCCAATCATGTGATATTTATGCTTTTCAGAAAATATATACTACCGGATTGGAAAGGAGGTCACAAGCGATATAGACGAGTTTGTTGGTTCTCAAGGAATGAATACCTATAGCTAGCTCCCGAGGTCTTTGTTAATCACCAAAGAAGGCTTATCCCGGGTTATGTTCATATTCAAAAAGTCGCCGTTCAGGTATTTTGCTACAATTATTAATAAGCTTGTCAAAATTTCACGCCAATATTTTCATTGTGCCGAAAGATTTTTTACCTTGCCGAAGCTTTACCGTACCACCATCATTGATATGGATGCCCCTATAAACTGAGCATTTAATCCTTTGATACCCATCTCATCTATCAAGTTTTTGTCTGGCCGTGATATCTTCTACGAAAGATTGAATGCAGCAACTGCATTTGACTATTCCATATGGTATTTGTCTTCATGAGGTCGTAGTCTCGTTTGACGCGAGCACTTGGGTTAATGAATCCGTGTTCTTTCATTGCATAATAACAGCAACCTTATCCATCCACCTAAGCAGCAATGTGGGTAGCATCTCTATCCCGCAGGTGTTTAACATTAAAGGGCCTTTTGACCTTATAGCTCCAACACAGCAAGCTACCCGCGTTGATTCACATCTCCCATCAAACATTGAGACTGATTTAAGGGCCTGAAATAAGGTTTTGAAAGTACGAGGTTGTGACCCCTTCACTGGCGTTAAACTTGGCTCAACGCAGTCAACAGAGGATAAAATTCTCTTGGTTAGCAGCCCATTTGTGTTTGAACAAGCGCCAGCAATATATGATTCTTTTTTGGATCCTTGGAACATATAAATCAAAGTGCCAACACAGACCATCGGGTATTTACCGTGGATCCCGTTAGTGCTCACCCTACAAGGCATGACTCCAAAAAAATACTAGCGATAGCCACATACCCATGCTGCCAATGCATCATCCAGAAAGTGCCTGGCCGCAGTCCATTCATTTTTGGTCGTCATCTAGATGGATAGATGGGGGTAATTTTTGATATGATGGTCAAAAGGTGTCAAAATCCATGTGTTACGAAGATCACAACGGGAAAGGTCAGCACAAATTTGTTGGTTCTTATGAAAAAAACGCAGGATCCATCTGTGCTTCATCCATAGTTCTAACGTCGGAAAAATTGGCAACAACAAAAGCCAAAAGCTAAGATACCAATATCTATTTTTATGCTTGCGCTTGATATTAAGGCTGGGCTAAGACTTCGGGACAGATACCTTGATTAGGCAATCATTCATAGCAGATAACCAAACCCGTTCGAGGCTATCTTAAGGTGATCTTCTGAACATATCCCCGCTATCATGGTCATAGTGGGCCTATGTAGGACCTAGAATTTCTCCGTGTTGAGTACCATATTCACGTTCTGGGGCCTGCTAAATGTGAATGTATCCACTAATCCAAGGTTAAGGATGTGGCTCAGGCAAAGATGCGCATCAGTAGGATTATGATATGATTTTACCTGGTGTTTTACTTGCCGATAAGGTTAATCTCTATGGGGTAGACACATGCGTTCCGGACGTTTAAATCAACCCTGTCTAATGAAGTCCAAATTCTGTACCTGTTCCCTAGTTCCAAGTGGACATAAGAACCGTATTGATAACTAACACACTTCTTCAAATATGATTGATATACTACGGATGTACACCACTCGACATTTGAATCTCTCAAACTTCCTGCAAGGCCTCGATCACCCAAATTTGCAATCTGCTTTCAGCCAAGATCATATACACCAAAGATGTCACTCAGCCCTCCAGGAACTGCACATACTCTAGGTTCTAATGGCATCAGACGATATCGTAGGACGACAGCCTGTACGACATGTCGTGGTAGAAGAGTAAGTATTTTTTCTCAACCACGGTTATGCATTGTGCTGATTTGTCAATTCTAGGTGAAGTGTAGCCGTGAGAGGCCATCTTGCAAACAGTGTAGAAAAGGAGGACGATCCTGTAAATATTTGAACAGTGAAATACCAGAATTCGAGTTCATTGAGGTGAATGTGCCGAGGATTTCTGCTGCTAAAACACCATCACCTGATGTATTGAACCCAATCGTCAAGAGAAAATTTGAGATCAAACTACAAGCAACTAATCTACCAGTGCGTGGAGTGGCTCAAATACCGTCGTCTCATTCTCTCCAAAAGACTCCTATAAATTACATCGATACTACTTTCGATCGACCCATAAGGAATATAGCCCTTACTCTTAGGGAATGGGGCGATGATTTTATCTCCTATTTCCGGACTCAACTTCCGGCACGGGAAGTTTGCGACCATTTTTTGGACATTTTTCTCGAAATACAATCTACAGTGCCTATATGCCATATCGATACTCTCAGAGATGACTACGCCAACCTCTGGACCGATACTCCTCCTGACACTCCCGTCGAATCTGCACTACTCATGTTGGCTGTTTTACATTGCGGGGCTGCCAATTCTACCATAAATATTTCACAATCGTCGACACTACACGATCTATACGAACAGCTGCTGGACATAGTTGCTCTCCCAACATATCAGATACACCGAAGATCATCGGCCATTAAGCTCCTACAAGCGTACCTTCTTGTAAATACATTTCGAGCACGCACGTTATCCTCACCATTCGCATACGGGTTTTTGTCCCCTGCAATTCGAATCGCCCACTCATTATATCTTCATTCCGAGAAACCATACCATACTTTTGAAGTTCAAAATGAAGTTGAGAAGAGAATTTGGTGGCATTTGTTGTTTTTAGATCTTCAATCAACGATCGCGACAGGTGCACGTTCATTAATACCTAGAAATGGGTACACAACCAGTATTTCTTTACCTATAGACAAAATTGTCGGCCATGCCCCAAACCAAAGTCCAACTTTGCCAATGATAATTGCCTTTCAAGGTCAATGTCAGTGGGTACATCATATGCGAAATTGGATTAGAGATATGCCAAATCAAGAGGATTTGATTCTCTTTGTCAAAACGATGGAGAATCTTCGAGATATATTGCCAGAAGGAAACGTAGAAAACGTAGGACCACGTGCATATCTAAATTTGTTGATTGATGAAACCTATTGCCTGCTTGGCTTGAACTTCTGTGAAGCAAGGCAATTAGAGGACACTAGGTGGCGCCACAACATTGTCAGGTTTGTTATTATCAAAATTGCCTTTTTTGGTGTCTCCACTAACATACTTATCCCAGAGCTGCATGTTCATTTCTTCAAAATTACCTCTATCTATCCAATGCATCTTGTGAAGCAAAATTTGGATGGGTTATTCCTGGTCTTATACAACCTCACCACGCTCTTTTTATCCTCCTAATGTATCTCAGCTCTTGCGCTTCCTCAGATGCCGATGCTAAATTATCAAAGTCACTCCTGGACAAAATTTTCAATACTCAACTATCTACCCATGGATTTGTTGCCGGCCACGCCAGTTCCGAGCCATCAAAGTTTGCTCACTCTAGCTCTGCTTCTCCTATATCCCACGGGTCATACGGTTGCCCTCGTCAAGATGTGCTTGTCCTCCTGTATAGGAAAATCCAAGCTAAATCTAGCACGATCACATCAATAACAACATCTTCTCGCCTCTCCTCTCCAAGCATAGCAGTCCTACCACAGCCGGGAAATCTAGTTCCTCGGGGACTAAATAATAACGTAATGTCCGTTGAGAACCCCGCAAATAAGAGCGAAGGAGCTAAATGGATGGAATTGGTTACAGGGAAGGACGTGGAGGACTGTGCTATGGATAGAGAGTTGGATGATATCATGAGAGGTGGGGAAGATGTTTGGGATAAATGGGAAAGATTGATAGAGACGGTTTTCAAGTGCTGAAAATCGCTGAACTATGGGTAATTTGGGGACGGGTGAAGGATATTTGTGACTATCGCGTAACTTGGGGTTTACCTAGGCTAGGTCTAGCAGAATCATATAGTCGATGTATCAAATTCCATCTAATATTATCATAATCTGGCTACTACGCTGGCGTAACCTTTTGGCACGCAATTCAATTGATGTTAAATACAAATGGATCATCTTAATTACAATTTACTATAGACCTAACGTATTACATGTATATGTATTATATACCTTACCCGGAACGACCCCAAAAAATGCCATATCCAATGACCTCAAACCTGATCAGCAGAATATTTAGTCTTAACACTCTTCCATTCCAAAAAAGAAAAGGAAGACACAAACGCCAACGCAGTAACAGGAATCGCCGCAATAAAACTTTCTGCAATGCCTCATTATAATTATAAGCTGCCAACACCGCAGGTAATTGATCAGCATCAACAACAGATCTAAAACCAGTAGCACCAGCATCCAAAACAGCCTGAATATCGATTCCTTGCAGTTGTCCATTTTCCGCGGAGGATTTTAATTGGTTCTGGAAAATGGTGTTACCGACAGAAACAAAAATTGCACCGCCAAAAGACTGCGATGGAACTACAGCAGCCGTACCGATGGGTATTTTCTCTAGAGATAAGACTCTTTGAACAGCAGTGAATCCTTGTTAGATAGCAATGCCAAAACCTGCTACACTGAGTATTTCATAGCCGACCCATTGCGCTAACGTGGTATCAGTTTTGAGTGTGCTGATCAATCCGCAACCTATTGTGGCGACTACCGTACCGATAATAGTAAAGTATCCGGATTTCGAGACGATAACACCGGCCACGAGTGAGAAGAAAGCGTCGCAGACTACATAGGGGATGATGTCAACACCGGAGGTGATGGCTGAAGTATTTTTGATTGCCTGGGACCATTGGGGTGGATGGTAGCTGTGGATTATCAAGGCCGAGTAGATGAAGAATTAGAAGAGACAGCTTGCTAGTACGCTGCGCTGTTTGAGGATTTCAAGTGGAATAAGAGCTTTCTCGCCTTTGTACCAGAGCCATAGTCCGAATATAACTATGGTTACACTGAAGCCAACGAGGACACCGATGACCTTTGTGCTGGACAGGAGGACCCCTGATAAACGGTCAGCACCCATTGTCTCAAAACTATCAAGTTGAAATGTAGATGAGACTTACCTCCTCAGTGTATTGGAAAGCTATGAAAGGCATAACGCAAGCACCGAGCAAGAGAATATTTCCAACGATATATAGCTCTAAGACTCTAGAACCGAACGAACATTTCGTGTTCATATTGCTTTTCGCAGGATTAAAGGATACAATCATAGCCAAGATGGCTACACCACGAACAGGAAGATTAAAATAAAAACCCCATCTCCATGTAACGAGATCGGTAAAAACTCCTCCAAACAGCGAACCTACAGTAGCTCCAATCCGAACCTAAAGTTTCTTTAGATAAAGTGCTGAGAAAGGCTCGTAGTACTTACATCAAACCCACTGCCGCTGTAAAAACAGGACGTTTCGGCATAGGTACACTATGAGCGACAACAACAAAAGAACCAGTTAGAATACCCGCACTCCCAATACCAGCAATGGCTCGACCTATAATCAATGTTAAAGAATTAGGCGCTATGCCACATATCAAGGATCCTATCTCAAACGTTATATTCGCGGCGATATATAACCATTTGATACTAAAGCTTGTGAGGATTTTTCCATAGAATGGTTGGAACGCGCATGCTGTGAGTAGGTATGCACTTCCGTACCACCCGAGATCGGCGAATGACTGAAACTCTCCGCTGATATATGGAAGTGCCTGGGCCACATGTTAGGATATTTTATAAGGAAGGAATGGTACTGAGTGCATACAGTTGTGATAATAGTCCTATCCAAAGAAATCAAAAACTCCGATAGACAAAGACCAATCGTAAGAAACTTCAAAGCAATAGCCCGGATACTCAATATCCAGCTCTTGCCGCTCTTGCTGCTCATGCTGCTCATGCAGGGAGACAGAATGATCATTATTTCCTGGACCGGCAAGGGTCTCTGGATTACTAATCAAGACCAATGATCCTGTGTTTGGCTCTCTGGACTCCCATTCCACGAGCTCATCTATATTTTTCATAAATTTATCACTCCATAATCCCGGTTTTCCAGGATGTCTCTGCTCTTCAACGGGAGTTGACTTACGTTTCGCTCGTCGAGTGGTCTTATTTCTCTTGATACTAGACGATTCGCTAAGCGTGCTTTGGGATGCGGATGTTGAAGCGATGGCTCGGTAGATTGTACAATATCTGCAAATAATTCATTGAGGACTGTGTTATTTCGCGATTTCTTTGTGGCTCGTGAGTCCCGAGTTTCCGTATACATAATTCCGAAGCTGGACAGCTTTCGTAGGTCGGAAAGTGATTCAAATCCTGAAAAACCTGAGCTTATTTGTGTGCTTTCGTCGGTAGTTGGATGTGAACTCGAACTGATGTCATTAAACTTTTCCTTCCTGTCATGTGGAGAGCTCCCGGAACTCCTAGGCTCATTTCCTTCCGGTTGTGGAGGATTTTCCTGAGCATTCAAACTCTCCCGTGAAGTGTGAGGTGCTTTTGTTGCGAATTGGAATTCACTGTTCGTTGGAAGGTCTAGTCGAATCATCGAAGAGATATGATTGATTGGTATCTTCTATCGTTCGGTCATTCTTTGCGAATCCACCAACCAGGTCTCGGTATTCTGCAAAGATCTTTTATTGCTTCCGCTCAAGGCACATTGGAAACTTCCCTGCTCATATGACTTGGCATTCAATACTTCCTCCGGAGCTTTTCTGTCATTAATTGATTGGTTTTCAATTCCTCCTGTAAGGTGTGGAAAGGTACCATCTTCATCTCCGGCTTTAACTTCCGCTGATAGCTCATGATGAATATCGTATTGCCCATTAAGTGCTTGCTGATTGATGCCAGACACTCCCTGCTTAGGAAAGCTATAAACTATATTTTATCCAATCATTTTGCCTTGAGTACGTAAAGCTACATTCTATGCTGTCGTCATTGGAACTTAATTTCCAGAATCAATGAGCGTCAATTGCTCACAGGATTTAGTCCCTCTTCAGACCAGCCAGTTGAGCAAGAGTAGATACGACACCAACTATGCCCGTACCATCAGTATGTCTCCCCAGAGTTTCTGATCCCCCTGTGAATGATTGCCCCAGGTCCTGCTGGCTTTCCACAGACAAAGTGTCTGTGATCTTTCTTCTCTCTTAATCTCTCTTCCTCTATCCTTGCATATGTCCATTCTTCAGCATCGACTGAATTTGTATTCTCGCCTGATTGCACCTCTAAGTCGTCTTTCTGAAGGTTATCTGGCAACAGATTAGAAGCTCTCAACATGAATTCAGGACTGATCGTTTTGCGACCTTTTTTGAAAACACACTTGCTAAGAGAGCATGCCACAACACCGGCTCTTGGATCCAAGTCCTTGCACTTTTCCTCCCGATTGTCTGTCTTCTGTTGTGGGTAAAGGGTGTATGACTTCGGTTTTGAACAGTCCTTTCGCACAAAATGTGTGACAAGCCATATCGCACGTAATCCTGCCGTCTACTCCAAACTTCGAAGCACAATTCTCTCGGAATTTGGACCGGAAGGTTCGGATATTTCAATCCAATCTTTGCGATAATGTAAATAATTACAATACGTGATTGATGAAACGTTACGGGTGGGTGCACCTGTTCCGTTGAATGACGGCATATGTAACAAAGATACAATATTACCGCGTGGAGGAGGTCCCGATGGTAAAAAACCTATGTCCTTACCAGCTGGGTCGAGAATATTGGTTTCGACGGATGGGATGCAATATCGGAAAGATATTTGGGGTGAAGATGCCGATCTGTTCAGGCCCGAAAGGTGGGAAGGCAGAAGAGCTGGCTAGGAATTCATTCCATTTGGTGGAGGGCCGAGGGAGTGCATTAGTCGTAAGTTTCCCTCTTTTGAGATTGACACACAGATAGCTAATTGTCATATCTAGAACAATTCTCCCTAACTGAGACTTCATATGTTGTTGTGAGGTTTCTGCAGAAATATAATCGGGTAGAGAATTTGGAGAAGCCGGGCTGGGTTCTACATCATCATACCGTTTCTAACCGCAGTAAAAATGGAGCGGAGGTCAGATTGCATAGAACGATTTCTTCATTTTTTGCTCTATAGATTCAACTAGAGATTAGAAGTATTTACCTTTGTAATTTGATTTTTCGTTGATGCTTCGTTCTATTGCTACAACAGACGTCCAGAAATATAAGCACGCTGGATGCCACTTATAGATTCATGCACTTATGTGCTACGGAAGTTCCTCAGAAATGTGAAGTGTATTGCAAGCGCTATTACCTGTATCTTACTCTATCATACCTCGCCCACCCTTTCACAATATAGATATCCTGCAAGCATAAAGTCCAAAAACCCACCCTCCATAGATAGATAGACCCGCTGCATTCACGAGTTCACTACCGATGTTTGTCAATAACTATCTCCCAGTGATCGGAGTGTTCCATCCGTAACAACGAAATCAGACCCCGTGATATAATCTCGTAGTCAGAGTCTTTCTTAGGGACTGTGGAGCGGAGAGAAGAGGGGTCATTGTGTATTAGCAAAATGAGGTAGACAAATCACTCACGGCTGCATCGGTGTGTTCGATATTTAGCTCGCTTGCCGATATCTTATTCAGACTTGGTATTCACACAAGCTTTGTCATAGATAGTTTCAATTACTATGCGCCCCTCAATCTACTAAGTCTTGCATTGTATGTGAACTGACTAGATCCCCCTGGAAATTTCTGGGGGGTTGCCGATGCTCATTGAATGCCCAGCGGAATGGCTTTGATGAATTCCTATATAACCATAGGATATTTCATTTGAACATTGCCTAGGGGCTCGCCTCCTAAAGTTTCCGGCGAGTCTCAGCAACAAATAGTTTGAAGGAAAGGTTACCCAAATTCAATGACAAATCAAAGAGAGAAGACGACATATTGGACTCGCTGAGAAGACTCCATGTTGATCAGATAATATCCTCTGATTGGAGTCAGGTCCTCTCCCCTAGCCTTTATGTGGTGAATTTTGAGGAGGTTCAAGCTCTCACTATATTCCCAACACTACCAATACCAATAATTATTCAGTTTCGATTCAATAAAGTTCTTGTAATTATCATATTCCAAAATTTAGGGCATGTCGCTGTAAGCACAAACACTGCAGTGGAATACAGTGAGGATATTGTGAGAAAGTTGGAATTATAGGCCAAATACATAAAGGTTTTAACTAGTCAATCACATAACCTTCTGTAATTAGATATAAAAGAAGAATCTTTTGTCTTTTCTTTTCACAATAACCAATCTTCTATATATATATATTTGAACCTATATAATATCAATCTCAAAACTATTATGAACTCTGTTTTACTTATAAGTGACGTATTACAATGTAATCTAATTCAGCTTTCTCTTCCAATTCCCTCCTCACAGCGTGCTATCGGGACGCACGTATCTCGACCTACCACTTTTACAATATGATACAATATCTGCTCTTGCGTGTCCAATGAAGGTTGTTCAACTTGAAATATTAGCTCTGAAAGTGACAGAAGAAGTCGCGTCCAGAATCTGCTCTAACACGAAATTTGTACGAATTAATGGCAGTATAAATAGAAGAGCAGACAGTGTTGTATTGCAGATGAGATTCTATAAATCATACTAGAACTGTGGTATAAAAGTTGACAGTCATCGCCTCGAAAATGTTATGAGACAATATTGAAAATCCTCTTGTTAGCCTGCGAGATTTTGAGCCTCAAGCTACTGACCCATCATATCCATGATCGGTAATCTGCTCGTGGAGGATCATCTACTTCTTTTTTAACTTCTGTTTCGTTCTCTAACATCCATTAAAATTTTCCGGGTCGTAGAGATGTGCCTGGAAGCTAGCGCCAGTGACCATGTAGTGAATGTATTTTGCGATTCAAAGATCTCATATACTCGATGAGATATCTGGCTGAAATAGTAAGAGACCAAATTCACTATAAAATGAAAATAGGGATGGTTCCATTCCTTGAAACTCTATGCATTCAATACCTACGCCAGTACCACGACACACTTTTCAGGTGATATACGACGCCCAAGTGAATTTAAAAATGCAAGAATTTTGGATACATGGGGCTAATTATTTATTTCATTGTAGCACTTAACTTTCATCTGCTACAAATATATCAAGGTAAATGGTCCATGATGAGAAGATTTTTGATAAAGTTCCAACGACAGGACGTATCTTAGGAATAACTTTGACAGCTTTTACTCACCCACTCCATATTTTTCAGGCTTTACTTCCAAGCTGAAAATAGTGATAAAATGGCTTTCACATGTCGTTGATAATAAATACTCCTAGATCGTCAAAAATTATGACTTGAATGAATACAAGAATATTCGGTGCAAGTCCTTTAACGTAACCTCAGAGTAATCGATATATCAGCTTAATTTATGAATATACAACCCAAACTTTTGACTGTATTCAGGAGTGTGTCATATCTCCAAGTGCACTCGACACCTTGGGGTATTTTTCAATAGTCCGTACATTGGGCTGGAGTACTTGAAAGTTCTGAAATAAGGCTAAAAGACCCGTTTGATGATAGAGTACATATGAGCAGTGGAAATTTTTACCTCTGTACCGTTAGTTCTATCAAATCGGTCGCCCAAGTCTTTTTCAGTTAGAACATTAATGGCCAATTTGCTTATTATTCTAGGTTAGTGAACCTTATAGTTTGACAATGAAGTGATAGGCAGTGATTTGGTTGGAAGATAGAATTCTGAAGTCTTGCGCAAGTCCCAGATCGATGGAGGTAAATAAAAAATCGCGCCACAGTGATTTTCGGGGAATTCCTTAGGACGAAAACAAGGACCTCGTCAAATTTGGGTCAACAACGACGATAGATAATCAGATGGGTACTCGGGGCTCATATCAACAGACACCAAAATCCATCACGTCAATTCGAACGACAGTCAACACACATACTTTGAGACTGCACAGCAGCGGTACAATGCTCTTGCTCACCCCTTGAGCCGGATACTATCATCAAGTGGAGTCGTGATTGAGTAAATCAATTTATGATAAAGTTTATATATTGCAGATCTCCATCACTTCGAACTTGTTAGATCTGGATTATCGGGTTCTCTAGGTTTATGCTTCATAGCCTAGTAGCCAGTCAAATAATTAGATTCCCCGTAACGTTTGAGGAGACGGGCAAGGTAGTTGTATCTCAGAAGTCCCGAGGATCGGTTCATAGAACTGTCCTTAGACTAAGCAGCATGAAAAAAGTATTTCTTACTCGAAACTATCGAAATAGAAAATAGATATGAACGCCAATTAACGTTAAATTAACCGACAGATTCCCCTACGGTTGGGAGAACAAAATTTGAGATGTAACAAGAACAGTCTCAGAAATTCAAGATCGATATGGACTCTTTTCAACTTGGACACGGATTACATCTGATGGGACGAGAATCAAAAATTAGAAATAAAATCCCACTTTCGTGGGTAGCCGTTGAATAAATGACAAGCTAACGATGGGTCTACCAATCTAAATATCATGTTTCCTCCCTAGACATGGACTTCGGATATGTTACATTACATGTAGACTTTGATTCTTTTCGATAAAAGCTATACTAGTGGTTAAAATTCTGGCTCGGTCATGTAAGATAAACTGGTCTTGAGGTTAAAAGCTGATTCGCAAGAATATCAGAGAATGACAGAAATGGGTTCTTGGATCTCGCGGAGAAGACGGGCATCATCTCGGCTTAGAGCTTAACCAAGAAGAATGCACACAATTGACCTTTCCTGATAGAGTGACCCGATTGGCTGTAGACCAAAGCAAACATGCATATTGGTGATGTAATGGTTTTGGAGCTGTTTTGGTTAGTATGTTGACGGCACAATCGCATCTTACTCCTCTCATAGTGAATTCAATGCTTCATCCGCATAGATATTTTTGGTTTATTGATGCTAAATGGGTTGAACCATTTCCAAAATGAATAATAGCTCACAGCAAAAATACTCTCTTCTTTCTCAGTCAAAAATCTTTCGTCCTCGAAGTTATTCCCATCATCATTTGACTGTCATTGGCAATAGACATCACGTAGTCAGCAGGAAAGAATAGCTCTTCTAGTTTCGCGACTTTTCGAAAGCTTTGGTCGGACAGTCGCTTTTCTTACAGCAGACATTGGCTCTCTAGTCGACCATCAAAAGTTATCAGCCCTTGTAGGCGCTAGTGAAAGGTTACAAGAAACGCCTTTAGATGCCATTCTTGGACTGTCCCTATTGTTTGTTGAAGAAACCATTTATAGTAGTTATCAACTAACTGCTGATCTCATAATGGATTCATCGCGAAGAAGCTATCCTTCCGCGATTAATATGAAAATTTTCGATGTACTCATGGACCGGATGAAGGCGAGATAAATGTGCACGATTTGGCGAACGAGACAAACCCTAACGAAGTATGGATTTGTGAGTGACTACTCAATCATCTTGCAACTCCAATCTTAACAGATGCCGAAAGTTCGAATCAAGAGGATCCTCACAATTTTGGGCTTCGCGAATAAATCCAGTTTTGGTCATCCGCACCTACTCCGAGAGGAGCAATGTTTGCAACGAAATATCCATTACCGAACGCCTTACTGCTTGCCCTGCTTCCAGAATCCTTCTGAGAACGTGGCAATCACAGGAATCCATGGAGGCCCCCTCCGATTCGGCAGAAAACTGAAGGTACTTGTTTTGACTGGATGGAAGGAAATCCAGAGCAGTAAGAAGCGTTTAGTCAGTCGATACGTGGCAACAACACGCATGGAGCGTGAAAGGATGTGAATTAACATTTTGACCGGGGGTTTAGATATGAATATCCAGATAAACCACTTCTTGTAGACGTCGGTGGGAGTTCCCGGTCATGGTTTAAAAGCACTCAAAGAGCGAGAAATTCACTTCCAGGACAACTCATCCTGCAAGACCTCCCTGCGATCAGTAAAAACATGAATGGGCTGGATTTTTCGATTGATGGGATATAGCATAACTTCTTTACGCCTTAGCCCGTGTAAGGAGCCCGAATTCATTACATCAGAATCGTACTCCATGACTACCAGGGCAAGAAATGCGTGAAAGTCCTCCAAGCAATCTGTGAAACGAGGACTCTCGATTCCATACTTATTCTCAACGGGAATTTCTCGTCTGAGATGTCTTAGTTTAATGTAGAGAAATGCTACTCCTTACTGGCATTATTCGAGAAAGAGTGGGTGGCTGTTAGAAGCTGCAGGATCAAAACTGGTCAAATTCTGGGCACTATAATCGTATGGATTCACTTCAACTCTGTCCGAGGCCGCAAGAAAAGTCGAAAGAGTGTTGAACGATGATTCGTGTGTTCTAGCTACAGCTTCCAGGGGTTCGGAAGAATGTGGCTAGTGCAGACCCTGTGGCGTGGTGAAAATTATCGATAGCGACAATCATTTTACCTATTGGCATTCATTCTTCCTGTATATCCATTCGTAATACATACTTCAATTCCACGAAAAGCATACCTTCAAAGTTACGGGAAGAAGTCCCAAAACACACGTTGCACATCTTTAGGATAAGTTGGAACTGGTCAATACTTCGTGATCGGTCCGAATTTCGGAGAACAATTCCCCCACCCAGCATATCAAACTCGGCGGGGACGGCGACAATGATCCTCTTAGATTGACCCCCTTCTCGACATGCAACAATCCTCCCTCGCGAATAGATGCAGAAATGCAAATTACTGAATATCAGCTAGGTGGGCCTCAAAGTGGCGGTAAGATGGCGTCCCCATGGCTGGCCACATAAATTCGACTTGAACCCTATCGAGACGGCTCGCGTGCAATGGAGATTGGTGAAGAAGAGAGGTGAGAGTGAGGATATATTTGCAAAAGTTGTTGGTGCGGAGTGCGCTACCAGGGGGCCGGAATATATTATTGATGGCGCCAAAGGTAGCTCGGAGGCCTCGATAAGACAAGATTGTTGACGGGCAAGAGGACCTAATCTACTACAAGAGGGAAATAGAGATGGATATTGAAGTTTAGAATTGAGAAGCTGAAGTATTTCAGAGATGATTGTTGGCCGCAAAGGAGAGAGTTGATAATACCAGCCCCGCAGTGAGGTAAGACGAGCAAGGAGAGTCGAAACGTACCGGTCCTGATTCAGACTCATATCGAGATTTCATTTCTCGGGTGAATATTCTGGAGTTTGGCTTTTGGATGCAGTTCATAAAATACCCTAGCATGGCCTAATCGTTTCTCTTGATATTCATCTTATTCTTTCTGTCCACACATTGATTGACTGTTTATTATCATCGGCATAGCAAAAGGATGTTAGAAGTCACATCTTTGCGCAATTAAAATCGCCAATATTTCGAGGCTTTCTATTTTGTTAATATTGCACCAAGATACACATAACCCTCAATAAAAAGCCCCTCCTTCAAGATTGGCACACCAACATCACATGGGGCCCAATAAGCTTGGTGGAAGTCTCCTATATTTGACAGAAAGAATCATTGTGGCAATTCCACCAATTAATTGATGAAACTTGGGCCTCATGTGTGTGAATGATTCTGCCTTGTGGCATGTACAGCACGCTGACTCGATGTTGGAAATTCTACTTTCCATTGAGCAGTACCAATCATGCCGATATGCGTGTGAGTTCGTTTTGTGTACTTCTTGCGAGGAGTGTTCGGCATTGCATGTCTCATTAATCTGTCGTCAAACAATCTGCAGATCATTCTGCAGATCATTGTCTAGAGCCTTATTAAGTCCTGAGACGTGTGCAGTGCATCTCAGGGCCCATTTATTGGACCTTCAAGTTCTTGTGCAAAGACCCACCGAAGAAGCTTTTCTTTTTCTTTGAATTACTAGCCTTTGCTCGCTGTTCCATAAATCATTGATGCAATTAACGGTGATTATATAATTCATTCAAGTGAGCATTCAGCGCTGCAATTTGAGAACATTTTTGCCTGAGGTTAACGTGGTGACATATTTCTCGGAGCTTGAATATTTTGTTTGAACAACTGTGCTGCTGCATGTCATGAGCGAGATGAAAAATTACGGTGGAGAAGTACGATCTTCAACGTAAACAATGAAATAGGCTATACCTAAGGGCGAGTTTTTGAGTATTTGGGTGAATGACGTTGCAAGTCAATATAAGCGTGCGAAAATTATGTTGAAATTTAAAAATCGGTAAATTTTATTTCCGTCAAATGAAAACGACTATATACAGTAGTAAAATATCTCATTGCTAAAATGCAAGAGCGCCTGGTTTTGTTTCATCATTCCCTTCTCTTAATCGCAAGCGCAGGTGCGGTGTACACATGCCTTGCCTTAAAATAATAATAAATCAAGGCTACAGACAGTGTCGCTACAAACATCACACTCGACCAGTTCATGTTCTGGGCGGTAACGGGTGTCTGGAGAGGCCAAAACGAGAAAAATGTAATGGGTGTTAGGAAACACAAAGAGGCAATGTTGATAGCCATGCCGTATTTGCCGAGGGACCACCGATGTGAAGGGAGTGGGCCCTGCATACGGCGCCATATCAGACAGCTGATGGTGATGTAATAAGAGCACAGAATTGAAACACCGCCAAGCGAGTTGATGGCATTGAGTGCCACGGAAGATCCTAGGTTGATGAGAGAAAGGAGAGACGAGACGGCAATAGAGACGCAGACACTGCGAAGCGGGATATTCCACCCGGGCGATACCTGCGACAACCAGTTCGAGCCTGGTAGACCTCCATCTCGAGCAAATGACCAAATCTGTCGTGATGCGGCGGCAACTTCACTGATACAGCAGGAAAGTAGGAGGATGACCACAACAATGCACATAACGTTTGTGGCCGCGTAGCTTTGGGTTGCATTGTAGAATACTTGCATGAAAGGCTGACCAGTCACAGTATCCAGAACGGCCTCGAGATCTCCTAGGGTGAAGATTAAAGTCACTGCCATAAGGAATCCCATAGTAGCGTTGGGGCCCACCGACCACATTATGGCTCTTGGAACCACCCAGGATGCGTCCTGAATTTCCTCAGCTTCACACGTGAATATTAGTATCCTATTAATGTAACATCCTTCTGTGGTGAAACATACCTAGATGCACGGAGCAATCATAACCAATCAACACACTCATTGGACTCGTTAGTCCAATCATGGCTGCTAGCCCCTTTGAAGACCATCCGCCATCATTGCTGAAGTTCATGAGAACGGTAGATGCATCGGCACGTGGTGCCATGACCCAAAGTGGAATTATGATAACGAAAAAGCCAATCAAATGAAGAATCAAAATGATACCCTCAATTAATGGTAAACGTTCGGCCAGTGAAGTGTTGAACACAACTGAGAAGGTTACAACACCAATAGCGAGCAATGTTGCATGGAATGGCTCATAGACATAGTCGGCTTTGTTGAGTGCTATAAGACCTTGAAGAATGCCACCGATCATGAAGCATACACCTGCGAGATATACTTGCCATCCAATGGCGGAGAGCCACCCTACGATATAACTAAGGAGCTTCTGGACTTTTGGAGGGGCAAATTCTGAGACCCAGTGGTACTGACCACCTGCTGTCGGAGATCTGTCATTCTCCGCACGTTAGTTATCAGAATGTGGGGGGACTAAGGCCAGAATTTAAGAAAATGGTACGCACATCGAGGCCATTTCAGCAATACTAGCATAGACCAACGACATGCCGCAAGCAGCAACAATAAACCCCCAGAAAAGATCGGCCGTTCCTCCATCTACCATGACGAACGTAAAGAGGGGTAGTAAGAGCTCCCAAGACGCCATGGCAGTACTCGCGAATCCCAACATAGTTATAAATTTGAAATTTCGCTGCATATCATTCCGTCAGTCATTATTCCTACTTTCTTATTATTGGGAGGAACATACGCGCAAAACCTGTTTCTTCCCTAATGCTGCCATATCCTGTTGATCTGCTCGGGTTCCACGCCATTTTTTTGCGACCTGACCAGGAACTTCATCTTCGAAGTCCTCTTTCTCAACATCCTGATCGATCGAGGCGACGCCGCCAGACTCTCGGCTTGCAAATATGACATCTCTATCCTTTTGAATTTCTGCGGACATGGTGGCTAGTGAATGAAACCGAGGGCGATTGGGTTGATAGAGATGCGAGGTTACACCCAAGCAAGCACTCAAACTAGTGACTCGATAAAAGGCAAGGGAGGAAAGAATTGCAATCGCGAGAACTCAATTTTAAGACAGGAGAACGAATGCTTTCACCATAAAAAGAAATGCAAATTAAGTACAGCGCAAGTGCAGGGCAAGATGCGAAACGCGAAATGCGAAATGCGAAATACAGCCGGTATAACATTGTGTTACCGACTTGTGCCCTGAATTTGTTATCAAATCAATATTGCCGACCAGCCGCGTCTGATGCATTATTACTTCATGAAATCCAGACCTCCAATTCAATAACTCCCCATGTTATTTTACCTCGGTTCCATCCGACATGTTCATGTCGCCAGAAAATTCTGAATAACTGAGCATAGCGAGCACTTTCAGCCAATAATCCTTCCATTTCAGCTGCTTTAATTGATCGACATTCCGCATTGCTTGCTTCGAGTAATGGTGTTATAAAATCAAGGGTTATTTTAGCCTTCATATCATCAGACTCTCTGGCGACATAAGTAACGCCACAACCGTTCAGGGTGATATCCGGCGCGGGCCATCCCACCGATATGGATAAATATCCGTTCTCAGGTTATTTGTGAAGATGGGGATTCAAGGTTTTCTTGGAAGTCCCACTCCCGCGTGGATGAGGATTCACAGACCCGTAATAGTGGGGTTGTAACAATGAATTGCCTTTTTTTGATGCTCGGCTGAATTTAGGCGATGCGGTTATGACAGCCTTGCATATCAGGTATCAGTGATACATTAGTCCTGCAGCCTCTGTCAGATTTTAATGGCTCGGTGATGAAGATGGGATCAACTCGAAAGGTTGACAAGCTGAGCATCCTCGCAAAAGAATTTATGCCTAAAAGACCCTGTTCAAAAAAATGTAAGGATTCTAAATATGGAGGAAAGCATCGCTAAGCCATCTCCCACCAGTCGTTGTACACCTCGCTTATTTGTGAAGGGCGAATACTGTGTAATGAAGGCGAAATATTTTTCATGATTTTTACCAGTAAGGAACGGAATCGAAAAACGTTTCTTTGAGCCTCCGATGGGTCCTGCCGTTCGCTTGTCAAAAGTGGAGTCGTGGTTCTTTCGAATTAATCCACGGCACGATCGATATTTGAGTGCTGACCACTTATTATGAAATGAATCGAGGGTCAAGATTAATCCGATCTAGATTCTACTCCATTATTACGTCCCATACCCAAAGTGTCTTCACTGTACAATTGAAACGTCTCAGGTTTTTCGCATTCATTTTAAGAATTCGGATCGCAAACAAGGTGCCCAAACTTTGTATCCACATCGACCATATACCCCAGCAAGTTCCGAATGACCCTAGACACAATAAAATAGAGCTTCGTAACTCCTCCGTATGGCCCCTCCATGTTTCCACCTATGAACTGCTGATCCACTGCATGGCAGGTTCGCAACGAGCAAATCATGATTGTTTGCATCGCAAAGTGGCCCTGTGATATCCGAGGCATGGTTCTTCCATAACCAATTTACTGGAAATCCGGAAGTCGTTCCCCAGAAGCTTATGGATTACTCCCGATACAGATTCAGCTTGTTCTCTCCGTGCTTTCACAGCCTTCCGAGAATCCTTTTGTCAGTTTTCCGTTCATTATTCTCTTTTCCCACTTGGTAGTTCATAGTTGTTAATGAGCCGACAGGGGCGGCTCGTTAACACATGCCATAGGGCGCGGTATTTCGTAATATTTTACTTTCCCCCCGTGCTCTACTTTTCTTAAAACTAATAGATATAGTATTGATAAATCCCAGGATAGTGCTTTTTTCACGGTGGGTTTTATGAACCATCGGCATCCGGCACTTCAATCAACGATGCTTGAATCTTCATGAACTGTTTTGACTGACGAACCCAATAATAAGCGCTATGTCAATGCCAACGACTGGCTTGGTGGTTCCGCCAGGACAATCACCCCCATTTGCTGTCGTGACGAGTACGGATCATTCAGCGTGGGTGATAATAGCGACGGCGTTGGGACTTGCATGCGTGCTGGTCTTCGGTGGGATCAAGACTTTTGCTAGAACTTCATTGGGGAAAGGGGTCAGTTATGATGAAATGTGTCTTGTGGCTTCAACGGTTAGTTGCTTGAAAATATAATTTGCGGCGGCCACTCCTCGCCGTGATAATATTCTCGAATGGAATCAAATGGCTGATGGAAAGTGTAGCTCATTGCGTCCATTCAATCGTCGGTGATACTGGGAGCTTGTTCGAAAGGCTTGGGAAAATCTATCGAACTTGTACCGGTGAAGAATCAAGCTTCAATACAGCAAGTAAGTCCGAGCCAACAAAGTAATGCGGTTTAGATGCAAACAAAGGCTAATGTTTTAATTTGGCAGATGTGCTACACAGGCCTCGTGTTGTTCGTCATATCTGTTGGTCTCTCCAAAGCTTCAGTGGTAGTTTTACTGGGAAGTTTGACGCCAGATCAAAAACATCAGAAGATATTCCGGAGCGTAATAGGTTTAATAGTGATTTGGACTATCGCGAGTACATTTGCTGTGGCTCTCCAGTGCAATTTGGCGCATCCGTGGAAAACTATAGGGGAGCGTTGTGACAACGTAGTAAGCTTCCTCACATCGGATTTCGTCCTAAACTACGAATCTAACAGAAATTTTAGTTTTTGAGATGGCAAATTATATCTTCTTTTGATATTATTTTCGAGCTCGCCTTTGTTTCTCTATCAATTTATCTAGTATGGAGTCTTCGAACGAGCAAATCAAATAAGACAATTGTAGTTGTTGCATTCGGCTTTCGTCTTCCGTACGTTTGGGGTTTTCATTGAGTATAAGCGCACGCTAACGCTCCTATCTAGTATGATCATCGCCATTTCGTACCGACTGGCGACATTCGACATAAATGGGTTGAGCAAAAATCCCATGTTTCTCGAGGACGAATTCATTATATGGACACAAACCGAACTCAACTATTCTGTCATTTCAGCCATCATACCAAGTCTCCGACCTTTTGTCAAAAATCTTTCTACATATTACGGCCAGGAGCTAGGAGGAAGATCTGGATATACGCTGGAGAATTCCGAAAACTATCAACTTTCAAATTTGGGCTCAGGCCTCCGGAAGGACACCCAACAAGAAGGGAGGGTACGGGAAGATGTGGATCCGGACGACTATAAATTTAGGATTTGGGCAAATGAGGAAGGACGAGGTGCTAAGAGACATAAGAATATTGGGGAGGGAAGTTCGAGGTTATGGAAAGAAACTGGGGGTGAAGCGGCGGATGGATTGAGTGTGGGAAGTGGTGATAGCCAACGGATGATTATCAAAAAGGATACTACATGGACGATACAGATGGATTGATCAGAGATGGAAATGGAAATGGAAATGGAAATGGCCAAGACATAGGATATTGGGAAGCCAAAATATGGCAGCAGATAATGCTTTCTAAGGAATTAGGCATAATAGGAAGCGGTCAGACTCCAGACACGCTTTGATTCACACATTTTTCAAGCGGTTTTTATTATGACGCAAAACGGTTGGAGAGCCCACAAACGGTGGTCGTTGAACCTTACTGCAGTTCGAATGACGTCGTGTCATTCTTGCAAGATCCGATATCTCAGGCTCAGTATCTTCATCAATCGATTCCTGGCTCTAGAGTAGAGTGAAAGTGGGAGCCATAGCCGTAAGAGCTAAATCATCTCTACATTTTTCTGTGCAGAGCAGAACAGGCACTGTGGCTCATGTAGAAGATTCCATCTCATTATTGTTCAACGGACACAGGGCATGGAACATCTAAACCCTGTCAAAAGCCGAAGACAGTTTAGGAAACCCGTACCTGCATGGAGCATGAACCCTAAGATGCGGCAAACTCCGTCATACACTTTGTATAATGTTTCGGTTGTGTATGAACCGGACAATTTCAACATCCATCTAATCCACTATCCGTCCAATCTGAAAACCTTTCGATAACATGATTTTAAGTTTTCCTGACCCTGTCGAAGACGTAAATCTCATATCCAATGACACACATCGGTTCAGATCATAGGATCTCATTGAAAGCTACTTGTGAACAATTAGTTAGCCATCTCCACACATCGTGTCATCTATGATCTACCTAGGTAATATCTCGAGTCCCAAGGACAGACCCGGAACGAAGAAAAATGATTCGGGTCCTCCACTATTGGATTTGCATCCGTAGTCACCACCCCACTTTGATCCTTGTTGACGGGGCTCGCATCCTATGTGGACAGAAACTTTAGATTCAAATTCCAGAATGAAAACATATATTAATTTTTACATTAAAAATGAACCTCGAAATCTTAGAGGTTAGAATCTAAAGAACTTACCCGACACATCTTTGGAAAATCCCGCGACTATACATGCCCATTTTCAAACTTGGGAAATGGTTTTTTTTCTAATCTATTTTTCTCTTGCCTTAGGATAGACCTAATTTGTTCAGTTCCCACTCGTATACGTTCCCCCAAACCAAAGGAGATGCGTCCTCGATTCCTTTAGCGGGAATGCAATAAAACACCAGGATATGTTGAATTTTCGCTGTAGCGTAGGGCCTAGACGTCTGCTAAGTGCTAATAGAGATTGTGACTTTATCGAAAAATTGCATGAGACATTTAGCTCAAGTTCACATGCTTTTATTTTGAAATCTGATATTGATGAATCTCGTGGCACATTGACTTCGAATCCTTATCAACACAATCAACAAATCCTTGTTCTTCCACACATCTTGATAGGACGGTGCAGCTCTTGAGCCGTTGAGTTCCAAGCGAGACAATATTAGCCTCTATCCAAACTCTGTCCCCTAGACTGACAGAGTTCTTGAGCTTTAGCCATGACAGCCATAACAACAGGGTCTCAAGCTGGCCATGACACTTTCGACGCGCTCAACATCGAATACGAAAAAGCTTATCGCAACAACCCATTCAAGATCGCCGCCATCAAAAAAGCAATAAAATTGCTCCACCCCGCATCAAAAGTTCTCGATGTAGGATGTGGCACCGGGGTACCGGTTTCAGAGCTGTTAGCTGCAGCCGGTCTGGAAGTTGTTGGTTTTGATATTGCACCCAAGATGATTGAATTTGCTCGCCAGAGAGTCAAGGGTACCTTCTCCGTTTCGGATATGGTGCAATATAAAGTCGAAGATGCGTTTTCGGGAGTCTTTATGATATTTGCACATCTTCAACTTTCCTATGCGGCGGTTCATGCAGCTGTGTACAAATACGTTTGTGCACTCGAACCGGGGGGAATATTTGTGTTTGGTCAAATGCCAAGCGATACATATGTTAGAGAGGAGGATAATGCCTATGATGAAACGAGAACGTATGTTGAGGATTACAGTGCACCGTTTATGGGAGAGCCACTTCCAACTTTTATGATGAGTGAGCAAGGACAACGAAATTTCTTGACGAGTATGGGGTTGGAGATTGTGAGTGAGACTGTTGATGAGTTTCAACCGGACAATGAGAAGTGCGAACCCGAGAAGCAGCAATATATCATTGCGAGGAGACCGGTGGATGGAAAGATTGTAGAGCCACAACCACTTCCAAGAAGGAACTAGCTACTCTTGAGATGGCCAAAAAAGTGTCAATTAATTTATGCAAGTCAAACATAAAATGTAAACAATACATTGTGTATCATGCCTGAGTGAACGTTCAGGGGTGTAAGTAACATTTCGACCTACCGACATGCAGCCTTTATGTCAAAAGAATCCTCCGAAAAACTGGCAGTATCTCAGAACATAGTGGATTCCAGAGTCTGAACCACTGATTACAATTTAACATCTGTACATATGCATTCAGGACAAACTCCTTAAGAAAGTCTGAACATCCCTTCATTGCATCAACAATATTAAAATGATAGACTGTCTAAAAGGTGAAGAGATGCAATGCCGATCACCAAGACACCATCCTCAGCAGAAGGCTGATTGTGATGTTGGATCACACAATGTGGATGCATACAATGGACTGAGAATGATTTCTGGAGTCGCAATATTGGGGCAAGATCTTAGGTTTTGGTTATATCGAGTATATTAGTGTATAAATAAATTCAGGGTATTCAATAGTTCAGACTACAAAATATTTTAAATATTTTAAAGTAAACAATCAAATTTAACTCTAAAAGAAAGTTGAATAATCTATATAGAATAATCTAAATTCTTAACAAATCTAAATCATAATTTAAATGAATTTAATTTCGGAATGGAATATCATTATATTATATAATATATATATATATATATTATTTAAATTATATAATTCAATTATATAATCTTGTTATATAATATTAGAATCAATAATATTGATATTCAATTCAAAAGTCTAGATAATATAGAATTTTTAATATTAATCTAATTAATCCAAACTTTTAATATAATTAAAATCCTTTAATAATTTATTTAATCTAATAAAATTACAAATTAGCCGTATAGATTGCTGTTCGGACTTTAAATGACAGGATTATTAGATAATTACATTAAGTAAGCTTGGAAACATACAATTCTTTCATAAGAACTATGGCATTGACTACAATGCTTTGGTTTGTGGTGCTTCACAAAATGCATGTTCGGGAGATTACATTGAGAGCACGATAAATAAGATCATTGTAATTAGTTTATGAAGAATGTTTTGTAGTGAGCTATGTTTGCAGCTTTGGAAGAAACTATCTTGATAAAGAATCGAAGGTGTGAAGTAAATACAGGTCCGGCTTGAGGTAATTATTCACCAATTGAAAACAAATCATACACAGTGTCCCCAGCCCTTCCAGAGCAGTACATGAAATTTATATGTCATGACCTCAATTTACCGTCTTGTCTTCGATTTCTACCTTCTCCGTCTTTCCGATCATTAGTCTAAAGAGGATCAGCCAATTTTAACTCACAATCCAAAACCTATGATACCACTTACACAGCGGCTGTAATTGACTTTTGCCCGTGGCCATGAGTAGCCTCACGCATCTCACTCTTTTCAAGCAGCATCAATATCCATGGCATCCCCTCCAACAACATCAATGACAATATCCCCAAAGCCGCGCCAAGTAAATCTGTCTCCCATATCCATTCCTTGTACCGCTCCTCCCATAATATTAAACCCCCTACTAACTCCGCAATCACCATGAACAACCCAGCCACCAAGCCAATTGAGATCCTAAATCCTAGTGCGCGTGGAATATTATGGTATACAATCACAGTCCTTGCCCATAATGCCACGGTAAGAATATATATTGGAAAAGCGATGAGTTCTCGTGCTGGTGCTGTGAGATGATTGTATGGTATAAGTCGATTCAATCTGATATATGATAAAAAGATGGACGATAGATATGTGAGGATAAAATATATGAATGCATTGCGAATAATAAAGAATGCAAGACCGAGATCCCACATCAGTTCAAAAACTGAGGTATCGGTCTCGAATAATATCATCTTGTGCTTTCTTCGTAGTCCGCAGAACGATTCCTTGTTTCTTCTTTTATATTGGGATCGGAGATAATGGTAGCTATCGTCGAAGCTTCAATCTTTGTTCGATATCGCAAGTGGGATGAACTGTGGTTTAGCACTCTTTTAAAATAGACAAGAGTTATGTTCTTATATTTTGGGCTCAAACATATGCCTCCTACCTACCTCCTGGAGATTCTATACATCTGCTCGTTTCTGTGCCTCTCTGCTTACCTGCAACAAGTGGTCTGACTTGTGACGAGACAAGTAACGAGTTTGTATTCTTACCATTTCTGCCACTGCAGTGCCGAGGTAGAAAGACATCATACGAATGTGCAGAAGACCACAGGTGATGAACTGGATATAAACTCATTACATCCGAGACTCCGTCGAACTCGACATCGTCGCGTTTATAAGGCTGTCGTTGGTTCGAGGTTGTGTTGTGGGAAAGTCTTTTGGGCCACCACCACCACCTTGGACTTGGCGGTCCTCGCGGCCGCTAGCTTTGGGATGTCGTGAACTACCAGACCAGATGAACCTTAGTTCAGCATCAGAAATCAGAAGCAATTTCTTGACCACACACACATTCACGACGCATGATGGAATATGTCGTAGTAACTTATTTTTATCCGTGATCGAATATCTCGCCAGCTCAATATGTATATATTATCGCCCTCGCAATCCTTCATCACAAGTGTGATGCTTGTGTATATTCATTCGTGGTTTCCTCGCCTCGCACGCTTCTGAGCGACAATCAAACTGAGAATGGTGTATGTTAGATTGATGAATTAAGCCTTTTGATAATACCATAAGCGATGTTTGGAAAATACTTTCCCACTTCGATCACTTTTTGGTATGATCAAAATGGTCTTATCTTTCTTGAAAAATCACAGCTTGTGTGAGGTAACCGCTATCCTCCCTACACTCTCATCACATGGATTACCTATATCTCAAAGAATCCGTCCGCTGTTTGGTTTCGTATCAGAATTGGGATTTCTAAATGCATGAGTACAACATGAAGATATACAGAAGTCATTCCATCCAACAGGATGGCTAGTACTAGAGAGCCTCTTCGATGCAAATTTGAAGTCAGCTCCGGGCCCTGAAACGATAAAGTATCATCGACCCTTCCTTTGGTACGTAGTCATACCAGGTAGTCATGGCTACCGGGTTGATCTCTATCATGATAAGCCTCCTTCTTATTCATTTTCTTCACATTTGAAACACTATCTGATCACATTGAAATCTTTCCTGTCAGTTAATCTCGTTGCCTTTAACTGTACATCTTCATCGTGCCAGAACAACATGGATTCTAATCAAAAAGGCCTGATCGAAGCCATCAAACAGCTGCGTTTAAAACAACCTACTATAAGCTCCAACGAAATATGGGATTATCTCGTCATGAACAAACGTTGGCCGTCGCCACTTGACGAGATTACAGTGGAGTGTTGTTTGGTAGAACATTTTGATTATCCTTGGGAAGAAACTATTTTAATGAGACGCGATATATTGAATAACCCCGAATTATTAGATCCTAGTTGCGACTGTGTACGTCCTCGCCAAATGGTGACGGAAGATGACATCAAGTATTACGAAAATTGCCCGGAGAAAGTCGATCCAAGGGAAACTATATCAGGCCCGCTGTTGAAAATGATGTTAAATACACCATCCACTATCAAGAGCTTTCTACCACAATCCACACCAACTTCTCTATCAGCCATGTCTTTCTCCGATATGACGGTTGCTCAACGTGCCTACGCGCTCTTCTATGCCGAATGGGATGCATGGATGGGACCACCATCAGGTCAAATTCATGCCAAGGTCGAACATCGCGATGGTATGGAGGCCGTGTGTTTCGAAGATGTCTCCCACTGCGAACACAGAATGACGTATTGGACACCAGAATTCAAATACAGTTTCGAACAGCACGCTCAAAGAGCTTTACGATCCCCATGTAGTAATTGGCGTTCTAATTTTAAGTGGCTCAAATTTGCTTTAAGCCGAACGCAAGATCCAGACACAATCATGATGGTGAACAGTGTAAGTTATCCACCTATTCCACAATTTCATCTTTCGTTCTCAAACTAAGTTTTTCTTAGGTTCTCGTGGGACGGCATGGTCTTAAATGTCGTCACATGTCAAATATGTTTACAGAATGGCATAATTGGCATTCCGAATGGTTCTATGAATGCCGTGTTTTACACACTAAAACTGGAGCCATAGCATATGTTACACCCAAAAAGGGGGATCCGGAGGTAGAATGGGCAAAAAATCATGAGAACGATTGGTTAGATCATTATCCCCCTCTTGTAGTGGATATAGGCAGCAAATCACCGTCTCTCGATTCGCAGAATGAACTGCGAGTTAAGCAAAGAAAGGAATCTGAGGCGATGGCCCTACAACGGCGTATTGCAAGGGCAAAAGATGTATGCAGTTGATTTAGAAAAGCTGCATTGATGTTGTAAAGCTGGGGTAACGGGTTTATTGATTATTATTGTTTGGTTTCAAATTTCCATTTTTGTTCTTCACTATCATTGTATTCTTTGCATAGGTACCTAGTATCTTTTCCAGAAAGTCCTACACAGGTACAGGTAGATAGAAACTTTCATTAATACTTAATCTTCAATCATGTAAGACCTTACCTAATTACAAGACTTCCTTTTCCGCTTAAGAATGCCATGTCTTGGAAGCCGTGTGGAAAATTAGATATAAGCTCGTGCATGTATGTGTCTTTCATCTTAGTCCTACATGTATGCGTCTTTCATCTCAGTCCAGCTTAAAATTGATATTACACAATATTAATTATTCCATCTTAACCTTCATACCCAACCCGTAATCTTCAACTCTACACCCTCAAAACCCCGAATTCTTCAAATAAGTCCAGTACCCTACTTTCGGATCACCCCTCTTTCGGACCATCTTTTTACATCAAAAATCATGATTTTTAGTTATTAATAACTTCATAATCAATCGATAAAAGTTGATAAAATTTGAATTATAGATTTATTATATAATTATTAATTAATTTTGAAAATTTTAGATTTTTAATAATTTTATTGATTGAGAAATTAAAGATTAAAACTATTATTTTCAATTTATATATAAATCTTATATAAATTGAAAATCGTAATTTTAATTATTTATATCTAAATTAATAAAATTATAAAAAATCTAAAAATTTCAGAATCAATCAATAATTATATAATAAATTTATAATTCAAATTTCAATTGATTTAATTCATCGATTATTAAGATATTAATAGGTGAAAATTGTTATTTTTAATTATCGATTTGTCAATATCAAAATCTTATTGTATGTGTAGTATACTATAATTTATCCAGTGTAGGTTTTGGAAAATAAGAAAATTGTTTAAGTGAATCGCGATCTTGATAATCTGATTGGTCTAAAATACCCTGGTAAATACCCCGGTAAATACCCGGGTAAATAAATCTAACAAAAAGCTTGATATAAGCCTTATAGCCTCAGACAAATCTGACTTAGAACTTTTTTCAACTCTATTAAAATCATCAACTCAATTCACAATTCAATTAAAATCATTCAACTCTGAAATCATTCAATTCAACTTTGTTCATTCAATTCATCTCATTCAACTTATAATAATAATGATAATAATAATAATAATATTAATTTATTTTTCAGTTATTAAAAACAAACTGATATTCTACCTGCACTCTGATATATATTCAATATTTAAATTTATTATAAACTTTTTAGAACTTAAATTTTTACTAGACTTTCTCGAAAAGCTAGGGGTCCGGAGGGTGTAGGCCCCTGATATTTCGATATATTTTAATTCAAAATCTCCTTTTACTACTTTAATCTTTTAAGAATAAAAAATTTAAGATATTAATCAAGTTTAAATTTAATTCTTAATAATAGATTTATTTGATATAATATATAATTTTATATTTTATAAGTTTGTAGATATAAGAAATTTGAGGCTTAAATCGGAAAGAAAAAGAAATGAATGATACAAGTGTTTTTAATGATAATGAGAATTTGGATATATGGAAGTCAGACTGGAGTTTGAACTATTGAATATGTTGATTAAGAATACTTGTGAAGGCAAGTCACATCTTTTAGACTGATGTATTCAATCGAGAGGCATGTCCAACGGCGCAAATATTATACAGTCCAACCACAGCCAGCTACGACACTACAGCAGAATAAGAACTAGCTTGTGATCCCCTCGCCAATGATTATCACCCTACATTCCCAAAGTGATAGATAATCAAACCTTACTCAAGAGTCAAAACCCCAAAACTAACAAAACCCCCACAGTCATATGTACAGGTGCATAAGCCCAATGATCACCCTCTCCCCCTCCAGCCCGATAACAAACCCAACCATCTACAAACGCCACCGCACTACCAGCCATCACCACCCAACCCAATATTTTATAATTCCGATAATAGGAAGCAATATACATAGCTAAACCCATAAAGATATCTCTTGCGCCGTAGATAGTCATGAGAGCTTCGACGAGCGCGGCATCAGAAGCGTTTTTGGGGAAGGAGAATGGCTGGTAGAATGTGAGGGCGTGCGAGGGTCGGATCACTGCATTGATGCCGAGTAGGATGAAGATTGTTCCGAAGATGTTGGGGAGGAATCGGAGGATTTTGCTGAGGGTCATTGTGGTGAGGTTGTTGGTGTTGGTTTCTTTGAATGTATGGTCAGTGGGAGTGTTCTGGGGAGCGTTGAAAGTGTAATTTTACTTACCTGTCTCTATTGGGTTTCGATGTAGGTTGAATGGGAAGACTGTAATATTAGTTGTCTGTGAGGTTAATTATCATCGAGAGTTGGGCTCTTGTTAGGCCTGGTAAATACGCCATTCCAGCCAGGCCTTTGAGTTCGAAAAGTGCCAAAATTCAGTATAGCAAGTAAGACATCGCTTGTGAGTCCTTTCACAACCTAATTGACATATAGAAAACATCTCCAAGCCTTCTCTCAACTGGGAATATATTCACAACAGGAAACAGGACGACGGCATCATTCAAAATATCGCTCGAGTTGCAGACGATATCACACCATGGAGCGTATTAGTAATTAAAATCAATGATCGACCTGGAAACTTTAAGGTTAACAGGTACCTGGTAATTTTAAGCCAAGCCCGAGGAAGCCTATCTACGCACATAGCATCTACAGGAACAAGATCACGTCTTTCCCACGCCATGAATGTCAACCAACCACAATTATTCCGAATATATTAAATATCCAAAGAATTCACCAACTCACCAATCTCTGACAGCCAAAATTCATATATGACATATCGAAATTGAAGCTTGTACTCCTCTAATGTAGTCCACTCGAGTATCGTAGCTTACACAGCAGCGGTCACTTATCGACCTTCCAAATGAAGAATCGAAAAGATGGGGAAATCCTCCATCGCTCCATTTCTTCACCGTGCCGGACCTTACACGATACTATATAAGGAAGGTTGATTGACGAGACCAACGCATCTTCACGATAAGGTTGTGGTAGGACCTGGAAGTGGAGAAATGCTATTCGTATTCCCCTGGGCTTTCATGTATGTACTCTGTTTGATGTTGTATGTATCCTAGTGAATACAAAGCTAGATGAGGTAGTAAGAAGTAGTACCTACGTAATAACTTCGTTCTTGGAGGAATAAATATGATCCCTCATTCCCCATCTCGGAACTGGGTAGGTCTCTTCTCTTTACCTCTGTCAAGATAATCATGGTGGCTTCAATTGTTACTCTCACGGCTTTTTTGGCTGTTGGCTTGGTGTCCGCCTCACCTATCAAAGCTCGTACGCCGTACGCTGTGAAGGAAACTCATTATCCTCCTTCTCAATGGCAGAGAGTAGGACCCGCGACTAAGGGCCATTTGATTAATCTTCAAATTGGCTTGAGGCAAGGTCAATTTGATGAATTGGAAAGGCATCTTTATGAAGGTATGTTTATTTTGTTCATATATCGGAGGAGAGCGTATTCAATAGCCTGGAACATTGGAAACCTGAGAACAATTGAGTGACAATTTGACTAATGTAAATGCATAGTCTCCGATCCTTCTCATCATCGTTACGGCCAACATCTCAGTGCTGATGAGGTAAACGATCTCATCAAGCCTACCGATGAAACTTATAACCTCGTCCACGAATGGCTTCGAGATAATAACATCGAGGCGGGATCCCTTGAATACAGTCCTGCTAAAGACTGGATCAAAATCACCATCCCCATAGAGGACATTGAAAATCTCTTGGATACCGAATATTCAACTTATCAACACAAAGATGGAGAATACATAGTTCGTACTCCAGAATGGTCATTACCTCTTCATCTCCACGACCACATCGAGACAATTCAACCCACCAATTCTTTCTTCAAACCACGCGCTGTAGCAAAGACAATGAAGAAAGTTGGCGAAATCACCGAATACGAAGCTTTAACACCATCGACCTACAAACCTCCTACCGTTGGACAAACTGCGGCAGATGTTTGCAATGTCTCGTCGGTAACTCCACTTTGTCTTCGAACTCTTTACGGTACCATAAACTACACGGTTCAAGCTGCTCACAAAAATAAGATGGCTCTTACAGACTACCTCGGAGAATCCAACAATCGATCCGATACCAAACTTTTCCTTGAACAATATAGACCTGAAGCAGCTTCAGCAGCCTACAGTTTTGAAGTTCAGATTATCAACGGCGGTAATAATGACCAAGGACAAGAAAATGCCACAGAACTCAAAGCTGGTAAAGATCTCGAGGGAAATTTGGATTCGGAGACTATGTTAGGAATCGGTTATCCAACTCCATTGATCGCTTATACGACCGGTGGTTCCCCTCCTTTCACCCCGGATTCGCAAACTCCTACCGATACTAATGAACCATATCTTACATGGTTACAATACATGCTCGATCAAAAAGACAAAGATCTTCCAGGAGTAGTAAGCAACTCATATCAAGATACTGAACAAACAGTCCCATACTCGTATGCCGTTTCCGTCTGTAAAGGATTTGCCCAATTGGGAGCAAGAGGTGTTTCCGTTCTTTTCGGATCAGGAGATAATGGTGTAGGATCAGATGGTACATGTATTTCGAATGTCGACAATAGCACAACATTCCTCGCCATGTTTCCATCAACATGTCCTTACGTCACATCAGTCGGAGGAACCAAATTCATCAACCCAGAAGTCGTCGCCTCAGATGCCAGAAATGGTTATGTATCCGGGGGAGGATTTTCCCGCTATTTCCCACGTCCCTCTTGGCAAGACGCGGCCGTGAAACCATATCTCTCCTCTCTTCCCAAGAACATCACTAAGTATTTCAACGCAACCGGTCGTGCTTTCCCTGATATCGCCGCTCAAGGTTACGATTACATTACTGTTTGGAATGGCACTCTTGTTCATCTTGATGGAACTTCTGCGGCTACTCCTACTGCTTCTGCTATCCTTGCTTTAATTAACGATGCGTTAATCGCAGCAGGAAAACCAACTTTGGGTTGGTTAAATCCTTGGTTATACAAGAAAGGTTATAAAGCTTTCACCGATATCACGAGTGGAAGTTCTAGTGGTTGTGGTACTGATGGATTTCCAGCAACTACTGGTTGGGATGCTGCTTCGGGTTTTGGTACTCCGGTAAGTTCATCTCCATCTCTCTTTTTTTCTTTCTTATTTTGATGCTTGATACGGCTACTAATTTGATTGACTAATATAGGTTTTCCCAAAACTTAAAAATTTGGTCCTCTCTAGTAGTTATGGACATAATTGACGTCGGGGTTTATTCATACCGTGGTATAGACATTTGAGAATGATCACTTGGGTGGTTATTATCTATACTTGTATTTAATATTTGACGCAGTCAATAGTAGTAACAACAACAATATGCAAAATTATTTGTAAATTTGTGAAAATCGGAATATGTGCAAGGTTATCCAGATTTATTGTCTATTAATCTTGGAATATGACTTATCGCTATTTGATATTGGGTTTGCGGGAGTAGTCGCCTTGTGGTTGGTTGTTCTATCTTATGACCAATACCAACAGTTACTACCTACTTGACCCTAATACCAATAGAGAAGCTGCATGGTGAATATACGACTTGATTGGATGATGTGTATATTCGTACTCCTCTCATCCCACTATTTAGATATAGAATACAACTACTGTGTTATATCCCTCAACTTATACTTGACAACTCTTCGATAACCACGTCAATACCTCAAGTTGATACTTCTCAAAAGTATTCCTGCTGTTCCTGGCAATCATGGATTCTGATCTGAGTTTCAGGAGTGTATCTCATACGATTCTCCAACTAACCAGCTTCACATTCATCGCAGTATATTATCCAGTTCCCCGCCGCAAGCACAAACTAACAATCCCCAGACCATTCTCTATGTTCTCAGCACCATAATATACAATCTATATTTCCATCCGCTGTCCCAATTTCCTGGTCCTAAATTATTCGCCTCGAGTCGAATCTTCAGCATCTATCACAGTCTCCGTGGTACGCTAACTCACAAAATCACCTCGCTCCATCAAACCTACGGTCACGTGGTACGAACCGCTCCGGACACATTATCATTTACCAGCGCGCAAGCCCTTCAAGATATCTACACGAGGAAGAATGGACGACCGCCATTTCCTAAAGATCCTATTCTGTATACGCAGCCGGCGGACGGAGAGAAATCGAGTATTCTAAGCGTGATTGATGATAAAGATCATACTCGCTATCGACGCTTACTATCCCATGCATTTTCCGAAAAGGCACTGAGGGAACAAGAACCACTGATTAAAAAATACATAGATCTTCTTATTCAGCGACTTTATGAAAATGAAAAAAAGGGAAACCAGGATATGGTTCATTGGTATAACTTCACCACATTCGATATCATCGGTGATCTAACCTTCGGAGATTCATTCGGATGTTTGGATAAAAGCGATTACCATCCTTGGGTTTCATTTATATTTGTATCATTCAAAGCAGCTGCATTCATGGCTGCCGCGAAGAGATTCGGACCACTTGTGAAAATGGTCTTGGATAAACTGATACCGAAGAGGCTGATCCAGCAACGACGAAATCATCAAGAACTTACACATTCGAAAGTAGCCGAGCGATTGGAGCGGAAAACAGAGAGGAAGGATTTCATGACATATATCCTGCGTCACAATCATGACACGGAAAATGGTATGTCGATTCCAGAAATTAAAGCCACGGCCGGTGTACTCTTGCTTGCGGGGAGTGAAACGACAGCGACGCTTTTGAGTGCTGTTACGTATTATTTATTGAAGGAGGGAAATGAAGAAATTTTGGCAAGATTGACGCAGGAAATTCGAACGAGTTTTAAGAATGAAGAGGAGATTCATATGGGCAGTGTGAATCAATTGAAATATCAACTTGCGGTCTTGGAAGAAACGATGAGGATTTTTCCACCCGCGCCATCTGGTGGTCCGAGAATTGTTCCTGGGGATGGACAATGGGTGGATGGATTTTGGGTTCCGGGTGGTGTGAGTTTCTTTTTCTTTCTGTTCTTTTCTTTTTCACCCTGTCGCTCTTTCACTTGATATACTGAACTATTTGTCCATTCATTCATTCATTCATTCATGGATACTTCGTCTGTCTATCATGTGAATGCATTCTACCGCTTTAGAAATAATCTCAAGGTTACATACTAATGGAGAAAACAACTCATAGACAAGTGTATCATGCCTTGCCTACGCCACACACCACGACTCACTCAACTTCACCGACCCCAATGCATTTATCCCCGAAAGATGGCTCGCTACAGATACAGATACACCCGAAAATAACCTCAATCTTACAAACAACGAGAAAGGAGCTCATCAACCTTTTAGTCTAGGACCGCGAAATTGCATCGGAATTAAGTATGATTTTTTTCTTCTTCTTACCTTTATCAACCTTTCTATCTATCTATTCAAGTTGAATATAATATGTATCTATAAAATACCCTTGATAACCCTTCCTCCCCCCCCAAAAACGACAAATTATTCAAAATCCCTCCTACTGCTACTCCTACTTCTATTTGTAATGAATAAATTTAACTTCAAATTCAAATTCAAATCTCAACTAACCTAACCAACTAACACAATCGACAGTCTCGCCTACGCAGAAATGCGCCTCATTCTCGCCCGTGTCCTATGGAATTTCGATCTGGAACTTGCGGCTGAGAGTAGGAATTGGGCGGAAGATATGAAGGTTTTTTTGTTGTGGGAGAAACCGGAGCTTTTGGTTAGGTTGAGGGGGTTAGGGTGGAGAGTGAGGGTAGGGAGGAGAGTGAGGGTAGGGAGGAGAGTGAGGGGTGGAGTGGGGGAGGAGTGAGAGATGAGTGAAGGTGACTGAAGGAGGGTGGGGTTGGGATTTGATAGATGAATTAAATAAATAAAAGATATTTAGATAAAGAAATAAATTTTTAATTTGATCATCTTAAGATTATTTTAAGATTATTTAAGTGAATTTTTTTATTTAATAAATAAATAATAAACTTTATTAAATTTTATATATTTTATTATCAGCTTATCGATATCAAAACCTTATTATATATATAACATATTATAATTTACCCAATATAGATTATAGAAAATGAGAAACTCGTTTAAATAAATCACAATCCTAATAATCTGATTGATTTAAAATACTTTAATAAATAATCTAATAAAAAACTTAATATAAACCTTACAACCTCAAACAAATCCAACTTGGGAAATTTTTTCAACTTTATTGAAATCATTCAACTTATAATAATAATAATAATAATAATAATTATTATTATTATTTTTAAATAAAAAAATTTCATTTTCGATTATCAAAAACAAGTCGATATTCTATCTGTACTTTAATATATATATTCAATATTTAAATTTATTATAAACTTTTTAAAACTTAAATTTTTATTAGACTTTCTCGAAAGGCCAGGGGTCCGAGGGGCACAGGCCCCTGGTTCTAATAGAGTTGAATGATTTCAAAGTTGAATGATTTCAATAGAGTTGAAAAAAGTTCTAAATCAGATTTGTCTGAGGTTGTAAGGCTTGTTTATATCAAGCTTTTTGTTAGATTATTTACCGGGGTATTTACCGGGGTATTTTAGACCAATTAAATTATCAGGATCGCGACTCACTTAAACAAGTTTCTCATTTTCTATCACCCACTAAATAAACCTCGTATATAGCAAAGTAATAGTATCGATTGTTACAGACCTTGTATAAAGGACGATCACATGATTCCAATTGATCGAATATTCCTATCGGTGAGCTGGTAGACTATGCACTTAAGTTTCGATTTACCCTTTTTAGTATAGGATTATAATCACCTTAATAACCGATGTGCACAACCGTGCAGCTACTGTATAGGTATTTTGTATATATATATAGATGCTCCCTACGAGTTATAGTTTTCAGTTGTAAATTCTAAGGAATATAATTGATCCTGTTTATTCAGCTCTTATAAAGCTCTTGTACATCACATCGATAAGTCAACAATAATATTCTAGATTTATTTATTTTATTTATTTTATTTATTTTATTTATTTTATTTATTTTATTTATTTTATTTATTTTATTTATTTTATTTATTTTATTTATTTTATTTATTTTATTTATTTTATTTATTTTATTTATTTTATTTATTTTATTTATTTTATTTATTTTATTATTTACTTCAATTACTCTACTTAATCCATTACTTACCTTACTTGCTCTGCTTGCCTCACTTGCCTCACTTGCCTCACTTGCCTCACTTGCTTCCTTCTCCTTCTCCTGATGAAATGACACACACAGACGGAAATCCGTCCCCGCCTCTTTTCCCTTTTAACTGTTCTTCCAAAAGTCGAATTTCAGTCTTTTTTTTCTCGATTAGAGTATCGACGTGCCGGCGCTTGAAATTCAACGTAGAATTACGAGGTAAAGGGTAAGAAGGTGGTTCGTCATTCTCGTAACAACCTTGTTAATCATATTGTTGATCTTGATTTCCATATTGGTGACTGCAGGACATATTCAGATTTTGAGATGGGGAATAAGATGGAAGTTCATTAGTCGTGATATTTTCTTTTCGTAAAGTTTCATAATAGGTTGTCTTAGTTTCCTGCTCATTCTCCTCTAAAGACAAAAGTGTATTCGATTTAAAGCGTATTTGTAAGGACCGATGTGTATCATTTCCCGTTCCATCACTACTATTAGATTGATGTTCCTCCCCAGAATTATTCAATTGTTTATACTTTGCCTTTTGTGCTTTTTTTGGAGGTAAGGTTCGGGCTACTTTTGAGAATAGTTTCGAAAACATGACGATCTCTCTACTATTGTTATTGATCAGTGATTTCTCGAGTGAAAGATGGTATATAGATAGTTGAGTAAAATGAACTGAAGATTAAGATGCTTAAGTGTAATTATGAACCAGGTTTCCATAATCGGCAAGAATAAAAGCAAAAGCAACAGGAGGAAGAAAAAACTATACTAGTATTTGAGACTACTAGATAGCTAGCACGAAATCCACAAGTGATATCATACCTAAATCACTTCAAAATTTCATCCTCCCGTTCTCAAGGACTTTCAATCACCGATGTAGCAGTTGATATAAAACAATCTCATCATCACAAAATATCAATGAATTCTGAACATTATATCACTCGATTAATAATCTATATTCAAAATCTAAACTCTCAATCTTTTATAAAATCATTTAAATATTATCAATACAAAATTCAATTTATAATAATTTTTATAAAAATGAAATAAATTTAAATATAAACTATAATAAATAATAAACAATAAATTAATTGATATTTTATAAAAATTTATAGCAGTTTTAAATAATAATTATCAAAAAATAATTATTTAAAAAAAAAATTTAAAAAGAGTTTTTATCAAAATAATTAAAATATTAAAACTTTATAGTTTTTTAGATCATACTCTGACCACTACCACTGGGAATAAAGATTTAAAGCAGCTCTTTTATTTACACCATTCAGAAGTTTGGAATGAGGAATGAAATACAAAATATTGATTATGTGATTAGCACCACAAAACGACGTGATCCTTCTGGGCACTTTCACATACTGAAGCCGGAAGAATTTGCATCAAGTTAAAATCGATATCACCAGTAGCACTTCACATCACAATAAAGACGGAAGTTCAAAGAATTACAGAATTTGATTCTTAAATAACCTAGCAATAGTAGCAAGGGGTACACTCACCATATGATACACTTGGCCTTAGCGAGAGACTTCGCAAGAAAACCGGGTAATTGTTACCATAAACCTATCCACCCAACCGAAAAAAATAAACAACTTTTTGTGCAGAATGCCCTCGGAAAAGCCACATGAAGTCCGGTCCCCTCTCAAGGTATTCAAAGACACAAGAAAGGATCATACCAACTTCTTATTATGTTCAAAGCCGACAAGATCATTATGTCTTTAACCAAACGCCCCACTGAATATCGTATCAAAAAGCTCTCATCATAACGGGACTGCCACAAGCCGACGACCACGTAAAGCCAGACCACAAGTTGTGACCTGATCTTTCAATGAAAGAATTCAAAGAAAAACAAGTCATGTCTCAAAAGCCACATTCTCCATAAGGAGTAGAAGTCAAGAGCCAACAACCCACAAAGCCAACGACCCACAGATCAACACAAAAGTATCTTCAAAGAAGGATACTAAAAGTGTGACGAAGTACGGACAGGCAATGGTAATCCACAAATAATACCATCAGCTTACTCGAAAGACATCTTCTTTCCCTTGAAGTCACCGAAGCCACCACGGTTAGTGCTGCCTCCACGTCCTCCACGGGCACCTCCACGTCCACCACCACCTCTTCCTCCACGGTCGAATCCACCACGTCCACCACCTCGTCCGCCACCACGGCCACCACCACCACCACCACGGCCACCACGGCCACCGAAGCCACCACCTTCACTGCGCTCTGGACGGGGAGTAGCATAGTCAAGTCTAACTGGACGACCAGCAATATCAGCACCCATCATAGCATCATAGGCAGCGGTAGCATCTTCAACGGAACCGAAGGTAACGTATCCGAAACCCTTGGGGTTGCCAGTTTCCCTAGTCAATGTTAATATGTGCAAGAATAATATGATACGACGGTGAACTTACTGGTCAGTAGGAAGTCTAACGTTGACAACAGTACCGTGAGCACCGAAAGCCTCACCAACAACGTTCTCATCAGCATCGAATGAAAGGTTACCGAGGAAAAGAGTGTCGGAAGGTGGGTTCTTGGCATCACCGAATTGGGCAGCACGGTTGTTAGCACGATCCTTTGGTGCGACGTTCTCACGGGGAGTGGAGAAATCAACATTGGCCTCACGACCATCGATGAGAGCACCCTTCTTGGCAGCAAGAGCGGCGGCAGCATCGGCTGATTTGGCGAATTCAACGTATCCGAAACCCTTGGAGCGTCCAGTGTTCTTGTCACTGATGACACGAGCACCGGTGATCTCACCGAACTCTTCGAATTCACGGTAGAGCCACTCATCATCAATGTTCCAGCTCAAGTTACCGACGAACAAGTTCTTTGGGCTACCATCATCAGCAGCAGTCTCCTCAGTCTTTGTCTTCTTGGCAGATGGCTCTGGCTCATTATCCGCCTTGCGTTTCTTGGATGGTGCTTCAGCTTCAGTCTCGCTATCGGATTCGGAAGAATCAGAGTCGGATCCAGATGCCTTCTTATCTTCATCGGAGGAGTCAGAGCTATCGGAGTCATTAGAGTCCTCCTATATATAAATTAGTTTACTGCATATGCCATGATGAAATGATTGAGAGAATTGATATAACTTACAGTAGCCTTGGCGACTGCCTTAGCAGCACCGTTAACCTTTGCCTTTCCAGCATCAACAACGGCTTGAACCTTCTTGGCGGCAGCGACTACTGGCTTAGCCTCCTCTTCGGATTCGGAATTGGAGTCGCTTGAGTTGTCACTATCATCGCTTTCAGAAGAAGCAGCCTTCTTGGCAGTCTTTGCGGCGGGTTCAGAGTCAGTTTCGGATTCAGATGATTCGGAATCATCTTCGGATTCAGATGAAGATTCAGATGAGGATTCAGAGGAGGATTCTACCTCTTTCTTCTCGACGACCTTAGCAGTCTTTCCGTTAGCCTTGGCCTTGGCAGCCTTTGGTGCTGGCTTCTCCTCTTCAGACTCAGAGTTGGAACCAGATTCAGAATCGGATCCGCTGTCGGATGATGGAGTGGCGGCCTTCTTAACTGGCTTTGGAGCTGGCTTAGCGGCCTTGGTGGCAGTAGCCTTTGCAGTCTGTTGAGATTTAGCTTTTGTTGTTTGAGATGGCTTGACAACTGCAGCATTCTTGACAGTTGAAAGAGGTGGTTTAACCTCAGTCTTCTTGGAAGCCTTAGCAACCTTGGTATCCTTGGTCTTAGCCATTATGAATATTTTACTCCTTGAAGAAGGGAATAGATTAATTGATTTCTTTGAAGAAGGATATTAAGGAGTGAATATTCTTATTCAAAAGGAGATGAATTGATACAAGAAAGTTGAGGAAGAGGATGTATGATGGAAGAGAAGAGGAATGAGAAATTGGGAAGTAAAAAGTTTAAGTAGGTTTGAAAAAAGCTCTTATCGAGAATTTTTTTTCCAACTGCGCTAAGGTGATAAAAGGTTTTTTTTTTAATCGGATAGTGGGACGAAGGGTCTTCTTCAGTCCACACCCACCTACAACAAGGCATATGTATGAATCCACAATAACACGTGACTTTCAATGTTGAGCTCAAACAATCAAAATAGCTTTATTACGAACACAATAGTGAAGGACGTCGACCACCTTAAATTTACTATTGGAGCCACATAAGTCGACCGATCATATATCAATCGATCTCGCAAGTCTCCTCATACTATCATCCACTTTAATACAATGGCACCAACTCCCGAATCTGCCGCATTCCTCGCGAAGAAACCTACTGTTCCTCCGACTTTCGATGGTGTCGATTACGATGATACAGCACGATTGAAGCAAGCACAAGATGCGGTTATTCGAGAACAATGGGTTAAGAGCATGATGGCACGTTTAGTGAGAGAAGAATTAGGAAAGTGTTATTACAAGCAGGGGGTTAATCATTTGGAGAAATGTGGTGCATTAAGAGGTGAGGATTGATATTTATATGCTGTAGGAAAATATAGGACTTTGGTGAAGGGATTTGTTTTCATGATTTATAAGGAATTAAGCTTTTGATGAAGAACTTCTTATCAATCTTGGAGCTAATCCTTTCTCTCAGATCGATACTTCGAGTTATTAAAGGAGTCCAAGATTAGAGGTTACTTGTTCGAGCAACAAAATTATACCAAGAAGCCGGAGTAGATGTCTAATGAAAGTCTGGATGGTAGAGGGAGTGAATGACAGAGGGTATGGGCTGGCAATGAGGAGATGTCGAGCTGGATGAGGTTCGGCGTGAATGAGCTCAACGCGACTTGAGGCGGGCAGGATTCTGGAACGAAACGCTGAAGATATACAAAAGTCCAGCGCAGTCCGCAGCATTTGTCCAAACCTAGGGGCCTAGAACTGGCCTACTATTGGGACTGTAAATATGAAACATTGTACAACGGATCTTTTTCACACACTTGTGTTCAATTTTGGGAAACGCGTCTTTCCCGACTCTCCCCTGGGTATACACTTTATGTCGACAAATACCTCTGTTGTGACTATCTTTTACTATTGACACGTCACGGCTCCAAATCTTGGAAAGAAATCTCAAGTGCACAAACCTGACGTGATCGATATACATAGACTTTCAAGCAGTATGCTCCTCTAAATCATACAGAGCTTTATCTTCCAATTACCTATAAAATTCATCTGAACAACACGATGCATTTATTAAACCACCCACAAGAACAAAAATTTATAGAATCCTCGATATTATGCTCACGAAACATGAAAACCGATAATCGTCCATTTATTTACCAATCCTCCGCACCCAAGCCCAAAAACCCCCCACTAAAGAATTTTGATATCAGCAGCACAAGCCTTCCATCCCGGCCCCCGTAACTATCCATGCATCCCAAAAAAATAAATCTCCATCTCCATCTCCATCACAAGCATACGCCTCAACGCCCTTGCCTGCGGCAATCCATTGCCCTCTCCCATTCCAATCGCAAATCCCTCTCAATCTCAAAAATGATCTGTTCACGCTGTCTCTCCCGTCGACCATTCTCCCACCTCTCCACCCAATCCCGCACCTTCACAAGCACACCCCTCCTTCTCTCGGTCCCTCCAACATCAACCCCCTCCTCCCCTCGAACCGTTTCTCCTCCCACCGCCACATCCACCGGCGCCGCGCAACCCTTCTCCACACCTTTATCACCTTCCCCTGCCGCTCTAGGCATCTCTTCCTCTCCCTCCCATAAGAAACCAGCTCCAATACCAACTTCTAGTATTCCCGCCGGCACAATATTAAAAGGATTGAATTATCTCAAAGGACGCGATGATCCGGTCGCATTGAAAGAGGAAGAATATCCAGAGTGGTTATGGAGGTGTTTGGATGAGAAGAAGCTGGTAGAGGGAACTGGGGATGCGGGTGGTGATGAATTTTGTATGTGTTTTTTTTTTCTTTCTACTTTTTATCCTCTATTTTCCCAATTTCCCAAATTCCCCCTTCTATGGAGCTACAATAATTCCTTCAATCCCTATAATTTCCCCTCCTTTTCTCCAAATTTTATACTAACAAAAAAAGCCAAATCCAAAAAACTCCGCCGCGCAGCCGCAAAAGCCCGTCGCAAAGCAGAAGAACGCGCTCTCCTATCCGGAGACACCTCGCTCCTCGAAGTCAAGGTTCCCTTCCAACAACAATCGATCGATTTAGCTACATCTGGGGAAGAAGCCCTGGAGCAGAGAGAGGAATTAGTTAGGGCAATGAGGAAGGAGAGAAGGGCGAAGATTAAGGAGGGCAATTATTTGAAGGGCATGTAGATGTAGATGTTGAATTGGTAATTGAGTTGAGGTTTGCGGAGAAGATGGATAGGAAAAAAGGTCGTGGGAGGGGAGGGAAAAGAGAGTTGAAAGTTCCATTCGAAATTGCATTTGTATTGCGCATTTGACCCAATTCGAATTTCCTAGCGCTTGTAAGAGCTACGGACGCTTGTGGGAGCTTGAGTAATGGAATGCTATCTCGTACGATGAGAGGTTCTTGTTCTTATATAAGATACTACCTACACATATGGCACAAAATATAGAGCAGGAGCAGAAGCAAGAGAAAGGGTATACAAAAAAAATTAAAAAAGAGGAAAAACCCCAACAATGCAATGTAGAAAGAAAACTACCTACCGACCTACCTAGCTACCTAGCTAGTAGAGCCATCCTCACACGGAGCACTAGGGATGAGGAAAAATGTAAATTTACATCATATACCTATGTATATCAATACTGTAACTTACTGTAATTGTATACACATACACATTACTAGATGCTAGATACCAGACATCATTTATATATTCTTTTTTATCAATATTAACGTTGATATTTATATATCATAAACCTAGGTACCAAGATACCTACGTAGCTACGTAGCTACTTTCTCCCTTCTTTCTTACTTTATTCCTTTCTTCTTTCTACCTATCTAATAGTACCTACCTGGGTATATATATACATAGTTCATAGCTCATACACAAACTTTCCCCGACCTTTAATTTTAAAGACCTGTACATCTTTACCTTTACCTTTACCTCCTAACTCCTATTTTGATACTACTTGTGTAGGGGGAGAGTATAGGATAGGTAGGTAGGGTATTGGTAGGTATTCCTGTCCATCCATTCATGCATCCATCCATTCATTCATGCATCCATCCATTCATTCATGCATCCATCGATTTCCCAGCCCGACCCAATCCAAGCCAATGTAATGTAATGTAATGCAATACAATGCAACGCCATCCATTTGTCCAAACCGATCTATTATAGCAAACCACCAGCCAAAGCGCCAAAATTCTTTGAATTCCGCATCAGAATCTAGTGTAGAAAAGTAAGAAAAAAGACGCCTAATATACACTTTCGCCCCCATCCCTGATTCCCACGTCCCAAAGAAAGACATCTAATCATCCTCCGCTTCTCCAATACTCGATTTTTTAATTTCCAATTCCGATTTAAGTTTCCTCGATTTATCTTCGATTCTCCTACGAAGAATTGGATTATTCTGAGCCGCCAATTGAGCCTGTAGAGCTTCGATTTGTTTTTCCAAATCGACAATATCTTCCTTCAATTCCTGAAGTTGAGCCAATCGAGCTTTTTCATCATCGGAAACATCATCTGCTTCACTCCCTTCGTCTGCACTTTCTCCATCTTCGATGGATTCGTCGCCGCTATCGTCTTCTTCGTTGGGAGCTGGTGTGTCGCCTTGAAGAATTGGTGTGGCTGCTACGCCCGACATGGACATTGGTGTTGCGGCTATATCCTCAAAACCTGCTCCGGCTTCTAATTCGGCTTCCATTTCTGCTGCGAGATCGGCTTCGAGATCTCCGCCCATTTCATCACCAGGTTCATGGCCTTGGCCGTTTATGTGAGAGAAATAACCACCATCATCGGCTTCGCCTTCGGCATCTTCATCTTCTGAGTATTGACCTTCTCCTTCGTCACCATAACTTCCAGGACTGAACACTTGGCTACTTTGTTCTCTTTCTGGTGAAATTACTTTATATTCTGAAGACACTGCCTTTCGATCCTCTTCAAGAAGTTTTTCCACGGCTTCTTCTACAGCTTCGATTGCAGTCCTGCTAATACGTTTTCTAAAACGTCTCTTTCGTGCTAAATGCATAGGAGGGGTAAGACCGTGTGGATATTGGAAAGTCTGTGGGTCGATAATTGAGGGTAAGGGACAAGCCTTAGCCTCATCTTCATTTGCAACTTTTTGATAAATCCAAAGCATTTGACAAATATCGGTACTTTTCCACCATCCTCTTTTATCCCAACTCTTCATTCCTTCAATAATACATGGCAAGTCGACAAGAGTAGCTGCATAAACATTTCCACGAATAGTAACAGCAGCTCGTCTTCCTTCTGCTTGGAAGAATTTCATTTGAATATCTGCTCCTCCAACTCTTGGATTAACTCCAATCTTTTTCTCGGTAATACATGTTCTTAAGTAGTCGCAATCGTCGCCTGGAAGCATTCGAAAAATGAATGATTCTTCAATGGATGGATCTTTCTCCGTATCACTGGCTTCAGAATCGTACCCTTCGCCAAGAGGTCGTTTGGGCGGTTTGCCCTTCATTTTAGCCTTAATAATAACCGGCGTCTTTGGCATTGGAAGCCCAGGAATACCACCCATAGAAGGAGTTTTGGGTTTAAGACTGATCTTAACTTTCTTCTTCGCAGGTTCATCTTGCATGTTGGGTTTCCGTGGTATAACGGAGATACTTTCTTCGCCACTATCATCTTCTTCTTTAACTCTCTTGCGCGATTCCGTGAGCTTCTTTGTTGGCTTAGGTGCTCGTCCTGCTTTGGTAGGTTTTGGTTGCGATGGGTTGGATGGAAGAGGTGGTGATGTCGCAGGTTTGCTGCTGAATTTTAATTTCGGTTTGGATCCACCAGGTGTGAGAAGTGATGGTGTGGTAGGAGTAGGTGTAGGAGGTCCAGAAGATGGATTCGTTCCTCCATTTGTCTTAAGACTCAACTTCAATTTCAAAGGGCCGCTCATTTTGGCGGATTGTTCTTGTAAGCTGTAAATTTGATCCTAAATAGATTATTCGTGTCGCAATAATGGTGAGAGTAGGTTTTTGCAAAATCGCAAACAATGAGGATCATATGTAAATAGTTGTATGGAATTTAGAAGTTGAGCTCATCGAGTGGAAGAAGCTCCAGATTAAGAAATGTACGGAAACCTCGTCACACAATCGCGCAACCGCGTTTTCTAATTTATGCGACAAGTTGAAATTCGCATTCACGTTTTAACGGTTGTAGTGAAGAATCATAAAGAATAATTTATTTGATTGAACCTGTATTTTCTACAATAAACAACCATGGTATCATCCATATTTTCAACACCTTAAATTCGACCTTTTCGTCATAAATATTCCAAAACCTAATATGGCAACACCTCAAGCTCTTCATCATGCCCTCCTTCGACCATGTATTCTACATATTCTTCGCGCAGCAGGTTATCACTCAACTCGTTCCTCAGTTCTTGATACCGTTACCGACTTAGCTGCTCGATATATGTATATACTCGCACAATCAACAGCAGCGCATGCTGATTTAAATCATGCAGATCTCGATATCACAATTCAAGATGTACGAATGGCTATGCAAGATTGTGGAGCTCTTATGCCAGAGAAAGCAATAGAGGAACAAGAATTTTACGGCGTGGAGGACATGAGAGGTGTAGAAGGGTTTTTAGCATGGGCAATGGGGGAAGGAAATAAAGAGATTAGAAGGATTGCGCTGGCGGATGGAGGGGAGGATTACTTGACTGGCATGTTTTACCTCTTTTCTTCTCTGCTATTTTATGAGTCTGGTTGGGCACTGACTAGAATATAGCTCTTAAAAAGAAGCATAACACGACAGATGAAGATACACGATACCATGGGACATTATTAGGAAGACCTGCCGAACCTCGAATAGTGAAAGTTGAAGGAGGAGAAATTACAAGTGTGAAGGAATGGGCAGATCGATTGAAACCAATACCAAAACAGATAACGGAAACACCTTCTACAAGAGAGGCATCTTCAGCCTTAAGTTCTGTTGGGGATCAAGTTATGGACAATATGGAGTTTTAATTCCAAAAAGGAATGATTATTTTGATCTTTGGGCATGGCGACGGCGTTTGGGTTATTTCACGGATATAATAATGGCCGCCATATGGATTGGTGAATCATGGCAAACCACCACAATGATATCAGGTCTGAATCAGGACTCCCAGCATAATATTCAACCTTAAACAGATCCCACGTTCTCATTCGCAAGCCTTCCGCCGCCACCTCCATCAACATCTAGACCTTGAGCTCGTTGGCTTTTGATCTTTTCTCTAGCCTCCTTTTGCTCCGCCTTTTGTCTATCCAAATCACTTGTATAACTGCCCTCTTCACCCCATCCAGCATTCTTCTTATCGAATTGAGCAGCCATCACTTCTCCTTCACCTGACATCCTCATTTGCTCTCCATCTAAATCTTCTTGTCGAGGTCCATATTTGGAACCTGGTAATTTGGCATTACTATCGTCTGCGTTGTCTTTTGGATGATGGCCATGACCCATTGCCGTAGCTGATCCTACTGACATTCCAGGAGTTGCCGTTGAGGATGGTGCACCGGAATTGGGACCAAAGGTTGTACCGGCGGGGGTTGAGTTGAGTGAGGATTGATTTTGTGATGCAGACATGGTGAATTGAGTGGATGGAGCTGGATAAACGCTTGATCTTTGTATATGAGATATTTGAATATATTCCAGATTATTAATTGTTCAATGGCTTTGGTTGAAATGGGGTTGGTTGTCAATGAATCAATAAAATAGTTAATACTTTAAATGACATTTCTAACAACAAAGATGACGTATAAATCGAATAGTTCATACTTCGATTAGATTAGATTTGGTGGGACAAAGCAAAGTGATAAGGTTAGCTACGGTGATTCTGAAAAGCCTTGAATGCAGTCAATATCATTGCCCCCGCCAAACTCAAAACGAAGCACGGGATCCAATCCATGTTCAACATTCATCACATGTATGTTATCACATTTAAAGATACCGTTCCTTACTCACTTTGTCGGTTTATGGCCTCATTTTTGTGACACAACAGACAAAGCGTAACGAGACAGCCTCCAAGCATCAGCTATACTCGAATTCACAAAACTATCATCCGAGCAAGAAAGATTCCTACCGTCTTCGAATACTCATTTAAGCGGGAAGTAGAAGCACGTATAAAGATCTTAGCCTTCACGCGTTAACAGCATCCTACATTCGTATCAAGATATCCAGTCATGCCTTTCCAATTTGAGCTGCCGACAACTTCATCATTTTCGTTTTCAACATACTTCACCAGCGACTCACATCCATCACTACCCTTGGCAGCGAGTACCTACAGAGGAGTTCTTCGTGATGCTTTGAAGAGACACAAACGACTTACTCCTTCACAACAATCTTCAAATCTTTCATCCATCCTTCAAGCACTCAATAAATACATCCCATATCTATTAGCTCTTGACTCTGGCATATCTTCCCAATCTCAACCAGGAGCAGAACATATAGATATCATTCTTACTTCAACACCAACCTTGGAATGGCGTCCAACCCTTTCAGATCACCCAATCCCTGGGAGAGAAATCCCAAGAATAAAGATACAGAGTCTAGAATATGAGATCTATTTTGTTCTTTCAACACTAGCTTATACTCATGTTCTTCTCTCACGATCTTCATTACATCCTCTCTATTCATCAGCTACAGCATCACCATCACCTGATCAAAGAACTTTATGTATTAAAGCTGCTACAGAACAATTATTATCAGCTGGTTCAATTCATAACTATCTTTTTACTCGCTCAACGACTTTAACTTCCCCATCTCCTTGTCCAGATATTTCGAATCCAGTTTTCTGTGCTTTAAGTAGCTTGACTTTAGCAGAAAGCACTTTGCTAGCAGTTTTAAAAGACGATCCATATCCGGCAGCAGTCCAACAAGATCGCAATAAAAATGACAAAGAATGGATGATTAAAGCTCCGGAGATGCCTAAAGTGCGCGCTCATTTATTTGCAAGACTATGTCTTGCTGCTGCTGAACATGCGGGTAATGCATTAGCAATGTTAGGTGGGATGGGTAATGGAGGAAAGGGAAAAGTTGATGCTGAGTTATTAAAATATGTGGAAGATTTACGAAGAGTGGGAAGAGGGAAAGCTTGTAGATTTTTTGGTGTGGATGCTGAATTAGGTGGAAAAACAGGTGATGGTATTGGATGGTTAAGGGCTGGTTTGAGTGAGTTGGGACTAGCGGTGGGAGATGATGGAAAGAAATCTTCTGGGATAGGATTCGGAAGATTTAAGAAAGAATGGACAGAGAAAAGAGAGGATCGTAGGGTAGAGAAAGGAAAGGATTGGGGAAGTGATGCAGGAAAAGCGGAAGAGGGCAGAGTTTTAGAAATGTTGGAAAAGAAATGGGTAAAGATGAATGATACTGTATGTCAAACCTCATATATCTTCATACCACATACTAACAATGGACATAGATCGGTACACAACTTATACCTTCTATAGGTACTCTCATCTCTAGTCTACCATCAGGACGGGAAATGCATACATTGAAATCGTATAATCCTCCAAGTCTTGACATGCAAGTCCTGGAAAGTATGAGAGCACCCCCAGATCGACCAGATATATATGAAGAGAATGATAGTTCTGATGAAGATGATAATGGAACACCAGTTGGTGCTTTCCCAGGCACAAAGGGAGATTATACTGCTAGCGCGAATTATTTTTAAATGATATCTCTTTATTTCAAATTTGATATTCAAAATTTAAACACTTAAAAATTCAAGTATTTAAAGATCCAAATATCCAAATATCCAAATATCCAAATATCCAAATCAATATAAATCAAACCTTCAAACCTTCAAAACCCTTCCCTCCCTCTGAAATCAAAATCAAACTATAAAACTTAATTACCTAGATAATTAATTAATACAAATTAACTCCACTCCACTTCACTTCACTTCAAAGTCTACCTCTAATCACTATATCAGATCATCACTCTATGATCATCAATCATCTTGTCAATGTTTTTGATTCATTTGATTCATTTGATTCATTTGATTCATTTGATTCGATCTGATTTAATTTGATTTGACCGAGATTACTCGAGTAGTTGTTAAAATTAAAGTATAGCTTCGTTCTGTTTATTACTTGGTGTAATTCTTAGATGTGCAATAATTGGTTTACCTCTGTTTTGAGGGAGTGGAAGGGAAGGTGGATATTCTTTTAATTATGAAAATGAGCTTCAAAATTGATTTGTGTATATTCCTTAAATAATAAAATCTAACTAATTAGAATTAACTTTTGAAATTCTCAACCACTTTTTTGTTAAATTAGAATTGTAGATTCAAATTTGGATTTAAATTTTCAAGTTTTAAAAAATATTTAAATAATTTTAATTTTAAATTTTAAATGAAATTTATAGATCAAATCGAAAATAAATATTAAATAAAACATCAGAAATTCTGATGTTTTGATCGGTTAATCAGATTTATATTGAACGATGGAGCTCATTTTTATAATTAGAAGGATACATATATATATTTATTTACTATCGAGAAAATATTAGATACAGCTCTTATAATGAGTGCTATAAAGACTTGGACAATAATGCTCTGGCTAGATCGCGCCAGATACAATGCGTTGAGCGGCTGGACTAATCAATAGTAATGTTTATATATTGGAGTCTGAATAAAGAGAGAGGTATGATGTAATGATCCGGAATGGCGTCGGAGTTGAATATTGAGAGGAAAGGGAGGAGAGCAATATGGTTTATGATATGATATGTTGTAGTACAAGAGGAGTGGTATTATAGGTGCCAAGAAAGCCTAGAGAATGGAATTTGGGTGGATGTTATGGATTTTTGATGATGGAGGTGATGAAGGAATGAGTGGTATTGTGTTATAAAGGGGTGTGAAGATGGAGTTCATATGAAGATCATGTGTTTTTGGTTTCTTCTTTGTTTTGGGGATGGGGATGGGGGGTTGCTTGGTTCAGATTAGAGGCGTCTATTTCATGTACTGAGAGATTTGGATTGTATGATGAAGGAGAGGAATACTCAGTGTTGAGTACAGAAATTTGAGAATCGCTATCTGGTGTTAGTTTATTTTGTGCAGTATCATGTTCCCAAACTTTTTCATCGCTTTTTATCAGGCAAGGAAATGGATTCGGTGAGTTTATTTAGAGCTAGATAGTTGTTGAAGCCTAAAGAATGATGTCGAGGGTCCTCTCTATCAGATCGTTCATATTAGAATTGATATTGAGAGATATTTTCCCCATCTTTAGCTTTCTAAGTACGTATACTTTCAGAAACTAAACCGCTAATTATTTTATTGCTCCTATGATTACAAAAGATAGTGTGAGAAGAAGGTAAGATATGAAGAAATATATTGGATACTCTGGAACGATGGAACGGGGAGTCAGTTGTAGGTAGTATGTATAGTTCCTAATAGGTGTTTGTAATGAGGATCGAAAAATTTGAAGTGGAATTCCTCAAATGAAAAGCGTGAGGATAAAAAACTGTGTATGTTCAAATACCTATCTCAAAAAGAAAATTAACCCACCGCACTCATTCGCAAATGCAATATACATACTGAGCTCGTGCATATAGTGAAGCTCGGCCATATATACGTAGTAAATACACTGACAATTATACCACTTTTTCACTAGAAATCTTGGCGAACTTGAACGCTTTCAGAAAGTGTAAATCTGGTAGTAATTGAAGCTGTTGGGTGCACAAAGACCTACCGAGTTGGCGGGTGGCACTTTCCCTTTTTTAAGGGGGGACAGCGAAAACCATCACCTGTGGTCACACACCTGCAGTGAAATGGACGTGATAATGCCTATGATTTAAATGTTTCAAATGCTTAACGAATATTTGTGATACTTCGTAATATCACATCCACGTCCATAAGGCTAATACATACCGAAATAGATGACTTGCCGATGGAGAAACTGTATGCAGCACAGAATCACTACAGCAATAAGCTTCTACAGCTTGATATCATAATATCCACCAAAATTGATAATCCATACAAATACCAATAAATTTCCCTTTATATTATCGTCTTAACATATCTTTTTCTCTTTCTACCTTCCACATCGATCTTTCGTTCACCAAAATGGGCACGCCGGTACAAAGAATCCGAAAAGTCATTCATGAGGGGTAGGATGAAGTGGACATATCAAAAATTCAAACTCAAACTTCAATCAGCTTCGTTCCCCTGCAATAAGTGTCGGCAGTTGAATCTAATTAGGATGCCAACCTTTCAGGGGTTTTACCCTAGATCTAACCCTATATAAATTTCACACAATTAACCTTAGTTCTAAGCGAATGTAGGTTAGTCTCAGCTCTTTTCTTTAGGCTTCACTCCACATACACCAAATATTGGAATAACTCTCTTCCTCTCGAAAATTTCAAAGAGAAATCGTTGATGTCTATTAAATTTAGAATTCAATGATACATCATCTTCTAGACATGTTTATATCAATGAGTAGCCTCTTGATTAGGACTATATTTTCATATTCATATCTCAAGACTTCTGCACAACAATGATGCTGAAGAAAACGAAGGAAAAGTTACAAACCCCTTGTAAGATCTTATGATAAAAGAAGCACAGCAGAAGAAATTGTTGGTAGGTGGATACCAACGCCGAGTATCTTTAACAGGTACTAGGTTATCTCAAACTTCATTCTAGGTTGTTCTTGATTTTCGAGCTACAAAATGATCTTCATCCTCGAATTTGCGGCATTTTTTATATGTTAGTCTTTTAGTTTGTGGTTGAGCATCTTTGTTGCGATTTTCGCATTCGTTTCTCCTTAACCTTATGCTGTCACTTTATTTTTAATTACTGCATCCTCCCATTCTTTTCACAAACACATGAAATCTCGCAGATATAAAATGATTTATATACTTTGTTTCCTTTCACACTTGCTATCAATCGACAATCGTACTATAGCATTTCAAATCACTTCAAGGTGGAGAATTGAGTCACCGTCGTTATTTGATTTGATATAAAATCAAACAGACAGACAAAAAGCATATCCCTCATTAGCCTAACCTAACCTATCGCCGCAGAAACCACTCTCTCCTCTTAATCACCATCACCATCACCATCACCATCTACATCCCCATCTGCACTGTAACCCTCTAACTCCTCACCAGCCTCCAAAATCTTACAGCAAGCTCACTAGCTCATCCAAAAGAACCACAATACGAAAACAGCGGGAAATTATAAAAAAGGGTTTTATATACATGGTATTGTATTTCTTTTCTGTACTTTGTTTTGTTGTACGTACGGGGTTGAGCTATGGGGGAAGAGTTTGGAATTAGAGAGATTAAGGCGGTAGAAGGAAATGGATGGACGGAGGAAAGGAAGTCGGGGTTTAGGTCGGTGCGTTCTGATGTGCTGGGTGAGGAATCGGGAGAGTGATGCGACGAGAGGTTTTTTACGGAGGGGATGTTTGTGGTATAGCTGAGGGGCAGGGTGGAGAGGAGGGGAGATTAGAGGTAATGGGAAATCAATAGGAGATATAGATTCGCGTGTTTTGTTGCTGGCAAGATGGGAGAATAGCGATGTAAAATGATGAATTTGTAGATAAATGATAACGTTGTAAGATGAAATCTGACTAAACAATTTACAACCAGACAATTAAAACCTAGAACATTAATGCTTAGATAGATTCTGTATCTAATTATAATAATCTTACATGAATGGGAAAGTGTTTTTTCTGCATCCCTGAGTGCCAAAAAAGTTTCGTCTCTCTTCCCTTAGACTAATCTTACATTGTTGGACATCTTTCTGACAAATATTCCCATTATAAGTCTTGGACTCTGCATTTGGATCTAAAGATAGATGCCTCTACTCCGCCACGCTACTTCGTCTCTTTCCTTTCTTTCAGTATATTCTGGAAGACTTTTCCGCCGCTGGGGACTTCCTACCTCGACGAACTTTCCGTAAAGGATCAGTCTTCAGCCTCTTTCACAGTCCTATCTCCCTCCACCTTTCCATCAACATCCTTCTCTTCATGAACATCCACCCCCCTATCAATATCCATCTCCCTGTTAATATCCGTCTCTTTATCGACACCCATCTTCTTATCAATATCTATTTCCCTATCAATATCCACCTCTCCATCAACACCCCTTCTCTATGAACACCCATCTGTCTTTCAGCATCCACCTCCCCGTCAACACCCACCCCACCATCGCGTTCCAACCCAACGCCAACCACTTCTCCTCAACTAGTCATGTCCGACTCCGAAACATCCAAGTCCGACAACGAAAAAACATCCTCATCCTCGTGACGGCACATCATTATCCACATCCATATCCTTATCTTTATCTTCCTCAACCCCCCAACATTCCCTTTCAAACTCGCCAGCTGCCCTGCTATCCCAGGATTTAAATCCCCACCATCAAATTAGGCTGCGCAACAGGACTCTGCAAGGCGGATTATTATTCTTGAAGGATAACCTACAGATAACCCATTTGCAAAACAAGTAATTGAAGAATCTGAATAAATGAATAACGAATAATTTACAGATTATTTGTAGATATCTATAAATTCATAAATAATCTATCAATCTATAAATAAATAGATTATCTATAAATGATATTCGCTTAAATTTTTGAAACTATTCTTATATTTTTTATATTAGTTTTTATATCAATTTTTATAAATTAACAGATTATCTATAAATAATTCACAAATAATTTATATAATATAGATTATTTTAAAATCTTAATAAATAATCTATGAGACAGATTGTAGGTTTATTGGATAACCCGCGAAGCGGATTATTTACGGATATCTGCAATCCGCGGGTTATTTTTGTGCAGCCTATATCAAGTCCTAAAGCTCCAGAACGACGAGTCTTAATAAAAAAGCAAATGTACTCCCCATCGCCTGCGAATCCACATAACCAATCCCAATAGCGCCACCCTGCAACTCCGCCAACTCGCGACAAATAAGTAGTCCCAAGCTCGCATCTCCACATTGCGTATGTGTGCTCAGGAATGTTTCCGAAAGTTTTTAAAGAGGACTCTTCTTTCTTTTTCGCTTAATCCTTTGCCGGTATCGGTGATGGAGCAGTGAAGATATACTATTTCGCCTTTTCCGGATGCATCTGTTAATGTTGGATCATTTCGTGCGGTGCGGAGCGGAGTGGATGTATTGAATATCTCTTCCTATTTCTTTGGGGTAAGGCGATCCTATTTTTGCTCCGAGACACACAACTACTTTTCGCGTTTCTGATGATCCTGTGTATTTATTGGCGTTGGTGAGTAAATTGAGAAGGAGTTGTAAAAATCGGGAAGGATCAAAACGGAGCCAATTTGCGTCCAAGGTTTCCATGAAAGGATCGATCTTGAGTTGAACACTGATATCTAATTTGAATGTTTCGCCCGAGAGTATGGTCATAGCTGTATCGACCATACGAATTGGTTCTGCTCCGATGGGTGAAATGGAAAATAGATCGATGTCGGCTTTTTTCATCTTACGTGCATCGTCGATGATTCTTCTCTGATGTTCACCACAACCTAAAATTATCTTCGCCATTCCAATACTGCGTAATTATACTCGTTTTGATCTTTCCGTAACTGTTTGAGTTTTCATCATGGAGGACGTTGTCATGAGTGGTTGAAAGAGCTTTATTAATCTCATCAAGACTTGAGATCATGGTATCAGCACACAGTAAAATTGAAGAGTCAGTATTGTCTATAGAAGAAAGGTGGCGGAGGAAAAAGAAGAAGAAAAGAGGAAATTAAGATTGTATTGAAAATTAAAAGAAGGGTATGAAAGAGAGATGAAAATAGGGTTTGAAATCAGGAAATAGCATCAGGCAGTAAGAGCAAAACCATTTTAATGAACTTATTAAGCTTACTTGAAAGACTGCTGATAGAGGGTTCATCAACTCATGACACACCATTTTCATGAACTCTTCCCTCTGCCGCGTCTCAATTATTGCTTCCTTTGCTCTCCGTTCCTGCATTCGAGCGGCATATTTCAAATGTGTGATATCAGTAAGACACCCAACAACATGCTCCGCGTCCCCATTCTTATTAAAAAGTGGGACAGCATTACATTCTGCCTAGGTGTAGTAGGCCCCATTCTTTCCAAACGATGCAGGATCCGGCACTGCAGGTTTCCAAAACGTTTTGAATCTCCCTTGATTACGAATGGGCCGTTTGTTGACTGTGACCTCGTGCCACTGTTTTGTGATATATTCCCTGTGTTCATCAATCACATAGTCGAGCCATTTCAATCTGGCGTGTTCTCCTACTGTTCCACCCGTGATTCTTGTTCTTAATCCAATTATTCTATCAGTTAAAATTCTCTGAATCCAAATAGTTGTGCTCTTCCATAATTCTGAAGGATATGTGAGTGCAGAGAAGTAACATACCAGGCCTCATTAGCAAACAGCAAACTTACATCCTTTGCATCTATTATGAACATAGCTATAGGTGATAATTGGGTAAAACTAGAGATTAGACTTGTCATATCTAAGAGTTGTTCCGAGATGGAGTCTAAGGCTGTAGAAGGCTAGTCTTTGCTGGAAAAGAAGCTGGCGAAGGTTGTCTCAAAGGACAAAGGAGACGGTGTAAAGTATGCATAGGCGGCCATTGCAGGATTGAATGAACTGGGTGCCTTTTGGATGGGAACGGGATCCTGATTAAAAGGGAAAGGAATTTCATGACCGTTTGCGCACAGATCGAAACTTCTGCCTTGTGCCGGCTTTGACCGAAGGGATTGGGAATGAATGGTATCCCCCTGTGTGGATTTCGCAAATGCCATTTCATGTCCAGAAATTACGCACCATCGATCCTCCAACAAAACCTTTGACCACCTTTGTTGCCGGAACCAATATTGGTTGACTGCGATCTTGGGCTGAGTATATATCCATTTGATAAATGCCTCCCCACTATGACACGAGTTTCCTGAAAGCCATGAAGCAACGTCTCTAAAACCAGCATAAGTCTTGAAGGCATCGTTCGAGAAGACTACGGAAAGTTCAAAATTTTCTTCTTCCATCATAAGATCAACGATGAAGGAGGGTCTGCAGTCTTGCCGCAGCAACTCAGCCACTCCAAGTTCTGCAAAAACCATGTCTGTTCCTGTTGACCCGTCATCGCTGTTATGTTTCATATTCTTTTCCTTATATTTCAAGCCTGGAGATCCTTTCGGTATCTGTTGAGTTGCCATCAATTTTCCTCCGCACAATGATGCTCGTTTAGCTTCTCCTTGCCATATCATTTGCAATTATACAGGGTTTGGAGCTGTCTTCCCCCTGTAAATAATTTGCGAACGGATTGAGGTACCGGGAAGGACTTTAATAGTGAAAATGAATTTTCAAGTGTTAAGTATGGTTCAATTAAGGTTAATTTCCGAATTTATTAGTTTGAGGATTTGACAAGTCTGTATATACCCGTGTAGAGAGAGGATTGAGGTGAAGCTCAAGATTTAAAGGACCCTTTTCTTGAACTGTAAACACTTTCTAACTCCCAATCAAATCGGGCCAAAGGCTCGGGAATTCAGTAGCATCATTCTTTTGGACTTAGAGAGCGCTGGAGGAATTTAGACTTTTCAAGTAGTTCAAAGCGACGCATTGATCATTGGACGGCAAAACCCCTTGGAGACGACAGCGGGTAAACGCCTTCTGGGATAGAGCAACTTTCTCCCAAGGATAGTAAGCTAAAATGATCTACAGATGTTGTGTTCGAGCAGGAATTATCCTTGAAGATCATACTTGGTAACGGGGTCTTTCCTGATAGAATCGTAAACTGTAACTGTACAGCAGTATCGACAAGTCAGAAAGGCTGATGAGAAAGATATCCACGAAGTGAAGTTAGTAATACAGGGTCCTAGCTCAATTTATTCACGTGACCCGACATTTCCATCCTGTCTGACCCTTGGAGTCTTAGACATATCAATACAACCACAACAATAGTAAGATACAAAACGAAAACGATAACGACAGTTTTGTCTTTTCCTGTTCGCGTTCCCAAATCAACAGCTTTTTATTATCAAATGTCTCTAAATCATCCCAAGCAATACGGTTACTCACTTTTGTATACTCTTCGGGGTCACCGCTTCAACGCTAAGTGGAAAGAGCAGGTCTAGACATTAAAAGATATATTCTTCAGAGAAGTCTCCTCCGTCTCTATCCCACTTAGTATTTTACTTCAACGGGCCATGATCCATTGTTCTGACCGTGTCAATGAGATACTTGCAAAGGGCCTGCGAGTACTTACAAGGCGACCAGCATGACCAGTGCAACAGTCAATGAAATGCTTTAAGCCAGTTACCATGTCAAACCATCAATACAAGTGTACATTTACGAAAATCTCAAAAAAATCACTAGGAAGTTCGAATCTTATTTTGATATCGGCTGTAAAGGGTGGCTTTGTCCCGAATCAATATTCCCCCGCATGCCTTTAATCATGGCAGGCGACCTCATTGAAGACAGTGCGAAGCAAATAGGCCCAAATAGACCATTTGTTCCTCTTCGGTTAAAGAATTAATGGTTAAGCTTGCGAGTGTGAGTGTTGGGGTATGTGGCCATTTTGAAAGGCCTCCAACTTGAAGCTTTTATGAGCTCCCGTTTAATATTTATCCGCATTTGTGCGTGATCAGTGCCTGGAAATCCGATGCTCCAGAGGATGTAAACAGCCGGCTGTACAGACCTTTGAGCTAATTGATCGACAAATCAAATCAAATGGTATCGAAAAAACCTCGGTATTAAATTCGATGTTAAATCGAAAGTTGATGCCAATTAAATTAATCCACCAGAGAGATCCAGACTTCGCCAGTCCGGTCAACCCTATGACTCCATTTGCCGTGTTTTATTTTCATCCGCGTTTACGGCGCCGAATCTTTTCCTAATAGTCTCCTATGGGTTGCTTTCTGGAGGTTTAACTGATATCCAGGCGTAAATCTATGCTTTTCGATGTACTTCAGCCGCTGCCTACCGCGCTTGTGGCCCCCTGTACGGTTATCATAGGCCAGTATCTTCCCTCCCGAGGTCAATTTTCTTGTGAGTAAAGATTGTACTCAGGTCTTTTTTGCTGCTATGCCTCAACTGGAATGAAATTTGATAGCGCCTGTTTTGAAGCCCTGTTGGATGCTTGTTGTAAAACAACTAAAGCTCCGCATGACTTGCATATAAACCATCTTTCCGAAAAATGATAGTACTAATATCACTCGTATTCAATTATCCCACTATTAAGAACGATCCTATTGTAATTTTTAGAGCTTTAGATTTACATCACAAACAATCTTCTTCACTGTTCAATCGAACAGTAACTGAAACGTTGGCGCGGAAATTGATGATTAGTTTCTTTTATAGACGACAAAAATCGAAAATATGAAGCCCATGGAGCCACCTACTTTACCTTTTTCTTCTTCAAACTTTTCCGCATCCACCTCCGATTCATCATCTAATATCTCAACCCTCCCAGCTCTTGAGACAAACACAACATGCAATGACGGTAACAACAATAATAACCTCCCACCCGTAACTCTTCCAAGCATCTCCACTCTCTTCCAACAATCTCTCCCACCACCACCACCAACAAGAAGAACAAGAACCAACAATCCAATAACTCGTCTCCCAACAAGAAACCCTAATTCAAGCGCCGCAGTGGTATCAAACACTTCAACCACAACCCAAGGTCTAGTAACCACACAAAGAACCAAAATCATCAAAACTTTCATTTCGCCGAAAAGATCTACGAAAATTATTCTAATGGTTACAATTACTACAGTCCAAGAACCATTTTTTGACAAAGAAAACAATTTATGGGTCATGCGACGAATGACGGAAATCAGAAAAGTTATGGTTAGAAAGAGATTGAGATCTGGTTCTAAGGAAAAGAATCATGGTGTTGTGAGATGTAATAGGAGGTTTACTAGGGGGAAAGGGGTAAAGAGAAGAAATTTCGATTCTTTTATGTGAGTATTACTACATGTTTGATATTTAGATTTTTCTTCGCGGTGCTGGTGAGTATGTCGATGTGGGGATTGCATATATCTTATTTGGAGGTCCTTGTGTATATGGGTTTTGAATTGCTTGGTGGGATATTGCATGGTATGATATGGGATGGTATGGGTTAGACGGGACGGAGCATAGAAAAGGGATTTAGGAATGGGAATTAGGAGGAATAATCCCATGGTATAGTTAGTATAGCGTTGAAACTTTGGAATAAAAAGAGATGGTGTAGGGGCGTATTTGATTTTGAATTTTATTTCATTTGGTTTATAATTGCTGATATTTGTTGGTAGTGGATAAGCTGCCAATCCTGTGTCTCTAAGAATACATCTACCGTTTCTTAAATAGCTTTTTAATTATATCTCTCCCAAGAGTTGTATATAATCAATCAAAATCATAAGATCTTATATCTTTCGATCATTCAAGTTAAATCACCCTCAGATAAAGTCCAATCTCCAAAAAAGAACTATATTAGTATTATTAATTGAAGTAGCCCATAGTTCTTTTCTGATAAGCTTGAGATTATGATCCTAGGACTTTGAATTCGAATTACGATTTATATATCAATATAATTTCCTCCTGAGGCGAGACAAAATAAAATAAAACAAAAGACAGTAAAATAAAAGAAACTTCAAAATGAATGTCCATTCATATATCCACCCTCTCATATACCTTTCCTCAACAGCTCTCATGTCATTCTACTTCCCCTTCCCTCCTTCTCCTTCTCCTTCTCATCCCGCCTTTCCTCCTTCTCCTCAAACCCCCTGATCCAAACCCCCTGATCAAGCATACCCCACCGTCGCTCCCACCCCCTCACCATCCACCCACTCAACCACAAGCCCAACCTCTATACAATCCACCGGTAAACTCTGCGTCCCGTTAATATACGCACGAACTGGTGATCCCTCTTTAAATGCATCGCCCTGTGTGCTGGGGTTTGTATATGCCGTTTGAGTTTGACATTGAGCGCAAAACCGCGCTCGATTATCTATATCCCATTCGTAAGTAAGGGACGTCTATGTAAGATTATAAGGGTTGTATATAACAACTCTGGTAAAAAAAGACGACAATTAAAATATTTAAAAAGTAAAAGTAAAAAGTAAAAGTAAAAGTAAAAATCATACATACCATTACCCAAAAATTCCCCATTAACCAATCTCAATAAACTCCCATAGGGATACTCGCTCGTGGTATCCACAACCAAAGTCCCATTTAAATCTTTATTCGCCATATCACTTACCCTATTCTCAGTACTGAGAATCGTGTAACCCTTCTCCCAGACTTTGGAGAATTGATCACCGAAATACGTCAGTCCGTGAGAGAGTTTATTGGAAGAATGAGTAGATCCAGAAGATGGTTTTTTGGGAGAAGATTCACAGGCTAGTAGGCCCGAAGATGTAATAGTGAAAATACATGCGGAGGTTCGATCGTTGGTTGTGAGGCCCCTTGATGATATGTAGGGGGATGGAGGGGAGAGGTTGAAATATACGCGCATGATGTATGTTAGGAGTGTGTATTGGGATGAGGAGGAGAGACGGAAGGGAGGTGAAAGGAGGAATCTGGGGATGTGGATGGGGGTGGGATAGAGATGAAGGTTGCTGAAAGTGAAAGTGAGTGATGGTAAAGCTGAGGGTGATGATAATGAAGTCGAAAGTGATGATGGAAGTTGAGGTGATGATAAAGTTGAAGATAATGATGATGAATTTGAGGATAATGATAATGAAATTGAAGGTGATGATGATGAAATCGAGGGTGATAACGGAGATGGTGATGGACCATAGCCATAGTATCCTGGAGGAGGGGGTGCAGAATTTGAGCTAGTGGTTGGAGATGTATTGGTTCCTGATGGAACCCTTGACGGGTTTTCTGGATCGCCAGAAGTTGTTGGTGATGATGGATCACTGCTAGTTGTACTTGGCGAGGAAGAATTACCTCCACTTGTACTTGGTGAAGAAGGGTCACCACCAATCGTACTCGGAATCTCAGTATTCTCAGAAGTACTAGCGCTACTCGAAGAAGCTGGTCCGGTAGCAGACGAAGATAAAGATACAGAAGCACTAGCACTAGCGCTAGCACTAGCACTTCCCGAAGACTCAGGACTTCCTGGGTCACCTCCGCTCCCGGTAGGCGTAGGTGTACTAGAAGGATAATAACCACCATAACCAAATCCATAACTTGGAGAACTACCATTTCCATTTCCAGCAGGAGGTATGCTCGAAGTAGTAGATGGATCTCTAGGGTACGTACTTGAAGCTGCTCCAGAGGGATCGGTACTTCCTGGTGGATCTGTAGGGTTTGAAGAACTGCTTGAGGGAAATGAACCTAGAGTAGTTGATGTAGATCCCGAAGTACCAGATGGATCTATACTTGCGTTTGTTGAAGAAGCGGATTCGGGATCTGTGGGAATAGAAGAACCGTCTGATGGGAAAGAACCGCTATTTGTTGATGAGATGGGGTCGGTTGGTGTAGATGTGAAACCTCCAGATGGATCTGCACTAGCACTAGCATTAGTTGAAGAAACTGATCCTGAATCAGTAGGCGTGCTAGAAGCAGCCCCAGATGGATCTCCACCGCTAGAAGTGGGCGGACTGGGTGGATCAGTTGGCTTTGCTCCCGATGGATATGAATAATATGATGGACCATTTCCTCCATCGCCACTAGGATCCGTAGGGGAGCTTCCACTTGGATTTGTTGAAGGAGTCGAGCTTCCTGGATCAGAAGGATCTGATGGACTTAGACTTGAGCCTGTAGATGCAGTTGAAGGATCAGGAATAGGAGGTCCGCATGGATGCACTGTTGTAGATACAGCGGATGGGTTGCCTGTGAGACTTATTTGTGTTTGTGTTTGTGCGTTAGCTGTTGCTGAGCCAGTTATTAAAGATGAACTGGAACTGGAGTTTGAACCAGAAGGTGATAATGCGGTACAATTATCGATTTGCCCTCTTTGGACATCTATGTCAATGTTAGCTTTTTGATCTCGTACCTTGAAAAGCCCCAAAGGTCCCTCATTAAATTTTTTTTGGCTATAGAATAGATAATTACATTCTAACGAATGAAATTATCTGTTCCTGTCTTGAAATTCAAAATATATATCATGAGATATCATAATTCAGGTGTCGAAGACGTTTCTTTATCAAAGCTTTGATGTTCCCAATAAAACAGGAACATTTGGGGCTCACTCCCCCCCTCAACCAACAGAGATAGGGCCACGGGGCGGCGGTGGGGAAGAAAATACACTAACCAACAGCAATCCAATCCCCCTGATCCCCACAACTCGCCACCACACAATTAGCAGTCGCACTCTGAATAACCGCGGCATTCTCCTTTTCACACTGACATGTTAAATTCGTAAATGCACAATCCGTGTATTTGATCGCGTTTTGAATGCATTCAAACGCACAAGCTGGAATGATAAATGTGGCGTTCGCTGATGTATTTGGTGTTGGAGAGGTGATGGATGATGGGGATACTGACGATGATGATGGGAGTGCAGATGGAGCTGTGGACGGGGAACTGGAGTCCAGAGGGGAAGATGTAGTGGTTGGGAGTGATGATGGGGCTGCTGATGTGCTGAGAGGAGCGGAAGTAGGAGCCGCAGATGGAACTACGGGTGATACTGTCGAAGAAGGCACTGTACTAGCAGTAGCACTTCCAGCCGCAAGAACAGAAGAACATTCCGCAGTAGCATCATCTAGGACCTCTATATAAGATTAAAACATCAGCATGAATCTTCAGTTATCCAGAAAATAGGGGGACAATACTAACGATGTGCCCCCTCGGTCCCGCAAGCACCAAGAACACAACTCGTCGCTTCTCTTTCAATTAAACTCGCATTATCGGGATCACATTGACAAGCTAAATCTGTTGCACTACAAGTTGTTTGCGAGGCAACTGCTGATGCGATGCAGGAAATTGCACATGAGGGGAGTGATGGAGCTGGAGCTATTGAGCTGGGTGTGTCATCGCGATTGAGTAATGGGGATCGAATTCTAGATGATGAGTGAGAGGGTTAGCTATTTTGTTCAAGTACTGGGGAGGAGTGGCTAAGAACCCACAATGCAGAGTTGACGCATATGAGAAAAGAAAAGAATGTAAAGAATGATAGGACCATCTTGGCTTTTGGTAAGCGGGATATGGTCAATGAAGGGAAGAAAAGAGAATGAAATGAAATGGAAAAGAAAGTTTCCTTTGCAATTTCTCGTTCAATGGGATGAACGCATATATACTCACTCATACTACAATCCTCACAGAAACACATATCAAAATACAAAGTGTAAATTTGCAAGACGCCACTTGGCGACGTATGATCTTCTTTTAACAAATTTATTGTAACCTCGTCCGATCTATCCACGACGATGGTATAACAATAACAAGAAATATATACAAAAATGAAATTAATCTCCGACTCCGTATATGGTTTATGACCAGCAGATCTCCGATGCACGATAAATGCCGTCCAAAACCATGCTATTGGCTCCTATGCTATCCTGTGAATTCATACTATCACGTGCTGATCTCTGATACAAATGTTTTGAACACGACGTATGACGGGACAATAGGACAAAATTCTATCACCCCGCACAAGTAGTGATATATGATGATATTCATGTCGAAATCCAACCTCCACCTTCGTACCAACAGTAACGAGCCCTAAAGTGCTATACCTGTTCAAGACTCTTCTGTAGCCATTGTATACTGCAGATTCTCTAAAGTTCGTAACATTGATTCTCTCTCTGTGATGACAGCCTCAAACCATTTGACCTCGGCGACTTTATTTCTCGCCCAGTCTCTCCACCCACTTCCTACTTTCCATGTGGCATCAGCCATAGCCGAATTTTGAGTCCTGGATAGTGATAATTTCTCTGATTCGAAATTTTCGGCGAGGTCTTGTAAAGCGGTTTTCCTATCAAAGTCCCATTTCTTGAACATTGCAATAGAGTTCGCTTGATGTGCAACTTTCGCAGCTTTGATTTCGTATACAGCATCCGGTTTGTCTTTCCAAAATGCTTCAATTTTCTGTGAAATCTCCTTCTCAACGCGAACTTCCTCTCGTTCACGCTCGTAGTATTCATTCAGGAAACGCATTTCTTGCTTTGATATTTCATTCTTGTGTTGCGCCTCTAATTGGTTGATATAGCGTGAATGGAGAAACCGTAATGTGTTCAAATCTAGCTCTTGTTCTTGTAATACTCGGTACTCCATCTGCGAGCGGGATGCAAGACGTAATTTCTGAGAGGAATGTAACAACTCTAGCTCTTCTCTTATTTGCCCAAACGTGAGAGCTATTTCTCCACGTCTTGTTTCCTCTCGGCGACGCCGAAACTCGGCTTCCCTTTCTAGTTCTTCGGCTTGTCGTCGTTCCAAATCTTCAATCAACTGTCGAGCAATTCGGTCGCGTTCTGCCTGTCTCCTAATTCGTTCCGCTTCTTGCCTAGTTGGTACCAGTGTCTGACTGTTGGCGCCTCGAAGTCTTTGTAACTCTGGGTCAAGTCCTGTCAAGAGATGTCTCGCTGTACATTGACAAGTTAGCCATTTGGCACGACAAATGTAACACCATTGAGCTCCACAACGGCATCTAATATGGCGACAACCCATATTAAGTTCGACAAAAGCATTGCAATTATAACATTTCTTCCATCCTCTCTCTTGTGCCAATCTGATCGTAGCTTGCAAATTTTTATCCTTGGGACATTCCGTATTTGCATGCCATGAACCTTTGCATGCAGTGCAAACTCTTGTGTTGCAGGAGGGACAAGATGCGCATTTGAGACTTTCGTTAAACCACTCGCTAGGAATCCATGTCTCACATCCTTGTTTGATGCAATAGATTCGATCTCCGACAGGCACTTTTCTTTCCAAAGCTTTTGTTTCGAATTTTTGTGCTAGGTTTGCGTTTACATTTTTCATGATGACTGCATGTGATATATCTTTCTGACAGCACTTCACAGGCCACATCGTCTCTGTCTCCATGGCAGCACTGTCACATGTTAGCTAATTATCGATGAGGAGTTGCAGGGAGAACTTACATTACTAGTCTTTCGAAACATTCTTTGCAATATCCGTGGCATTCCACACTCACCATTTTACCCTCTAGAAAATCATCCAAACAAGAAGTACAGTTTCTGCTTACTCCGTTAGCAAGAACCGTTTTGAAATATCAAGATCCATACCCAGTAGGCTCCTTCATTACAGATTTTCCCTTAATTTCCCTCTTTTTAAGCAACTTTCTAAACCTAGAAAATGTGGACAACTTGGTGTATCCATGCTGCGTGTCGTTCGAGCTTGATTTCGAATGATACCTTTCTGCAGCAGACATGTATCCTGAATCGGAGGTCATATTTGTCTTCGTTGATCCTTGGCTGATCACGCGGTTTTGTTGATTTCGCTCATTACTCGAAGTATCTTCCTCTGTTGCGCTTGTCTGTAAATTCTAGTTAATGAATAAGATTCAGTGAATAGAGTGCTGCACTACTTACCTGAAGCCCTGGTCTTGATGTTCCTGCTACAGCGGTATTGGACGAACTAGATGCCTCTGGAGTCTCTCTAAGCGCTGCTAATGCAGTCGTCCTTTTCTGAGTTGCCGCTGCACTAAAAAGCTGGTCTTTTGAGATATCAGCTCTTATGGAGGTGGTGAAGAGTGTGTCAAGCTCCGGAAGACCATATTTGGCAGAGCCCTCGATACGTTCAATATCAAACAAGAGTTCCGCTGGCGGGTCATACAACCACCATTGGACATGGTTCATTAAGGTTTCAGATGTGAAAGTCAGAGGGCCCTCGGACTTGGGATCTAAGGGCGTGTAGAAGTAGCTATCTGACAGATCATGATAGTGAGTTCGATTTGAAATAGGTAGGTCTCCGACACTAACCTGAGTTTCGTCGATAATGATCTGCAACTTTGCTGAAGGTCGTGGCAGGACTCTCCTTTCGTTTTCCATACCTGCTGGAGGCTTATTGACGGTTTGATGTCGTGCGATCGCATGGTCATCCCGATCACTAGAAACCATTTTCTTGAATGCAGTTTATCATATGTTTCTTTTGGAGTGCTGATGATGGGAAATAGGAGCAAGAAGCACTGTCTAAGTTAAATTGAGAACGCGGTGTAAGATACTTATGTACTAGGCCCTTTGGTAGCTCGTCATTATGACAATTGTCCTCAGTCATACTATAGCAACTAGTCAGCAGACTTAACTACTATAGCTCATTAATTCATAAAGTTGTATGAGCCAATAGAACCCATTCAAGGAGATGGATATGCCCAGTTAAATATCCCTGACAAACTAACCAAACGTTAGCTTTTGACATGCCATGCAACGCCATTAGATCTTTAGCTCGGGCTTCATGACATGCGCAAGAATATATGTGTGTATGTGTAACCCTCTGCAAAAGAAAATGACTGCCTACCATAAGGCTGCTCAGCCACCCACGACGAAATATTTCTTTTGAGGAAGGCTTTCACATAAAACAATCTACTGGGCACATCGGCAGCAGAGGGCATGAAATAAAGTCAAGAACGATAGGAGAGACTGGTACCGTGGAATGGTCAGCCGCGTAATGGCTGTATGTTTCTTGCAAACCCTGCATTCTGAGGGTTTAGTAACAACGTCACCGAGTTTTATTCCAAGGAATGCTCAGTGTTAGTTGTGATCTTCATCGACAAACTCATGAGTTTGAGTCGTGACTAGAATGGCCAAGTGGATCAATGACGTGCAGTAGTGCAAATGTGGGTGAAGTTGCACACTAAAATTGCTTTAAAGTCCCAGAATAGCATCACCTGGAAATGATAACGGTTAGTGGCACAGAATGAGTATAAATAGCGAATTTCTAGTAGCCTTTCGCCTGTTCTTTCTCGAGATAGATAGCAAACAGGAGTCATTTTAGCCTTTAAAATCATTGGCCACTTTGCCGGTTTACGGCGATTAAAACATGGTCACATGTGTGAGTCTTCTAAGAAATCCGATCCTTAAATGCGATTATCGGCCATAGTGGTACCCTAACGCTGAATGCATCCCTTTTTCGAGCTCCTAGGAATATCCAAGGTCGAGGGTGGTAGATAATGGCTAACAGGAAACCACAGTCTCTCCGCCACCGTCTTTCCAACATGCATCTCCAACTTGCATCTTCGATTCACTAGCAATAAATAGTAAAGTGTATATTTCTTTAACCACTCCGCCCCAGCAATTAACCCTGACACTCTTCCAATCATCTGTACGTTCCGCCGATACACCCCAACCTGAATCACCCTTGGAGATGTGTCTGAAAAGGTAAGACCAGAGGTTTTGTTTGACATGATAATCGAGGCTTTGAATATCGACAAGCCAATATCCACGCTCAAAAGGGCGACAAGGCCTGGTCTGCAGAGTAGGCTTGTATACTGCCCGTAGTTCTTGAATTGAAACAAGAAGTCCCAGTGAAGTCGTAACAAGATTAGCTGGCGTGAGATCGCCAGACGAAGTTTGGGGTATAAATGAAGGAATGATGCACGTTGCCAAAGACTTCGAAGAAGCCAAGCTTGACATGGGAGCTATGGTGCCTGAGACATCCGGCGCATCATGGGCCATAGATGTAGGACGTGTCTGTGGTGAAGGAAGAGACCTGGAAGATGCATCACTCGTGGTATCGGATATTACTAGCTTAACCCTCTTGGGACTTTTGGGACTCTTGTCTACTGACGATGGAAAATCGACCCGCCGTCGCTTGCTGTTCGCATGTTGCGGCAACGAGCTAGATGTTTCTAATTTTTCGGGTATACCAGATATCGGCCCCTTCTTCGAAAATTCGCTCAAATTTACGTCTTCATTCGTAAAATCCGCTGCTATCTCCTTCTCCATAGTCTGACTTGTTCGTCGATTTGAAGTATTAGCGGCCTGCCCAAAAGACTGCATACTGTTCGGATTGTTAGAGCTCATCGAGTTAGGTGCGTCTCTATGAAAAGCTGATACTGGAGATGGAGTGATATGTCTAAATCTAGTTATATGCGCTCGCCGAGGAGGAGAAGTTATTGGGGAGTGCCCGGGTGACAGAGAAGGAGCAATTCCCAAATTGGTATGAGTTTCAGCACTCTGGGAACTAATGAATGGTATGGCTCGAGGAACCTCAAGGTTCAAGCTACTAACGTCTGTAAACTGCGATCCCCTACGCACTACAGGAGAGTCTTGTGTGCTTTCCCCTTGCTGTTGATGTAGCTCCAAAATCCGCGTTGGGGATGAAAATTGTGTAATGAGTCTGTCATTATCAGCTAGAAAGTCTTCACCTACACTGGATGATTGTGTTTGAGCAGGAACTGAATCCAGAAACTGAGTCCGCCAAGGTGTTTCCTCTACAGTCTGCATTTCCAAACCATCCTGACTCCGCCCCGGTATTTCCTCTCCAGATTGCATTCGCAAGCTCATTGCAGCTCCGCTTCGAGTACGAAACCTCGGAGAGTTTCGATTATCCAGAACACTTCGAAAGGAGAGTTGAGGTGAGCAGATGAGATCGGATAATTCCTCCTCGGTGATCTCATGGTATGCCCCTAGATTCGTCTCTGGCTCTTGGGTTGGTGGGCAATAAGATGCATTTTCGTCGTATCCCTGCGTCGAGTGGTGCAGCTCCTCTTCAATCCGCACCTCCGACCCTTCCTCATTTGCACCACTGAGTTGAGGGTCGTCTTGTAGTTGTAGATATGTTGCAGGCTCGAAATTCAAATAAGCACTTGCGAATGCTCTGTATCGGGTATCATCTTGGCCTCGACTTGGTGCTGATGTGTGTACTAAGATCTCGACGTTTTCTCTTGTTGTGTGAGCCATTATTGGAGTAGGTTTCAATACTGTACATTGTCCTTTGGTGGTAAATGCCTAATAAATATAGTGATGGACTCTTGAGAGAGGTGAGAAAGAAATTCGCGTTGCATCTTGTCTAAAATTCTTGATCTTCATGGTAAAGGTTATGACAGACGCTCCGACCACACAGGCTTACAGAGTAGTCCGAGGCTGAAACTCCCTAACCTTATCTACCTTCCTAGGTAACTACAGAGCTACAGAGTATTTATCGCAACCAATTTTCAGGTATTCATTCCATTCAAACAGAGCCAAACTACAAACACAATCAACGTTATTGCTTGGTCACCAGGCCATCAACAATCAATAATTTATAGAGTGTACGGAAAGCTCTAGCTAGACTGCAAAAGTTTGCAAATATCCTTCAATCACCTTGCCAAGTTTGGAGCTATGAACGAAATTGTCATTGGTACCGGACCGTACCTATGAATCGTTACATTCCTATTGGCATTGAAGATTCCTTTGGGACTCACTCCACCAGATCTTCTAGTTTGAATCCTGCTCATCTTTTGCCGAGTTTCTTGTGGCCAGAAATGTCTTCGCAGTGCCTACAAAGTAATCTTGGTGAGACTAGTGCTGTTCCCCAAATGTGACATTTCATCTTGCCGTTCAAGTTTCAGTCTACAGTTATGACATGAAGAGCAGTCTATTTTATTTTGTTGAAGAGTTGACTTGGTGATCCTGGGCGGGAATCACAGACTGTGTAGTGAAAGCTACCTCAAATCTGATATGCTTTATCAACCTGGAAAGTCAAAGACTACAGTTTTGGTTAAGTGAAGGATATGCCTAGACGATAGATATCAAGTGATGATTACTATTTCGAATCTGGAAGCAATTCATCCAATGCTCCCACTCCATATGGTTTGCTGGCTGTCTGTTAGTAGTTTGTACTATCTCCCAATTAAGGAAAGAAGCATGAGGATCAGCATAAGTAAGATCTTATCTTCTACTCCCAAGAACATAGCCATTCTTATTTGAGAACATTTACTTTAACTTCTCAGCCTTTCTCAATCATAACACATTTAGTCCTAGCCCAGCAGTTTAATAGCAGTTCATTTTCACTATATTAGGTAAACTAACTACGCTATGATCTGAACGAAACTTCAGGCACAGCCAAAAAAATAATCAGCTTCTGACTCCTCTTCGATATTATTATGCCTCCCCTTCATACTAAGCGCCTCCTAGGCCCGCAAACCAAATGTAGTTCCTCTTTATTCAAAACCTACTACGAAACCATCCATGTTCTCTTCCTACTCCCCCTACAGGGCTCTTCCTTTCCCAAAAGCCACAGCCTGAAACTACATTATCGGCACAGCCCACGAAGTTTCATCCCCAGATGAATCAAACTTAAACATTCGAAGTCGGTGTTAATCACGGCACAATTCATGGAAATATCGCTTATGATATGTATAGCAAAATGGTGTTTGAAGATGAGAATACATTCAAGGGTTTTGAAAAGGTGATGTTCACTTCGATTTCAGGAAAAATGCGAGGAGGGATTAGGGGAGATTCCTTGGATCTGGAGATCTTAAGGTGTTCAGGATTAAGGTTTCAGAAGCTACGATAAAGCCGTTTAAGTAGTTAGATGGTGATAGTTAGGCATATAGCGCAGGTTAACTCCATTTTGAGCGACGAGGAAAGCATTTGATTCTGATCACTCTTTCCAGTACCTTGAGCAGTTCGCAGGCGAATGTAAGAAGGAAAACCACATAGAAATGTATCGAAGTCCCCCTGATGTTAAAGTCGTCACAGACCTCTTGTCTTCATCTCCAGCTAGAAAATTACAGGGACTAATCAAATTTTATTGGCTTGGTCACAAGTATGACGGTAATAATAATATCTATTTCGTTTCTCTACTCTGATCTCTGTGACACAGCCCAACCTCATTGCAGAGGCTGAAAATAATCTAATGGATTCAGCAGTCACGAGTTTGGTAACCGACATCCCTACATCTTGCACGACCCCACATCTTGTACACTCCTCATTCATAACTACGATCATTTCAAAATTTAATAATAATTCGATTTTATAAGATATGAAATTAGAACTTTAATTTACGAATAAGAAGATATAATATTATTATATAGAATTATAAAAACTTCATATTTGAAACCTTAATGGAATTTTGATTTATTGTTGATTTCTTATATATATATTCATCTTTTTTTTTTTTTTTTTCGAATTATCAATTATTTTTATATTTAAAAGTTCTATAATCTTTTTAAATATTAAATCTATAATAGAAGAGTGTTTTGAAATTTTTGAAATTTTTAATAAAAGATATTGATGATTTTAAAATTTTATATTTTCTTTTTAGAACTTTATATAATTTAATAATTTATCCTTTTTGAATTCTTTTTTTAGTTTCTAAACTCTTTTTGGTTTTCAGTTTTTTATTAGTTTTCTTTATATCTTAATTATTTTTCTTTTGAATAATAAATATTTTAATTTTTAATAAGTTTTAGTTTTCTTTATTATATTGAATAAATATAAAAAATCTTTTTAGTCTTTTTTTTATGAGATTTAAATGTTTTGAATGAATTTTTTCTTTCTTTTGATTTTGAATATTGTTTTTAATTCTTTTATTTTATAAAATTGAATATCAGTTTTAATTATATTTGTAACTATTGTTTTGAAAAACTTCGATATAATATTATAAGAAAGTTGGAATTATAGACCAAATACATAAAGATTTTAACTAGTCAATCACATGATCTTCTATAATTAGATATAAAAGAAAAGCTCTTTACCTCTTCTTTTTACAACAATCAACCTTTTACATATATATATTTGAACCTATATAATATCAACCCTAAAACCATTATGAACCCTGTTCTACCTATAAGTGATGTATTACAATGTAATCTAATTCAGCTTTCTCCTCCAATTCCCTCCTCACAGCATACTATCGGGACACACGTATCTCGACCTACCACTTTTACAATATTAAGATTTGAATTGAGATGAAATTTTAATCGAAAGTAACAAAAAGCTTCCGATATATATAAGGTTTTAAATTTATCTTCTACTAATTGTATTGATATAAATAATATAAAAGTATTTTCAAAAATAATATTTAAAATTGTTGTATTTCTATTTATAAAATAAATATTTGATTTTTCAAAAGTTTTCAGAATATTATATATAATATAAGATTGAGTTTAAGATCTTTTAAAAAGTGATCAAAAGCCCCACCTTAATATTCCAATAATATCCCCCCACTATATATAAATATATTTAATTTTATATTATAATTCGTCGAAAAAAAAAGAAAATAATCAATATTAAAAGTTTATAAATAATATATAAAATAAAAAGATAAAATCAATATTATAATTTTCAATTCTTTGCATTTTAATATAAATTTTATATTTATATAATTAAAATGATTATCTATAATAAATAAATAATATCCTTTGTTTATTTTTAAATATATATAATATTGAAAAACTTTTATAAATCAAATAAAACCAAATATATTTAATAATCATTTATTGATTAAAGCTCTAAAATAAACTTTATTTTTTATTTTTATTTTATTAATCTATATATTTTATAAATCTTCTAATTCTCTTTTATAAAATAAAATAAATAATATAATTATATTATCTATATATATTAAAAAGATAATAAACTCTTTTGATTCATCTTATTTAATTTTTATAATTTTATTCCTTTTGTATATATTAATATTTATAATTTTCTTTATAGTTTTCCCAAAATTAATTATAAAATCTTTCTTATTTTAATTGTATATATTTTTCAAGGATATATTATATTTTGTAATTACATTTATTAATTAAATAGATGAAAAAAAAGATTAACAAAAATCTTTTAAATAATATATAATAACAATAATACAAAATAGTATAAATTAAATTATAAAAGTATTCAAATATATCAACATTTTCAACTTTTATATATAAATTATCAATACAATAAAGATATCGATTTTGAAAATGTTTTTTATACTTTTTAACAAAATTCGATATCTAATTTTTTTATATAAAATAGTTTATTATCTTTTCTGTAAAGTTTTTTTTATTATATAATTTGTAAAAAATATAGATCTTTGTATTAACTTGTTGATTTAATCGATTAAAGTTTCTTTTTGTTTTAATGAAAGGTATTAATACAAATCAATATAAGCTATATTGTGAGGGGTTGATTTGTTTTTATAATATCAAGAAAGCATAGAACGATTGATTCCAAATAATTTTGCTATACAAGTATATTGAGGGTGCTTTACCCTTGAATATAAATTAGTGTAAATTCCATAACGTTTTGTGTGGTTATATTAGTAATGATTTAATTTATATGGTTGATAATTTTTGAGGTTATAAAATGCGTGCAAGATGTAGGGATATCGGTTAGTATATGGACGATGCAAATGATCTTTCGAATAGCATAACAGTGTTAGAGAACCGGTACTATATATTAGGCCTTCTAGAGTCGCTTCTGCGATCTTTAGGTAATCATATCTAACATCTATATATTCTATACACATGATAACTTATCCTAACCAAAGGGGTCTGATGCTCCCATGCTTCCATGCTCTGATCAAATCAAACGAGAATCTTACCTTGTCACGTGAATCTGAAGAAGTTAATGTCACCAGATTATTGGACTTAATTTCAAGGCGCCAATTAAGGTTACCCATCGCGAACTTTTGCCCCGCTAAGATTTTCCTCCACAAATCGAAATATTCAACGAATTCAGCGTTGTAGATTTGAACCTTTCCTGCCTTTCATATCTCAACGTCAATCTTTCGCCGCAATCATGGCGCCCATTTCACTCTCAGATATCATCTCTGCGCTCCCATCAGAGGACTCATGGGGACCAACAACCACGTCAGAAACCACATTAAATGGAGTTCCTTACGCCCCATACTCTAAAGGTGATAAATTAGGTCGCATGGCAGATTGGACAGCTGAAGGGAAAGATGGAAGAGATGGCAGAGGTGGGAGACAACAGTACAATCGAAACTACAGAGGTGCGATCTATACCTCAAATCTATCTACTATTTATTTGCCATTTATTCGACATTTAGTTTGGAAATCTAGGTTGATCTGGTTTCTTTGTGCTAATATATTTTTATGCAATTAGATCAACAAGTTTACGGCGCTGGAACTTCCTCATTATTCGCAGTCCAACTCGCTGAGGACGAATCTACCTTCTCTGTTGTCAGCAACACCCGCGATTCTACCAAGACACGCTTCGGTCGTGGAGGAACTTTCACTCGAGGACGTGGACAACGTGGTGGAAGGGCTGATACCCGTGGTGGCAGAGGTCAATTTCAGCGAGTTGGAGGACGAGGTGGACAGCAAGGTTACGGCAGCTACGATACCCGTGGTGGAAGAGGTGGTGCTCGAGGTGGAAGAAAGTTCGGCTGGAAAGATTACGACAAGCCACAAAGGAATCGCGATGCCTCTGTTAACATTAAGCCTGACTGGAAGATGTTGGAGGAGATTGATTTCAACCGTCTGGCTAAGCTTAACCTCGACACAGATGATGGAGAAGATCTTGATAGCTATGGTTTCCTTTACTACTACGATCGAACATTCGACAAGCAACCTGTCAAGGCTGCCGAAAGAAAGCTCAACGTGGTCGACCGCGCTTCGTACAACGTTACTACGTCTTCAGATCCTGTCATTCAAGAACTTGCCGAGAAGGATGAGGCTACAATTTTTGCAACGGACAGCATTCTCTCCATGCTTATGTGCTCTCCTCGATCAGTCTACCCTTGGGATATCGTCATCGTTCGACAAGGCAACAAGGTCTTCCTCGACAAAAGAGACAATGCGACGCTCGATATGGTTACCGTTAACGAAAATGCTGCTGATGCTCCAATGGATGCTTCGGAGGGTAGCAAGGACGCTATTAACCAGCCAAGTGCTTTGGCCGAGGAAGCTACATACATCAACCACAATTTCGCAAACCAAGTCATGAAGGAGAGTGATAGTCAAAAGGTAGAAATGGAGCACGAGAATCCATTCTACAACCCCTCGGAGGAGACAGACCCACCTGCAAGCAAAGCATACAAATACCGTAAATTCGATCTTTCTTTGAACGACGAAGATCCAGTTCACCTGGTTGTACGAACTGAGATTGATGCCGTTGCAAAGAACGCCATCAGTGGAGAAGATCAATACTTGACTGTCAAGGCTCTTAACGAGTTTGACTCCAAAGCACAAGGAAGTGGAGGTGCATTGGATTGGAGGACAAAGTTGGTCAGTCAACGTGGTGCCGTTGTTGCAACTGAGATGAAGAACAACAGCTGCAAGCTTGCAAGATGGACAGTCCAGAGTATCATCGCTAAGGCTGATGTTATGAAACTTGGGTACGGTTTTGTTTCTTTCTTGGTCCTTATTTGATACTAATTCTCGATAGATTTGTTTCTCGTGCAAACCCAAAGCTCAATGATCGTCATGTAATTCTCGGAGTCATTGGATGGAAGCCACGTGATTTTGCCTCGCAAATGAACTTATCTCTATCCAACGGTTGGGGTATTGTTCGTACCATTGTCGATATGTGCTTGAAGCGTGAGGAAGGCAAGTACGTACTTGTTAAAGATCCAAACAAGCCAATCTTGAGACTGTACCAAGTTCCAGCTGGCAGTTTTGAGGATGATGGTGAAGGTGATGTAATCGAGGAGAATGTTGAGGAAGAAGATTAGAGTTGCAACACAAAAGCATCCAGCGTTCAATGGTTATGGGCTGGGCTGAGCTGAGCCTCATGGAGTTATGATAATGCGCGTGCAAACGTAGATGACCAATCAAATATGTTATTTTTGATAAGTTTGGGATAGCCCCCCTGTTTTGTTTTGCATACCTACATACCTAGGTATACATGTACTCCATACTTGAGTATGAGAAAACATTTTCTCATTCGGGATACTCGGATCAAAATGGATCGGCTCCCCTTTTGTTACGTTGTCTATTCGGCTAGACCAAGTGTAGTAACTGGGGACAACAATCAGATTGATTATTGGTTCATTATATAATTTATAACGCATTCTTGTACACACCGCGACACATTGCGTATCCATTAAGATAATTATATTCACATAATTTGGACGTCAACGAGTTCATCAAGTGTAGATTTCTCAAAAACAATTTATTAGACTTTCACTGTGGTTCAAAGTTTTTCCCAATGCACAATACGAGTTGGTGCCAAAGTACTCCGCCGTACGGCGGCCGGAGAGTCTTGACTCTTGACTATGTACTATGTAGAAACAGAGATTCAACCTCTCCACAATGCTTTGTAAGAATCCGGCATCTTCTGTCGTTCGCATTAGAAGTAGGAGATGGAAATAGGGAATGGACATAGGGAACGGAAAATGTCGCCGGTTTATAACTTCCGAGGGGGATTTAGGTTCCGTGGATTTTTTCATTTATATACATCGTTGGACCTGTGGTTGTCACCTGTATAAGAGTTCAAGGGGTCCTCCATTTCTAGAATTTATTCCCATTCGAATCTCAGTTACAAATACACAGCTCCAATTAACGAAGCAAAGTTATCCCGGATCTTAATCTTGAGAATTTCTATTGAACTAGCTCTCGCACACATTTCACACGCCAATCTGAACAATTATTAGCTCTCGCAAACCAACAGCAAAGAACAAGATGGCTCAAGAATTAGATCCCGATACGTTCACTTCGCCTTGGAACATTACAGAAACTCTTCATCGAGATCCTTATTGGGCTATCGATCCTAAGAACCCAGCGAATGTTCAAAATGGCAAGATCATTATCATCACAGGAGCTAGTTCTGGTATTGGAGCTGTAAGTACTTCCTTTCCTGTATACTCCAACATACGATCCGCGTTTCCAAATCCAATCATCTAACACCAAATAAGGCAGCAGCAAAGGTCTGGGCCGAAGCCCACGCATCTGGGATCGTACTCGCAGCTCGTGGAGTCCCAGCAATGGAATCCCTTATCAGGGAACTTCAGCCTCTTAGCCCCGAAACCAAATTTCTGGCTGTGAAAGTCGATATTGCAAATGAAGACGATGTGAAAAATCTTTACACGGCTGTGCAAAAGGAATTTGGAAGACATGCAGATGTCTTGATGAACAATGCCGGAATTATGGAAATTGAACATTTCATTGGAGAGACGGAGCCAAGTAGATGGTGGAAAATACTCGTGAGTTCTTACACGCCGGCGGGTTTGATTCCAATGAGATGATTAAAAGAAGAGAAACTAAATGTGGCGTCACCCAGGATACCAATTTAAAAGGTCTCTATCAGATGACGCACCACTACATGGCGTCGCAACCTACGCCCAAAACTCCCACGGGCACAATCATCAACGTTAGCTCTCTAACAGCTGGTCTCACCCTGGACAGGGGCACCTCCTCATACAGTATCTCCAAACTCTGCGACCAGCGCTTTTCCGAGTTTCTCGTCATCGAATATCCCTCTCTCCGCGTCTTTACCACCATGCCTGGAGTCGCGGCTACCAAGATGGTGCCTGATTATTTAAAGCCTTGTGCGCTGGATCATGTGGATTTGACGGGGATGTTGGCGCTTTATTTGGTGCAAGAGAGGGCGGATTTTTTGAGGGGTTCGATGGTGAGTGTTAATTGGGATGTGGAGGAGCTGGAGGAGTACAAGAAGGAGATTGTGGAGAAGAAGTTGTTGCAGACTACTTGGATGCCGGTTTTTCCCGTTGGTGGTGTGAAGAAGTTGGCTGAGTTTAGGGATTAGTTTACTAGGGGTTTGTGGATGGAAGCGGGGAGGGACTTGGGTTTTGTTATTGTTGTTACTTTTTACATACTCCTCTCAGCCTTTAAATCAAGAATAAGTAAGATCTTACTTAATTGACGCGTACCATATCTGCATATAAATTTCTGTTTTCAGCTACTTTAGCCTGATACCCCGCAGTCCCCGTCAGCCACTCCTCGATCTTTAACATACAACCAATCACATTGCGAATATGGATGTAGTGACTACTAAGACGATGGTAGTGTAAAAATTCTAACAATACCTAGGTAGTATTCACTCTCTCATTCTATCATTGTGTATATACTCTTCCCTTACTGTGTCCCTCTCTTCTCCCTCCCAAACCCCTCCAAACTCAACCCCAAACTACAACCATGAACGATCCCTTACCACTTTATATTTATACCTCTACCTCTACCTTCCGATCACCCTCCCACACCGAGGGTACACCCCTCCTAAACCTCCCTTTACCAACTCAGCCTCCTCTATATATATATCATACCCATATTTCCTGAGCAGAAGAGTTGTCGACAACCAGAATGGGAATGAGAAGTATGACTTGTAAGTTGTATTTCCTTTTTTGGTGGTTTTGTTAGTATGTGGGTTTTTGATGTTGTTTTTTTCGGTGGTGTTTTGGGGGACTTCTTGGTCGGGGTAGAGTTAGAGTTAATAATAAGCTGAAGATGATTGGGTGAGATTATATATTGGAGAGGGTATTGTGAGTAATAGACTACTGAAAAGAATGATTATAAAGGAATTGAGAGAGGTAAATGTTTCTGAAAAGTAAATTGTTCTGTTTTAATTTTATAATTTTATAATTTATAAAATATTATCTTTAATTTTAAAATCTTTTGAATTTATTTTTAATTTTTAAAATAAAAATATTTTAAAATCTAAAACAATCTTCATTAAAAATTTATTATATATAAATTATTTAAAAAAATATATATATAAGATTTTAATATTAAAAACCAAGACAATTCACTTTTTAAAGATATTTACTTTTTGTAATTATAAAATAAACACTTTTTTAAATAATCATTTATTAATTTATATATCTAAAGTTAAAGTGTGAAATATAAGATAATCTATTGGAGAGGGGTTGTTTAACGAGGGGCTTAAGATGAGTGTTTTGATAGGGTTTTGGAGGTAGGATTTTAGATGTTATGATGCGTTTTTATTCTATTGAGGAACATTTATCAGTGTATAAGATTGCATGATAGATGAACCATTATCAACATCTAAACGTCCAGTACGACAATCACCCTTTAGTACAACTTGGTTGGAATGAGAAAGTGCCACGAGAAGCATATAAGCATGGCGTCCAATCCTAGATTCTATTTTGTATCGTCAGACCCTGTAATATGCAAGCGGCCGCATGAGAGGTTGTCGTGTCGGGCGCACAATCAAACAAACAAAAACATCACATCACATCACATCACCTCACTTCACTTCACTTCAGCTCAATAATCTTGCAATTCACCATCTGTGAATTTCCAGCCTTATTTTGAGATGTTCTCTTTTAGAGCTTCAAAAAACCTTAACTAAACCGTTGCTATCTTGATTCAGCTGGATGTAAGATATTACCACTACAATAATATCAAATCAAATCAAATATGTCCAGCAAAATGGACAATGCTGCACCTCCACCATATAGTTCCGAAAGTCTTCCAAGATACTCTGAAATATCACCTCTAATCCCAAGATCTTGCCAGTACTCTGTATCAAATTCCCAATACAGAAAGGACCAAGAGGAAAGCATTGGCAAAATTCTACTTTCCTACGTCTCTAGCGCATTAATTTTCGTCTTCTTCATTATTGGCTTTTATCATGTTATCTTGAAGAGTGTACTTGGCGACAGAAATGATTCGGAGATCCAAGTTGTGAATTTTAAAGTTGGAATTATTGGTGCTGGGCCTGCGGGTATTGCTGCTGCTCAAGGTGTTAGAGATGGGGTTTCTGCTTTGGATCGAAAATTCAAGGATCGAAATGTGGATATTCAGGTTGAGATTATAATTTTTGAGGAGAAGAGTAGAATTGGTGGGAGGATGGTGGTTGAGGGGACTGATGGTATGGAGATTGAGGTGGAAGATGTAGCTAGTGGGGTATTTAATACGGGTTTATTCAATATTATCGGTGGAATGTCTGATCTGGAGAGGAAAAACGAGTTGATTTCTGAGAGCGAAGATATTGGAATGGGGAAGGTTGGATAGTAAGTTTTCTCTTCTTTCGTTTATGTCGAAGTGGAATACTTATACTTCGAATTCGTAGAACTGACATTCACAGTTTCGATACAAATCATATCATCACCGAAACATATCGACCTTATGCCACTACTCCCTGGAGTCACTACCTTTCCCTCGTTTGGAAATATGGCTCTTCCGTTTGGCGTGCTCCTAAGATTCCAGTCGGCACCATGAAATCCTTTAATACTTTCCTCCGTAGTATGAATGACGAACGCATTTCGATATCCTCGGTTAAGGAAATAATTTCCAAAATGTCACAGCAGCATACATACCTATCTTTCAGTGTTCCTGCGACCGAACGACTGGAAAAGAATGGAATTGGAAATAACTACATAAGAGATGTATTAGCACCTCAAGTTCGACGACATACCGGACAATCAATTGAACAAATAAGTGATCTAGCACTTAGTATGGCTCTTGAACGAGAAGAGATGGGTTCTCAAAAAGCCGTGAATAATGGAATCTTTCAAATGATGATGGAGAAATCTTTACAAAATAGCAAAGCGACAATACGCCTTGGAGCAAGGGTCAAAAAAGCTAGATGGGAAGAAATCACGGAAGATTATGAGGCATGGTTAATAGAATTGGAAAACGCTACAAACAAAGATGAACCTCCCACTATCGAGATTCTGGATAAACTAATCATCGCCACGCCATTGAACTACACGGAACTTTTAGGGGAATCAAACGATCATGATTCGATCTCCAATCTTGATATTAGTCAAGATATCGAATACCAACCGGTGTACATCACATTCTTCACAACCTCTTCACTCCTTAAATCTACTACTCCCCTACCCTCTCAACTCCTCCCAATAATCGACAATACTCAACCCCCCACCTCACCCCACAACACCATCATCGAACTCACGCTCCTCCGACCCCTCAACCCTTCTTCATCCCCTTCTAATCAAACCCAAACCTCCCCTCCCCCAAAATACCTCTACAAACTCCTCACTTCCACCCCCTTACCCCTCACTTTGTTAATCACAACCCTCGCACTCCCGGAAAATATTATAGAAAGAGAATCTTGGATTCAATGGGAAATTTCGCATGCGTATCCGCGTATGTGGTCTTGGTCTCGGGGGAGTGGTGATGGGGAGTTTCAGGTGGGAAAGCAGGTTTGGAGGGCGAATTCAAATGAGGCGGAGGGGTGTTGGGAGGTGGGTTTATGGGGGTGGGAGGGAGGGGGGGTGGGGGAGGAGAGGAGGATGAGGGGGGAAGGAGGAGAGGAAGGGAGGAGGAGAGGGGATTAAATGAAGAGGGAGCCAGTGTTGAGCAGGAAATTGGTTTGAATAAATAGAAATGGAAATGGAAACAGGATTGAGATTGAGCTTGGGACTGGGATTGAGATCAGGCTGGCGTGGAGATTATTCATTGAATATTAATACCGATGAATTTTGATAGTACTGAATGATAATAAGATTATAATTAACTATTTATGAATTTAATAATAAACAGTAAATCCTTCTTTATAATAAAAAATTTTTATGAATATAATATTGAATAATATAAATCACTTCATTAGGAATGCAGTGTTGAGAATTCAATTTGGATGAGTAATCTTATATATATCATCGGGTAACAACGGACAACTATACTCATTCATGATCAGGCATCTTTTTATTTCCTTTAATAGTAGTTCTATCTAATCTTTAACTTTCTCAATAAAAGAGTTATCTATTATATACAAAATAATGAACTCTTGTTTAACCCTTCTGGTCTACAACAATTTCACAGTCATATTTCCATATCTTTGACCTACTTATAGAGGTTAGACCTTCAAGCAACGATATACCAACCGTCAATTGCGGAGAGGAGCCCAATGAGTCCGAGGCATTCACAGCATGATTTAAAAGCGACTCGTCCGTTAAGTGAAAAGGCGAAATGAGTAAGATATGAAATGTTGAATCTTCAATATCAATCCTAAATATATAAAAATAATATACAATTAAAGCTCTAATATTTAATATTTTAAAATCTAAATTATATTGAATTTAAATATTTTTTTATTAATTGATAAAAGAATAAAAATTTGAATTTGAAATAATTGATAAAGTCTTTCAAAATTTTAATTAATATATAAATTAAAATTTTAGATAATTATATTAATAAAGAAAAAGAGATATTAATAGATGAAAATGATAGTTTTTGATATAAAAGAATGAATTAAAAATATTATTATTCAAAAATAAAATATTAAATTTATTTAATAGTTTTCAAAATTTTGTAATGAGTTTTTAATATTAATAAATTTGATTATAATTATTTGTTTTATTAATAAGTTTTATAACTTCTTTTAAGTATTTAAAATGTTTTATTTAATTTTATTTAATTTAATTCATCATCTGGTTAATTTCTAAAATATACATCTAATCAAACTTCTAATCCTCGCCCTGTATTCCCATTCCCACCTCTATACCCATACCCCATCCACTCATCCCCACCCGTCCTCCTCCCCATCATCTCACCACCTATCCTCCTCCCTCTCCCCCCAATAATCCACAAACCGGCTACAACCCCCACACCACCCACAAACCCAAAAACGCCCACTCCAAGCCCCGTATCCTTCAACCCCATCACACCACCCATGTCATTTCCCATGCCGCCTTCTACACACTTCGGTATTGCTATGATTAATAAGCCTGTGAGGAAATTCTGTAGTGTGTTGTATGCTGTGTGTTCTCCGAGGGGTTTTCTTTCTATTTTTGTGGGTTTGTGGAGATTTGTTGATGCGAATGCGGATGAAGACGTTAATGAAGATGAAGATGAAGATGAAGATAAAGATAAATATCTCTCAATAGCGAATCTTAAAATCGTAGCCCCAGAGACTAGTATACCGAATACGAGGCTAATAACTCGTAAACTAACATTTGTATCTGAGTTTGAGGTGACAAAAACCGTAGGACTGAGTTCCATGGCTTTGGGAATGAGGGTTGTGGATACATATTGTGTGAAAGCGATTATACCTGTAACGAAGAGGATGAGACCTGGGATAGCGATACGGAGGGCATTGGTTGGGGATCCTTTTCCTTTTCCTTTTCCTTGGAGTGTTTTTGGGTTTTCGGGAGAAGGGATGATGTTGGGTTTGTTGGGTGAGATGATGGATAGGATACTATAGGAAAAGGTAGAGAGGAGAAAGGGTCCGATGAATATATATCCTATTTGGCTTGGGAAGATGAATAGAGGGGATCCGGAGAGGAAAGATGAGAGATTTAATGAGAAGGCGTAGGATGATGCGATAGGTAATGAAGATAAGATGAATGTGAGGAGGGTGATTGGAGAGATAAGTCCTTTTATTGGTCGGGATAATTCTTCTTTAGATGGATTTCCATGATATGGTATCGGATGTAAGGTTTTTAACCAGGTCTTAAGTGTTCTTGTGGGTGGAGATAGTGGAGGTGTAGGATGAGATGTCCGATTGAAGGATGTTTCTGGGAAAGCGAGAATGAAAAGGAGGACTGAAATTGTTTGGATGATGGTCATGATCATGATTTGATTTCCGTAGCCATAGATTGTTTGGCTTAGGTATCCACCGATAATAGGGGTTCCCCAGGTAAAGAAAACATCGATTGTTGAGAGGATGGTTAGACGGATAGGGAGTTGTGATTCCTATTTTTGTCAGTAATTTTTCTCTAGTCTTGAATAACTTTCCTGCCTCGACATCAGAAAGAGAAGAATACTCACAAAATACATTTCTCCCACCGCCCCTCCAATCAATCCCTCAAAAGCTCCCCATCCCACTCCCTGCATCATTCTCCCTACCAAGAGTTGTCCATAACTCATAACATACATATTCCACAAACTACCCACCAACATCAAAGCCGCAGCAAAAATAAAAATCAGCCTCTTTCCCAGCTTCATACTTAACATTTCCCAACATGGACTGCTGGTTGCTGACAAGATGAATGCGATGCCTGTTAATGCAGCCGTTTGAGTAGAAGAGATGGAAAATTGTGCTGTGATGCCCGCATTTACCGATGCGAACATTAGACGCTGCATGCCTACTATTGAAAAAGCGAGGCATAGTGTGAAGAATGAGAGGGTTTTACGTTGGGGTGACCAATTCTATTTATGTCAGTATGGATCCTTTACTGTTTTATATACTCCAAATAGGAATCAAGAAGAAAGGAAAGAAATAAGTACATACCAGAGGATCAGCACTTGAATCATGACTCAACTTGAGATCTTCCCATTCCTCCATATCCTTTGTCGAATCGACATCTTTCTCATATTCTACATCCGTTTTTAATGCCCAGTCGTCCATTTTCTTTCCACTTCCAGACCAAAACTTTAATTTTCCACTAACAGTATCTCTTCTTAATTTTCCCTTCATCCCATCATCAATCACACTTTCATCAGTTCCTCTTCTTGAATATGCGGGTTTTTGAAGCACCGATTGTGGTTCAGTTATGAATGCCATGACGTGCGCACTATTGGGTAGTTTTCAATTCGTTCAATCGTTTCGATGTTGATTTGTGGTTGGTATTTTTTAACCAGATCTCTTGATGTATTTCCCTTTCCTTCCCCCTATTCCAATTCGTTTGTTTGGGTCAAATCGTGATAAGTTAAACCAACCCAAATAACTTTCTCTTGTTCTCTTCCACCGTTCTCTTTAATTTCTTCTCAAATATAATCTCAATCTCGAATCTCAAATCTCAAATCCCAATCTCCAAATAAATGAATAACCCAAAATCTCTCAAATCCACCACCAAAAAAGTAAAAGAATGACTTTGAAAATAAACCAACACAACAAATACTTCAGGAACAAATCCAAAAATCCCACCGTCTAGCGGTAAGGTAACTTAAAAAGATAAACCAAGTCAGAGAAGAAAAGAAAAAGAAAAGTCGAGATCAATGATTCAAATCAAAGGCATGATTATGATTAATAGTATGAAAAGAGTTGAAGATACAAGAGAAATGAACAGACAATGCATACATACAAGGTCCATCCATCCATCCCGTTAGAATAACTCAAGTCCCCTCACACTCGAGACGAACATTCATTAACCTTAACCTTACAGGTGCATACGAGCAACTAGCTACGCCTTGCCGCATAAAAATTCCCATTTGATTTTGCATTGCAAACAATCTCATACGTCCCATCCACTATACTTCCCTTTGAGGAGAAAACCGAGGGGTTTTTCCATTATTCCGTAGGGCTTCATTCATGCGTTTATATTTCAGACGACTTAGTCTCTTTCCTTTCTAAAAAATATACTACGGTTGGCCAATCGGAGAATCTGTAGTGATTAAAATCTAGATTTGATGTTTGATGTCTAGTACCGAGAGAGAGATTCTGGATTGAAATCAAACTTAAAACGTGGGAGAAGCGTTTGGAGTGGTTGTGGAGTTTCATGTTGAATGTGATGCATGCATGGGCGCTTGTTTTGTATGATGTTTGGACTCGGGGTTTCTTTGGTGATGAAGAGTTTGGAGAGTTTTGATTGAAGGAGTTATTATTTGTTCGACTGGATTTTGTCTTTTTGATATATTATGTATTGGGTTTACTGTTTGTTTGGTTGTTAAGTAAATGATATAGAATGTACAGAGGATGAAGAAGCTTGACTGAGTTATCCGAGCTACTAACGTCCATTATCCTCTTGGATGTCCAGGTACGAAAACATTCAAACATAAATCGCCTACCTCGTCTCCAAATTCATCCTCATTATGATTTCAAATCTTGAGAGGATAACTCCAAATGACAGCAAGACTTATGAATCCTCTTTCTTCCTTTCCCGTTCTGAATCCCATAATAACGTCAAGAGCCTGATGGGAAGGTTAGGATGATTGACTTTATTCAACACGTTCTCAAGCTCAAGAGAATCCTTAGAAATAAATCTCATCATTTTTATCAAGTACTGTACTCAAGAACCTTGATCAATAATGTAACCTCAAGCAAGTTAAAGATGCGTCTTCAATGTGAGAAAGTTATCGTCCTGTAGCGAAGGGTTTGAGGGTTTAAGTTAAGTTCTTAATACATAACCTTACATGCATGCATCATATTCCAAAAAAGAACTCCGGAAAGAACTCCAGAAGAGAGAGTATCTTCCATAACTGATAATAAGTATATATATATATATATATGTATATACTCCGTAATCTGAAAAGATGTTAAAGGTACTACAGTACATAGCTCCTTTAAGCGATTCTCAATACAACTCCAAATGACGAAAGTTTTATCATTTATAATCATCTCAATGAAGAAGGTTCATAGAATTGGAGTTAAAATAAAGATACCGTTAAACATCCTACAAGCTCAAGACATCCACCTTCCCGGAATACCCGAAGCTTTCCCGGTTAACCTTCCTCATCCGAGCTGCTTTGTTGACAGTGATAAGTGAAGTGACATCAATGATGACATTCAAAATGGGGACCATCAGGACCCGAGTTTCTTCTTATCACTACTACACAATACAATCTACAATTCAATATAATTCAATAATACATAAATAACATATCACCCACCTCTCTATAACCCTTTGTAATACTTTTCTACAAAAACCAATCATCTTCATGCTCAGAAAAATGGCAACAGAAGCAGCAGCCCGTACCTTCTTCTCCTCACCTTACTTCGCCGTCGTAGGCGCATCAACCAACCCCTCCAAATTCGGACATAAAAGTAATTATATTATAAGCCCCAATCTATTCCCATCCCTCCCAAACCCAATCATCTCCCACTTATATCTACAATCTCAGCTAACTTCCCCCTTCACCCTCTCAGTCTTCACCTGGTACACCACCCACGGTCTCCCCGCAACGCCCATCAATCCCTCCTCCCCAACCATCAAAGTCAACACAACAGAATACTCCACGCTCCCATCTATATCCGCGCTTCCCCATCCAACCGAAACAGGAGTATCGATAATCACTCCTCCGAAAATTACAAAGAAGGTGCTGGAAGAGGCGAAGAAGTTGGGGGTTAAGAGTGTGTGGTTGCAGCCGGGGACGTATGATGAGGAGATTTTGGGGTTTGCGTTGAGGGAGTTTGAGGGGGTTGGAGGAGGAGGGGGAGTTGGGGTGCGGAGGGTTGGTGTGTTTTGGTTGATGGGGTAAGGGCTGCTAGGGGCGGGGAGGGAGTTGAAGTTGTGAGGGTGGGGGTGTAGGTGAGGGGAATGGGTGTGAGGAGGGTTATGGGTTGTGGTGAAGGGGAAGTTTTGGTCGGGTTTGAGATATGGATTGAGGATAGGTTATTGGGTGGTTTTCTGAGGTCTTTGAAGACTTTGGAATATAGGTGTTTTTATAGCATTGAAGCTTGAGAGATATCTTTGGAGATGGAATAAGTCTTAGTTTAAGTAGCTCTATCTTTTTATCAATATATTCACATCATTTAAACCTTACTTAATTTAAAAACTATATATCGAATTATAATATTCTAAAATACTACTTTATTCATTGATAATAAGATTTATATATAACTTCAGATACGAACTTTATTCATTATATAATTAAAAATAATACAAATAAATATTTCTTTTTAATCTCTTTCAAATTGATTTTATTAAAAGAATCTTTTAATTTGAAAATTTAAATCTTGACTTTAAGTTTTGATCAAGGGTTGATGGATTACGGAGTAAAGAGATCAGGTGATGTTTTATAGATTGCTGAGCTTGAGCTTGAGATTGTAATTCAGAGGTTGATATTACTTACTGTTCACAAATGGTTCATTTTGTTGATTGATTGATCATATCGGATCGACGGGCAAAAACGTGTTTGAGGCTGGTTCCTAGATTTAAATATTTCAAGGATTGGTTTATGATAGACGTTATACCAGGCATTTTCATCGATATTATCAGTCGTTATGGCTACTTTTGCGCAAGTCTCCCCTTGCCTCCTCCCCTTCCACTTCCATTTCCCTTCCATTCCTCTATCACTCTCCCTCTACCAACAAACTAACCCAACCCAAGTCAAAAATCCTTCTCCGCAACCTCCTACGCTACATTCCGTCCCTCCTATCCCCAAAAACTCTACACCCAAATCCTAAATTATCATCGTGGTCCTCGCACCACATTACTCGATCTAGGATGTGGCCATGGAGTTATTAGTCGAGCTCTCGGTTCCGCAGGTAATTTTGAGAAAATCTGGGGTACGGATCCTAGTAGTGTGATGATTGAAGAAGCTAAAACTCTCTCTAATAAAATCAATGCGAATAATCTCTATAACAAGGAGGCAAATATAGAATGGAGACAAGCTTCCGCGGAAGATTTATCATTTGTAGAAGATGGGTCGTTGGATATGGTGGTTGCGGGACAGGCGGCTCATTGGTTTGATTTTTCACGGGTATGGGGGGAAGTATATAGGAAATTGAGGAGAGGGGGGACGGTGGCTTTTTGGGGATATAAGGATAATTTACTGGTTGATTTTCCGGATGCTACGAACGTGTTGGATAAGTTTTGTTATGGGATGGATGAGAGGTTTATGGGGAGGTTTTGGGAACAGCCTGGGAGAGAGAGGTTGAGAGGTTTGTATAGGGATCAGGTGATGCAGCTGCCGGGGATTTGTTTGGGGATGTGGAGTGCATGAGGTATGAACCGGGGGGGGCAGGGAAGTGGTGAGGGAGGGAGGATGGAAGGGGAGGGGTGGATGGAGGGATGGAATGGATGGAAGGAATGGAGGGAAGGAGGAAGGATGGAAGGATGGAAGAATGAGAAGGGTGATGTTATTGATGAGATGTTTGAGGAGATGCTGGAGGTACAGCCGGAATTGAGAGGGAAGGATGGACAGAATTGGAGGGATGTGGAGGTTGAGACGGAGTGGGGGACTGTGATTTTATTGGCTAGGAAGTTGTAGGTTTTGGGAGGGGGGAGATGATGAGTGAGAGAGGTTGGATTGGTGTTTGGAGTTGGGGTTTGGTTGGACTGGTTGTCTCATTGAGCATTTTATTATGAATTGGATAGGACTTTGAGATGGAGATTTCCGGAAATGATATATGATTCTACATTTTGAAAATAACATGTGTTCGATATATCTTCCTTGATTACTAGGTAGGAATTGACGACTGATGGTTTCCTTATCATTCTATGTGAATTGACGCCGGACTATATTCACCGCCCTAACAACTCTGTTGCCCTGCCAAAACTCCACCAAAAGTCCCACTCAATCGAACAACACACACCAGTCAATTGGACAGGATAGGCTGCAGACATAACAAGGTAACATAACAGAATAATAGCACGGACCAAAGAGATTGATTTCTAGATCTACAACTTGTACCTCTCTCTTCCTCTTACTTTACCTTCACGTACCATCCTCAAGTATATCTTCAATTTCCTACATTTTCTACGGAATTGTTGTTTGTTGTCCTACGTACATATCCTTCTGCATTCCTCAACCACATACTCACACTCACACTCACAAGAGATATATTATTCAATATGGTGAGTTGCTCTCTATCCCCTATTCCTATTCCTATTTCGAATACGAATACTTCTATACATTCCGCATTCCTTGCATATACTCCAATAAGATGCCAACCCTAATATCGCAATTTCTGATTCCGATTTGTTGGATTTGCTTCTCGTTCTGCTTTGTTACTGCTTGCTGCAGCACATGTATTGGCACCAAGACGAGAAAAAGCAAAAAGCAAGAAGCGCAAATTCCTCCAGTGAGCGGGTAGTAACGAATTATGGTTTTGTTTATTTGATTCACTTACTTCTTTTTGTTTGTTACTCCCTTCCTTCCCCTTTGAACTCTTTGTTTTGCGAATCTTACTGTTACTGCATTATTCGAAATACTTTATGATACTCTACATCCATCCATCACATCACATTACAATACAATTCATCGCAAGAGAATCAATACATTTGCATTCAATAACATTTGCATTTGCATTACCTTACTTTACTTTACAATTCTACTCTATTCTCTACGCAACTCTTACAAACATCATCTCATTTTACACATTTTCTTTACAACTTCACTCTATATTGCATTCCAACGCGATTCTCATTCACATCCACATTCGCAATACTCACACACAAAATGTCAACTAATCCACCCTATGATGCGCAGGCCTCCACAAACTACAGAGAAGCATTTCAACTCTTCGATAAACGCGGTACCCAACGTGTACAATTGGATCAATTGGGCGATTTGTTGAGGGCTTGTGGTCAAAATCCTACGTTGAATGAGATTAGAGAGTTGGAGAAAAATGTCGGTGGTGAATGTAAGTTTGTTTTTTCTTTGGAGTCTGTGCGAGGGAAGGATGGGATGTTTCGAGGTGACGCTCCGCTGGCCCTCCGGGGGCCACTGCCGTGGTGGAATATTTTGGGTTGAAATTCTCGAGTTATGGGGTTTTAAGGGCTTGCTGAGTATAAAGGGGATGGAGTAAAGTCTTTGGGTCGATGTTTCTCCTTTGATGCCTCATCTGCGGATTAACATATCGGAAATCTTCGAGCGCAGCGAGCTATAGGGGTTTGGGGGCTTGCCCCCATCATCAAACACCAGACTAAAGGACTATTTGTGAGGGTTTCGTTGGGGTTTTTAGAAAGGGGAGGAGCATGGTTTGGAATGTGGTTTTTGCTTGGGAAAAACATGAATCATACTTTTCTCAAGGATCTATACTAACAAAAAGTCATAACAGTTGATTTCGAAACCTTCTCTAAGATTCTCAACCGACCAGGTGGATTCCGTGATCCAGGTGAACCTGAAGAATATTGTCGTGGTTTCCAAGTCTTTGATAAGGAAATGACGGGATACATTGGGGTTGGACAATTGAGATATATTTTGACAAATTTGGGAGAGAAAATGAGTGATGAGGAGGTTGATGAATTGTTGAAGGCAGTTGATACTAGTAGTGGGGAGATTAATTATACTGGTGAGTTTAAGAAATCGTGTTTTTTCTATTTGGAGGGGAGGGCCGGGGGTGTCCCATTCAGTTGCCAGAGGGAGATGGAAGTTTGGAAGCACGAAGAAAGGAGATCTGGAGTTTTGAAGAGGAAATCATAAATAGAAAGCTAACAAAACATCAATAGATCTCGTACGAACAATCCTCGCAAACTAGCTTTTACCCTTCGATATGGCAGCATACGATATGATTAGTGTAGGGGGAAGGAGAGGAAGGATGCAGAGAGATATATGAATAAGGGGAGAGAAACAAAGATATTACATCAATTGTAGGAAATACTTTTCATGGCATAAATAGGAGCTGTGGAGTGGGAGGATATTGATAATGGTCTATAGCCATGGCGTTGTATGAAACTTTTTGGCCTTCTTTTGCTCATGGAAAGGCAGAAATGGATATTATGATTTTTGCAGATGAAGATAAGATGAAATGAGATGGTGTATGCATGATTGATTTGAGGAGTAATTGAAGTTTGAGTGTACTAATAAATGATGCATAATGGTGATTTTGGATTCAATATTGATATTGATATATTCTGGTGGTTATCATTAAGGTTATCGTATCAGCTTGTTAATCGTTTTATTAGGGAAGAAAGCTTTGTGCTTGGGGTAGTAGCTTGAGGCTTAGAGCTTGGAGAAGCTCACGGCTTAGTGAATAGCGTTTTTAGAGCTTGACTTTGCGGTGGGGTGGGACTTTACTATGTATATGCTTCTGCTGTTGCTGTTGCTATTTCGGGATTGTTTGGTTTGTGATGGCTAAATAGCTCAATAGCTCAACGGAATCGTTTAATCATTTAATCGCTATTTTTGATATTTAGCTGCATACATCCGTCTGCGGGTCTGCGAGTTTGCAATTCCTCTTTTAACATTGAGATTACCACATCCTCTGGATTTTACGCTTTTACTTCTTCGTCTTAAGCTCCTAGCTCCCAGCTCCCCAGCTCGCAAGCTCAGAATGTCTCCACCCATAATTAATGCCTACCACTGTACCTTCTGCACGAATCTTTTACTGGCTACAACACATACAATTTCTACACTGCCGACGAGGAAGGGAAGAGCTGGGCAGGGGATTGAGAATGGGGATGGGGATGGGGATGGGAGTTTTATTTTACCGGTTTCAGGGACTGTGCCGCGGTTTGTAGATGCGGGTGATGCGGGTGATGCTATGGATGTTACTCGAGATGGAGGTACTGCAGATGACGGGGAAGGAGGGAAGGGAAGGAGGGGTGGATGGAAATAGAGGGATGGGGAAGGAAAGGATGGTGAAGAGGATACGAGGGAAAATGAACCATTACCGACTTATGGATATACGACTCTCTAGAATAAACAGATACGCAGAGAAGATGGGTTTGAGAAGAGGGATTGTGGAGATGTGGACGTTGTGCTGTGGTGGTTGGGTATGAGGAGGGAGGGAAAGGAAAGGGAATGGGGAAGGAAATGATGGATTTGAGGGGAAGATTTTATATTTGTTGAGGGGGGCTCTGATGAGTACGAGGGTTATGACAGATGGGATGAAGATTACTGAGCAGGATGCTGGGGTTCGGGGGAGTGCGATGGGGGTTTGGGAATAGGATCTGGTGGATGGATGGATGGATGGATGGATGGTGGGTGTGTGGATTGGTGGGTTTGTAGTATTGGGCGGAAGTGGGGTATATGTTTATTATATGTTTATTATATGAGATTTAAGATCTTAGATTGGGGATATAATATTATTATAGATTGGTTTCTGTGCAGAGTCCTCGAGTATACCAAAGATGTTTATTTATTCATTTATACGGAGTAGTTGTCTATCTAAATACTCGTATAAGATCTTATCTTATTTTCATACTTGTACAATTAACCCCTCCCTATGTTCGCTTCTGTAGCTTAGTACACTTGATTCTTAATACGTGCATCATTTTAGTGCTTCCCCGCCAACACATCCCTCTGGTGCTCCCACCTTCCAAAAGCTGTCATCTTCACAGCTTCTAAACGCCTAAATACAACATAGGATTAATACCCAACCAACTTCATCATCCTGGCTTCTATCATACGTCTTTTACGTTTCATTCTTGTAGTAACTTTTATCTTCCTTTCCATATCTGTCATTCTGGCTACCTCAAGAATTGGACCCAGATTGGGAGCTCTGTTTAGTCAATTAAGACCTACGAATATAAAACCTACCTGGTCCCCTCTCTCAATCATCAAACCTACCTCAACACGAATTATCTCTACCGCAACAATGGCACCTACCCAATATCAAAAACCTCCTCAAGCTCCTCCTCTCTTTACTCATACCGAATCGCAGATTGTCGATGAGGCAAAGGGATTGATGGATAAATATCGAAAACTCCTCGATGATCTCGTTGCAAAGGTTAAACCGGAAGATGCAACATTCGAAAATGTTCTCCTACCTACTGCCAATCAAGATGATCTTAATTCTCTACAAATAAGCGTTCTCACCTTCTATCAAGCTGTTTCTGCCGATTCGAAACTTCGTGATGCGAGTTCGAAAGCGGAGGAGATTATGGATGAGGCTCAGATTGAAATGGGTATGAGAGAGGATGTTTTTAAATTGGTCGATGCGGTTTATAAAAAGGGTGAGGAGTTGGATCCGGAATCAAAGAGATTGCTGGAGAAGGAATACAAAGGATATATTAGAAATGGGTTGGGGATTGAGAAGGGTGAGAAGAGAGATAGATTCAAGGAAATTAGTAAGAGGTTGGCTACCATTGCGACTAAGTTTCAAAAGAATTTGAATGAGGAGAACGGAGGTATTTGGTTTACGTTGAAGGAACTTGATGGGGTTCCTGAAGATGTTATTTCAGGATTGGAAAAGGGAAAGGAAGAGAATGAAGGAAAGTTGAAGTTGTCGTTCAAATATCCCGATTTATTTCCTACGCTTAAGTTTGCGAAGGATGCCGAGACGAGAAAACAAGTCTTTGTTCAGAATGAGAATAAATGTCAGGAGAATGTGGAGTTGTTCAAGGAAGCTATTATTCTAAGAGATGAAGCTGCGAGATTATTGGGTTATCCTGATCATGCGAGCTTTAGGATTGAGGATAAGATGGCAAAGACTCCAGCGACGGTCAATGAGTTCTTACATGATTTGAAGGTTCAACTTGCTCCAGGTGGAGTGAAGGAAATTGAACATCTTAAAGCTATCAAAAAACAAGATTTGGATGCCAGAGGGTTGGGATCAACAAATGATGATAATTATTATCTTTGGGATAATCGATTTTATGATCGAATGATGGTTGAGAATGAATTCTCTATTGATGAGAATAAGATTGCTGAATACTTCCCACTTCAATCTACAATCGAAGGAATGCTCAAGATTTTTGAAGAGTTATTCGGTTTCGTATTTGTTGATATTAGTAGTGAGGAGGAATTGGCTAAAGTTTCACCATCTGGAAAGGGATCTGATGTTTTACCTCATCCAGATTCTAAACTCTTTAGCGTTTGGGATGATGAAGGTGAAGGAAGTGGATTTGTTGGATATCTTTACTTGGATTTACATCCACGTCCAGGAAAATATGGCCATGCTGCAAACTTTAACCTTCAACCTGGTTTCTCATATCCAAATGGTACAAGAAGATATCCAGCCACGGCACTTGTTTGCAATTTCTCCAAACCAACCGATAAGAAGCCATCACTCTTAAAACATGATGAGGTTGTTACTCTCTTTCATGAATTGGGACATGGTATTCATGATTTATCTGGTCGTACTCGATACTCTCGTTTCCATGGTACGAATACCGTCAGAGATTTCGTCGAAGCTCCAAGTCAAATGTTGGAAAATTGGTGTTGGACTCCAAGTCAACTGAAGAACTTGAGTAAACATTATCTCACCGGTGAACCTATTCCGGATGATTTAATCGCCAAACAAATCAGTACCAAACATGTCAATGCTGCTCTCTTTAATCTTCGTCAACTCCACTTTGGTATCTTCGACATGACAGTTCATACCCCAAAGACCCATGAAGAAGCAGAATCCTTCAAACTAAGCGAACTTTACAACGAACTCCGAACTCAAATTTGTGGACTTAAAGGTCCTGAAGCTTTAGGTGCCAAAAGTGATTGGGGAAGTGGACAAGCTACTTTTGGTCATCTAATTGGTGGTTATGATGCTGGTTATTATGGATATTTGTCAAGTCAGGTTTATAGTACGGATATGTTTTACTCGGTCTTTAAGAAAAATCCAATGGATCCTAAGGAGGGAAGGAGATATAGACATATGGTACTTGAGAAGGGAGGAAGTCAGGATGAAATGAAGACTTTGGAGGTGTTTTTGGGGAGGAAACCTAGTACGGAGGCGTTTTATAGGGAGTTGGGGTTGGAGGGGAAGAAGTAGGGTTGTTAGAGGGGAAGCAGAAGCGGGTAGGGAACGGAGGGGAGGTAGGGATGGTAGGGATGGTAGCAAAGTGAATAGGATGGGTTGGTGTTGCTTGATTGTGGTTAAGGCCTTAAGATGTGGGGTTTTCAATGCATTTTATGGATGAAATGAGATGAGATTAGATGTGGTAGTATGACATGAGATGAGGCATAGTTTTCAAGTCAGACTTCCTACGTATGAATAGGATGGAATAGGACAGGGCAGGTATTATATGATATTAGGAACTCTAGAAATTCAATGAATTTGATCTGATCCATTTGCCTGTCCTCTCTTTTCATTTCTTTACTCCACTTCTCTATTAGTGTATCATTGTTACGAGGCATGCCGTCTGGATCAAATGGAAATGCTCTAGGCTTTCGAGGCGATTTAGAACTAGATATCAAACAAGGATCTAAGTAATAATAATTATTGTCGGCTTGCCGACACTATAACCTTGCTGTACACGAGGTTTATTTGGTAGGTGATGAAAAATGAGAAACTCGCTTAAGTGAGTCGCGATCCTGATAATCTGATTGGTCTAAAATACCCCGGTAAAAAAATCCAACAAAAAGCTTGGCATAAGCCTTACAACTTTAAGCAAATTTAACTTAGAGCTTTTTTCAATACAATTCAATTAAAATCATTTAACTCATTCAATTCAATTTTATTCATTTAATTCAATTTTATTCATTTAATTCAATTTTATTCATTTAATTCAATTTTATTCATTTAATTCAATTTTATTTACTCAATTTATCTTATTCAATTCGAAATAATAATAATAATAATAATAATAATAATAATAATAATAATAATAATAATAATAATAATATAATTAATATAAAACATTATTATTATTTTTAATAAAATAATCTAATTATTAATTATTAAAAACAAGCTGATATTCTGCCTACACCCTGATATATATTTAATATTTAATTTATTATAAACTTTTTAAACTTTAAATTTTCATTAGACTATCTTGAAAAGTCAGGGGTCCGGGGGGCGCAGACCCCTGATAATAGTATACAATCATTATATATAAAAATTTAAAGTGTTTATTATAATTTTTGATATAAAATAGATAAATAATTATTATCTAAATATAAGTATTATAAATAGATAATCTTTTTAATTATTTTTATAAATGATAAAATAAATATATTAATATAGTTTGTTTTATATTTGATTATTAATAAGAATTTATTGAACGAGATATTAAATTCAATCATAGACTTTGTCTATATTGATGATTTCAAGTGTTTACAGTAGTTTGTATAAACCAGACCAGATTAACGTCACTTAATATATATATTCTCTTCCGTTTTTGAACGATTTTTCTCTACGGTATAGAGTATATTTATACGGCTACCCGTGAATAACTGTACTTAATAATTTTAGACTAAATTCTGTCGATCTATTCATTCGTCCATCCATCACCTCACTGTACAAACATACAACCGTAATCAAATCCCCCTAAACCTCCAAGCACCGTACAAACATCTCCTAAAGAATAAGCTTATTTAAGAATCCCACCACACCATAAATTCAAGTTCAAAGTAAAATCTTCTTTCATGTGAACATCTTCTCAAACACATCTTCCTGTAAAAGACACATTCTACAGTTAATAGTTAACCGAAATAGATCACATGTCTCGAGAAGAAAATCCTACTTTGAAAGTGCTTTTTGATACGGGATTTGCTCTTTCGCAGGCGATTTCTAGGAGAATGGTTTCGTCTGAACCGGTTTCGAGGAGCTCGAGATGGGATAATGCGTTGGATTATGCGAATGGTGAGGAGAGGGTTTCTGGTTCTGCGAGAGTTGGTAGTTCTCTGACAGGATTTTGTTCTCCGAAAATATTTGGCATCGCGGAAGCCTCTAGTCCCATAGATACTCCTCGCCCTGTAAAGACAAAAGTTTCAAGTCCTGCAACACAACTTCTCAACGATTTCTTCGCCGAAATAGATCAGATCGATACATCCGAATCGATTGATGCTTCCTACGTCAATGTTCTTCTACCAGGATATTGTCAAGCTCGTGAGAGAGCTAGAGCTGGATCAAGACATAAATCTAGACTCAGAGTTAAAACTTCATCTAACATGAACTCACCAAATGTTCCCGATGAACCACCTACATCTCCATCTCCTACTCATTCTTGGAACCAATCATTCAGCTATTCACGTCCTCATGTCAACTCTGAGGAAGATTTACAAGAACTCGCATCACGATTTCAAGAAATCCATACGAGAAATTCAGAATCCATCAATGCGGATACTAAATCTCTCTCTAACTCTTTACCAAATCTGAGACGTAGAACTTTTTCAAATTCTTCTAAGGTGTATGATGAAGAGTTTAGAGATGTATTGAAGAGAGAAAAAGAATTTTTTGAATCATCACCTAGTTTTATCGCTAGTCAAATGCCCGGTATTACTGGTTCTCAAATGCAAAAACAAATTCCGAGATTGATTGTTTCTAATAGTGTATGTGTTGAGGAAGAGAAGGAGGGTGAGAAGAATGCGATTGAGATTCTTGAGGCACTTTTTGGAGAGTTGGAGGATAGAGAGAATGGTTCTAGTGAGGATGAGTGGAAAAGTGCCGAGGAAATTATCGAGGGTGTTGAAAATAAGGGAGGAGATAAGGGAAGGGCAAAGGCCGTTAACAACACCTTCCGTAATAACGTTGCTACGGAAGGTGTTGATGATATTGATACTGAAATGGGCTACAACCGCCTTAAAGATAAGAAACATGATCACAATATCGATAAATCTAGCGAAATCAACTTTCTCGATCAAGAAGCAGAAACTGAAGTTCGTCAGTATTCAGCTCTGACGCAACAATATATCGCAAATGGATCTTCATCCAAGAAGCTCGATAGTCTTATTGAGAAATATGTGGAGGATCAAGCACAGCTACAACCGAGGACCTCAGATGAAATTGAAGTCGTTCCTCTATCGGAATTTGGTGGAAAAGAGAAAAGAAAATGGGCACAAAATCCTGAAGATATCGACCTCCACAAAGACCTTTCTTCAATTAAGGGACCTCAAAAGATTAGCGACAATCCTTCCGCCGCCGAGCAGGATCAACATGATGATGGTAGTGAGTAGCTCTTTAAAGAAAATATGGGTATATGTTAACAAAAAAGCTACAAATCAAGGAGAAAGCTCAGATACCTCAAGCTCTGCAATATATCATGATACAGCCGATGATCAAAATATCACAGCTGATTCAATTTCTAAATCTACTTCTATTACTAGTATTGATAATAGTAGTACAAGCTCGATATCTACTACTAGCACAAATTATGGCACAGGAGAACAAAAAGATCCACAATTTGAAATGGCGGCTCTGGCGACGGGTGTTTTGATTGCGAGTTTGTGGATGATTGAGAGGAAGATTAGATCTTTTTATGTTTAGGGCTTTTTTGTGGTCGAATGATTATGCGATGGTTTATATCTACGGGATTAGAAGTAGATGGATGAATTTTGAGGTTTCTTTGGGGATGTATTTAATTTATTATTGGTTAGGAATTTGAAGGTGATTGGTTAGTAGGTTTGCAGGTAGTAGCTCGGTTGTGAATGAAGTGCAAATACGCGAATACGCAAAAATATAAACTAGGTATGACTAGTAAAACCAGTCTATAATCATAAATCTCCTGTATAAAGACTCGTGCTTTGTAAATTTGTTTGTGCTTGTGAATTTTTATCTTGAAATGGATAATGTAATTTAATGTTTAGTCCACTTCGATTACAAATATATATTAGACTAGAAAGTCTTGACTCGAGCTCTTGATTAATCAAGCCGTGTTAATTTCGGCTCGGGTAATACGCGACTGACTAATAGGTCCATTGGTGGTCCTCAAGCTCAGAACAGGAGTCGTGAATTCTTAATTGTATACCGAGAATATAAAACTAACAAGTCGTGATAATTTTTGTATACTTTTTTCAATTCAAATTTCATATAAACCATTGTAAAAACATCATCCGTCATAATCCCTTCCACTTGCAAACCCCTGAACTGGGATCATCTATCTTGTTTTTATAAACTCGTATAACCTGGATATATTAAATGATTACTATAGATGTATTATATTTGTATCTATCTGTTATGGTCCTGAATTATAAATTTTTTATTGTATTATATTACAATCTTAAATTCAAATATAATATATACGATCTTAGATTTAATATATCAGTATAGTTCAAAAGTGCACTTTGTTTATATATTTTTATAAAATATAAGTTATGACTTCTAAATACGCCCGAGCTGTAGTATCTTCATAAAGCCTGGTATTCTCTGTTTAAATACATTTCTCCGTACTCACAGCCAAAAAATTTCATGCTCTACAACTCCTATTTCAACCGTACAAACTCAATTCAGTACGGCTCAAAATCACAAAATTATCTATAATATAACTTCATTGTTTTATAATCATTATATTTCTATACCAACCATACAAATCGCACGCTTAGACTAAAGATATCACTAAATATGGCTGTATTGAAACTGTTGCTGAGGTGTTTAAATATATCAATTTAGGTACTTGATGGAGAGTACCTATCTTATTCCTTTCTACCTTGTGTCTAATGAAATCAAAATTCTATCATGATAGTTTGATAAATCTGGCATTAAGAGGACTTTTTAAAAATTAACTTCCTTGCCATTTTCGCAAAACGTCTAAACATCTTGGCATCTTAAATCCGAAACACATTTCGTCACCTAGATTTTGCATCGACATTTGCAATACATCTTAGAGCTTTGAACTTTTAGACTTTCAGACTTTCAGACTCCTCTGTCTAATCTCTCCATCAAACATCAAGATGTCTTCATCAGACTTAACAACACCCTGCCCAGTCAGCCTCCCAAAATTCTCTGTCACAACATCCAGTGATGGAGACACAGAAACCAATTTCGCACAAACTAAAGAACCTTTCGACATCGACTCGTATTCCGAACCCGAAAATTCCGAAGATGATATCAAGATAAACACTACTAAAAACAATCCCTCACACCCAACCTCTAACGACTTTCAAAGCCAAATCCAAAGCCAAATCCAAATCTCAGAACTAGCCGAGCCTCCCACATCACCCCATACTTTTTCTACCTCAAGCGAATTCTCAGACCCAACAACAGATGATCTCATCCAATATGCATCTGACATTTCTCTTTTCGCAGTAAATCCTGATATCGATTCACATCACGAACATTTCCTTACTAAATCGAATCATGAAATGCAAGATTTGGCAAAATTGAGAGATGTGATTACGAGGAAACCTGTTGGCTTTCGGCGTTTGAGAGATATGGATGTATCGACGAGTGGTGTTCATGATCAGGTAAGGGATTTTGGGGCGGAAGTAGCACGTCCGAATCGTGTTATTGATTTTATGCGCTCGTTGTCGTTGTTGTCGGCTGAGATACAGGTGCGAGAATTTGTAACTCGGTTACGGTTGAAGGTGCCGTTTGCTAGAGTATCTTTAGTATCGAGATCGCCTAGGATGAAAATGAGGGATTTTGAGGCACAGCCACCGAGGGGTACCGTGAGAGCTAGAGGTTCTTTGGCGGGTATTAGTCGCAAGATTGAAGATTTTCCGGAGTGTGTTATTCGTCCTGTGGTTGAGCAGGATGAATTTGAACCTATTGGTAGATATGGACCAGTTCAAAGAGCTAGGACAGATGATGCATTCCAATCAAGTGCGCTACCCCAACATCGCAATGATGCATCTGTAGTGCCTGCTCTATCATCGAATACCGTAGACCCTAGATCTCCGTTAGCGGGAACGAGTCTGCGTGTTGGGGGTTTACTCGCATGGGTTCTTAATCCTGCCGCTGAGCAAGATGAATTTAAACTATTCGGTGGATTCCAGCAAGTCGAAATATTTCAATCAGTTGATGAATACCAAAACGTCAATGCATCCCAACCACAATCACTCACAACCCCACAAAAACACACCCAAGCAACCCCTCTAGGAACTATCTCAAACAAATCACAAATCACCAAATCCAGCCCACTAAACCTCCTAAACCACGCCCTATACCAAAACTACCCCAACATAATCAACGGCGAAAAACCAGAATGGAAAATTAGTTCCTCAGCCGCTGAAGAACTATTCCCGGCCTCGTCCGATGAAGAATCATCGCTCATGGAAGAAGAACAAAACAATACACTAGAACCACCACCTGCTCCGGTTCTAGGAAATCTAAGTACCCCTGATTTATCAGTGATGGATTTGAATTTAGATTTAGATTTAGATTTGCAGGATGATGTGAGATCGGTTTTTCGGGTTTCTTCTAGACGTGCTAAAAAGTCAGGGAGTTCATTAAAATATTCGAGAGGGGAGGAAATGAATGAGCAATCTATCATTGCAATTAGTACCGGTGAGGTGTCTGAAAATTCAACGAGTTTGACTATCCAGAGTGTCGTCGCACTACCAAGTCCTTTGACTTTAAGCGAGCGATTAAGCTTAGAACCGCGGATTTTTCGCTTGCTTTCACATTCTCTACATGCATCTCCATACCATCCCGCAGAAATTGCGCAACGTATCGATACTAACTCTAATTGCCATCTTGATGTCTGGCCCACTATAGCCCTCGCCCTCGGCATCCCTATCCTCCCTTCTCATCTGCTTACACCGTCTTCGCTGCAAGCCCTAGGAACAATTTCCAAATTGGTAGAATTAGAAGAGGGATATTTATCTGATGAATTACATCAATGGGCATTGGGACAACACCAGATTTTCCTCTGGATAAATTCTGGTGCGCTAGAGGATGGGATTGATGGGATTTTTGAGGAGCCTCGGATAGGTTCGCAGGGACAGGGATTCGATGAGGATTGCGATGGAGCAGATAGTGAGGATAGTATACTTTGGGATTATGAGGATGTAGAAGCGTTTGCTAGGAGTGAGATAGTGCGTTTTAGACGGGGGTTGGAATGGATTCAGGATGTGGATGTGGATGTGGATGTGCATTTGGATGTGGAGGGTGAGGAAGGCACTGTGTGTACGTTACCGGATGAAGTGTATAATTTTTGTGGGGATGAGGAGATTATACATCGGAGTGTTAGTGAGCCGGTTGAGGAATCAGAAGGATGCTCGGCTGTTTTGAAGGAGTATTATGAGATGAAAAGAAATGCGGGCGGAGAGTCTAACCTATCTTTGTCGTCAAGTCAGAGTCTGATACACAGAATTAGGAAGTCAGTGGTATTATGGGCTTCAGCGAATTATTGGTGATGGATAAGAATTATCAAAGGGTCCTTTTGAAAGTTGGTCCTCGCTTCTTTAGAGCTAATGGTATCTGCAGAACATGCATGCGTATACAGATGCTGTGATTTCGGTTGATAAAATACTCGGTGACATTGCTGGAAGAGAATCTGGGAGAGGATATTCAGACTTGATGAGTGAAGTTTCCTACTGTGTCTGTGGATCAACCGATTGGTGGTAAGAATTTCATGGGAGGTGGTGCAGGGCTTGATGATTCGAATGAACCCGGTGGAGGTGGTGGTAAGAGTTCTGATGTACGAGATGAGTTAGATAATGGAAACAGCAATGAATTATTAATAGGTATATAATTAACAGAATGAGACATGTATGTCATCATTGAAGTGAATGAACAAAGAGTTTTTGAGATATAATAAGAATAAGTATCGTACTTGTCTCTTGAAAGATTTTTCGGGAAATATGGAACGTCAAATACCATTTTTAATATTTCTTACCTTCACTTCATTCTTCTGACTGTAAGCATTCTCTTCACCCGATAGACTGTTCTTCTAAGAATTAGAATTTTAGTTTTTTTCTTTCAACATCACTACGGATATTACCCTCAGCGGGACCACTAATCTTATTAATACTACTCACCTCACTTTTCCCCTCTCCTCTGTTTTTCTTTCCCACATCACAGTTTCCTCCCGCATTAGCACTGATACTAGCACTCCGGTTACTACCCACCTTTTCTTTGCCTTTTTCCTTTTCCGTTTCCCTTCCTATTTTCTTCCGCATCTGCCTCGTTCTAGCAACTTCCACATTCTTTTTTTATTTCCTCCTGTATTCGCTCACTTTCCTTGGCTATTAAATTAGCTTTTAATTTCCTAAAAGCAATACGTAGTCTGCTTAATTCAGTTTTCTTTACTATTCTCTCGGCACTGGTTGATTTTTGGATGATGAGGTGATAGTTCTGCGTCTCATTTGGGCTAGATAATCTCCTCGAGTGCTGGTGGGTGGGTTTGTTAGGTTTGGATAGTTGATTTCGAAAGTGTGGTGTGAAGAAGAATAGGGAAGAGAAGCAAGGTACTCAATGTCTCTTTTGTGATGGGCCGGGACCTGTACCTATGCATTATGATAGAGATCTAAATCTCAAAGGGTAATGAATATTTATTTTGGAGGTGAAATGATAAGTAATTAAAGGAAGTTTATGAATATGCGTTTCATGGGGAAGTGAGGGATCTTAAAATAAGATTACTTTTCAATGCCCTTACCAGTTTTGTCATTGTGTAATGGAGAATATCTAAGATGTGAGTTAACATTCTTCCATCAAGAAAACATTTTGATGGCTTTATAGAGTCAGACAACATGGTCCTCAAATGGTCAACCTGAAGACACTTTTTCCGGCCATGACCTAAACTAATAGCTCCAATATTGGGTGCCTCAAAGGAAAGCTTGAGGTATGAATACCATGTACCAAAAACACGTAACAAAATTTCAACCTTTATGGTTAAAAAATAGCTCATAGTCACATTTTAAAGATAATGATTCAAACTGACTAACAAATGTGACCTTCAGCACTGACATGCAACTTTGGGGGCATTCAATCATCATCTCTGATTATGAGATTAGTTTGATATAAAATCATTAATCTCAGTCAAACTAATAGAAATGATTGCTAGCATCTCGTGATGGTTATGCAAATGATATAGAAATCCAAAATGATCTTTAAAAACATCCTATGAACAACTAGTTCAACAGTCAATAATATTGACTGATAATTATAGGCATGAATGTATTTAGTAGATAGTGAGAAACAAACGATAAAGGTATATAAGGCGATTAATAGATAGTCTGTAAATGTTCACTTGAATGAGACGAAACGCTGGGAAGGATATAACAACTCCGAATGGAAGCTTGGTATGGCTGACCATAAGTCGATGAAAGAGTATTGAAGAGAATGGATGTATATATTCTTAGCTGTCAGGCTGTCATGGTCTGAAGAGTATTGAAGGGAATAGATGTATATATTCTTAATCGTCATATTGTCGTAGTCTGAAGATGATTGTGAAACACTACTTGAGACTTACAAATATAATTGAACAGAAGCAAAAAAGTACCAAGTCATTGATTGACAATAATATGAAGATATTGATATTTGATTGATGGGTGATTCATAATTACTTTTCTCCGCTTCGTGGTTGGTTACACGGAACCCCGCTTTAGTAGCTGTACGGAGTATGTGGTAAGAATTCTGGAATCTACTCACCGCACACCATTCAAATTCGTGACAAAATCCCTGCAAAAATCATATTTTCCTATATAAAATAAAATATTGAATAACTTTTTCAATGTTAAATGAAATCAAATAAAATTTTCAAATATTATAATTAACTACAAAAGGATATCGAAAAATTTATAATTTATTTTAATCATTTTGTTCTAAAGTTATATCTATTTAAATTTAAAAATATTAAAATTTCATTCGTGTAACGCTTTTTGAACTTTTCCTCATATAAAATAAGCGATTTTTTAAACTTTTTCGTTTTTCAATCTTAAATATATATAACTTTGAAACAAAATAATAATAAATATTTCGTTAAATTTTTATTATATTTGAATCAATTATCTATATATATATCAATTTTCATATATTTATTTTATTATTTTATAAAGATAACAGGGTTTAAAAGTTGAAAAATCGTTGATTTTGGTGTGATTTCGCTTAGTGTGCGGTGAGTAGATTCCAGAACTCTTATATAGTGGGATGGATCTTTATCATATATCTAATAATATTTCCCATCTTCCATCAACACAAGACGAAATCTCTTCATCATTTTCTTCTTAGTAATACCTACTACATCCATTCATTCCTTCTTGGACGACATTTAAATCTTCATACATCTAATCTGGTACATCTGGTATTCAAAATCTCTGTACGCTCTTTTACAACCATTGCACAACACTTGCATATTCGGGGAATTCCAACAAACATTCATTCAACACAATCGCGGGGTAAAGGAAAATGTCAACCACAACCAACGAAGCAAACAACAAGACTGGTGAGTTGCACAACTTCTTTTGGGTTTCCCAACTCGAATCTATATACCATATGTCTGCATGGCATATGCGATACATTATAACACAAGCTAATACAACCTTCAATTCTCATAGCTACTGCAGCACAACAATCATGGTCGGTCGAGGATGTAGTCAAGGCAGAATTTCCAGTTGTGCCAGAGGAGAATTCGGAATCACCTGTACCTTTCTTTCACATGTTGGAAAGATTAAAGACTACAAAACGTGAAGGATGGCGTAGATTTGGTATTAAGAGGTGAGCTATGGGAATGATTTGGGATTGGCACAAACTAATATTTCTCCCACAGAGGAGAATCAATCTCAGATCATATGTATCGAATGTCACTCATTACCATGTTCGCGCCCGAATCCCTCGCCTCGAAAATTAATATTCCACATTGCACAAAGATGGCTCTCGTTCACGATATGGCAGAAGCACTTGTCGGGGATATTACACCAGTTGATGGAGTACCAAAATCGGAGAAAAACCGTCGAGAAGCAACAACGATGGATTACTTCACCAAGAATCTATTAGGTCGAGTTAATGGAGGACTTGCCGGTCAACAAATTATGGATATCTGGCAGGAATATGAAGATTCCACCACGTTGGAGAGCAAGTTCGTTCATGATGTAGACAAGATTGAATTAATTCTTCAAATGGTAGAATATGAACGTTCTGAAGAGGAAGGAATTGATTTGGGAGAATTTTCTTGGGTTGCTACTAAGATTGTTCTTCCAGAAGTTCAAGCTTGGGCAGATGAAATCTTGAAGGAGAGAGAGGAACTTTGGGCTGGAAAGAACCATCTTGTTTACAATGGAGTGAAGAAGCCAGATGAGAAGAAGTTGGCACAAACTGATGAATATTATGGAGGGAAGGAAAATGAGATTGGGAAGGTTGAAGCATAATGGGGTGGATAAGGAATTGTTTACTTTAGGTGGGCGTTGAGGAGTGAAGATAGAGATGAGTGCTTTTTGCAATAGATACCACATGCAGTACAGTTCTTTGGGATATTACTTTGGTAGGCGGTGGTATCAGGCAGTGGTCTTAGATACCGTACAGACATACAAATGAAGATATAAATCCACATGCAGTTTTGTATCTCACCTCATCTGATCTTATTCATCTCGTATATCTTGTATGTCTTGTATGTCTTATACATCTCACACAACCCAACATCCCATACATCCCATTCACCTCTCAATGAAAGAATTCATTGTTTCAGGTAAAACAAAACCACAGACAGATATTTAATCGGTATGGAAACAGTTTCAAATTGATAACCAAGTTTGCACTCAAGCAACCGCGGTGAAATAGTCGGGCAGTGAAAACGTGATTGATTTATCAAATATTGAATCACGAAACCCCCATGAAAAATCTTTCACCACAGCAACGAGCAGAACCAACAAACAAACCTTTACTGATTTCGTCCTTTCTACCCAACACGCTCCATTTTTCCAGCCTCATATTAAGTTAAATAATTGGTGATTAAGAGTTCACCGCTGCCCGCTATTATAAAAATACTGGATACTTTTTTTTGACACATTTAATTATTATCACGAGAATTTGATCTTGCCGTATTAATTCATTCTGCTTCTTTCTGGTACCGGGTGGGAACTTGGAAGTATTGCATACCGAGTACGTACGTACCAGTATTGATACAGATATTGATATTGATTCTGATCTTGATTCTGATATCGATTCTGATATCGATTCTGATACTGATACTGACTGATACGACCGATTGCCATATCTACTCCCGGATCTCTACGACGCGCCTCGTTTGATAAAGTCTAAAGTCTAAAGTCTTCAGCCTCAGCCTCGGGAAAGATCATCAACATCACATCACATTTCACATTCATCACCTGTTTCTACATACGCTCACTGTTCGTACGAGAGCCGTAAGAGTCGTATTGATATTGATAATTCAACAATCTTTACAAGAAAGTCTTCATCTACTTGAATAATCTGCACAAGCAAGGGAAAATGTCTTTTTTCTTTAATTCCCTTCCAATCTCGGAAAATATGTCCAATAATCTGGCTTTGGAATCACCCACTCTCGGCACTGATTCAACCTCTCGACATGACGTACAACATATTGCAGGCGCAAAATCAAATATTTATCTTCCTCCATCGACACCATCAGCTTCTGCTACTTCTTCCCTTTATCTATTGGATACGCGATCAACAACCAGTACGGATATGTTAGGTGGAGGTGGTACAATGGTTGGGAGAAAAAGAATGAGAGATACTTTACCATATGAATATGGATACGAAAGAGGAAATCAATTTGAGGATGGAGATTCCAATTTAATTCCTCCAGGAAGTCCTATGCCATTTGTTAATACGAAATATCGTTTGGCAGGAGGATTGGATACTCCCCAGGCCGATTTACAAAATAGGGAAATGGGAATGGGTAGAGAGAGTGATTTTGGTGATACTAAATATCGAAGGGAGTTGAGTGATGTCAAGGAAACTTTTGAGATGGAAGGAGAAGGTCAATTATATCGGGATGAAAATGGTAGACCGAGGATCAGGGGTCAACCAAAGGAAGATGAGAAACGTGGTTGGATTAAACCAATGGTTAATGTTGTAGGTGGTGTGGTTGGAAAGATGTGGGAGTTTTGTAAGATGGGTGTTGCTTTTAAAGGATTTCAAGCTGGTGGAGGGAATGGTTATGTTTTTGGTTCATCAACTCCCATTCCACCAACAACCATGGATGAATCGAAAGATAATATGTGGGAGGATGAAAAATCTCCGAGCACACCTGTGCCGGGTGGACTTCCTATGGGGGGAATGGTTGAGAATTATATGGATCAACATTATGTTGAACCACAAGAAGAGACTACACCACCGAGACCAGCAAAGAGACGACAAACTAGTTTTACGACTCAAACAGGTCCAGATGATATGTCGAGAAATTGGGTGGTTGTCCCTCCATCAGAATCACCTCAACCGGAATTTTCATCCATTCAACAATATCCAAAACTTCCTCCTGTACCAGCAGATGCATTTGCAATTCCACAATCTCAAGCTACTAGGCCTAGGTTATCACAACAGAGAAGTGGAATTGCTAGATATAGTATGCCTGCATCTACGAATTCAGGTAGAAGACATTTAGTCTCTTCTCAAATAACATCAAGTAACATAAGCGCAACTCGAAGATCCAGTTATCAAAATAACCCTCGAACTCTCAACCCTTCACCCACATTATCAAGCTTCGGTAATACAAATTACTCAACTCCATCTCGACCAAGTCCTTCTTCTCATATTCATCGCACAGCTTCACCAGCTAGCTCACGTATTCCTCGCTGGACACCTAATAGTCCTAAAACAGGACCGACGATGATGAATGAGAGTCCGGCAGCTAGAGAAGCGAAAGCGTGGAAAGCGAAACAGTTAAAGGAGGATAGGGAACAAGATGAGATGATGAGGAAGTTTGATAGACAGATGAAGGATTTAATTAGACAGGGTACTATGGCTTTGAATACTACGGTGGCGGATATGGATATTGATGGGGTGGATGGGGATGGGGATGGAGACGTGGATGTTTTTTTGGGGGGGAGTTAGGTTGGGAGTGAGGTTGGGCTTGGGGGGAGGTTGGCTTGGGGGTGAGGTTGACTTAAGATTTGGGGTTAGGTTGGGGTTTGAGCTTAGGTGTGCAGGGTTCGGGATTAGGAATTAGGAATTCGGGGTTAGGAGTTTGGATTTGAGTGTTTGAGCATTGTGCGTTTGAGCTTTTGAGCGTTTGAGCGTCGAGGGAGTATGAGATATAGGGATGGAGATAGGCTGTAATGTGATGTGATGTGATGTGATGATTTGATGATTTAATACATACATATTTGTATATTGGATAGGAATACTAGGTAGGTAGGTATCCTTAAGGTAGGAGGAAATTAAATTAAATGTAATGCATTGGATTGTAATGTATTGGATTGTATTATAATGTAATATATGTAATGGCTTAGTTATAGGGATATTAGATGAATGTTAATTTAATTTAATTTAATTTGTGATATTAAGATGTAAGATATAAAAGATGTAAGATATATTTATTTATTTATTTATTTATTTATTTATTTATTTATTTATTTATTTATTTATTTATTTATTTATTTATTTATTTATTTATTTATTTATTTATTTATTTATTTATTTATTAGATTGTATTGAGGAGGTAAAAGAGATAAAGGAGATGAGAGGATGAGATAGATTATATTATAATATAATATAATAAGTTTTGATTTTAATCTTTTCAAAGCTAAAAATAATAATTGATTTACTATACTCTTTATAGTTATTTTTTATATCTTTTAAGATCTAAAACTAGCTTATATTGTATAGTTTATCAAATACTTATAATTTAAAACTTTTTCAATTAAATAATTATATATTTTGATATAAAAGAATAATCTAAAAGAAAAGTATTAGACTTATAAGTGTCACGAAATCATTTTATAGAATATCACGAGGTAACAATCAACCTGTCTCTATGAGCTTTGACCTTATTGAAAAGTAAAGCAACTTGTATATAAATTTGTATGGCAATCGTTTCGTATAATCTCCCTACCTTCAATAAGCTCAGATATATAATCTGATTCTAATCATATGATAGAGTTTTCAGGAGTGTAGGTTTCTGTAGATTTCTTAGAGTCTTTAGAAATGTAGGTTTTTGAAGACTTTCAAAATAGATTAGTATATAATCAGAATAGTTTTATAATTTAGAAATTTTATATTTAATTTAGTTATCAATTAATTTATTTATATTCCAATTGATCTAATAATATATTTATCTTCGAATAAATAATTAATGATTATTAATCTTAATTTATAACTATTAATTATATAAAAATTTAAAACAATTATTGTTTCGATCAGATTGTTATATTTTGAGTATTGTTATAATTAAATTATATATAATATAATAATTTTCAATTAGTAATTTATCGAATTGTCTTTATTCAATCCAATTAAAGCCTTTGTTTAAATTGTTATTATTATAAAATATAGATAAGCAATTCAGATATTCATTTTTGATTTATTTTATAAAGATTATAATAAGTATTAAGTTTTTGTTATATAAATTAATCTTTATTATATTTTTAATAGATAACTTTTTTTGATTTTTATATAAAAGATTTTGTAATTGATTTTCTTTTTTTGTAGAATTGTATTCAATTGAATTGAATTATTTTTTAATAATCTAATGATCAAGATTATCGATGATCAATTGAATAAAAGTATAAAATCTGAGATTCATTGTTTCTTTCTCAATTATAAATTGTTCAAATAGGAATTCGATAAAGTATTTAGAGAAATAGACCCTGATTATATAATTGAAAAAATATTATAACAATTCAAATAGATCGAATTAGTTATAGTCTATATTATTAAGTTTCAATAATATATTGAATGTATTATATAAAATAATGATTATCTAAAATCATAATTCTATAAAGGATTGAAAGATATTATTAAGAATGAATTAATAAGAGTTTCGAAATCATTTAATCTTTTCAAATTAATTGAAACCTTTATTCTTATTGATAATCGATTCTATAAATAACGAATAAAGAAAAAAGAAATCATTTAGAAAAACAAAAAGTTTCAAAAACCTTATTATCAGAATAAACATCATGATATTAATAATTTAATAGAATTGAATAATATCGAATGATATTATATAAAGTTAAGCAATCTAAATGTTAATAAAAAGAAAAGGTGTAAAAAAAATAATTTATATTTTATTTATAGAAAAAGTGGATATATATTTCGAAATTATTTTCAAAAGAAGAAACTATTTATTATAAAAGGTAAGAAATAAATGAGATTTAAAAATAGAAAATAAGGTTTTCGAGAAATAAGGATTTTAGAAGAAAATTCAAAAGAAATAGGTTTATTGAAAAAAAATCTATTTCAATTTAATTCCGAATAATTAAAAGAATTAGATATCAATAATCAAAATTTTAGAATCAATATTGAAAATAATATTGATTACAAAGAAGAACCTTTAGAAAACTTCAAATCAAAAGATAAAGAATCAATCGAGGAATTCGAAAAGGATCAATGATTAATTGAATCCTATTATTTGTTTTAGGAAAATAAGTTATAGTATTTAATCAATTATCTGAATGAGAAACGGATATAGTATTATTATAAAAAAGAGAAATCTGATTTCATTAAGAAATATAGAATTTATAATTATTCTATTTTGTTAATATTCTATATAATAATATATAATAATATTTATTATATAATATTTAAAGAAAATAATAAAGCAAGTGATATTAAAAGGTATATTGTAGATATAAATTCTTTATTCTTTAATGAAATATAAAAATATAACAAATGTAATCTAGAAATTAAAAATATATAGAAGATTTTATTATAAACCGGGATTTATTATATTTAATGAAGGATCGATAGAGATAACAAAGAAATATCAAACCGAAATTATTATTAAGATTTTCAAATAAAATCAATAAGATTATTATTTATTATACCTTATCGATTATTGAGTATAAACGAATATTAATATGAATAACTAAATCTTTTTATTGAAGAACAAATCATCGAATTATTATCATTAGAATTAAATAGTACTATAAGAATCGAATAATTAATTATAAAAATCAAATTAAAAAATCAATAGATTAATATCTTGATTAATTTCAAAGTTATAAGTATATTTATAAATCTTAATTTCATAAAAGAAAATAGAATTTTTATAGAATTAAAACAAGATCTTTATTAATTGATATTATTAAAAAAAAAACTAGAATTAATAATTAGATATACAAAGAAATTAATGTTGTTAAAATAATTATATTAAATAAATATATTAAATAAATTAAAATAGATTTAATACTATTAAACAAATATATAATTATCCTTAGTATCTTATAGATTAAGAAATATAATTCAAATATCGATTAAATAAGAAATATTTTAATATTTAATTATTATAATTACAATAACAAATGATTATATAGTCTAAAAGAATAGATTTCCCAAAAAACTGGATATTATATTATAATAATAATAGATCCTTTATTAATCGATAAAATCAATGAAAAAGAAATTCCAATATAATATAAAAGATTTATTAAGTTTTTTGAAGACTTTTAAGATTTGAAGGTTTTATCAGAATATAAATCTTGAGATTATAAGATCAACTTCAAAAAGGGATTTATACTTCTTATTGAAAAGTTGAGGTTATATAATCTTAATATTATATAAATATAAAAAGAATATAGGATCAAGACTGAAAAAAAAGAATGAATTAAGAAATCCAAATTCTTTTATATATCCAATATATTATTGATATTTAAGAAAAGCAATCTAGATAATTGACTTTGTAAAGATTATTATTGAATTAATAATAAAACAATTAAAGATATATATTTAATATTAAAAGTCTAGAAATTTAAAAATAAATTGAATAGAATTATAATTTATATAAAATTAAATTAAAGAAATATTTTCAATTTGATATAAATAAAAGAGAGTTACAAATAAAAGACAATCTTTATATTATTATCAAATTTATGAAAATATATAATTATATTATTTGGTTTAATTAATATATTAATTATATATCAATAACAGAACAACGAGATATTCAAAAAATTCAATTTATTTGTAATTTGTTATTTAAATGATATTCTAATCTTTTTTCAAAAAGAAAAAGAATATAAAGAATATATATTGAAAGTATTCGAAATATTTAGAAAAATGAATTCAAAATTCAAATTATCGAAATATAAATTTGGAGTATAGAAGATAATATTCCTAGGATATATTATTTAATCAGAATAAATGAATATAGATTCTAAAAAAATAAAAAAGGTAAGGAATTAAAAATGATTTAGAAATATCAAAGATATACAATCTATATTAAGATTCATTAATTTCTATCGAATATTCATAAAAAACTTCTTGAAAATGATAGAATTTTTTATCAAAATAATCAAAAAAGGAATAACTTTTATATAAAATAAAGAGATAAAACAAACTTTCTAAGAAATCAAAAATAGATTTACAAAGGAATTTATCTTTTATAATTATTATAATGATCAAGAAAGTATTATCGAAATAAATATCTTTAATATTTGTATAGTAGAAATCCATTTATAAAGAGATAATAATAGGAAATTATATTTTATTGTTTATTATTCAAACAAAATAGACAAAACAAAACAAAATTACAATATTTATAAAAAAGAATTTATAATTATTGTAAAAATATTGAAACATTGAAGGATTTATCTTCAAAAAGCTAAATTCCTAATAATCATTTATATTAATTATATGAATTTTCAAATCTTTATTATTATTAAGATTTTGAATAATTATAGATTGATTAAATAGATTAAAGAATTAGTAGGGTTTGATTTAATAATCAAATATATCAAGAGAAAGAATAATACAAAAATAAATACTTTAAATAAATCATTAAATTATGAAGATAATAAAACCTACCAAAAAACAGCGATCTTGAAATCTTTATCAAATGAAGATCTTATTCTTAATCTAATAGAAATTGTTATTATAAAAAATAAATCAATAAAGATTTGAAAGAATAAATTTATAAAAATATAATAAAATAAGGAAGGTATCAAATAATCAAAATTATTAATAATTATTGAAGGATTGTTTTGAATAAGAAATAAAATATAATTATTAAGTAGTATTATCTTTAAATATATTATAGAATAATATATATTGTTAGTTTATAAATATTAAGGAGTATAAAGAATGTATTTAAAAATCAAAAGGCAATATTGAAGTCTGAGATTTTATAATATAATTAATAAAATGGTTATCGAATATAATATCTATATTAGAAATAAGGCTTTTTGTTATACTTTTTATAATCAAATAAATATTATCAAGATATTATTTATATTATAGAAATTAATATTATAAAACTTTATAAATTTATTATCAAAATCTAAGGATTCAATAATAAAAATAATATATAATTATCTT